CTCTCAAAAAGCTCACCCCGGCACTCTCTGACCGCCCCACCTGAGGCTGGTGGCCATGACGAGAACGAGAACGAGGGTGAAGCAATGGGACGCTCTCGCAGCCCCCTCCCATGTCTCCTCAGGAGGCGGTGTCTCGTGCCATCTCACTTTCAAAGAAACTGTCTGGCTCCAATATTCCATCGCATGTCACAGAAACAGGTGATTTGATGCTGGATATGACCGGCTACAAGAGCAATGAAGAAGATGCCCTTCGTGCAGAGGTTGTTGCGCGCAAGATTCTTGCCGAGGAGCTGGAAGGGAGCTATGACATTGGTGCTCTCATTGGAGCCGACGAACACGGCAATTTGTGGATCTACAGTAGCGAAGAAGCAAAGGATTTGGCTGACCGCAGAGCCACACTCAATTCGATGCGGCCGGAGACGGCGTTGAGCGATGATGCACTATCTGATCCAGGATATCACAGCGAGGGCGACCACGTTATCTCGGAGCCGTCTTTGACAGCACGCCACCACAGAACCAAATCGGATATTCAACCTGGATTCCCCACACCCCCAGACTCGCCATTGCATGATGGCTTCGCAGTCGAAACCCGGAACTACGCCAAAACTCTCCGGCTGACGAGCGATCAACTCAAAGCCTTGCAACTGAAGCCAGGCCCCAACACAATGTCTTTCAGTGTCAATAGAGCCATCTGCAGTGCAAATATGTATCTCTGGAATGGCAACACTCCAATCGTGATTTCGGATATTGATGGAACCATCACCAAATCAGACGCGTTGGGCCATGTTCTTAACATGATTGGACGTGACTGGACACATGCGGGTGTCGCTAAACTATACACCGACATTGTCAACAACGGATACAACATTATGTATCTTACCAGTCGATCGGTTGGCCAAACAGACACTACACGAGCCTATCTGCATGGCATCTGCCAAGATGGCTACAGGCTCCCAAGGGGACCAGTGATTTGCAGCCCTGATCGCACAATGGCGGCCTTGCGGCGAGAGATCTATTTAAGAAAACCAGAAGTTTTCAAGATGGCATGTTTGCGGGATATTCTCAACCTCTTTTGTGGCAAAGAGAACCCCTTCTACGCTGGATTTGGAAACCGATTGACAGATGCATTGAGTTACCGCTCTGTTAATATTCCGTCTACTCGGATTTTCACCATTAATTCTAACGCTGAGGTTTCGTTGGATTTGCTGAGTCTCAACAAGTACAAGAGCAGCTACGTGACCATGCAAGAGCTGCTCGACCATTTCTTCCCGCCAGTCACTCTACTCGTGCATTCTGGAGGCGAAGAATACACGGACTTTACATACTGGAGAGATACGCCGCAAGAGCTTGAAGACTTCTCTTCGACCGACAGCGACGACGACGTAGATGCCGATGAGAATGTTGCTGAAGAAGATGAAGACGTGGATGATGAAGAATACGACGACGACCTGAGCGAGGGTGAAGGCAGCGAATACCTCGATGAGGCTGAAGCCGCCGAGGAAGATCTCGGTGCGAGCTACATGTCACAGGACTCAGCTGTCATGTCAAACCCGTCGGGTTCAATCCTGGAGTCAGTGGAAGGTGATTTGGACATTGATGAAGAGGCCATCGGCGAAGAAGAGTTGACTCCTCTGGTTGAAAATACCCAGGACCCTACCGAAAGCCCTGCAATTTCTCTCCCCATCCGTTCCAAGTCGCCCCAGAGCCCTTGAACATAATTCATCGCTATGCCTTGATACGATTTGATCGATACTTGGGGCATTGTTTTTGCGTCATTGATACCCGTCTTGCGAGTGCTTACCATGTCAGATTCTGCATTAGACTGCTCTGACAGCGATATACTATGTTCAACACTACTGCATGCACCTGGAGTTAGAGACTGCGTTACACGGCCATATTTGGCGACTGTTCTAATCCATGGGCATTGATGGCGTTTCCGTTTTAGTTTTTGTACATTCATGGCGCATATAGTTGGGAGGAATTTGTGATGTATGGTTTGAAACGAAGAGAGTAACTGAATTTAATGCGAATACGTTCAATAATTGAGACAATAGCTTCGGTTCAATCAACATTCTATTCAACCTACGCCCTGAGGGTCGAACGGGGAACTCGATTACCAAATACGGTTAGCGCAATATCGGAGCTCCTACGCTTCTTTTCGGCCTCACCAAGCCGTCACTTCCCCCTCCATCCTAACGCTCAACGCTGCGCGTCCATTTCTTGCTCCTAGCTTATGAGCAGCTAATTGCGCCAGGAATGATTATTGCACAAGTGCTCCTGGCTTGATTGTCGCTCGACCCACCATTTCGACCTCACTTGCGCAACACCGCAATACCCTCCTCCCTCGTGATCTGTGATCATCATCTCCAATCATAATGGCATCCCCAAGCCAGACACAAGGCTCAGCGCCTCCAACACAACCCGTATCACCCCCCGCCGACTCCACGACGAACGGGGTCTCCGCACCCGCCGCGACTCAAACCCAGGTCAACGTCCCATCGGCACCCCCTACAACCTCAACAAACCCACAACCCCCGCAAGTGCCAGGCACATCCGCTCAAGACAGCGGCAAGTCACGACGACCACGCGACGTACGGCTGGTACACATGCTCCTAGCGTCACTAGGCGTAACCTCCTACCAAGACCGTGTCCCCCTCCAACTCCTCGACTTCGCATACCGCTACACAGCCAATGTCCTGCAAGACTCCGTACATCTCGCGACAGAAGGCTACGCCGCCGCAACGGACGGCAGCTCTGGCGCAAAGGGCAGTTCCGAAGTGAATAGTGTTACCTTGCCGGCATTGCGGCTGAGTATCGCCTCGCGCCTGCATTTCCAATTCCAGACCGGATTGCCGAAGGAGTTCTTGATGGATGTCGCGTCGGAACGGAACCGTATTGCTTTGCCTGGTGTTTCTAGAGGATTTGATCCTGCTGTCGGGGCTGCTAACGGGGCTACTGGTGCCGCGAACCAGAGTATTATGATGGCTGGTATGCGCTTGCCTCCTGAGCGATTCTGTCTTACTGGTATGGGGTGGAATATGAAGGACGAGTGGGACAGTGAAGGCGAGGAAGAGGAGATGCCTGATGGGACGCAGCAGGGGTCTGGGAAGGGAGTTGGTGGTGGTGATGGGACTGATGATGGTGAAGATGGCGGCGAGGAAGATGAAGATGATGGCAAGATGGAGGACATATTCGGCGAGGATACGGCCATGGGCGAGGCGGATGACGAGGACCGCAAGATGACTGATGTTTAAGGGCATACATTCCGGGACAAGGTTTCATTTGCGTTGGCCTTGGGTGTGGTGTTTCTGGCGCTTGGAGTTGATTCTTTTTAATCCAAACCGAACGGGACGGCGTTCAGGGTTCACATGGAGAGGATTCACTTATGTCTTCTACAATCTGGGTATCTTACGGATGAACTGCTCTGTCCTGTCCTGTATATTGGGACAGGGTTAAAGGAAAGAATAGAAAAGACATCTTTCTGTGGTCAATTGAACCAAGATATGCAATGATCTGTGTATATTGTACATAATTCAAGTCCATCCCATCGCTCCGCATTCGGGATGGTCATGCAATGTAATCGAGATGCCCAGCAGAAACGCCTGCTTGTCTGCCCTGTGCGCCGTGAGGAGAGAAGATATAAGTTCGAGTCTACTTGAGTAGACAATATCAGAGACAGTCGTCCAGTAGGACGACTCTGATATCCACCAGTGGAAGTGGGAGGGGAGGCTGTATCAGAATCGCTGATACTCGACCCAGTAACATGGAACTACCCGATTAGGAAGCCTGTTAAGTCCGAGTCGAAGAAGATCCCTCCCCTGCAACCACACCCCTATCCAAGAGGAAGCACTCACACCGCCGAGAAAGGCAAAAAGCGAAAGACCCAAAACGCCCAGACCCATATAGACAAGAAGTACAAGCACAGATGAAGAAAGGAACTAAGACGAGGAAGCAAACAAGCAATCATTTCGCCTCACCCTGTCTCCTCCGTGCTTCATCATTGCGCATCATGCTAATAACCTCAGCACGCCGCGTCTCAACACGAGCAAGCTCCTCATCGCGCGCACGACGGCGTTCCTCAAACGAAGCGAACCACTCCTCTCGCGCGCGATCCTCCTCTTCTGGCTTAGCGTGGGCGACCATGCATGAATTCATAGCGAGACGCTGCTGGCGGCAGATCCATGTAGCAGTGACAGTGCGGTTGACGGCGCACTCGGCGAATGCTAGATCGGAGTGGGTTAGCGGACTGATTGATAAAGAGGTGGGAAGGAAAGTGGATTGGGGTCACGAGGGCGGAATCGATCTTCCGGTTGACACCCAGACCCAGACCCATTTTTGGCAATTGGAGAGTGCAACATTGTATATAAAGAGGTAGGTGCCTTGTAAAGGCTATGTAGATTACATACCCTTAATCTCGGGAGCGCAAAGGGCCCGTACTCGCTTGTAGTACAGCAGCTTGACTTCTTGTTCTTGGGGGGCTGAGAGCGGAAGCGGGTTGCGGAGGTTATATTTCTTGGGTGCCTGTGCTGAGGAGGTATCGGAGGATGTGGATGGTGTAGCCATTGGGACTGAGGAGCTCGGTCTTTGAGATCGAGGTTATTCGGTTCGAGGAGAGTATGGGATGATCAATGTCGTCGGAGAGTTTGCTGTGGAGAGGGGTCGATCCCAGCGGTCCAGAGACAGTGGACGGGATTTCTAGGAAAAGTAAGTCCCAAAAATGAGAACTAAGAAGAAAAACCAGAAATTCAACGCGGTGTCGTTGTTGAATCGTGGATTGCAAAGAAGATCAGCCGAGTGGGAGTGTTGATGGCGGACCGCGAGACCTCGGGCGGAGATGGCCTGCAGAAAAAAAGTTCTCCAACTCTTTGGACGATTGTTCTGTCTACATCACCTTGATCGGATCAGAGTCCTTGTATCCTTCACAAGGTTGACGACTTTATTTTTGTCTCCTTAAACTATCTTCTTTTCGAGCCCCAGAATTATCAACACAACAGCCCAGCATGTCGAGCATGCGTAACGCCGTTCAACGGCGGAACCACAAAGAGCGTGGTCAGGTCTCAGGCCGTGAGAAATGGGGTCTCCTTGAAAAGCACAAGGTCAGTTACCGCGGCGCTTCTTTTGGAAGAGATTTTCAATGCTCCGACTTTGACTCCAGTCAGTTTGAGGATTACATTCTAACTTCAACAGGATTACTCGCTTCGCGCAAAAGACTACAATGTCAAGAAGGCTAAGCTGAAGCGCCTCGAAGAGAAGGCGCGCAATCGCAATGTCGACGAGTTCAACTTTGGTATGATGGGAGGCAAGAACCGGACCCAGGGCAAGCATGGAAGTGGAGTAGGAACTGCTCGCGACTCTGCCGCAGCACAGGGCCTCAGTCACGATGCGATCAAACTCCTCAAGACACAAGATAAGGGATATCTCCGGACAGTTGGAGAGCGAGTGCGCCGCGAGATCCAGCGCCTCGAGCGGGAAGTGGAGTTGCAGGAAGGAATGGACAAGTCGCTGGGCAAGAAGGACGGGAAGAATGATGAGAGCATGGATGAAGACGAATTCGACGATGATGACTTCGATTTTGGTGCTCCTCCGTCGCAATCCAAGCCACGCAAGACGGTGTTTGCCGATGATCGACAGGAACAATTAGCTATGAAGAAGCGGAGGCTACAAAAGGATGAGTCTGAATCAGATGAAGAAGAGCAGACAACAACCAAAGGCCGCAAGACTCCCAAGCAGCTCGAGTCTGAGCGGCAAGCACTTGTGGAAGCTCGACGGGCTCGCAAGCTCCGCAAACGTGCCATAGAGGCCCGTCAGAACAAGTTGACGGCACTCCATAAGCAACACGCAGAGATCCAGACCGCAGAGAAAGAACTTGACTGGCAGCGGTCTAAGATGGACAACTCGGTTGGAGGCACCAACAAGGACGGCATCAAGTGGAAGATCCGTGAGCGCAAGCGCTGAATTTCATGTTTCGGAGTTATGAGTGATGACTCGCCATCTTTTTGTACATATTGATACCAAGGGAGTCTACAGTTAACAGTCAAATACTGCCTAATCGAGCATAGTAACCCACTGCATTAGCGTAGCACTGCGATCACGGAGTCGGAACAAGGGCCGGTCAGGAGTCTCCAATAGTGTACCATTCACAGAGCCACAATTGATAATCAGCCCCTCTACAGAGTCATACTCTCCGAAATCGCAGACTAAAGCCACTACAGTAGTTCGAAGTAACTAAAAGTAGAGTAACAACCCGTCTCCGCGGATCTAATACATCGCCGCTGATAGGACCTGGACAGGATCGCCGCTTATTAATGGTGGGATTACTAAGGTTATCTTTTCTATATCGCCACCCCTCACCTCTCTTTTCCCTCTTCGTTCAGCTCCTCCAGTTCCATAATCCCTTCACAATGGCGCCTTCTTTTATGACCATTGACACCAACGACATGGACCTGACACCGTCAAAGCCAATGTCTAACACAAAGCGCACTCTCCTTCTCGCGCCTCCCTCCATTGCCACCCAAGAGGACAAACTCCGCGGCCTCTTCACGACCTTCGACCGCTCCACCACAGACCTTCAAATGCTCGACCGTCTCTCTGCCGGCTTCGTCTCTCTTCCCGCATCCACATACGACCTCGTCCTCATCCTCACCGACACAGACGGCACACGACGCTCCGAGGCCCTGAAACTTCTTACCCGCGATGTATACACCACCCTAGTCCCCGCCATGAAGCCAGGCGCCAAGCTCCAAACCCAAGATTCCGCACTTAATGCCTCAGACGCAATGGAAGCCGTCCTGGCGGGCCTAGTTCAATCAGACAATGGATTCGAGAAGCCCAATTTCGAGCCCTCGGCGGCTGTCCCATTAAAGTTCGGCTTGAAAAAGAAGAATAAGACTCAAACCACAGCCCCGGCTCCGGCTTCAGCACCCGCCCCAACTGGCATTTCAACTCTTCCCACTGGATTTGGATTCGACGGACCAGGGATGGACCACGACCGCGATAGCGAAGACGAACTCATTAATGAAGATACACTCCTCACTGAGGAAGATTTAACAAGACCCACAATGCCTCGTACGCACCCCCATGTACATCCCACACATACAATTTCAATTGCTAACATACTCCCAGCCCCAGAATGCCAACCCAAAACCGGCCGCCGCAGACGCGCCTGCAAGGACTGTACCTGCGGTCTAGCAGACCGACTGGAAGCGGAAGATAAAGAGCGCCGCGCAAACGCAGATAAAGAATTGAACGTGATGAAGCTGGACACAGGCGACCTGAACGAGCTAGACTTTACCGTCGAAGGCAAGACAGGCTCGTGTGGCAGCTGTGCACTTGGCGATGCATTCCGCTGTGACGGATGTCCTTACATGGGCCTTCCTGCCTTTAAGCCCGGCCAGGAGGTCCAGATCTTGAATGATATTGCCCAGTTCTAGGGGTACAAGTGGGCTTGCATACGCGATGTTCGCGCCTGATATTATTTCGGTGTGCCTTGCGATAACGGAAGAAAGGTTGCATTTGGAGTTTTGGGTTTTTATTCTCTTGGTTACTTTCTATAGTGGATGAACAAAATTATACTGGGGGAGTTTGGCATTCATGTTTATGCAATGATATCATTTACTTCATTTTCATTCTATACTTCTCACCTGTGACTCATATGTAAAATGCCTATCAAATGTAGGCTGTTGCGTGCTTAGGGAAAAAAATCTCGAGTGGATCCAAACGTCATTGGGCACTCCGCTAGAGGGAATTGAGTCATGATCTTCGCTTGCCCTACGATATCGGCAGTGGGATACTGCCCCTCTATGTACCTGACTGCCATTATACTTATACTTGTAGATATAAACTCCAATATTTAGCCCCGAAAATGACGTAGTTACTTTTGGCTATGGTTCTTCATGGCACATCCCATCATGATAAAAACAGAAAAGCGCAGACAAGAAAATGTAAAATGTAAATGAAAATGTATGAGACAGGCCTATGACCGGTCCTTCTTCATCTGCGCAACACGAATGCTCACAGCACGCTTGTGAGCCTCAAGACCTTCCACGGCAGCGAGAGTCTCGACAGTCTTTGCGAGACCGAGGAGGCCGTCTGCGGTGAGGTTTGAGCTGGTGATGTGCTTCAAGAAGGAACCGAGGTTGACACCGGAGTACTGCTTGGCGTAGCCGTAGGTTGCTGGATATAATGTTAGCTGCAGGACGATCGAATTTTGAGGAAGAAGGACTTACGCAAGGAGTGGTTGACACCGGCGGAGTAGTCGCCAACACTCTCCGGAGTCCAGGGACCGATGAAGACGCTACCGGCATTCTGGACCTGCTCGACAACAGACTCGGGGTTCTGGACCTGCAAGATCAGGTGCTCAGGCGCGTAATCGTTGCTGAGGACCATGGCCTCGTTGATGTCGCGCACGACGAAAGTGACAGAGTGCTCCAGGGAGCCACGGACAATATCCATGCGGGGGAGGGCCTTGGCCTGGGCATCGACCTCGTCCTCGATAGCGCGCAGCTCAGCCTCGGAGAGGTCGACGGCGATGAGAATGACTTGGGAGTCGACACCGTGCTCAGCCTGACTGAGCAGGTCAGAGGCAACAAAGGCCGGGTTGGCGGTCTTGTCGGCAATGACGAGAACCTCACTGGGGCCGGCGGGCATGTCGATGCTGACACCTGCGGAAGTGTCGTTGGACACGAACATCTTGGCGGCGGTCACGAACTGGTTGCCAGGACCCAGGATCTTGTCAACCTTGCTGATGCTCTGGGTGCCGTAGGCCATGGCAGCGACAGCCTGGGCACCACCAGCAAGGACGATGCTCTCGGCGCCTACCTTGTGGGCGACGTAGACGATCTCGGGGGAGATGCTGCCATCAGAGCGGGGAGGAGAAGCCAGGACGATCTTGTTGCAGCCCGCCACCATGGCGGGCACACCCAGCATCATGGCGGTGGAAGGCAGCACGGCAGTACCACCAGGGATGTACAGACCGACACGCTCGATGGCGCGAGAGAAGCGGGAGCAGACAACACCGGGCATAGTCTCCATCTGGAGAGCGTCGTTGCTTCCCTTCTGGGCAGAGTGGAAGCGCTGGATGTTGCCGATACTGACATCAATGGCTTCCTGGACGTCCGGGGTGAGCTTCATGAGTTCAGCAGGGAATGGTGCGTGGATGACGGGGGATGTGAGTGATGTAGCCTTCTCGAACTTGTGGGTGTACTTGAGGACAGCGGCATCGCCGCCGTCACGGACATCCTGGATGATGGGCTTGACCAGGTTGACAATGGCTTCGTTGGACTTCTGGGAGGGACGTTTGAGGTAGTCAGAGACAACCTGGGGAGTGGTAGAGGTGGTGATCACCCGCTTCATTTCAATGCGAGATTCACGGTCCTCAACTGGAGCAGGGGCAGGAGCAGGCTTCGACTCAGGCTGAGCAAGGCCAGCCTTCTCAGCCCAAGGTCCCTTGGCGTCACCCTTTCTCCGCTTGACCTTCAAGCTCTTCAGGTCAAGGTTGCGCTCGATATCCTCCAAGCTGACACCAGCAGCAGTGCACTTGGTCAGAGCGAAGTAGAAGAGATCGGCAGCCTCGAAAGCAATCTCCTCCTTGGTGTTCGCACGACACAATTCATCAGCCTCCTCCATAATCTTGGCACCAACGAGCTTAGGGTCATTGAACAGACGCGCGGTGTACGATCCAGCGGGAGCATCGGCCTTGCGAGAATCTAGAGTCTTCTGAAGGCGCGACAGACCGGCCGATGCGCCGAAGCAGGTCTCAGTACCGAGGTGGCAGAAGCCTATCACTAGAATCAGCATACATAACATCAATAAGTGTAGGGATAGTCTTTACCACGTCCAATTTGCTTGACCACAAAGACCAAGCAGTCAGCATCGCAATCAAAGCCAATGCGGATCAACTCCTGGACATCACCACTCGACTGGCCCTTGTACCATAGCCCGCGCTTGCGGCTCTGGTAAACGCCGGTACCGGTGCGCAGGGCCTCGGCAATGCTCTCGTCGCTGCTCCACACAAAGCCAAGGCAGGCACCACGCTCATCAGTGACAGCCGTAGCATAGAGACCATTGGCCTGGTCAGTGACAGCGTACGACGCAAGAAGGCGGGCAGCAGAGACCTGCCCAGCTACATCCCGCTCAACGGTCAATGCCGCGGAAGGGACGATGGAAATGGCGCCCTGCTTTGTAACCTGCTTGATCGCATCCTCTGTCACAGCCTGGCTACCGAAAGAAGTGAAGAGACGTGGTGAGTCGGAGCTGATCTTCAATTTCTCGGCGGCGGCGGGGATGTTGGCGGGGTCGGTGCAGACGCTAGCCTCGCTGCGCTCGGCATTGGCGGCAACCCATTGTTGGAGGGTGTCCAGCTGGGAGTCTGAAGAGGCGGAGACGAGTAAGCGGGACGAGGGAACGGATTGCTCTTCGGTGAGGGTGGTCAACTGGTCCAAGGTAATCAGGATCTTGGCGGCACCGGCGTTGAGGATATCGACGAGATCGCCGGCGGAGGAGACCTCGGTCGCGTCGACAAAGACATCGAGGGTGCGGAAGTTCTGGCGCAGGAATTGCTCTGCCTGGGCGAGAGTTGAGACCTTGACCAGCGCGCGGCCGAAGTAGGCGATCTGCTTGAGAGAAAGTCCGGAGGTGGGGGTGGAGGGGTCGAACGAGATGAGCAACGGAGTCGCCATGATGAATGGAGAGATGCAAAGATGTAAAAGGGAGGAGAATTGTATCTCCTAAGAAGACCCGCTGGGGAGAAATGTGGAGGAGTATGACTCTTGTCCGACACAGAATCAGAATACCCGCCTTTTTTTCTCCCGCTATCTCTCGGCAGGCACCCGCTGATTCATCGAATCGCCTCATCCTGATTACTTAGTCTTACATGCGGGTTGCCCGGTTGCCTTCTCTCTCTCCTTTTCAATTGCACGTAGATCAAGTACTTGCATCTCACCGCTCTCTAAAACCTGGTCTATATGCATCTCTACGGATTTTATGTCCTATGGCTATACATACTTCCGCCATTCACACTCGACTCACGACTCATAAGCAATTTTATAGACAGACAGAGATCTTACCATCCCGACACTACTGGAAGTCCTCGACCCCAGAACCTAACCCATGCAATACGTTGTTTTGTTTCGCCTGACCTGACCCCATTTTAACCACAAAGGCAGTTTCTCGAACAGCTCACTAGCTAAGCCATGACCCTCCTGCGACGCCTGTTCAAATCAGTAGGGATTCAATACACTAGCGCCAGTATATTGCCGTCATTAGATATATATGAAAGCAAATTTCATTCCAATGGGCCAACTCCCGATTTTTAGGTAGATTATAACGAGCCTGTCTAGGTATAGTAAGCACTCAAGATAGCGGAGATCTGGTATAATTGATAGCCTCTAATTTATATTCTATTCATAGTATAACTATAGGGCGAGCCCAATTTGATTCCTAAATTGTAAAAGAATTAGTTCTTGTACGGAGTGTACCATAACTCTTACCTGATTGACAAAACATCCACCAAAGGGGAGGACTGAGGAATATCTTTCCGAAAGTCTTTGAATTTGGAGATTCCACAAAACTTGACAAGGAATAATGGGCGTATATCCTATCCAACTTGATCACTATCGTGCGCCCGAAATCATTCTTGGTTGTGCCTGGAACATGAGCATTGATATCTGGAATCTGGGCATTCTTGTGCGTCTAGCGAGACACGTTCCTCTCAGATTGATGATATCGCTAACATCATGTCAGCTTTGGAATATCATCCAAGGAAAGGAAATGTTTTCCCAGATCCACGGTCCACAGGGTCACTATCAAGCAAAGGCGCATCTTGCAGATATGATCTCTCTACTCGGTCACCTTCCCCTTGAGTTAATCGCAAGATCTCAGTCGATGTCGGGGTATAAATGGCCCGAACTTGTGATAAGTGCAGATGGTGTGACCTGTGAGAATGCAGAGCAATACTTCGACGACCAATTTTTCGATCATAATGGTATTTGGAAGAGCTTCTTCCTAGTAAATCTGACTGTGGTCTTGCCATGTTGCTAATACGCCGATAATAAACAAATCCCTGCATGAGGATATAATTCTCGATCGAAATCTCGCGGAAACGATGTCCTTGCTCGAAGAACAGGAAAATCAGAACTTCTTCTCCTTTGCGAGGATGATGCTGGTGGAGCACCCAGTTTTTTGACGAACGAAGAAAACCAGCGGGTGATAGAGATCAGGTAAAAGGAATTCATCACAGAGGCCGCTTTGCTTTGTCGACTAGGTCCTCATCCTTCCATACCGAAAGACCATTCCTTCACCTGTAAACGTCATCTATTCTGCAGCCCAATAGATCGGGTTTCTGCCAACAGTCGCCGACACAAGAATCACCCAACCGGGCGGAGTCTCTCCTAGAAATGCAATTAACACCTTGTAACGGAAAAAACTATTAACTTATAGCTCATTTCCCCAACTTAAACCGGCGGTAATATCACGCTGAGCCAGTTGAGTGACTTGATCCCAGTTCGGTGACTTCTACGAAGAAATCACACCCAAGGATGGCTCCATTGCCGAAGGCATTAACATCAAAGTATTGGACTACCAAGTGTGAGACTTACTAGTCCAGTGCAGTGCGGGCATCTGATATATCATCTTTTGAATTCTGTGCCACATGCGACACTGACTTGTACTTGGCTGGCACTGGTGTGGGCAGGGGGTGTTTTTCTTTGACTAGTTCGGGCAGAATTTCTTTCTTTCCAACGAACAGAGATGTATTTGTTGTCATATTGCCAATGAATATCGATAGATGGACAGTAAATGTGTTCGATCTGGTGATATACTTACAATTATTTCCCCGCATGAGCTTCCAAATGACCTGGGAAAAGCGGCTAGGGACGTCGATATCCCCACGCCTTAGCTTGAACGCCGTGCTGTTTGCCAGAAATAATTTATTCTGCGAGAGTTGTCTATATCTCTTTGGAAAATGCGTGTAGGAGTAGTATACAGGAAGCCAAGGGGAAGAAACATGCCGAAATAAGGTCCCAACCAGGAACAGGAACACAAAATCCAGGGACTGTCAGGACTGTCATACTTTGGCTTGAGTATGTTGCTAGTTAATATGGCTGTTGGGTTTGATACACCCTGTGACAAGAACACACGCTTGTTGAACCCGAATGTTCCTTTCCCCCGAAATTAGAGATTAAACCCGAAATTCAGCATCCAATTCGTAGTGAGTATTTTCGAGGTTTTCTGCACCATCTGGGAAGTGCACTCGACCTTGCATTTGACACATGGCACGCGACGCGTCCACGAGTATATCCGGGTGTGTAGCGGAAAGGAGTCTGGGGTTTAGATCCCAGTCTGCTAAACCTTGAATGTGATAATATTCCAAGTCAGTAAGTCTCATCCGGTGACATTATGAGGGGTATGTTGCATATCCAAGCCCAAGCGTGAGGCTAAGCCCGAACTACCGAACTAGCCACATCCTAAATCGAACCCTAAATATATGAACATATGAATATGATGGCTCAGTCACGCCAGATAGTCGTCTGTCTTGATCATCTGTGGAATTATCCGGGGTAGATCGGGCAAGAGACATTTAGACTGTGAGATCATCCATCATAGATCTGTTGATCGGTAAACAAATTCCAGTTCAGGCCAGGGGCACATTCCCCGATCACATCCCTTGCTGATCACCCCTGAATGTCCGAGAATCTAACGTCAATATTAATTTCAATAAAGACAAAGAAACATGCTGTACTCTGTAGAATGCGATGGGTCGCGTGCGACTCGCCTTCCCCTTTCGTCCCTTCCTTCCAACTCCTATCTCTTCTACTGTCTTCATTCCGCACATATTTAATCGCATTGACCCTCTGGGTGGCCCTTCGTTTGCGATTCCTCTAATCCTGGAGCCCTAAACACTGTATATTTGTATACGTCCATCGCGTAATCATGCGCATTCCCTCTCTGTCACTTCCTTTGGCCCTGGGCCTCGTGGGAACTGCTGCCGCCTATCCTCACCCTGAACAAGGGTCAGACTTGCGTCGCGGGTCCGACAATAAAGCCAAAGCCGATGCTGTCAAAGAAGCTTTCCAACATGCCTGGGATGGCTATGTAAAATATGCTTTCCCGCACGACGAGTTGCACCCAGTGAGCAATGGTTATGGTGACTCCAGGTGAGTGTTCTATGAGCATATCCATCACGCGGTATAACTTACACTCTCAGAAATGGATGGGGTGCATCGGCTGTCGACGCGCTCTCAACTGCTATTGTCATGGGCAACAAGGATGCCGTGAGCAAGATTTTGGATCATATTATGACCATTGACTTCTCAAAGACCAGAGACGAGGTCAGCTTATTTGAGACAACTATCCGGTACCTAGGCGGTATGCTGTCTGGTTATGACTTGCTTAAGGGCCCTGCAGCGAATCTCGCTCCCTCATCGGACCATGTGGATGCCTTGCTCGCCCAGTCCAAGAACCTGGGCGATGTTCTAAAGTACGCTTTTAACACTCCATCTGGTGTTCCATACAACAACCTCAACATTGGTTCTAAAAGCCACGATGGTTCAAGTACCAATGGCCTCGCCGTGACTGGAACTCTGGTTCTAGAGTGGACGCGCTTGTCCGACCTGACGGGCGACGATGAATATGCTAAGCTGAGCCAAAAAGCCCAGTCATATCTGATCAACCCTCAGCCGTCGAGCGGACAGCCATTCCCTGGTCTGGTGGGAAGCAACATTAATATTTCTAACGGCCATTTCACCGACGGTGCTGTCTCGTGGAATGGCGGTGATGACTCGTTCTACGAGTACTTGATCAAGATGTACGTCTATGATCCCAAGCGGTTCGAGTCATACAAGGACCGCTGGATCCTTGCAGCCGAGTCGACCATCAAGCACCTTACATCACACCCCAAGAACCGCCCGGAACTGACTTGGCTGGCGTCATACTACAACGGCCAATATGACCTCAGCTCGCAGCATCTGACCTGCTTTGACGGCGGCAGCTTCATCTTGGGCGGTACCGTTCTGGACCGACAGGACTTTATCGACTTTGGCCTGGAGCTCGTGAACGGTTGCGAGGCTACTTACAACCAGACCCTGACCAGAATCGGACCTGACTCGTGGGGCTGGGACCCGAAGAAGGTACCGAACGATCAGAAGGAATTCTTCGAGAAAGCCGGTTACTATATCAACAGTGGCTCATATGACCTGCGCCCTGAAGTCATTGAGAGCTTCTACTACGCGTACCGGGTCACCGGCAATGAGATCGTAAGTACTTGCGCCATGGTGGAGCCGAAGATATACTAATAGAGATACAGTACCGCGACTGGGCATGGAACGCCTTCAAGGCAATCAATGCCACCTGCCGCACCGACTCAGGCTTCGCTGCCGTGAGCAGCGTCAACACCTCTGGCGGCGGTTCAAAGTACGATAACCAAGAGAGTTTCCTTTATGCCGAGGTCATGAAGTATGCATACCTTGTGCACGCAGAAGGTGAGTAATTTATCTTGCTATCACTTCTATAGCCACGTTAACCATCTTAGATTCTCCCTGGCAAGTTCAGAAGGGCAATAAGAATACCTTCGTGTTCAACACTGAGGCCCATCCCATCCGCGTCGCACACACCTAGTTATTTGCATACTTCTGCCGTCCGAGCACCTTGATAGATAGTATATGTATCAAGTCTACATTACTTCCTCGCTAGGTTCGACATAGAAAGCTGTAGGAGAAGCGTAGATCTATACAACTTTTTGATCCTCACCCAACAGACTTTTACCCCACCGAGACTAGTTGCATACGAAACGCTCACCAGTAAATATTTGTCACTAAACATTAGGATTATTTGACACAGTAAATGTCAGAATTAAACATTAGCCTCAGCCCATACTTCATGAGCTCGTAACAGTGTCAGTTCACCAGATAATGCGGACAGTCTTGATAGAGTCATGTCCCATACATCCTTGCCCTGAGCATAATGAGCTCAGATTAAGCATCAAAAGAAGGCTTGAAGTCCCTCCTCCCAGCCTTCCGCTCAACATGACAGGCCCTAGAAGCCCACACAACAAGAACAAGATAGAAGAGCCTAGAGATAACACCCCGTCAGTGTCTCAGAATCGATAACAAACCTAGGATTTTGATACTCACACCCCAAACAACATAACCGAACACCCAAAACACTCAACCCCATATAACACATCATCATCAGTAGTACGAGAAAGTCCATAGCCACCCCCATTCCAATAAGCAAGCTCATGCAAATCAAAACTAACACTGATGATCTGCGCAATAAATGCAATACAGTCCAATGTAATGCTCGCTGCGGGTGGAACGATGCAGTTGCAGAATATGACGATGAGGTAGGCGGTTGACCAGATGAAGCCGTAGGCAGACTTGACAAAAAAGTTAAAGTATTAGCGAATATCCTCTTGCAAGTTGAGACAAACAAAAGATATAGGGATATAAGGTGTATAAGTTACTCACAGTACCAATATTAATACTAGACCATGCAGATCCTAACCCATCCGTTGAAACAATTCCTTCGTCGTGTTGGACCATAGCCCAGGAAAAGCAGATAACGGCCGTCATGGTGCAGAGTACTGTTCCGAAGCGTAGGGATAGGAAGGAGAACCATTTCTTCTGTTGTCGGGGTATTGCCTCGATACACCATGATGGGTTGGTTTGATCGTAAGAAGTTGAAGGCATAATTACCACCTAGTGTAATATTAGATATTAAGATAAGTAATGAATAGTTGGTTATATCAAAGGAAGACCTAATTTAAAAGATCTTATTCCCTCTTTATACCCCCCCGGCCCCCAAATTAGTTAAAGAAAACCAACTATCGTATATCCATGTGTCGCGATAATCATTTCCGTTTATACTCGACACAGCCATCATTTCAACCGCAGTGGCAATGCCAAGGGCACGGCATATCCAACGATACACGAACGAACCAATGAATCTGGCTAAAGTCTAGCGGAGAGTTTATGCCCCAAACTGAAGTGTTCAGGATAGCTGTTCTGCGTAGCTTAGACGTCGACTGTTGAGATGGGGGTATGTCTTGGCGGTGATCGGCTTGGCATTTGAATTTTGGTTTGGTTGGGTGCCTGAAGGTATGATGTCGATGGTCTATTTATAAATTTGTACTTATGTGCTGTGTGGAAGGCTGGTAACTTGTTGGAGTTTGGGGTTTGCATTAGTGACTTCAGTCAGACACTTCAATTGTATATACTGGGTGTTCTTTGACCGAAACTAGCGGGGCTTCGTGCCAACACATGCTGGCTATGTAGGAAAGATATCAATGGAGCGAAACACGAAGCGCTGACCCTTGTCAATCCTTCCAGAGCCTACATAACAACCAGCACTCCTCGGGTATGGTATATAAAATTCAGATATCAGATCTGTCTCAGCTGCCTCAACTGGCTTTGTTCTTAACCTATTTACATAACTCATAGTGAGACTCGTTCCTAAGACAGAATGACAAGAATATCTAATCTAGTGGACAACAGCACGCGAATATGAACAGTATAATACTACTAGATAAAAGCCCCAAGGCACTGCGCCATCAATCAACCGGAAACCTCGAACAACAGGCAGGATCAGACAGTCTTAAGCCGACAAAAGCAAGAAGACTTGATTGGCACATCCGACCTGGCCAACCGAATCTTCAACTGAGACGCGAAAACCCTCGCCTCAGTCTTCCGACCCAGCTTGACCAAACACTCATGATACCCATGTGAAGCCCAAACATTATTGGGATGACGCAGAGCCCGTGCCAGCGTCGGTTCAATGCCCAAATCCGCGGCATAGACCACCACTGCCTCGTCCACTCTTCCCTGTTCAAGTAACAACGCACCAAGCGCATGTCTGGTCGGCTGCATCCAGCCCCAAGGCTCATCATATGGCAGCGAATCATCTCGTTCAACCGCTGTGCGCAGGTACTCGAATGCTGTCTCATGTTCACCGCGCCGGTACGCTATCTCGCCATCCAGCATAGCTTCTCCGACGCCTAGGATATCTATGCAGCGGTTGTTAAAAAGCGTGCGCGAGTCAGGCACCTGTTTCGTTGATTGCTGAAATAGCGTGCGCTCTTCTTCTGCTTCCGGGACTTGACCCGTAGCTGCGAATGCGACACCCTTGGCGTAGTGCATCATGGCAGTGGTGACGCAGTAGAGACTTGCATCAGCCGGTAGCTCCAGAGCAATGATATCATCCCAGCGACCGAAACGAATCAACCCATGCATCTGCATCGCCACGAATCCTTCCAACCAGTCAGCCATTGGAGGCGACTCAGTGCGCAGAAGCGGCTCAGTCAAGACCCGTGCCAGCTCAGCACCCGTCTCGAGAGCAATCTTCGACTGTCCACCTAACATAGCAGCATACATCCTGAAATGGTAATCATGTGCGCGATACAGATTATAGAAATGACTCGTAGGCTGCCTCGCGAGGAACTTCTCATCAGCGCGAATAGCCGAAGTATTGGACACAACCGCACGACGATAATCGCCACACAAAATATCAATATGCGTTGGCATATGTTCCAAATGCCCAGCATCAGGAACAAGCCCACGCAAACAATCCGCGATCGGCAGCGCAATTTCCGGCGTCCCAGACATCTCCATGAGATGAATATATAAATGCAACAAACCAGGATGATTGAGCGCTTCATCTTGGGCAAGAACCCGATCCAGCGCTCTCTTCACCTGCATCGTCTTTGCGTCGGGGGACGGCTGGCCCGTTTTCAAATCCCACAAGCTCCACGGCGTCAGATTCATCAGCGCGTCGCAGTACAGCGCCGTAACGTCATAGTCATCCGGATAGTCATTATACACGATGGTAATCGCATCCGCATACGCTTGATTCCACACCGTGCAATCCTCCACCGGCAGTTCCTGCGGATAGCGAAACTGCAGCGCGTCGATAAGTGCAACTTCCAACGGCGACGTAGCGGGTGCATGTTTCTTCGCGTCTAGCACGGCGCGATGTGCACGTGTCGTTGTAGAGGCCAGATCTTCGCCATCGAAGAGTTGCCAGGGCTTGTTATAATTCGGACCTAGGGCGAAGGCCAGGCCCCAGTATCCCATTGCGCATGTTGGGTCAAGGGAGACGACTTCCTCGAAGCAGCGGATTGACTCTTCATGGTTGAAGGCGTAGGCCCAGATTAGGCCGCGGCTGAACCAGGTTTGGGCATCTTCGTTGTCGGTTGTTACTTCACGACGGTAGTCTCCGAGGTCGTAGTAGTCGGACATGTTGTGGTGGGGGAGAGTGGGGTTGAGGTGCGGATTGTATGTATGCAGCTAGCCATTTTGGTCATTTTGGTGCGATAAGGATAAGCTAGAACTACACAGACAATTTTATATAAGTAAGTTGTATATTGTACATTAATTTAAAGTAGTTAAATCATATATTCATCTCTATCTGTGAAATTGAAAGTGAGCGAATTGATGCCTCAGGCCAGACCCACATTCCTACGCAAATCTGCTCACTTGTGCTCGATCCCGCTCACCTTGGTGGCCAACCTTGCGGGTATATAGTCCTCTTCATTCTGATTTCTATTCATTCATTTTTTTGTTACTTGTACATCCAAGGTATTTCCTAGTACATATACATAAAATTTTCCGTCTCACCTTCTCATCTCATCCGATATCCACTCTTTACAATGTGTGGAGAAAGCAACCGTCCAACCTTCGGAGGCACCATCGCCGTCCTCTTCCCACGAGAGAATAGAACAAGCCCAAGCCCCTCAGAGATATCTCGATCATCATCGCCAGAATCAATCTCATCATTTTCGTCTACGTCATCAACTGCTTCAATGTCTTCATACTCGCTCTTCTTCCGCGACACAGACCCAACAACCCAGAGAACGAAAGCAATCTTCCGAATGGATGACACAGAAACATATCACACGCTTCGGGGATGTGGACATGTCGATGTGCGGATCGAGTAAGACCACTCCTTGTGAAATAAAATATATTTGAAATGACAGAAACTTACCCTTCGAACAGGAAATATGGCGATATCTCCAACACATCATTGAGCAATAGTCCACTTCACCAATTCCGATTGGAGATGACACAAGACAGAAACTCGAAATCAGCATGTCAAACTGAAATGGAGTTCGAGTTGCCTCAACGGCTGGACCTGGGCGTCTCGGAGAAGGGTGTTATCGGCCGGCAGGTGACGGTCAGAGAGGTGGGGGGATCAATCCTGGGGATTGGAATCGTGGGATACAATTAGATTGTTTTACGGTTATATCTTGTACATACATTATGGGCTTAGTTGGAATGGAGTTTGCTTTTCTATTTGCGTGGAATTTCTAACTCTGTCTACCACTTCCATATATAAAATTGAACTAACTTTACCAGAAAAGTATCAATCACTGTTTTGGTTTGAGTGAAACACAGCTTAAAGCTTCAGAGGGTTCTCCACGCCAGCAGTGTACCGCTTCTCGGCTTCAGCCCAGTTAATAATCTTCCAAATACCCTCAACGTATCCGGCCTTGTTGTTCAGATACTAAACAAAGACAATCAGCACAAAGCCACACAACGAGGTGACCGAGCTAAACTCACCTGCAGGTAATAAGCATGCTCCCACATATCAACACCAAAAACAGGTACATCAGGACCATTAACGGGATCCTGATCCTTAGTAGTAGTAATCTCAAGACGACCCTTGGCACCACCCTTACTAACAAGCCAACCCCAGCCACTACCCTGTAAACCAAGAAGCTCAGCACCGAAAGCCTTAACAAAGGCCTCGTGCGAGCCCCAGCGAGAGACGATAGCTTCGCGGAGAGTGGGTGCACCGGCGATATCATTACCGGGTGTTCCGGGTGGAGTCAAGTTCTTCCAGAAGAGGGAATGATTAATGTGACCACCGCCATTGAAGCGGATCTTCTGTTGCAGGGCGATGAGAGAGGGCACATCATTTGACTGGGTTGCTGTGACTTGTGCAGTGAGCGCGGCATTGAGGTTGTTCACGTAGGTTTGGTGGTGCTTTTGGTGGTGGAGCTCCATAATCTGCTTGGAGATGATGGGTTCCAAGGCCTAGGAGTGGTATTAGTGGTTTAGCTTTGTACGTGGGAATGAATGTAGCTTACATCGTAGCCGTATGGGAGAGGAGGGAGGGTATGGGTTTGCGAGGCCATGATTGTAGATGTGAAGATGTCGCGATTAGGGGATCGAAACGGAGGGGAAGGAGACAGAAAAGAGAAAATGAGAGAATCAAGATAAAGGGAGCCCGAAAGGTCCCCCCGTCCCCTCCTAAGCACGCAAGTTGAGGCCACCAAGGTATTTCCCGAATGGGCGAGTGGGATTGAGCACATTTGCTCTTATTTACTTTGATTGGCGGAATGGGTGGTGTTGACCCATCGACATATATCTTTCAGTATATGAAAGCCATTCCACTACTCCGTATTTCCGTAGATGATGTTATCTTGTTGATGTCACTTTAATAGGTACTTTGATCGAGGAAACAAATGGAAACCGAAGGTCCCAGATGGATCCGGACAAAGTGGTAAATTGAACACTCTCGAGATGCTCTTACATGATCTTACATGTATCTAGAGCTCACGCATAGGGATACTCGGCAATGTATGCTCGATGGAAGACTATTTTTTACGATAACATCTTTATTGCACGCTGAAAGTTCTATACATGCATGTACTGCATGGTTCTTCTTGGCGCCCTACTCTGGCCCCGCCCCATCTGACTGGAAGTACTTGAGCCACATTTGAACTGATGTCCAACAACCTACATCTACATGTACTGATATAACAAAACAACAATTACCATGAAGACATTTACATTCCATACTTCAAAGCTTCCAAGGTTTGCACCGTTTGTGCAGATTACTAATCCCCCAGATTTGCGGGGTCAACCGCGAGCCTCGGTCAAATCGGCGCAGGCCAAACGGCTAACCGGGACCGAGACTATTTGAAGCTACAGCTTCCCCTTCAATGGACCCCCAAATAAAATCAAAATGTCTGCCGAAGAACAAGTCAAGCTCAGCAACTTCTCCGACATCTTCTCAGTCGAGGGGAAAGTCGCCGTCGTAACAGGCGGATCCCGAGGTCTAGGACTACACGCAGCCTCAGGGTATGTCACGCTCCCCCAAAAGCAAGCCACAAACTAAACAAAATACAGCCTCCTCCAAGCCGGCTGCTCAAAAGTCTACATCACCTCCCGCAAGAAGGCAGCATGCGATGAAGCCGTCGCAGCACTAAATGCCCTGCCAAACAAGCGGCCCGGCGCACAAGCCATCTCCGTCCCAGCCGACAGCGCAAAGATGGAAGAACTCGACCGGCTTGTCGCCGAGGTGAGCAAGACAACCGACCACGTCGACATCCTATTCGCGAACGCGGGCGCAACATGGGGTGAGAAGTTCGATACGCACCCGGAGAAGATGTTTTCCAAGGTGATGGACTTGAATGTGAAGAGTGTTTTCTATACGATCCAGAAGTAAGTTCAACCCATCCCAATCAAGGATTCAAAACAAGAAATGCATAAATATGAGATATGATATAGAATCTAACATCAACCAGATTCACACCCCTCCTCACCAAAAAAGCAACCCTTCAGAACCCATCGCGCGTAATAATCACAGCCTCAGTAGCAGGCATCGGCATCGGCACCGTAGGCGAAAACGCCACACCATCCTACTCAGCTTCAAAGGCCGCAGCAATCCACATAGCAAAGAACCTAGCCGTGGAACTGGGTCCACGTCATGTCCTGACGAACGCTATCGCGCCTGGATTTTACCCGTCCAAGATGGCCAGCGGACTCATTGAGGCGAAGGGGGGTATGAAGGAGATGGAGGATTATTCGCCTAATGGACGGCTTGGGAAGCCGGAGGATATTGCTGGTTTGGTTGTCTTCCTCAGTTCGCGCGCGTCGAGTCATTTGAATGGGGCTGTTATTACTACGGATGGTGGTGCTGTTCTTAAGGGGAGGCTCTAGGTTGGGTGTATATGTACATGTACACGAACGGTTAAGTTATATAGGCCCGTCTTCTATCCTTATATGTAAATGGAAGGTGAAAGACCGTTGAACAGAGTAGCAGAATTCATATTCATAACCCATGCTATTGCTATATACATATAGTCAAAATAATTAAAGCTTTGCACTGATCGAGCCTACACGGCCCTGCACGGCCCGGTCTACAACCTCCATTGCCTGGAAAAGCTCGTAATCATGCTGCTTGGGGGTCACGACTTGGACACTGAGAGGTGATCCCAAGTATACGCGGCGGTCGGTTGTCTTTTCGTTCCCTGTAATAAAATCATTAGCGACCTTACGCAGAAGTATGATGCTAAATTAGAACTTACACAGTTGCCGGTTAGCCTTGTCCCAACTACCCAGCACAGGCGCGTCCATATCCCGTCCATTCTCCAGATCTGATTCCGCGAATGGACGAACTGGGACCACGCCCGCTGGATAGTCCAATAGGACAAATGTAGATGTGTAACCAACGGCATTGTAGCGATCAAGTTGCGGTACCGGGTGCGGAGCCACAGGGCAGATGATAGCGTCAACACGTCTAGTTTTCGACGATCCGTTTGATAAAGTCCACATCTTTAGCATCTCCTTTTCAACTTCAGTGCGCTGGGCTTGCAGTCCAGCAAGCTGAGGAATGGTCAGATCTTTGCCGCGCTTCATACGGCCCTGCAGCCAAGGGGTAAGTTCCTCGTCCATGCTCTCGATCAAATTGAGCATGTGAGAGCCATCATCAACACCCATGAGTCGACCAGCGAGGGCTTGGCATTTTGGCAAGACCGATGGAACGGGGATCTCGACAACTTCAACGCCGGGTGTATGACGGAGTGTCTGGGCGACTTCATCTAGGATACGGGTGATAGGCGGGAGAGGGGTGACGAGACCATCAGTTTTGAGTACGCCGATGGTAAAGCCGCGAGGAGGAGAGAGTGATCTCGGCACAGGATGTGAAGACCATGAGCCTGGAATTCCATCTTCGCCGAATAATTCTGCGCGCGGGACGATCTCCGCCATGATGGCATCGATGTCTGCGACGGAGCGGGCCAACGGCCCAGCCACAGCTTGCAAACCAATCTGGCCCTTGCCTTCAATCTGGCCATTCATCTGACCTCCAAAAGGTACACGTCCCAAGCTGGGCTTGAACCCATAGATACCCTGACACATGGCTGGAACACGGATACTACCACCGATATCCGTACCGAAGCCGACCATTGACCCACGCATGGCGATCAACGCCCCCTCGCCACCGGTGCTACCCCCTGCAGTCCATTGCCGATTCAGAGGGTTCAAAGTGCGCCCGAAGAGGTGGTTGCAGCTGTCCAGTGTCGCGAGTGTTTGAGGGATGTTGGTCTTGGCGATGATGACCGCGCCGAGGGATTCGAGAAGATCGACTAGAGGAGCGTTCTCTTTGGCGGCCTTAAATGCGAGTGCAGATAGTCCGATACTCGAGTCCACTCCTTGTACGTTGAATGTATCTTTCACCGAGATGGGTAGACCGTGCAGAGGGCCGACCGGGGCTCCCGTGCGCTGCAGATGGGCATCTAGTTCCAGGGCTCGCTTCAATGCACGGTCAAAGAGGGGCTCGGTAAGACAGCGGGTGAGCTGGTGAGCGATTGCTGCTCTCTATAATAGTCGTTAGCCGATGAGCGGAAAGCAAGGAGATAGCAGATGGCATACCTTACAAAACCCGCGCACCACCTCTTCAGCCTTGAATCTTCCCTCCGACATCTCTGCGACAAGTCCCCGGATATCATAATTCTCAGTTATATCCAACTCCTTGACAGAAAGAAGACCACAAGTCCGTGGAATTTCCATCACGTTCACGCGTCCATATTTCTTCGGGCCCTCGGTGATCGACTCGGCGACAGAGAGCATACCCTCCGGAATGGCGTTAGCGGGTAGACGCCATTCAGGAGGAATAGCAGCAGTAAGCTCTGCTTGCTTGCGTTGAGCAATTGCAATATATCGGGGTTGGGAAGACATGGTGTGTGAAGAAGAGAAGTGGGGAGAACGTTGGTTTTGCATGCGGGGAGTGCGGAGACAGCCTCGGTCCCAGAGCCGACTACCGAACCACGGTGATCTCAGGTACATGATTAGTGAATAGTACATAAGATAGTTGTAAAGTGGAGATATATTTGAACAATGCCTTTTACACTGGTTTTCATCTCTTATGCGCCTCTAAGAAAAAGCACTATAAGAAACTGTGTAGATATCTCAAAGAAGTGGATTCTTCTGCTTAAATGTAATTTTAGCTAATTTGGCTATATTGATACTCTCTATAAATGAGTCACCGGAGAGCGGCAAAGAGATGAATATTCCACTTAGATGCCGCATTGTATGTGAGTTTCATCGACAAAGGAAAGAGAATCTAAGGAGGGAGAGTATAGAACCAGGGACCGCTCAGGATCACACCATGTCTAACTCAAGAGTTCCGTATTAGAGCCCAGTATCGTGTGTTTCCATTGTCGGGGTCCACAAATCCGAGCAAAACTGTGGCTAACTTCTACAAGCCTTGGCTGAATCCTTCGAATCTATGTTTTGTCTTAATTATAAACGTCCAGGGCCATGGCGTGACTCGTTGTTATGATCTTGAGGCTTAAATGTCTTGTTTGTAAGTGCAGTTTCGAGACATATTAGACAGTTGCACGACATATTATATAACACTGCGCGATCTAACGTTAACTGAAGGATTGCGCCTGGAGCGGCCTACGTGGTCAACGCTCAGTGCCAAGGAATCCCGCCTCTCATACTTGGCATTGGCTTATATCCCATGCTTGAGTTTATGGCGGTAAGCTTACTATTTCTTATTAGGCTAAGCCTTAGTGAAAACCTTGGGATAGCATCATCCAATGGTAACATTCAATCTGGGGGTCCGGGAGTGGAAAGTGCCTGGACTCCCGGGATGGCCGATAAAGAGATACGCGATTTGACCAATTATGGCGCCATCACTGTCATATTGACCATTACTTGGTTTAGCCAAATAGATGTCGGAAAGATTAAAAAAAAAAAAAAAAAAAAAAAAAAAAAAGGGAGAAAATAAGCCACGTGCATACAAATACTGCAGGGATCGCTGATCTTATCTTTTCTCCTACGCACCTCACTGTACCTCACCATGAATGACATTGAAAAGAAAGAGCCGGGCTACGCGCTGGGCGTTGATGTCGATGGCTCTGATTCCTTCGACACCATCACCGCCCTGGTGGCCGAAGGTTTGATACAGTGCATGCAGATCCCGTGCTACAGAGCTGACAGACCCCAGATCATCAGCATGAGATCAAACTCCGGACCATGTCATGGCACAAGACCGCCTGTTTACTCGCTGGTGAACAGGTCTGCCTGGCGATTATGGCCCAGTCGTGGTCCCTCTCGTGAGTTATTATTCATACTCAATATTGGGGAAACTGACCGGAAGTTCAGTGTGCTGGGATGGGTACCGGGGATCATCACCATGATCCTGTGCGCCTTAATATTCTGGTATACCTCAATGACGATGCACAAGTATATCATGAAATACCCACAAATCAAAGATATCTGTGAGTGCTGGATGCGACTCGGCACAGTTGGCACCTCGATGCTAACATTAGATGGGTAGGTGACTTCGGATACTACATCTTTGGAAGGAGCAAGGCCGCATGGTACTTCTCTGCTTTCATGTTGCTGGCCAACAACATCCTGCTCATCGGGTTCCACGTCTTGACCGGCGCCAAGGTCTTGAATACCCTATCCGATCATTCGCTGTGCACAGCCGTATTCTCAGTCATTACCACCATTATGGGAATTATCATGTCCATGCCCCGGACACTGCACCATGTCAGCTTCATGTCGATGTTCTCTTGTAAGTGATTGCTTCCATCGGTCAGGTCACCACTAATCATCCACAGCCGCCTGTATGGGCATCGCTATCATCCTGTTCCTCGTTTTTGCCGGCATTGAACCCGCCCCCCTCTATGGCTACAAGGGCAACTACCCAACCGATGGCCTCGTTAGGACATACGCATTCCCCCGGCCGGGAACAACCTGGGTAGCGTGCATGAACGCCGTGCTGAACATCACCTTTATCTGGGTCCCGCAGATCCTCTTCCCGACTTTCATCTCGGAAATGGAAAAGCCGCAAGACTTCCCTAAAGCCTTGGCTGTTCTCACCGCTATATCCTGCATCCTTTTCGTTGTGCCACCTGCTATTGGCTTCCGATACCTGGGTCAATACTCCACAGCCCCGGCATTTGGTAGTCTAGGCTCAATCGCATACAAGAAAGCATCATTCGGCTTCGTCATCGTACCCACCCTGATCATCGGCGTGATCTATGCAAACGTGACTGCAAAGCTCATCTACACCAAGACCATGGGAACATCCCGTCACGCGCATAGCAACACCGCCATCGGATGGGGAGTCTGGGGATTGATCATGGTTGGAGTGTGGTTGCTAGGATTTGTGTTCGCAGAGATCATCCCAAGCATGGGCGACTTCCTCTCCCTGCTCAGCGCGGCCTTCGATTCTTTCTTCGGATTCATCTACTTCGCCATTGCTTACTGGCAGCTAAACCGTGGATCACTATTTGCAGGTCTGGGCAAGACAACTTTGACCCTACTCAATGTTTTCATTTTCGGTGTTGGGCTATTCATTCTGGGTCCTGGACTTTATGCAGCTGTGGAGGCTATTATTGATGATTACTCGACAGCTGTGACGCCGGCCTTTACTTGTGCCAATATGGCTATCTAAGGGAGGCATCTACATTGCCCGATTCGGAAACATGCTTATGTTTGATGACTTGGCCGGTCTTGCTGAAATGAACGAGACACAAGCCTGCTATGACAATTAGGTTTTGTAGAGCTGCACGATTTGCTATGTTTATTAGTGTCATTTAGTATTATGTAGACTCTTGTACTTATCTAATGCCGTCAGGTAAAGTCCTGACCGAGATGAGTTAACTTGGCATGTGCCGCTGTTGGAAATGTCAGATTCCGAAGAGAATTCCCCTTCTGGTACAATGGAAAACTGATTCAGATAGGACACTAACTGCCCCTTGAAGTTGAAATACGTTCCTAACATCTGTCTGTACTTCGAAACAACATATTATTGATTTACATCCTCAATATCACATAGTTTACCAATCCATGCTAACATGATAAGAACAGCAGTTTAACCATCCACAACTTTCTCAGAATCAAAGTAGCGCTTGGATCCTGCATGGAAGGAAAGAAGCTGGAGAACAGCATTGCGAATCACTCTCTTTGTATCTCACTTCAGCGTATACATGAGAGTTCCATACCCAAGTTGATCAAACCCGCCACTAGTTGTCCCATAATAACCACCTCCACCTTCAGCTCCCGAGCCATCGCTCACCACCAAGTCACGGTACCTTTTAGTATAAGTGACATTCAGTCCCTTCAAAACACCGTAGTGGTTATAGAGAAGCTCCCAGATCGGGCGAATGTCGCCTCGACTACTGTTACTGATAACAGTTTGGGTGACATCGCTGTTAGTATATGTCGTGTAAGGAACATAGTAGCCAAGGTTGTATTTCGCAGCGTATTCAGCCCTGCAATGAAATCAGCAAATGTAAAAAAGCGAAACAGTAACCCAAAGAGATAAAGCAACAAACCCAGCAAGAATAATGTTGTCAAGATAGCCAAACAAATCATCCCCCTGACTGTAAGCCATCTGAGCAATAGCCCCCAACAACGCAAAATCAAGCATAGCATGACCCTGATCCCTTCCAGCCTCCTGTCCCTGCCCTAGAACCTGCCCATCAACAGTATACATCTTCCAAATAGCATTCTGAATCTGCCCATTCCCAGCCCCATTCTTGAAATACTCAATCCCCTCCTCATATATAGTCCGATTATCGGACAAAACCCCAATCGAAAGCACAGAAGCAATATTGCATAAATCCCAATTAGCCCAGTAATGATCAATAGCGGCAGCATGATGATCTCTCAGAAACTCATAGCTTAGAGGATAAAACACATCAATCATCATACTAACAAACCGTTTGAAATCACTAGCCGGCCATTCCTTGTAATCACGCATGATTTCCGCTACATTTGCGAATTCATATCCGTATATACCTGCAGCGAGGTACATATCGGTAGAACCAGAAATCTGCGTGAGCGTTTTCGACCAACCATCCAGAATGGAGATAGCTTTATCGGCATATGAAGTGTTTCCAGTGACCTTCCAGTATAGAGCCGTGGCATACGCAGCGGCTATATCTTTGTAGAGCGATGGGTAGTTCTCAGCGTGGGTGCCGTCACTTCCTCGGTAGACGATATCTTTGGGATTATCGGTGTAAGTTAAAGAAGCAAATGAGCTTTCTTTTAATTTGTTCCAGCCTGTTATCCAGGGCTCGATTTTGGCGTTGACTTTTTCGCTTGTTCTTGTGAAGTCGGTGGCCGTGTGGAGGAGGCCTGGATGGATGAAGGTGTTGGCACGGGTAGAATGGGGGCTTTTGTGGGCATTTGATGGGGTCAACAGCCCAGCGTAAGAAATGAGGTTAAAGAAGCGCATTGCGAGAAGAGTTGGTGATTTTTCTTTTTGTGTGCTATATGCGGTCGATCCCCTCTTTATAACAGTTGTATACCCCAAAGTCAATGCCCGTATACCTTCTTATCTCAAGGGTAGTTGACAGCGGATACTGTTCGTTCTCTTTTGTTGACTTTCCCCCCGCGTTCAACACTCGAGGTTGACGTAGTCCGGTTATTACCCCGTGGGGTTGCTGCATATCGCGTGACAGCAGCCTCTGCGTGAGCAGTTTGAGACTCCGGAGACTTCTCCTGAGCATGCAGGTCCTGACTGCTTCATATGGGATTTGCCCGCTACTTACCCCGGGGCCGCCTACCCCTGTTAAGACGCGTATCTCTCGAAGGCATGATCTGCAATTGGTAAGCATACAGTGGGTACATGGAGATGGAGGGATAGTTACTGGATGTGGCATCCGTAAAGATCTTGAGAATATAATATAGCTTACATTTTAGAAATCTGAGTGGATACTGCTGAAAGTCACTCCGGTATGGACAGACATGGATTCCAATTTTGCTGTACATAAATAACCATTATTACCTCCCCCCAAAAAAAAACAACATCTAATTCCTCAAATTAAGGCTTCCTAGGTATAGATCTAGAGTTTAGATAAGGGTTTTACTTCTAGGTCGCGCCGAATCTCCTCCCGAGATCGCTCCGCATCCTTGACCACCATCTCCATATACAACTGCTGAATGCGCTCAGTAATTGTCCCGCGCTTCCCGTTACCAATCTGCCGACCATCAATCTCTCGCACATGGATCTGCGAGGGAAAAGTCCCAGTACAGAATGCTTCGTCAGCGCCATACGCCTCCGTGAGAGTGAAATCGAGCTCTCGAACAGGAATTCCATTCGCACGACAAGCATCAATCGATTTCTGACGGGTGATACCCTGCATCTGATTATTCTTCGTCGGAGCCCAAACCTCGCCATCACGAACAATAAAGAAATTGGTTGAGTTGCACGTCTTGACGAATCCGTTTAAATCAAGCATCAGTGATTCATCGGCACCGGTGACATTGGCTCCGATGCACGCTTGTATATCTGTTGCTTTGGAAATGTGATTCCACATCTCGTCTTTGACATCAGGTGGTCCTCGCCGGATATGCGATGTAATCAGTTTTAGTCCCTGCATCTTGACACCAGGGTCTGTAGCTTTGATCTCAGGGATGATCACGATCAGTGGGAGACCGATGTTCACCGACGGGTTTTGATAGGGTGTCGACTTCAAGCCTCGGCTCACAACTAGTCGAATGTGAACGTGCGGCTCGTTTGACATCTTGTTTGCGTCAAGAGTTTTGTGTAGAAGGTCTAAGAGCTGTAGTTTGGATAGCCCCAGATCCATGAACATTGCCTTTGCAGATTGGAAAAGCCGATTGATATGATCTTTGGCGAATTGAATTCGACCATTTCTGGCGCGGACTCCTTCCTGTTTGTATGATCAGTAATTGTGCTCTGCGTGCTGGAGGATGCCATACCCAGATTCCATCGCCCACTAAGAAGTTCGAATCAAACACAGAGATGGCTGCATCCTTTCGCGGCACTAATTTAAAGTCGCCGCTGACTCCATCACGCATCCCGATCTAGTCCAAGTTAGCGAGGGCCATCGGATTATTTTAAAGGTGAACTCACGAGAATGTGATGATTCTTCTCATTTGGAACGGTAGCGTGTGTTGCCCCCTTTTTGCTATCATCGCTGGGGTTACCCATTTTGGTATTTGTTTGGAATAAGAAGCCAAACTTTGGCTTATAGAAGAAATATATGCTCCAGTCGCGCAATTGAAGTGATAAATTACACGTTTTAAATCCAAGAACCTAGAGTGATTCTCCCCAACCGGTTCGGGATATACCTCGGTGTCGACCGAGAGGGACATCCTGTTCAGTTTCGGTGTGATCCGAGTATCACCGAGTTTCGCTGGATGAGACCCACCACGGCTCGGTGTGGCCCGAGGCGGTATCTCGGTCTACCCCGAATATCAAAGTTGAACGACGAATTACACCAGGGCGTGTTGGCATTCTGGAGACCCATATCAGCTTTATATAAGCGTCATGTTGGGATTTGCGAGATAATAGGCTCGATTGCATCACACGATACCTGGATTGCGAAACATCTAGAGTTCAAACATGCCCAAAGATAAGAACCGACACTTTCTATGCTCATTCTCTTTATTCTCGAGAAATTCATGCTCGATTGTCTTATAAGTACTCTTTCAACTCCCTCCCCATACGCCCTCTTTGTCTAGAGGTCAACGGTCACATTATCTACGTGAATCTCTCACACCCCCGCTGCTCATTAAAGATGCATCAAGCAGAGAACTTTGATAGCAAGGACCATGGAATAACCCCTGTCAGCATAATGTATGACATACACCATGGGCAGATCGAAAGTGAGATCCCTGCGACGCAATACAGATGCGTATTGCTGAAAATTGACTTGGTCGTGATGCCTCTCATTGTCATCGCAATGACACTGGCATTCTTGGACAAGGTATTTACCCCAGACTTGGTGGTTGGGCTTGACTAATCTAAGATACCCTTAGAATGGCCTCGCCTACGCAGCAGTATATGGCCTGAAGACAGACACGCATCTGGTTGGCCAACAATACAGTTGGCTCGGGAGCATATTCTACTTTGGATACCTCGCCATGGAGTTCCCAAACCTCTGGCTGATAACAAAATTCCCAACTGGCAAATATATGGGATGTTGTCTCATGGCGTGGGGCGCATGTTTATGTCTACTGGCAGCTTGCCATAATTTTGCTGGTCTCGCAGTTGTTCGCCTCTTCTTGGGTGCTTTCGAAGCTGCCTTGCTTCCATGCTTGTTGCTCATGAACTCAAAGTGGTATCGACGGAGTGAGCAGCCTCTACGGACCGCTTTCTGGTACAATACGTTTGCGGGTGTTTTTGGTGGCATCTTGAGCTATGCTATCGGGCACATCAAGGGAGATTTACCCACATGGAAGGTCAGTCACTACACCTTTTTGCCATTTACATAAGCATTGACAGAGGCTTTATAGTACATATTCATAATTTATGGGACTGTGACTATTCTGGTCGGCATCTTGGTCATGTTTGCCTTACCTGATGGCCCTTCGACCGCCTGGTTCTTATCAGGTGAAGAAAAGAAAATTGCACTCTTGCGGGTATCGGAGAACCAGACTGGACTGGGATCTCATAGGGTAAAATTTCCAATATCTTGGAGCGGGCTAAGCTAATCTCATTCGTCTTTTAGGATATGAAACCCAGCCAAATCTTTGACGCCCTAACAGATCCTAGATACTACATACTTATGATATTTGTCATAGCGCAATCGATAACTAACGCAGGAATCACCAATTTCAACCCATTAATCATCTCTGGCTTTGGATTTTCACAAGCCAAGACAACACTGCTCGCTACACCACAGGCTGCAGTTGCAATGGTTGCCCAGGCACTTTGCACCACTCTTACATTCTTCGTGCCCAACATTCGCTGCTTGATCTGGGTCATATCGTCTCTGATTGCCATGGCTGGCGCTATTATGGTCCATATTCTGGATCCGACTACACAGCGTGCTGCCTCGCTGGCCGGTGTTTACATAATGGGATTCTACAACGTGCCGTGGGTGATCGCATTGAGTCTGCAAACATCCAATACAAGCGGAACGACAAAGAAGAGCTTCGTCTCAATCTCGGTAGCTATATTTTATGGTAGTGTTTTTCCATTAACATTGTCTGATGGCTACTAATGTAAATATAGCTATTGGGAACATTATTGGCCCACAGTTCTTTCTCGGAACCCAGGCACCGCATTATCCACTTGGAATTGGCGCAATGCTATGCTGCTTTGCCATTATGACAGTAACCGGAATTTTGTATTTCATCTCATGTCTTATTTCCAATCAGCACCGTGATCGTGTGCATGGACGAATCAGTGAGCAGCCCGGTATGGATGTTGCGGGGATTGAAGCGGATATGGATGATTTAACCGATAGGGAGAACAATAGGTTTAGATATACATATTGAACTGGATATAGTTATACAACTGTTGAATAGGCATGGTTTTGTGATTCCGTCACCCCGTTCGCATGTTTTCAGTATCACCAATGTCGTTTAGAACAGATCCATACCATGCTGTCAGCGTGTCATCGATATCAAGCATCTCGTTGCCAAAAATGGTCGACATTTGGCTCAAATAACCCTCTAGGCCCTCTGAATTTAATGCCATGATATCCATATCAGTATTAGGGACATATTCGGTGTCTCCCCCGCCCCCCATTATATCTGGTGGACCGGCGAATGTTGGCATTTCTGTAGTTTGGGAAAAGGAAATACCCTGGTTTACACCGTCAAAGCCATATTTGGAAGCATAGACTTTCTCTCGTAGGTTAGAGAACATGAGCTGGAATCTAGAGAGAGAGTGGTCGTGAAGATTGGCGGTTCCCTTGCTAAGCAAGTCTAGACAAATTGCAGCATCTTCGGGTCGGATAATTGATCTGGATGTCGGAGCAAATCTTTGAATGTGCCTGATAAGGCAGAATTGGATTCAGTATATTGCCCAGAGTGTTGTAGTAGGCGGGGGAAATTTGTCAGCTTACCAGTCACTGTACAGACGAACCAAGCCCGCCATGAGAATATCATGTAAGTGACGATAGCATCTACAGATAGAATCGATCCCAGACTCAGATGCCATCGCTGCCCATTGATGGAGAGCACTGGATGATGCATGAGAGCAGACTGCAACCATATTTTGAGAGGGAACCATAAATGCCGGCGAGGGACGATTTAAGTGCATCAGCATCGTGCAGTATTCAATCCTCATCAGTTTGCCCGCCCGTAGTGACCCAATATCTGCAGCATCAAGTTGGATTTTCCAGTGGTCCATTTGACGGTGTAGATCGTCTGAGATAGAGCAAACCTCCTGGAAAGTGAGTGATGAACATCGCCCATCTCGATCTCGGGCGATGTAAATGGACTCCAAAATGCGACCTGCAATCTTCCGAAGGTCGATCATACGGACAAAGAGCCACACCGATCTGGTATGGAATAGAGTTGCAGTTTTTGCCTCGTGGTCGGTAAGTTGATCAACACTACTGAGCGAAGGAATTGCTGTATCGATTGCCTGATCGCGTACTGATAGAACTCTGCCCGTGTTGAGAGCTATGAATCTGCTGTGCGCGTCAGATTGTTCCAGCTATTGCGAAGACTAGGTCGCCTTGATTCAGCACGAACCTCTCCAAGCTGTAAACAGTCCACCATGTGCGAGATCTAATCTCAATTTCTTCTGGGCTGAAGCTCCACGATGGATTATGTCGATGAAGTCCCAGCTCGAGCGCTATGGACATCGCATATCTTGTGAAATGCCAAAGATCATTGCTATCTTTGCACGAGGGCGAATTGAGCATCCAAAGTGTCACCAATAAAACTGCCTGGAGGCCCGCGAGATCACGAGGGTAGTCACGAAATCGTTTGAAAAAGTGGAGCGCAGTTTGAAAGTAATCGCCCGGAGTATTATAATCCAGCATCAAAGAGTAGGTACCATCGTGCCGAGCTTCATCGGCGGCCAGCGCAAGGAGTATAAAAAACGTAAACCGTTCTAAGTCTGCGCAGTTATGTGGCTCATGGTAAATCTTTCGAAAGCAATATCGTATGTGCCGAAGATCCAAGAAAGGCCACCACAGATGAACCCTTGCGATATAAGTAGAAAGTAGATATCTAGAAATCGCTTTCGATGGAATTGAAGCTGTGTACGCCATTCCATCGTCTTCATCCCCTACATTTCCTGGGCCCGAGGTCGATGAAATGGTCATGCCAACTTGTTTGAAGAATATTCGAGCGAAAGTTGAGCCAGCAGCGGCACCAACTAATAGTTTCAATTAGCCATTAGGCCGGTACATACGTCGAAAAAAGTCAAGCAATAAACTCACCATATTTAGCTTGGGAATACCGGTCAGCAAATCCAATGGCTAGGACACCCACCTCCTCGGCTTCCTTGCTCACATCAGGTGAAGCCGATTTCCCTGAAGTTACGAGCGGGGTATTAGTAGATGGTTCACCCGTATGCTGATTGTATGTCGAGCCATCTTTGCCGGCTGCAAGATTTTCCTCGAGTTCTTTTACCCTTGAATGAAGGCTTTCCACGAGTGCATAGGGATAGGCAACGTATTCAGTGATGTTGCACACTTCCCCCTGCTTTTCGCATGCCGAGCATTGAGGGACTTTCAGATTACACTTTGTATATTCAGCAGAATTCACCGAGTCGAGACTCATGGACTAACCTTCACTTTCCTGGCCCGACATCTGCTACAGGACTTCACCACCGATGGCGGATAACTGTCCATTTTCTCTAAGTCATTGGCATTGGCATGAAGGTGAGGTCCTTCCTGATCTTCCAAGACTCCGGGAGCCGCTCTTAGTAAGCTACGGCAGTCTATTACCGCCATCAGGCTAAACGAATTCTGCCGGCAGTTGGTTTAGGAGATGGAGTATTGAATGTTGCCTACAGTGCTACTGATAGAATACTAGGCAGTCTCCACAAGAATATACCGTTTTAATTGTTTTTTTATCGCCCTATTTTATCCTCTTTTTTTCACCTCTTTTTGCCCATTGGCAAGTTCCTCGGGTTTATCATACAAATTATATAAAGGTGGGGTATAAAGAACTTATTGCTTATGACTATGCGGACTAATCGAGGTATATTAAATATAATGTAGGCAATACAGCCGTAGTCAGCACATTGGGTCCGCCACGACTTCCAGGGTTTGATTGATTGATGCGCTTCATACCAGGGTGAAAAGCTGAGTAGCCTCGCTCACGCGACCTCGACATTGTCTACCTGCATCGGTATCTTCATAGCTTATGCTTTACTCCGCATATGCAAGTACAAAATGGTGTCACTGCCGCCAGAAGTGATCTCCCGAGTGGTAGACTATATATTTCCTTCCAGTCCTACAAGAAGATATTCTGGCATTCCCCTGGCCTATTTGCCACTTTGGACCGCCACTGGTAGGCCATTATTGAGAGACGCACGTTGTCTGAATCCGTATCAACATCCGTAAACGATTCCAAGAGCTTTAACGGCCAAGCGCCTATATCAACCGGGCGAGCATGTCTTCCAACTTTGGAGGAAGGCCGCCCTTCGACGCACTGGAAGTGGACTTAAGGTTAAATTTAGAGAGTGTGGATGTGAGAATTTGAATTAGTTCAGGGCTTCATTTTAATTTTGGTGTAGCTATCACTGTAGGAAGTTGAGGTTCTTAACATGCTCATTGGCATATGCTGGGATGAAATCCGTAGTCAAATACCAACGTGGCTTTTTCATCGCATCGGAAATAATCTTCCCATTGATTGTGAGGTTTTGGAAGGTAACATCCTCAATACTCCTGGAATCATCATATCCAACCAGAATTGAAGTGTTAGCGTTGACTCCATTGTAATTCAGGTTGCGAATTGTGACATTTGAGATCCCTCGCCCCGGAGAGGTATTATAATCCGTGTTGAACATGACTCGCATGTTTATCAACTGGCCCATCCGGAAATCCTCAACCCGAACGTCTTCGATGAGGAGATTGCGTACCAAGTTTCCATCACCGGGATTGACAGCAATGCATCCTTGATAGAGTACCTGCATCTCACGGTGATCTAGGATGTCGATATTCCGAATGACGATGTCTGATATGGTCTCAGGGTTATCAGTGTTCCCGTGAGTCCCGATATTGATGGGATGCGCAACATCAGCCCATAAAGACGAGTTCTCAATGGTGATATTCTCACTATCTCCATAGAAGTCATCCCGGTGATTATAGATGGCGACGCAATCGTCCGAATTTCGCATGAAGGCTCCTGTAACCAGCACGTTTTTGGAGCAATAGAAATCCATACCGTCGCCCCATTGCGTTCCACTGAAGGATCTGATATCTTTGATAGTGACGCCATCTGCTTGGGCAACATTGAATTTAGTGTTGATAAATGTAATACCGTCAATGGTAATGTTCTGCGCGGACACTACTGAAATCCCGCTGCTCGGTTTATAGATGACACCTCGGCCACGAATAGACGCGTTTGAAGAGTTGGAAAAGTTGATACTGGCAGCAAGAGCTGCGCCGCCTGCAAGATATACCGTCTGACCAGATGAAACATTGAGAACACTACCATCCACGGTGTGATAACCAGGCCCAAAGTAAATAATATCTGGGTCAGTCGGCGCCGGGACATCGGCCTCAATCGGATTTCCGATAAGATGAAGGCAGTCAAATATGTCGTCGTTAACCTGAACAACAATGCTTCGTGGTTGCGTCAAGGTAAAAGTAATCGTGCCGTTGTGAACGGTGGGAGTGATATCATAAGAATCGGGGCGAATGCGAACGCCTTTGATCGGCGTAGTGTTGTATCGAATGGATACTTGCACAGTTCCAGAAAAATCGAAATAGGCCATTGAAGATAGATGAGTGATTGCAGCCCCAGTTGTTGTATTGATTTCGTGGAGCGGTACCTGATAGGTTCCTAGGCTCTCTGGTTTGCCACCATGGACGTGTAGGCTGACGTCAAAGGATGAGCCCAGAATCACTTCGGAAGGGACTGAGTAGGCTTGTAACTTGTTGTTCCCAGATTGGGAAGTTGCCGTTGCAAATGCAACGAGGCATATCGTAGCAAGAAGGCCAAACATGGCCATTGCGATCAGTTGAAATTGGTACCTCACGAGATCTCCGCGTCTGTTGAATCCGCTGGGTTATTTTTTCGGCCCTTAAGAGCTCTGTGAACCGCTACTTGAAGATTTCCTTCCACTTCGTTATATCAGAATAGTCCGGCAAATGGTCCGTATACACCCTGCTGATCGCCATGTTGGACCCCCTCTGTAAGACCGGCAGCCTTCATTGCGGAGTTGAGTACTGCGGGGTATCAAAGGAAGTGGATTATTATTGATAAAAAGCGCAGAGGCAGAACATAAGGTTTTTACAAGGGTGACGGAGGAGCGGACAAAGTGCCGGACAAGCTCCTGGTGCCTAGCTCTAGCTTTCTCGGGTCACTGGTGCAACTACTCCCAGCCCTTCAGCCATTCCTTGGGCACCTAGCAAACGGGATTCTAATATCTTATGCTGAATTAACCCCTAAGCGCGCTACCTTACGGCTATGGGTAGATTTCTATAGCTAGCCAAGGGATATCAGTAGTACCAGGTAGGATACTACAGCGTTGTAAATATGGACGGCCAATGATACTGCTATAAGTGTTTCCACGGTATCGAATATCCACATTTTGCAAAATTATAGGCCTCTATTGATTCTAGAAAAGGTACGATGTAAGTGATCTGATGCAATGAAGAAATCTCACTTTTAGTTCCTGATCTAGTAAGCCCAAATAAGTCCTCCCCAGCTTGGGTGATCATTCGTTGCCACAGCTCCCTCCGGACCTTCCTCGCTCTGAGCCTTGCTGGTCCATGGTGCCTTCAACTTACGTTTAACAACATATTGGTAGTACAGTATATCCCAAGCCGGTAGCGCATTAGATATCCCCCTATTATATTCGGCGATAGTGGCCCAAGGAGCACCAACTAGGACTGCTTCACATCTATGCCATGCTGGATCATAAGCGACGGTCTCGTTCAGATTATATGCTGCAGAGTATTCGGATGCCTTGAGCAAAAGGTTGTCTCCAAGCTTGTAGAGGTCAACCCCTTGAGTTTGTGCCACTCGAGCTGCATATGCAGTCCATGCAATACCAGATATTGTGTGACCTGGTTCATACATCAGAATAAGCTTGCTTCATCCAATTATCCGGAGATGATAGGGCACTGAGGGGGTGATACGTACCTTGATCCCGACCTGATTCCACCGATTGTCCTGTCGATGGTTTGTACATGGCGAAGATACCAGCACAGGGGTCGTTGATGAAAGCGTTCATGGCATAGTTGTATAGAGTGACGTCATCCAAGTAGACCGCAAAGCTCAACAAAGACTTGATGCTGACCATACCGTAGTTTGCCTGCCCTATGACAGCTGCCTGTCGAGAAAACAGCCAATATAACTGATTACTGAAGCCGGAGCCTCCTCGCCACGAAGCACCCGCTTCAGTCCAGTTGCCCTCCCAGCGCATTATTTCAGCTGCATTGACGAAAAGATCTCCGTCTAACCCGATCAATAGTGAGCGATCGGTACCAATGATATTTGTCAAGTTGGACCCCCAGGCGTCAAGGATTGAGGTACTGCGATCCCAATGAGCCTGATCTTTGGTAATATACCACATCATGGCGTTCTGCCATGCAGCACGTGAATCACTAGCGAATGAGGTGTAGTTACTGATTTTTCCTCGCGACAGGACAGAGTATGGTCCTTTCATGGTATAATTTGAAAGGGAATGGGCGTCGGTACTGAAATTGGCGAAAGTAGATGCCCAGGGTTCCTTATTGGACAGAACATTGTTGCGAATACGCTCCAGGTCGTCGTGCGAGTGCCAGAGGCCGGGATGAGCAAAATCACCTGGGTGCCTTTTGAGGTAAGGATTGATGTTGTCCACATTGGAGACAGCTATCACTGGAAGAGGTCCGTATATATCCGGAACATCATTGACACTTGCATCTGAGCAAGTGCCGAGGAAGGTAACTGCGACAAATAACAGTTGATTTACCTAAAACCAAATTAATTCATTATCAAAGCCAGATTGTATATCCACTGACCTGCATCTCGGTTCAATGTGATGATCGTGCTGAATGTGGGATGTTGCAAACACGGAAATCTTCATTACTTGCAGCTTTGCCGAAGAATTTTATGTATTAACCCGCGATAGATATTTCTGTTCCCCGCATTCTACATCTCGTGCCATCTCCGGGGACTACTCCGGAGACGAAAATGCGGGGAATATAAAGCTTTTGCGGGATATTAGCGTGATCCAGATAATGTAAAGTTCTGCAGTTTTATACCTATTTTTGTTTCCTCCGGCAACTCCGTTATCTAGAAAGCATTAAGGGCGAGCAATCATAATTAGGGGTTGTGTATATTTCTAAGCTTGTAGTTGAAGCCGCTTTTTGGGCTGTTTGGATATCTTCTTATCTAGGGTACCATACTAGTAGTCATAATCCCCAGGCCAATAAAGCAAGTGAAAAGGATGTCTATTTGGCCACAAGAGCGTCCATTTAGTAGGTTGCTATAATACTTTCGAGTACGTCGCACCTCTCGAGCTATGGCCAAGTTTTGTACGAAATGAGAACAGCCTTTCCAATTTCTCTAACCAAACTTACCTTTCTAACAGTAAGGCAGACTAGGATTCGAACAACTTCCTGCGATGAAATTCTGTGAAACTTTAGGCAAATCGGACTCGAACAGCTGACTCGTCGGATCAAGGATTCGGTCGACGATATGAATAACTCCCTTTAATACAATAGAGGGGAGGTCAATTATTATGTTCCTAAGTCGTCGATGGGTAGGTAAAGTGAGACTCACACTTGTGACTGAATTATCTGGTCCGGTGACTGTTGCAACGTTGTTGATCTTCACTTGACCACTTTCGCCCGTGATTGTACTAATATAAAGATAACTTGCGGTCTACTTGGAGATTTGGGCTGTTAGATCATCCACTAAAAGCCTAACGCAGGAAAGAACAACTAACCTGCACGCGCGACAAGGTTGAATTGAAGTTACTGGTTGTCAACTTCGAATTAGGGATGTAGTGATGGTTGATCAAATTACCAATCCACCATTTGCCTTTCCTGTTTAGGGAATGAAATTCAGTTAGTAATTATAGGGCTATAATGAGTACCAAATTGAAAAACATTGGTAGGACATACGGTGTTGCAGCAAATGAGGAATAGTAGGCGCCGGTGTGTTCAAAGGCCTCGTTACTGGGTGCGAAGAAAGTGAAAGACCAAGTGGGAGAAGTGTCAAATGCCTTGACAAAGCCCGCTGGCTCTCTCAATATCTGTGATAAGTTTGAAAGATCCTCTCTCGAGTCAATGAAATTTAATAATGTCGTGATGTTTGCAGGCTTTGGGGCGACGTAGACTTGTGGTGGTTCTTTGACATAGCCGAGCTTTTCGCCAGCGGCCCACACAAGGGCATTAAAGAACAAAAGGAACACGATAGACATCACGGTAGTTAGTATAGTTGGCTCGCTTAGTCGAGAACGAGGCCGACTAGAAGGCCGACTGATATCTTCAGTTTTAAGATTAGCAGGAAATACAGCGGCGGGGTTGTGCTCCGGCAAATACCCCGTGAACCCCCTCATCATTTGAATAGCGCGGCATAAATAAGAATCCAAAAACAACCATAAGTTGAAGGGCTATTGTTAGTGTATTAAAGCAAAATTTCGTGGCCTAAGAATCCAAGACAAAGATAATGATAGCAACTACAACAGGAACAAAGTTTAGCTTTGGGTTATGTATGCTGCCAGGAGTCCTGGGAGGGTTGGCCGCCACTCCCCAAATGGGCTGGAACAGGTATGTGTTCCATGTACTCACACGTATGCTAAACAATTCGATTTAGACTCACATCAACTATTCACTAGCTGGAACTCATTCAAAGCAAATATCAACCAAACGATAATAGAGAACACCGCTAGCCTACTTGTTAGTACTGGCCTCCGTGATGCGGGCTATAATTACCTCATTATGGATGAAGGCTGGCAAGCAATGACAAGGGATGAGGATGGACGTCAGCAACCAAACACTACCAGGTTTCCCAAAGGAATAGCCGCGATTGCAGATTTCGTTCATAGCAAGGGGCTAAAAGTAGGAATCTATAGCGACGCTGGGTACGCCACCATAAGGCATCCGCATTATTTCTATCAATATTTATACTAACTAAAGCTTCAAGGATATATGACTGCGCATTCTATCCGGGGTCCTGGGGATACGAAGAGCTCGACGCTGCAACTTATGCCGCGTGGGGCATTGACTACCTCAAATATGATAATTGCGGTGGGTTCCAAGCCAACACTGAAAGCCCACAGATTCGGTTCTCAGCCATGAGAGATGCACTCCGGAATAGTGGCCGATCTATCTTCTATTCTATCTGCCAGTGGGGCCACCAATTCCCTTGGTATTGGGCTGATGGTGAGCTTCCATTACAACTTTCTTTTGCATTGTCGCTAAATTTTTACACGACATTAGAGATCAGCCAATCATATCGTATATCGGGAGATATCACTGGTGTTTTTGGTGACACTGGTAAAGACTGCGCTGTGAGTTTATTCTTTGTGTTGATGTTGTATATTTTAGATCGTATGCTAACGAGCGAAACAGTGCAAAACAGCATACTGCTTGGACGTTGGTTATGCTGGCTGCAGTGTGCTAACTATCATCCGAAAAATGAGAGAGCTCAGCGCCTTTCAGAAACCTGGAAGTTGGGCCGATATGGATATGCTCGAGATTGGCAACGGCAACATGACGCTCCATGAACAGCAGACCCACCTGACATTTTGGGCCGCGTTGAAATCACCTTTGATAATTGGGGCTGATCTCCAAACGCTCTCCAACGAAAGTCTGAACGTCTTGAGAAACAAGGAGATCATCGCTATCTCACAAGACGCCCTTGGTGAAGCAGTGACATATATTCCGAACTTGAGCAAAGACAAAAGCTTTCAGGTTTGGGCTGGACCATTGACTGGAGGGAAGGTTTTGATTTTAATACTCAGTGAACTGGCAAACACAGCCACTGTCAATATTTCGCTTGGTGATATCCCAGGTCTGAAGTCCTATTCTTCCTACAGGGTCCGAGATATATGGGGCGCAAGGAATCTTGGTCAAGCAAAGGGGAACCTTACATTACAGGTAGCTACACACCAGACCAAAGCTCTTGTTCTCAGCTAGAGCTTAAATGCTACATTATCTCAAAATAAGATGTCTGGGCATAAAATGCTCATATTATAGATACAATTAAGCAAATTTGCACTAGAATGGATACTAATTTCACATCGCTAGTCTTAAATCTACGTGAGCCTTAACTTCCAATCTACACTATATGTAACTGATAGTTGGAAGATCCAAATATTGACTTAAACTAGTAATCACTTGAATTTGGGCAAGTTTGGACAGTTCTAAATTACCCAGGATCACATAGTCAAAGAGGATACGACTTCTTCGTCGTCAATTATCAAATTAGCATCATAAAATGTGACCCCCCTTCTCCAGCGGAGTGAAAGGGGAATTACATAGGCTTTATCAACGATAGCTCTTATGGGCTGGGTCATACAGCCCTGGTAAATCGTTTGGGTTGTATTCTGTCAATAAAGATTTACGAGGCTTGCGTTAGCTCTTTAGTCCTAGTATACATAACGGAAATTTGGGTTCTCGCGATCAGTGAGATCCTCGAAAGCCAAGTCATGAACCACTTCACTCGCCGCCTGCTTCTTCGAACGGTTCCTAGCCATGATTATCACCCGAGTGAGGATAACTAGGGCAACATACACGGCATAAATAACAATATGCGCCAAGAAGCCATGCAGATAACGAGGAGCATCTTTGTTTTGGAAGATCTGAGGCGCAATCAGGTTTCCGACAGACCAACCAACGAATAGCATAGTCATGGTGAAGCTTTTCTTAGACTGCCCTGCAACATTTCGGGTGATAAGTGAAATAATCATGTTGCCTTGTGCAAGGAAAAATTGCGTGCAATAGAATGCAATCAGCATTCCACCTGCATTTGACGGAGTCGGGGTAACCACCATGATGACTATTGTCCCGACAATTGCTGGGATTGCGCATGTCTATATCTGGTCAGCCGCTGAAGCTTCCCTATAGAACCCACGTGGTGCTACCCAGTTAGAAACCTGAATATACTTACAATCATCACAAGACATGTCTGCTGGAAGTGTTGGGATGCCCATGCAGACCCAACCATGACAATAATAGTCCAAGCTCCTTGGGCAATGTTAAGGAGCTGCGTTTGAAGTAGCGAGAAGCCAAACTTCTGAATAATGAGATTGGAGAACACCCCCAAGCCACCAATTACCAAGTTAGCAACAAGAATGAGCATAACACAGCACCAAACCAGAGGATCTTTAATGGCCTCGATAATTTGGTACTTCTTATACTCTTTGTTCTCAATGCCAGTCTCGTTGTGCCGCACTCGTTCGATCATCAAGCGCTTCTCATCCTCCGTAAAGCACTTTGCCGATATAGGGCTATCAGGAAGGAGGAGTCCTATAAAAAATGACCAACAGCATGTGAAAAGACCGAGGACCAAGAACAGAAGCTGCCAACTCTTAATCGGTCCGTCTGTGAAGTGAGAGACACCAAAGGCTAAAAGACCTCCGATCTAAGCTTGTTAGCATTTAGTTCAAAGAATAGGGTGATGGTATGGCTGTTTACAATCAGTTGCACCCCAGTCATGCAATACCAAATTGAGTTCAAGACGGCTTGTTCCTCTCTTTTATACCACATTGCGGTCCTTCATAAAGGTCAGCCAATGGCCATCCACTGAGCTTGTGAAAACACTTACACTAGCATCATAGCAGGCTGAACACAACTCTCAAAGAATCCAAGTAGGAATCGGACCACCATAAGGGACGCAAAGTTGGTAGAAGCCGCTGAGCACGCTACAACGGCTCCCCAGATAAATACATTGACAGCTAGTGTCTTCGCCACAGGAAGTTTTTGTAAGAGCAGGTTCTGCGGATACTCGCCAACAAGAATGCCAATGTAGAGAATTGTTCCTAACCACGAATACTAGGGCACGAATACCGATCAGCGATCCGTGAAAAATGCTTAATGTATGAAAGGCTTACCTGCTGGCCCACTAGGTGGGTATCATCCTTAATCCCCATGATAGAGGCATAGTTCAAGATTCCTTTATCAAGAGACTGACAAAAATAGGTGATGACCTGGATAACAAGGACGCGGCGGGTGATCTTCCAGAAAAGCAGTCGGTCGGTGGCCGTGTCAATTTCAATATGGGGGTCAGGTGCATAGAGATCGGTCTTCTCTTTCACTTCTTGTTTATCTGTTATATCCAGGTTTGAATGCATTTCTTCTTGGTGAACGGTCGCTGCCATTTCGCTGTCTTTCGAGGCCATGGTGCGCAAGGAAGCAGTAAGGTGGGAAACACCTCTCGTAGGGAGCCTCTCAGTCAGTATTTGTAGCAATCTTGCTTTCCATATCACATCTCATCTTCTATTGAAAGCAGCCCAGAGATTACCTCCACAAAAAGAATTGCAGGCAGGAGGGGTCAACCCACCAGGACGCCACAGCGGAGGAAGTGCCGGACATTCCCCCGGACGCCAGCCAAGAATGCTGGATCCGGTGTTTGTGCCGCAGAGCTCTCTGGGAGGATTCAGCGAGTTACCTACGCTTAATTGGAAGCTTAGCTATCTCTTTGAGCCTCTATATGTCCAATCTCCTCATTGCGGATGAAGTGCCGGTACTTCGCCCGACATCTAGGCCTCACACCAAGAGCCGACAATGTTCATAAAAATCGATAAATAGTGTGAGTTTGACCGGGAATGTCTGAGAAATTGCAATGTCTCTAGACGACACACCCGTCACAGTATGTTGAACTATAAAGCTTCAGTGATACGTCTTGCTGACATGGTAACCAGGAACCTAGCCACAAGCGGGCGAAAACCGAGAGAAAGGGCATGGATGGGGTAAATGGTATCAAAGGATCACCACAGGCTCCATTGGAGCGGGTAACAGAGGCTCTTTTCTCTGCATCTGTTGAGGCTAAGGTCTGGAGCGTGGCAACTCGCGCATTAGGAACTGTAAGAAGACCACCAAAAAAAAAAAAAACATGAAAACAGTTTCTAAATAAGTCCAGCTTAATCCCCCAATACTCTATCCCGAATACACCGACGGAAGCGGCAACTATGTCTACCGAACACTGGACTTCTGGACATCAGGCTTCTTCCCAGGGTCGCTATACCTCCTCCTCGAACGCGCTATTCAGTATCCTCAATACAAGCCACTATCACCCGATGGCAAATCGCAAATCAGACCACACCAACTCCAGCTCGAGCATCTATGCCGTTGGTGGACCGCCAACTTACACCAGAATGCATTGAAGCGCGACACACATGATCTTGGCTTCATGATTGCACCATGGGCTATGAAGTCCTGGGAAATACATCGAGATCCAGCGGCATTCAACACTCTGATCATGGCTGCACACTCCCTTGCAAGCCGGTTCAACGCGACAACGCAGTGTCTTCGAAGCTGGGACGTCTGCATTACGCAAAAATACAAGTTCACAGACCCGTCGCGCGACTTTCTGGTCATCATCGATAACATGCTAAATCTGGATCTCCTTTTCTGGGCTGCAAAGGAAACTTCAAATCGAGCGCTGTATGATATGGCACAGGCACATGCGCACACAACGCGCAAACATCATATCCGCGAGGATAAAAGTACATTCCATGTCATAAACTTCGATGCAGAGACCGGGGGTGTCAAATCCCGGTTCACGAACCAGGGGTACAGCGACGATAGTTGCTGGGCTCGAGGACAGGCATGGGGTATTCTGGGGTTCATGCAGACTTATGAGTGGACGCAGGACTCTGTATTCTTGAACACGGCCAGGGACCTGGCGAAGTACTTCATTGCGCATTTGCCGGCTGATGGCGTTCCATACTGGGATTTGACTGCGCCGGTGACGGAGACGAGTCCTCGGGATACGTCTGCTGCTATGGTTGCCGCTTGTGGTTTGTTGCTTCTTTATAAAGCGCTAAAGGGCGGCATAGAGGCGGATAACTATCTCCAGGAAGCGTTCCAGCTCGTTAATGCTGTTGTCCACACGAATATGAGCCGGCAAACACTTCAGTTTGGGGTCACCCATCCCGCACTGCAAGTTGCAGTATATCCAGAAGGATATATCGATGAATGTGCTAGTGATGGTTTCGACTTATTGTGTGTCTCGCAGAGCTTCAACTCGATAGTAAACTGCGAGACAATTCTGGACGGTGCCACCATCAACAACTACGAGTTCGCGCCAAGGCGGTGGTCCAACCATGGGCTGGTGTATGCAGACTATTACTTCTTGCTTTTCGGCAATATGCTTCTTCGCATGGGCTTAACTGATCTGTCGGGGCACGAGTAGAACATGAAGAAAAATGGCCGGAAACACGATTCGATTTTGCTGTGTTCGTACAAAGAAAGTTAGGTAGACAATATAGAATTGTGCATCTGATCAGACTTCCACACATTAGTCACAAGAGCCTAGCCTATTGATATTATCCATCATTGACAGATTCCTTGGTGCCTTGTTCGGGTCATGGCTCCCTATTTGTGCTCCACTATAGCGACTGATCCTTTGGCCAGGACTGGGAATCAGGTTGAAAACGTGAGAGAGATCCTCTTGGGGACTGACAGCGGCATTTCCAAAAGGCGCATTTGGACCTTGCCACAAATTAAATTGCTGATTGTATGACCGCCTCTCCAACGGCGACGGCGTTTGATATTCGACCGGTACATATACCGAGAGTGGATCTGATCGGGAGAAGGCAGGGAAGTCTTGCTGAAAGGCTGGTGGGAGTGGCGGAAAAGCGAGGCTAAAAGGATCTAGAGTATATGACTCTCGCAGTGGCTGTCTGTTTATATATCCAGTATGGGGTGCTGCAGTAGTTGCTATATAGGGGAAGATACCAGGATCAGACGGCGAGGTTCCGATGACAGGTGGCGGTTGATGTTGCTCCCTTGACTCGTCGGAGTAAGCGGTCTGTCTGATATCCAGGCTTGGACAAGAGGCAGCACACGAGTTACTCTGGGCCTCTATAAGTCGTTTTGCGAAGCTTGACGCCAGATTGTCACCGAGAGGGCTTGTGGTCTCATTGCGCCCGGTCCATCGCTGGGAAATTTCGAGGAGACTGGCGATCAACGTATCGAGGGCTGAGGGAATAGGAACTTGATTGTATCTGCTGTGGGCCAGTAGCATCCTTCCAGCAATGAATAGACAAAACGAGAATTGAGGATTGGTGAAGATGGGCGAAAATGATAGGAACTGTCGTCCGATAGTAGCGATCTCAGAAGCTGCCTCCAAACATGTCTCAGCAGAGGCCGTGGATGGAAGCTTCACCGGACAATTCTGCCAGTGGGGAGGTGGGTATGCGATTCCCTGATGCAATAAAATCACGGCCGTATTATGTGTGATATGCGCTAATGTCAAGTTCGGATCCATTACACCGTCGGCATTGAGCACTGAGGCCTCTCTCCATTGCGGGGGCAGATACAACTTCCACCTAGGGGTCAAATGTCAGTAGAAAGCTAGTAGATAGTTTGTATGCTTGTGGTACTCACTGAATCAGCCGTAAATCTAGTTCCTTGAACTTCATTAACCAAATCCGAGCCTTCTCAGCATCCCCAACAATAAACGCATGATGAAGGAAGAAGTTTGTGACCAGGACTAGTGACTCAGTTGCCTCAATATTGTACGCAAAGCCACCGATCGAGTCCTCATTATCAATGTTCATCGACGCGCGGCTCCCAGCCTGAAGCGAACTGGTTGAATTTGTATCCTCCGAGTCTGAGATCCCAAAATACGGCGTCCGAACCTCTGTTTCTTTCTCCCATATCGCACCTTCACAGGGAAGACGGCGTTTTACATCGGCGCTAGTCAGACTTATCTTCCAGCCTGTGGAAACGCTGCAGAACCGATCCATCAAGAACACCGTCCAGAACACGCGCCGGCGCTCTTCAGCTTCACTCCAGGACTTGGATGGAGACAAGAACACCATGCGCCGGATCAGAGTCTCGCCTGAGTTTTGTGCACGGCTTAGAATATCTTCCTCGACGCCAAGTTGCAGTTGTTCAACCGTGCCGACCATGCTTCCAACAATAGACCATGACGAAGGTCCGCGGCCACGGCCAATCTGCAAGAAGGAATGAGCTGAGATATCGAAAGGAAAAGCTAAGTAAGCTTACAGTCTCAAATGCAATGATCACCAATGCCTGCAGGTTCTCGACAGAGAAGGACTCGGTGCTGTCCAATATGACCTTTTGTCGGCTCTTTTCAGCAATTTTTGCCTTTTTTCCTTCGTCGCAGAGGGATTCGTTCTGAGAGAAGCGTGCGCAAACAGCAATAACTGCGTGAAGGATGCAGGCAATACGCGGGCGCTCATCTGGAGATTCTACGCGCTCACGAAATCTGGCCACATGAAGAACCGGGATCCAAGGGTGGATGTTAACGAAGTAAAAGTCCACCAGCTCCGTCATGACATCAGTCGACAAAAGGCTGTCTATCTCGCTCTCTGTATCGACAAAGACCGGTGAGATAGTAGACTCGCAGCGTTGTCGTTTTGCTGGACGCGAGACAGGCTCCGCATCGCCATTCCGTTGCTCGCCCCTCCGCTCAGGAATCGATGACGCCTGAAGCAAAGTAAATTTCAGCTCTTCTCTTTGCTGAGCCAAGCTTGTGATGTTAGCCGGTCGCTCGCTAGGTTCTGGGAGGGAGTCATTTGGGTACAATGTCCTCCACATCGTTTGCCATAGTATTTCCTGGCCAAGGAACATATTCTCCAGTGTTTCGATCCGGCGATAGAGCTGGTCGACGGCGCCGGCACGGAGACCAGGCTTCATGCGCCGCTCATCATAGACACAGTCGACGTTGAAGCGGATGCATTCCGAGCAAGGCTGTTCCCGACTGCAGCGGGCCTTCTTCTTTCGACAAGACTGACAGGCGGGAACATCCTCGTGCGTTTTGGATGCATCCTGTGGCTCTTGGCCGTTTTCGGCACTGTCGGTATTTCTAGACTTTGGTGGCATTGACGACGGTCAACCCCCGATTGCGCTTGAAATTTCAATGATAATGCAGAGCGAGACTCCCCCTTTTGCTGGGGCTCCTAATGTGAAGACTTGTCATAATCTGGGGTGGAATGACAAGTCCCCGCTTCCCCAGGAAACATGGCGTCTCGGCTAAAACGTGAATTTCTGGGGAAGTTAAGCTTGTCTTTCCCAGGCGTCGCCAATCACTGTTCACAAAGGGCCGTGGAGGGGGCGGAGGAATGACCGGAGGTGCTCCCGGCCCCTTCTTGCCGGGATATTGCCTTATCCGGCCTAGCGTGTTCTACAACTACAGTGCTGCATCATGCTAAACTTGGAATTGATATTTATTGCATCTCGTTATTTAGCAGCATATTGGAATATTATGCACATAGGGAAAGGAGCATGAGAGGAATACCTCTCTTCTATACATTTATTCCTTCTTCTATAACCCCGAACTATAGAATGGAAGAGGCAGAGGTTCGCGTAAATTAGATGCGAGATTGTTCATGTTTACTGGGATTTCTGTTTTATTGTACTCATCAATGCTGTTTCCCACTGCGCAGATTGGCTGGTACCACTTCTCGGTACATCCTGCGTTGTCCACCCTCCAAGTCCGTCTCTTCATCACTCTCCACAGATACCTCTTGTGTTTGCCAGATACCCTGCTGGCTATTATTGCTATCAACATCAAATGCTTGCCTTTTTGATCTCTCAAGCGGAAGCTCTGATTCTGAGCCGATGGGCTTAATGTCGCTTTGAGAGGGGTTGGATGAAAGTTTGAAGCCTAACCCTGAGCTTGGGTTTCCAGTGTCGGAATGAGAGGATTTTGACTCGAAAGTCTTGCGGAAAAATGGGCGGAGCGTGGGTATACATGCAGCGACAATGACGACATTCTGCTCGACGCTAGAAGGAAATTAGCAGAAGTACATGACATGGATAGTAAAATACTCACAGTCCCCAGAGCACAAGCGGAACAACATTGAACACTATCCCAGCATCAGCAAGCCTCACACTAGACACCCTAACTCAGAAGCGAAGAAACTCACAAGGATCTGTCCGATCAGTAAAAAGATGCAAATAAGTAGCCTTGACAACAGTAACAATAGCGGAGAGCAGCGTCAATCCCATCATAATACAAATCCCCAACTTGGTCGAAAACCGCATCTGCAAATTCCAAAAAGCGCGAATAGGCACAACAGCTAAAACAATGTCCGTAAGTGTCGTATATGCGCTGACCCAGTATGAGTAGTCATTGAAGACCTTCGTGCTCCAACATGTTCCCTTCACAGAGGGATCCCAGAGGGCGGCTGTGGGTGTGCATTGGAAGAATATGACGAAAATTGAGATTAGAGATAACACCACTTGGAGAATTGTCATTGCGTAGAGACATCCTGTGCGCCACGGGTTTCGGTCTAGGAGGTTACTGATTAAGATTGCGATTGAGATGTTTGGAAAGCTGAAGGAGCCTATATCAGCAAGTGTGGTTAGTATTATAGTTCCGATCTGACGCCGAGAGTCGCAGTTGAGAATGGACGAACCGATGTTAAAGGCTGATTGTACAAGTTAGTTTTCAAATGCTTCAATCTTTAACGATGCCAAACATACGATATCCCAGAATCTGCCAATAAGCCGTCAAAGCCAGCCTCTCCTGCCCGTGCTCCGCGATAACAGCAGCAGTGTGGCGCCCCAATCCCAATGTAACGGAGTACGAAACGAACGCCGCGGCAATAATGCTCAAAGCCTGTAGAGGACAATGGGTGACGTTAGCTCCACACCTTGCATGGCTTAATACAAACAAACGCCCCTTACCAGGGAAAGGAAAATGAAAAAGTCATCCCAGCCCAGCTTCTTGACATGTGCCCGCGTCGTAAGTTTTAGAAAAACAGTTCCGATCGCGATCCCAGTGAAAACCCACGCGCAGATATTAATTTCCTTTGCTTTGGTCTCGTTGAAGTCCACATCGGTGATTATGGTGCTCATGTTGCGTTGATCCGATACACCCAGGAACGGATGTGGCTGGCAACCCCATGAAAAACGACAGGGTCCGGAGCAGGGATTGGGGATAGGTCATTTATACATGAACAAAATAACCGATGGGACCGATGGGATAATATGGAGAAAGCGTCCGGGAAACAAAATCTTCAGCCATAGGACCGGGAGCCTTGTCAATGGGATTATTGGAAAGGTGCCAATGTACATGTATCGAGCTAGTATGGACCCGCATGAATCCTTCGAATAGTAGCCCTAACTAAATTAGGCAAGAGGCAAATATCTGCCGAGCATCTGATATATGGGCCTCGGATATGATGAACTCCTCATCGTGCATAAGTACAATATCTGATCACTGTTCTCGAAGATCCTAAGCCAACTCAGCTTCAATCAGACTCTCTGCGACACCAGGATACGTATAAATCGCCGTAACTCTTAATCCAGCCGTCTCCAGGATGCCCCTCCACTCGGCTTCAGTTCTCTCCCGCACAGCGAAATGTGCCAGCATCATCATATCCATACTCGTCGCCGCGAGCGTAGGATGCTCCTCACTAACGACGATCTCATTCAAGAGAACACGAGAATAGCCCTTCTTCAGCGCGGGCACGAGATTCTCCAGAATCCGCACTCCGTCCCCATCACTCCAGTCATGTAGAATAGAATGCAACGAATAAGCGCGCGCACCAATAACAGGCTGCGGCGTAAAGAAATCATGAGCCTGAGCCTCAAATCCTAGCTTCTCCACGCCACTCCCCACCACACTCTCAATAACAGGCTCGCGATCCTGCAAGATAACCTTTCCAACCTTCTCCTCGAGCCCCTTCACAAAGGCAGCAGCATCATGACCACGCCCTCCACCAACATCAACAAGCAAAACATCACCATTCTCACCTCCCTCGAACCCATTCACCAACCTCTCAACAACAGGATAAAACCCCTCATCATACCAATTCTTCTTACCAGCCCGGTAAGCCGACATGAAAGAGTCGAAATGCCTCAAATGCGGCGGCGTAGCAACAAGCCAATCAAAGAAAGTCAGCTCTGTCCCATGAGCAGCCTGAAACGGCCCATCCGTCCCCCCAAGCGTGGGCGCTTGATACCCATTCTTCTTAAAATATCCGGGGAACCCGTTAAACGAAGGTCGGGCAGCGTCATAGCAGAATGAGATACTATGTTGGTATCGTTCCTCGGAGAGGCCGTTGCTTAGTTCTGTGGCGTGGAATGCGTTTTCGTGGTAGGTGAGCAGGTTTGTTGCTACCAAATGGCGGGTGAGGCGTTGGAGCAAGGATGTTTCAATTCCGGTTTTTTGCGACAGAGTTGAGGCATCTAGGCCGGCAGCGCCTGCGTCACGGAGGTGTTGGAAGAGGTTTGTGTCTACTGCTAGGCGAATTGTTGCTGATTGAGCCGGCTATGGATGAGGGGTGTTAGTATACAATACTTTGTACTTGGAGGGTCATGATGATTGGAACGGTATTATCTCACCTCTGCCCAGAACGTCCTTTGGATAAATTCGCTTGGAATCTCTAATGCAGCAACAAGAGCGCGGCTGTGTGCGATTAGAGCCTCTCGTGAACCGGGCTCATCTTGTTTGAAGGCTTTGCCTGCTTCAACGAGCTGGTCCAGGATCGTGGAGGCTTGGGTGGAGGCCATTGGATCTACTCCGTTGTATTTTTGTTGCTTTCTCAGGTGTGTTGTGACGGATAGGTGAGATATGCAATACGCACGGCAGCCGAGACTAGAACAAGGATGTTTTTCTACATACATTCAGGGGGGGGAGGGGCCTCGCCATTTGGGGCCTTTTCGAATCCCGTGCCGTGTCGGCATTCGTCTTGACGAGTTTATGAGGGAGGTTAGGGCGTGCGCTAAGGTTGATAGCTCTTACGCCGTTGAAGTTGGCACTCTTAGAAGTACAGGTATTGTTGAAAATGCAAGTTACTTTGATTAAGACGTATTCTATTTGCATTTGTATTGGGTTTCAATTGTATCCACTCGTCATTCGGTTGCGATCCGTGCCGATTAACTGAATTCTGTTCATTTGGTATTTTCGAATAGCCCCACAGTCTATGGGCTCGGGCCTCTGAGGGGCGAATTTCTACATTTATCATTCTGGCCCCCATGTTTCGTATAACTTGCTTATTCTTGCTGATCTGCCCATGACAAAGAGGGTTATATTGTTACCATGACTGTCCCGGGGTTGGATTTTATTTTTGCCGTTCTACAGTAAGTAGTTTTCCTACCAAGTCAGAGGAACTGCCAACATCCATATCACAACAGTTTAGCAATTGTTCTACAATATGTATATCTATCCCTCACTTGATATGCAGCCAGTAAAGATTGTTGGTTCGGTGTTTCGGTAAAGGAAGGCGTCAAACCCATTCTATATTCGCTTGGTCCAGTGACATATTTACCGCTAGCGAAAAGGCTCATCCCAGTATTTAAATAGTCAACATGGTGCTTCCATAAAATTATCGAGCGCGAACTACTTTCACTCCTAGTAAGGATTTCCCGATCGACATGAAAGTGTGTCTAATAATCAAGTTATATTTGCGATGCTGCGCCGACGAAATTAGTGGGACTGGGTGAGATTAAGTGTTAGCCGAATGTTTGTCCAAGGTAAAATAAACTCATGGACGCTGCTCAGAAACGTGGGAGGCTTGGTTACATCCCCAGGTTTATTTTTAGATCATCCCGTATTTCGTGCATTTTCAGTGGGCGCCGCAGAAGTATAAATGCAGGAACACGAACTTACGAGGAAAGATCCCTCGAAGCTTCAACAAGGGGCCGCCAAGGCTCTATATATGGATCTTTCGATGGTAGATCTTCCTCAGGTTGGCTGCAACCTGCGGAACTACAGGCTCCAAATCGCATTTGCGGCTGGAATACGAATGAAGGGTTGCATTCTTAATACGAATCACCAATGGATTTGATGATCGCCAGAACCAGGGGCATTGAGTCGCAGAAATGCTTGCTTCAACTGCCTGCGAAGGCTTTATATAAAGCCGTGGATATATCTCGCTCTTGGGACAAATATCTATCAACTCACTCTACCTGAAACACAAAGGCAAAGCAACAACTTTGAACCCAATCTGCCATCAAGATCTACACCTAATCACTCAAAATGCATTTCATCTCCCTCCTCGCCGTCACTTTTGTGGCCGCTATCCCAGCAGTCAGTGCTTACCCCATCACCGGCGACACCGTCAACTGCCGTTCTGGTCCCGGAACAAGCCACTCTATCGTCAAAACCTACAAAAAGGGCGATGAAATCTCAGTCACTTGCCAAGCTACCGGCACCGATGTCAAAGGCGACGAGCTCTGGGACAAGACAACCGACAATTGCTATGTAGCCGACTACTACGTCAAAACCGGTAGCTCAAGCTACGTAACCAAGAAATGCGGTAGCAGTGGCGGCGGCAGCAGCGGCACCGGTACGGGCAAAGCCATCGTCGCCGCAGCCGAGAAAGAAAAAGGTCTGCCTTACAAATGGGGCGGCGGTGGCTGCAACGGTCCAACTGGCGGTGGCTTCGACTGCTCTGGATTGACGCAGTATGCTCTCTGTCAAGCATTGGACAAGAAGATTCCCCGTGTGGCTCAGGATCAATATAACACCAGTATGGGCAAGCGGTATCCTCGCTCGGAAGCCAAAGAGGGTGATTTGCTATTCTGGGCTACTGGCGGTGATTGCAAGAATGGTGTGTCCCATGTTGGGATCTTTATCAAAGATGGATTGATGATCAATGCTGCTCATACTGGAACACCGGTTCGTGAGCAGGCTATCTGGACTTCTTATGGTGGGGAGAGTATCTGTCCTTATGTTATGAGGTATGTGGTTCATTCCCTGATTTTGAGATGTTGCAAAGCTGACTGGTTTATAGATTCGTCTGAATTGAGTTGGGTTAATCCTTTGATTACTGCTGTGGATTGAAATTTGGGTATTGGGTATATGGTGCATTGTTCAATTGATTAGATATTTGCTTTCCGGAATATATAACTCAGTCACTTATTTTCAACGTTCTAGACGATACGACGTAAGATTATAGGGTCAAAAATCCGATATTGTAACGAACATAAAGAAATCTCCAGTAAATATTAATCTTAGCAATATTATATGCGCGCTTGTATCCGTGATTATAGACAGTTTGAGACAAGCCCCCTGTAGAACTACGCCACTAGTGCAGGCCTCACTAACGCCGGCCGATCCCCGTGATATAGCGGGTTTACGGCCCCCAAATGTGAAAAAAAAAAAAAAAAAAAAAAATACCAATTATTAGTGTTAAAATGAATACGAACTTGCCTCAATTGGGTATAGAAAGTCATACAAGATACGAGGGGTGGGGCATTCATACCCTGGTGCCTTTTTGCAATTTAACCGTGCATGTGCTCATCTTATAGTAACAGTATGCATAGCTGTGGGCACTTTCCAGAGTGTCGGGTAGACATTTGACCATGGAATTGACAACGGCCAAGGAGACGTGCATTAAAATTGGTTGTGCGGAGCGTTTACCCCGTCCATAGCGGAGTGCCCTTAAATCAGGCCAAGTTACATGTATGAAGCTTCACTTTCATTTTGGGCCATATTAGAAGGAACCCCAAGGAAGCTATTCGGACCCCTACTCCATTTATCTACCGTAATAGGTAAGGCGTAGTAATTATATTTTCCGCGCATTATTTGGTAAAAATGCATATATTACTTGGCAATGCTAATGCACTGAGGACCGTCCCTAACATAAATTTCGAAAACTCTGCGGAAATAAAGTAATTAGTCTATATATCGGCCAGCGGCCACTTTACATCAAAATCTTCCAAATTTTCATGAGAATTGCGAAGAAATCCTGTCAATTTCATCGCATGGACTATTTGTAGAGGTAACCGACGATTCTTATAGGGCTCCCCGGTGCTTCTTAAGCCGATCGTACTAGGGACTCTCGTCCTAAGACGTAGGAATGCTTGCCGACGATGGTTTATTCGGTGGTAGACTAGGAGACATAAGCTAGATATACGAAAAAGCGACTCATTGTGCACTTAATTCAACACTAGGAGATACAGCACTGTGGGAAAATGCTCAGAATATAGCTAAAAAAAGAAAACTTCTTGTTTTTACGAGTGGTTTACATAGTAAATGTAAGTACTAGAAATATATATTAGGAGCGGTCCTCGATGCATTAGCATTGCCAAGTAATGCATGCATTTCTACAAAATAATGCGCGGAAAATACAATCACTACGCCTTACCTATTACGGTAGATAAATGGAGAAGAGGTCTGAATAGCTTCCTTGGGGGTTCCTTCTAATATGGTCCTTCATTTGGATATCAATACTCCTCTGAATTGACCATGTTCACCATGAAATTCGATGCCATTACCAAAGATACATTTTCTACATGTGCTCATGCTCCCTAGATCGGGAGAGTTCAGCTTGGAAAGGTTGGTTATAAAGCGCTCGCTCTTTTCCCCCTGAGAATCAGAAATCAAGACCTCGTAGATTACCGGCGACGGGAATAGCAGAATAATAGATTATTCAAAGCCGTCTGGTTATGGAACGACTGCAGCTCGTCCACCGCTACATATACACAACTGAAAAAGAATAGTCATTTCGTTACTCGTTTATTGATGTGATCAATTGTGGGCTTTTAAGGGTATTTGTCAGGTTTTTGTACCTAGGTATGTTCGAAAAGGTAACTAAACGGACCTGATATGTAATGCCAGTTTTCCATGGTATCTGCACTCAAAAGCGCGATACGTCTCTTCCAAACAACCTGTTCAAAGTCCATCTGAACGCGATACGTAACTTATTGCGCCAACTGATACTCATAGTGATGTATGCCGCTTTCCAGATAAGTGATGCCGTACGTCCCTTGATACCACCAGGCAGAAATTTATTCATGGCTCCATCATTCTCATGAGGAATCTGCATCAACGCTCTCTCATTGCCGAGGTAGGCCATCGTGCCCAGATTCCTGAAAGAAAAGGGTGGTGTCTGGGCCATGTCATCCTTGTTCAGCCGCGTTGCAAGCCACTTGGCTTCTTGGAAAGTAGCCTGTGCTGTAGCCGGCGGGGCACCGGTCTCTGGCATGGCATTGTCGCCAAGTGCAAAGACATCTCGAAGAACTGCCGTCTGTCCAGATTCATTTTCAAGCTGGACGCGGAGGTGACCGTCGACTAGGAGCGGGCCCTTCTTGGGCGCTTTCTTGAATTTCCATGCTTGCTCCGCGCTAGTAGGAGTAACGGAAGACCCTTCAATGGCGAGGACCGAGTCTGCAGGAAAGGGGTCGACCACATTGAGTGACTGGGTAATGAACTTGGGCATGGCATTTCCAGTTGTCCAAACGCACATGCCAACGCCGACCTCGCCCTCCTCTTCGGTGGTCAGAGTCAGGCAGCGCTTGGGATCCATCTCATATGGTGGAGGGGCACCCGGCGGGCCCCACCTCAAGCTTTTGACGTGGTGAGAGGTCTTGATATCAATACCCTCACTCTTCATCGTCTCCATCGCATAGCGAGACAGTGACTCATCAAACATGGACAACACCTTGGGTGCAACATCATAGAGATTGAGCTTGGGGATCTCGTTCAGAGCCGGGTAGAGCGCCATCATATCAGCGTAGATGAAGTCTCGCAGGGAAGCCGCAAGCTCAATGCCAGTTGGACCAGCTCCCACGATGGCGAAATTCAGCAGTGACTTTCGCATTTCCAGGGTAGTCGTCGGCAAGACGGCTAGCTCAAAGCATTCCCGCACACGCCGCTTCACCCTCTTAGCGTCTCCGATATCCTTGAAGAACATCGCATTCTCTCGCACGCCCGGTGTTCCAAACGTACGACTGACAGCGCCAACTGCGATGACCAGTTTGTCATATGGGACCTCGAATAATTCGCCTTGCTCCCATTGGCGCTGCGCCTGCATCGGCTTCAAGTTTGTAGTCTCCGGGCCCTCTTCGTTTTGCCTCTCGTTTCCCCCAATGCGGGGCGACTCCGTGACGCCACTCTTAACAACTGTTGCTTCGCATAGAATAGTCTTCTTGTTCAAGTCGACTGCGCGTGCAGCTGCTTGGATGAAGTCGACTTTGGCGCGCGGATCACGCACGGGTTCGACGATGTTGGAGAAGTCTAGGGATCCGCTTGCTGTGTCGGTGAGGAGGGGTGTGAACACGAAGTAAGAGCGAGGGGAGATGATGATTGGCGAATAGATTTTCGGGGATAGCTTGCGCGAGAGGTTATACCCACCCCAGCCCGACCCGAGAATGACGACTCGTTCTTTTTGGTTGTCCGAGTGAGGGGCCGCGACGGTGTAGTCGATTTGCGTTGCTAGGCATCTTCGGCTCGATGCTTGACTTGATGGAGCAATGCGAGGGGAGAATGCGCCTGTCGATTGGAGATGATATCGAGGTATGGGAACCTGTAGACGGAAGGCCTGCCGGCGGAAAGGGAGCATTCCGCTCAATGGCCGAGGATGCATGTCAATGGATTAGCACTGTGTGTCAGTCAGAAGCAAGTAATAATTTCTAGCTTCAGGGTCATTTGTATAAACTCGGAGTCGATACTTCGGAGCTCATATTGCTATCCGCGAGCAGTATACTGTAGTCCGCTGACCCATTGATGACCTCATACTCGGCAGGATAAGGAAAGGAGAGGCCCGGAACGGGATCTCCGACCCAAGCCTCATGGCCGGATCCTTTTTTTTTACGAACGGTGTCGGATCCCTAAACTCCCGTGAACATGTTGAGCTCTGGCTGGCTCTATCGAGCTCGTGGAGAAAGCCGGAACCCTCCGGAACGATCGGTGAGAAGAGCTAGCACGTGCCATTGGAGAATGTCGGAGATTTTAGGCACATGCTCACATGGCAGTGAAGAGTTTCGACGGGTGTTTTTCAGTAATCGACAGGATCAGAAATAGAAATAGACGATGCATGTTGAAGGGAGATGTTGATAGCATGTGGTAGCCTTGGCACTATCATGTGCAGCACGTCAATTCTGGAGAGTCCTGAGAGTGTCTCTTCATTATATACATTTAAGTAGCCCATGGTCGTGTCATACTCAATTGTGGCATGACACTCACATGGTCCTTTCTTAGTCTATACAGCTACGCTAAATTTAGTTAGGCTAAGCTCGCACCGGCATATCAGCGCTGCGATCCACACACATAGTGAGGAGACTTGACTGAATGGCAACTATAAATTCAACTTCGTATTTTCTGTCTTTCATATGCAAAAGAATCTACTTAGGTCAATGGTTCTAATCCCCTTTAAGATGTAGTCATCATCTTGTAAAATAGTCAGCCTTTCTTTCACTTCATCTGATAAGACTAAAAGTAACATCGCTACCCTGAAGTCAAATGTCAGTCCTTTCATACCGCTACCTTTGAAAACCACCATTACTCAACAAATACAGCCTGAAGCACTCGAAAATGGGCAAAAAGAGGTGAAAAAGAGAGGCCAAAGTTGATACACTAAACGATATACTTGCTTCGACGCTTTGTGTAGAGATTATCTAATATTTCATTAGTGGCACTGTATGCAATTCATGATCCCATTTGTATTTGAACACGTACATTGTGGTGTGTTTCCCGAAGGGCGTAGACCAGATAGTCACGTACCAGTAGAGAATCTTCAGTGTGACATGCAAACCGAAGAGAGCGAGTCTCAGTCTATCAAGGAATCGGGAGTTTTTTCTGGATCTGGCCGGCTTATACTTCAAACTCAGCAATTTCGTATTAGTCCGACCGCACTGCGGCCATGAGCTCGTGTTAATGGGCACTTCGTTCCTATCAAACAGCGTGAAATTGCGCTTGTTGAAATCAAACCTAAATTAGCCCGGCCCACCGCCTAAGCAAAGCCCACGTGCTATTGACTTCTTAGATGGCTGCGGCTCATCCCATCGCTGCCACAAAATCGAATGGAGTAACTTATTTAAATGGAATAGGGCATCAGATAGTAGTAGTCTATGCCGCCTAGCTGTAGAGTTGCCCACAAACACTCCATGAGGACAGGACCCAAAAGCCAGACAAGATTAGAGCGGCCGGCGAGACTAGAGAGTTTGACAAGATGATAGTGTCCGGCAAGTCTTGAGGGTCTGGCGAGATACAGAGTCTTGCGAGGGTAGAAAGTCTAGCGCGACCGCAGAGTTGGGCAAGATTAGAGTCCGGCCCCGCCTTCTCACCTCACTGCCTCGCATGTCCGGCGGCAACATGTTTCTATCTCTAGAATTTACTATCTTTTCAAGAACTCCTTTTACTAGAAATCGATAGGCTCTCGGCTTACTTCGAGTCCGCTGCTCTCGAAGACTGGGTCTTTCTATAACCGCCGAGACCCCTGCTTCACCTGTTCTATCTTGAAGATGACGCCGGATGGGGTTGAAGTCAATGCCGGCCTCCACGATTCAAGCCACAATACAACGAGGACCATTCCCGACTCTAGCGTTTTCAGGGAGCATCGGGCGTCTACTCTCCCTACCCCGGCCGAGGTGAGAGCTATCAACGAGGAGTCAGGCCACATCCGTGGCATAAGGTTCAATAGACCCCCGCCTGTCAAGTTTCCATCGTTGGGCCTGATTGTCAAATATGGAGCCGACGCGACCGTTACAGAGGCAAAGACCCAAAATATGGTATATAAGCAGTTGAAAGGCAAAGTACCAGTTCCTGAGGTATTTGGCTGGACCGAAGACGGTGGCCAAGCATTTATCTACATGTCTTTGATAGGGGGCGAAACGCTGGAGCATAGGTGGGGTGCTTTAAACGAGGAGGAGAGAGAGGCTGTCTGTAAAGAGCTCAACGGCATGGTCAAGGCCTGGAAATCGTTAGAACAGCCCGACCAAGTCCTTTACGTGGGTAAGTGATTTGAATTCATTGCGGTACCTAGGCAGAACTATGCTAAAGTGCTCCTTAGGTGGCCTAGATAACCAACAACTAAAAGACATCTTTCTTTTCGATCACCGAGACTTGACTGGCCCATTCCACGGTGCAGACGCCGTCCAGAAATTTCAGAATGGCTGCGATATCGAGATCGATGGGGAGGTGCCCGTGGTCTTCACGCATGACGACCTTGTGCCCCCCAATATTCTTTTATCGCCTGGGTCGAATCCAGTAGTAGCTGCCATCCTTGATTGGGGCCAGGCAGGGTGGTATCCTGCTTATTGGTAGTATTGCAAGGCGCGTCGCGTCAGGGCGAATCCGGAATATTTTGATGAAGACCTGGATGAAGAATGGAATACGAAATACCTGCCAACTATTTTGGACCCGGTCGATGATGAGACAGTATACCACCCTTGGCTGTGGTTTGTCCTGTCCAAGGGTATCTAGTTGTGCGAATGAAGATGCTCATTGGGAGTATACAACCGTCGGTAGCAATTCCACTGGAAACCCAATTTTGACACTATTCACACGAACTATCAACGCATTGGACACAGATCAACAAAGAAATCTGGCCTCTCAAGCTAGTCTAGCTGCTTCAAATCATGCCTCATTCTTCTGTATATGCCTTCGTGGCGGTGGTTCACCGTATAATTTGGTGGTTGGGAGTAGCCTCATAAAAAATAAGGTGGGTGGGAATTGGTCTGCCGCTGGGCTGCACCCTCATCGACAGGTCGGGGGGAAGGGGGCTTAGAAACACTGCTAGGCTTCTGTCATGCGGCTCTGCTGAGAAACCGATATCGGATGAACTGATCGAGTTTGGTTTATAACTCAAGGTCTCTGCTACCATAACACCCTCTCAAATTAATTTCGAGGCCCGGATTTCGGTTTATAAAATGTCAGTCGCTCGTCACTTGGTCATTGCTGCGGATTCCACGAGTGAAATGTGGACTTATCCTAGTTGTAGTACTTCAAATCGACCCCGCACATAAACGTACCCAGCTAGTGTAGGTCTTCTATTTTCCCTAATTAAGGATTTAGCAGACCACAAAGATTAGCTAATATAAGTGTGTAGCCCTAATTTTGAGTATCTTAAAGACCTTGATTTATCATCTATTATCGAACTTTCCCTAAGTGAAAGGATAATAGTGTGTTGCGCCTTAAAACGCAAACCGCCCTTGAAGTGCATCCCAAATAGTACTCCCCCATATCAACACCCCCGTACGGGAAGACAAGAGCCATTCTGTATGGGTTATACAAGATGGCTGGAAATAGAGGTTCGTGTTGGGTGGGGGCTTGGGCGATCTGGATACTGAAAATTGCTGCCTGGCTTTCGCCGGTCAGCGCTGTGTCGGGAGGTCTATATCCATATTATCTATTGGCTGTTACTCGCTGTGGCTTGGTTTCCTGTTTTCGCTCTAATAGCAATTGTAAGAAGGCTGGCGATGAAACATGAGGTTGGAGAGTTAGCTTTCGATGGCTGAACTAGCCCCACCATTTGAAATGAAGCTTGCGTAGAATAATAGCTAAAGCGGATTGTGGTGGTGGCTGTGTGGGGGAGTCTTAGCCATAGTCTCATTTAATGGCTCTATTTCCCTTGCGATTTTGATAAAACAGTGGTGTGTATGTTCAAAATATTTTGCTAGCTTTTGTTGAAAACCAGCTTCTTGCTAAATGAAGCACAATGTCGCTGCTCACACTCCCCAACGAATTGATACAGCAAATTATCGCTGAACTGGACTCGCAAAGGTATTTCAATAACATTATCTGCACTTGCCGATTCTTTTACGAGACTTTCAATGGCCTGTTGTATGAACGCGAAATACACCGTGATGGCGCCCATGCAGTGTTGCTCTATGCCGCTCAGATGGGACATGCTCGTACCATACAAGGGCTTTTACAGATCTCCGCCAGCAGCACTAAAAGTCCACCCTTACGACTCAGACCAAATCCTCCACTTCCCAATTGTTGGAGTCCACTCCTTTGGTCGGCCATCCGGGGGGATGAAAACGTGGCCAGGCTGCTCCTGGGTATAGAAGACATCAATGTGGACATCAAATATCCAAAATCCCGGACCCCGCTCTCAATTGCTGCCGAACAAGGGTTTGTGGGTGTTGTCCGGCTGCTTTTGGCTGCGGGGGCCGATCCAAATACCAGAGACCACCTCATGCGGACGCCGCTACACTGGGCAGGATCGCCTCAACTTGCGGGTGAAAGTCGTGATTTGGGCCAACAAAACATGTTTAGGGAACAGGCACAAGATCCTAAATGTAATCTCCACTGCCCGTTGGCTGTTTATTTCGAGATCGATATTGTCGGCTCTTCCCTTTGGATGGAGAAAGAAGGAGAGACAAGAGACAGCGCCCACCGTCCCGAGGACGCACACTGGACACCTTTGATCCAGCCCAATTTAACATCGTCATTATGGTCGGCAGGTACAAATTATAAGGAAATATTACAACTCCTTCTCCAATACGACGCCCAACTTGAATTAAAGGACTTAGAAGGTCGAACACCGTTATTGTGGGCAGCGACATGTGGATACCAGCCTTTAGTGGAACTTCTTCTCGACAGCAGTATGTCTCTTCATTCTTCGAAACCAGCACTTGAGAAAATTTCGAAGTGGGAACAGAAAGAAAGGGATTGCAAAAAGGTGGTCAAGAACTCAGTAAATCGAGATGCCTTTCCTGAAACTGACAATAATAACTCCCAGTCGGCCCTATCTTATGCCGCAGAGAATGGACATTACGGTACTGTGCAGTTCCTTCTAGAAAGAACCACACAAAGGGATTCGCTCTGGGCTGACCCTGGCTGGGCTCCCCTGATGTGGGCAGCAAAAGGGGGCCATGCGGATGTTGTGAAATTATTGCTATCGGTGCATACCCAAAGGTGGCCGGAGCAGTCTCTTGGCTCTGAGGCTGCGTCAGAGGCTGCGCGCAACGGAAAAACGGACATCATATCGTTGCTGGTCGAAGCCGGGGCAAAATTCGAACCTTCTCAAAGTTCTGATTTCATGACCCCGCTCCATTTAGCTGCCATGAACATGCATGCCGATACCGTCGAATGTCTCCTTAATATAACGGAGGTCGATGTGAATGTCCCCGATAGACATGGTTGGACTGCACTAGATTGGGCGACAAGAGGCCAGACGCGGGCCAAGAGATACTTCAAAGACACGAGAATCAAAGACATGCTACTTGATCGCGGAGCTTCCCCATCATCACGGACAGTGAAAGTGCTCGCGAGCCCGCCACACCTTTTCCTCCAGGATTTTTCAGGTTGTTGTTTCCCAGCAGACTTCGCTTATACGTGCAACCCAATTTCTTTCAGATGTGATTGGGACTCCATTGCTCAGGGCAAAAAGATGCGAGACTTGTCGTATAAAAAGGAATCTACTTTGGGGGTGTGCATATCAAATGAAATGATGAAGCAGTTTGCAGGGTGGTCCTATAATAGACCTCAACCTCATCATGATTGAGCAAGGTGATCAGGCGCAGTTTGTAAATATACATAGCTTCATATCTATTGATAACAATTTTTACCGGTATCATTATAACATTAACGAGTAATAGGCAGGTCTGTCTAGTTCTCGAGCAGACTTGTATTGACCCCACATGGGACACAGCAATAACCCCGCGCATCTTCCGGCATGGTTTGCCAAAGAACCTGACAAATTTCTTTGCCAACTTGCTCTAGAGCATCCATAGTCCATAAGATATCGAGATGTTCGTGCCCATCAATGACTTTGGAATGTACCACTCGCACGTGAGGTTCATGCACTTTCTCAAAACGCTCCAGAAGTCGACGACCGTCAACCAGCGCATCGGATCCGCCGAATCAAAGAGCCAAGGGCGGTGTTCGTTCCGGGTCCGAACCAAGAATTGTCCCTGGGGGAAACAAGGCAAAGGTCTTTGGGGTCATCGCCATGTTCTCGATCATGTTCTCCGTCTGATTGCAGGTCAGCGTTCGTTTGTCGTGAGTGGATAGAAAGCACTTGTGTTTGGCAAAGCTGTCGCGGCCAAGCCACCATCGCATCGAATCAAGTGTTTGATCTTTTTGCGTTACATAGAAGCTTCTAGGTGCTTATAGAGAGCACATACGGTAACAAGACCAAAGTACCGTATTCTAATCAGAAGTTTACAAGCGGGGTTCTTTCCGGAGACGATCTACCGTAAACAAGTTTTTATAAACGGTCGGCCCACAACACCACTAATAAGAAGCTTTACATATCTCCAAAATAGACGTATTAGTTGCTTCTCATTTTGTAGGCTATCCTAAGGTTTCTTCCTGGGCGACATGGCTCATATTGTCACAGTGTGACAAGACCTTGCGATACTATATACATTGGGTTCTGGGTCGTATCCGCTGAACACGTATTTAGTGGTCTTTTTGGTTTACGTGGGAAACCAGGTGACCCAGGCTAATGTCTTAATACATATCGAAAGTGGCCTCTTGTCTGGGGCTACATATACCCGTATTTAATCTAAAAAGGTGCTCATGATCGCTTCACAGTAACGTGTGATCGGCATTTTACCCAACTAGTACGCCAGTTCGTAGGTGGACTGCCTGCCTACCTGGCCATGGTTGACCATCATACTGCTACGTAGGCACAAGGAGGATTATGCGGGAAGCCATAGTCTATTCCATAAACAGTCCGTAAGTATGAGGGTACTATTATTTTACTGGGGGTATCGATATTGTGGCCATGCGGTCCCCGAGTAGTATGTATGAGATATCAATAGTATATGGGTAATAAAACCAGAGTAGTTTAATAACTTTCAGTGCTACCCCAGTAAAATCAAATCCAGAAAAAATCCAGTTTTGGCCATGCCTCTCAAAAGTATTAACTCCCCACTCTAATTTTTATACTCCTGTAGTTTTATACTCCTCCTCAAGCGCAACCTGGTTCTTCGCAATACGTACGCACTGTGTGGCTCGAGCCCTAGAATCGACTTTTCGAACGTCAAATCGACGGTTGATCACCAAAGAGGTTCGTCGCTCGGTCTCTCTGCGCAGACGGGCGCCAGAGCGTTCGGTTGAAGCCATCGTGCTTCGTTCATTCGGGGTTCCGGGGTTTGTTTGTGGAATTCGTCAGGTAGCTCAGACGTACGTACGTCTTCTGTTCAACTGACAAAAAGTGAAAAGGGGAAGATGAGAACTAGGTAGCTTGACGCGTACCAAATGGTGTACGTCGTTGCTCAGCTAATCCTCAAGAAAAATAGAGTGAGAGAGAGTGAGTCTTGATATTATGTTACTGGTCACGAGAAAGATCCTGGATCAAACTGTGCCATTCAACGATGGTATCAAGACTAGATGGAGAAGGGAAAGAAGAAAACAGCTATCTACCATGTAGGTTCCTTTTAAACCCTCTCTCTCTAGCAATCATGGTAAGTTCCGTCCTGGAGAATCCCGCGGCAATCTCCTTTGTCCCAACTGTTCCTGCCTGAATGTTCGGGTGGCAACGTCTTTTCTGCAGAACAAATCGTCACATTTGTCACAACAACCGCGGGACGACGATTTCTAAATGGAGATACTGCGAGTCAGGCTATTCCTATATATATGTCGTTAGTCTTCATTTCCCTGTTGTATTCCATAAAAGTCTTGGGAAGAAGACGGTTGCAGTGTGATTTTGATCCCATGTACGCCAATGCTAGTACGTACCGAAGACTGCTTCCCGCTATAGGTACCGCCCTCCGTAATAAGTAAGTAGTACTAGCTATTATACTTATATAAGTGCGGTCCCTCCGGATAAATGTTACCGGTGCCGCGCTAGATTACTTTCTCCTCCGACAAGTTTGCACCGGTCTTTAGGTCGATTTCGAAGAGGTTTATCGTGGTGTTTACCCTAATCTATCCGACCCTTATAGGTAGACTTTTCTATTATCGTTATTATCGAATAGGAGACTCGGGTCGATTCTATCGAACTTAAAGTAGATCGGGTCGCTCTATATATTTAACTAGATATTATCGGTAGAGACTACAAAATTCTCCATCGTATCCCTATTCTTCCCTAGCGAACGGATAATATTAGTATAGACGATATAGCATACACCCTAGTAGTAACGGATCGTCGGCGCGTATAGGCTACCACTCCCGACTAGAAACTTACTATAATCTACTAGGTAGAGATTCGTGTTACGGACCTTCCAGGCACCAATTGATTATAGGGCCGTAACTTGCTGATGGGCCACCGAGAGCCAACCGATCTATCTATTATCAGATCACGTGCAGTACCTTATACCCTGGACACCCTAGGTATTCAAGGAAAAGAGAAACGTGATCAAGCTTAGTGACTACTTAGTGAGCAAAGAGCATGATCTACCCTAAGCGGACCCACCCGGCAGACTTTATCCTATATATATATAGCTATACATGATAGATAAGGCCTACGTATAAGAAGCCACTTTCGGCCTTCCGCTTACCATCTTATTGTATACCGCAATAACCAATATCGGCTTATAGTTTAGCTAAATTATATAGTAACGTAAGAGTCTATTTTTGAAATAGCCCCTACGTCGTTTTATAAGCGGTCCGCTAGGGTTCCGCTTTCTCTTTAATATAGTATCGCTATCTTCTATAGCAATCGGGTACTTTTATAGTTAGTAGCGCCTAGGATCTTTCTTTCGTCCGATCTATATTTACGAGTTATACCCTTGAATATATCTTAGAGATAGTTAAGCTAGGTTTAGCGTTATTATATACTATAGTGTGCTTTGAAAATTAGAACTTCGACTTTGATTTCTCCGGAAGCTCGTCCTATTTTAGATAACGTAAAGGGAGAGCGTCGATAGCGATCCGACGTTAATTTCTTGGTTATTTAGCCGATCGCTTCCTTAAGTTCCTTCTTTTAGGTAAGTAACGTATAAATAGTTTTGAGTCATTTAACCTTAGCGAGATACTCGTTAAGCTAGGTAGCTCCCTCTTGCGGATTACTATCTAAACTACCGCTTTCATCAGCGGCGGTAAGGGGAACCGTAGATTCGGGGTCGGTTAGGCATAGATTCGCTAGTGATTTATAGGCGACTAACGATTAGGTAGTTAAAGAAGAAGAATTAGAATTGTGAAGAAAAAGGGGGTTCTAATATTCATAGGATAGAGCCTATTAACTAGGTAAGACGAAGATGCCTAGAAGCGAACAGTATATTAAAGGAAAATAGAGACTAATTCTTAGAGAACCCCTAGGTTCTCCGGAGCAGATTATTTAACATAGGGGATCAGCGTTACGGTGAGCCAACGTGTCGACACCTATATGGTGTCGATCCTCTGTGAGTGCGAGAGATCTGTGCATGGCTTCTAAGGATTCCGTTACAGAAAAAGATGGGAAGAGTTTTAATTTCTCGGCAATTTATCTTCAGAAAGCCATTTCTCCCTCACTCATCCACTTTCTCTTTTTCAGGGCATACCCTTGTAACAAGCTCACCGTCCAAACTGTATGACTTAGTGAACAGACTCATGAAAAACATCAATCCAGAAATGCCGCAGCAAAATGCCCAGACCATTTTTAGACTATCAGCATAAACCTGCTTAAGGTCTCCTTTAACTTGACTGTCATGCATTCCTCGAATGACTTCCACCGCGCTCGCTGCATCGCCACTGTATTTATCAGCCAACGCTTGGAGGGCTGGATACTGCAACGAATTGCTCTTCATTCGATTTTGGAAAATGACACCACCGATAGCCACACCGATAGACTGCCCAAAGCCTCGGAAGGAAGTCGATGTAGCCACCGCAATCGCCAAGGTCTCAGTAGCTGCGGAAGCCTGCACTGCGAGTGCGACAGAGGGAAGAACCATTCCGATGCCGACTCCAGGCACAATATTTAGAAAGATCCAAGTGATCGTTCTGGTATTTGTGTCCAATAGGCAAAGCAGGCCCATTCCAATAGCCGAAAGACACCATCCAATGCAGACGGCCCAATAGTACCGGCCCGTTCGACTGATTAGAAAGCCTACAATAACTCCACTTGGGGCGATAGTGAAGGTTTCGGGGAAAAGCGCAATTCCTGACATGATAGGCTTGAATCCTTTCACGGCTTCGTAGTAGAGGGGAAGGAAGTATAGACAGCACCAAACGAGCAGGCCGACCACGGCATAGCCTCCAAATGATATGAGCGCCGTTCGGTTCTGGAAAATCGCTGGTGGGATCATTGGCAGTCGTGCAATTCGCCATTCATAGATCGCGAAGACGCAAAGTCCGACAGACCCGATAATCAAGGGTGCCAAGGTGTGCCACGAGTCCCAGGAATACAGGACACCTCCCCAGGTAAGCGGTATCAAGAACGAAGCAGAGCTTGGAATAAATAGGGCGATTCCTACGAAGTCAATCTTGCGCACTTGGACGGTAAAAGCGCCCTGCGTAGTCAGGGAATCGCCCGAAAAAGCAAGCAAGATTGCTCCGATTCCAATGAACGGGAAGTTGATATAGAAGATCCAGCGCTAAATATTACTGTTAATAGAACTCTTGTCAAGAACATAAATAGCTTCATACGTACCCAGGTGGCTTTCTCTGCAAAGCAGCCTCCGATAACAGGCCCGACCACTGTTCCCAAACTCCAGATCGCACTAAGCATACCAAAGTATTTTGGTCTTTCGCTGAGAGGCACAATATCTGCAATGAGTATAGCAGTGAGAGTAATGACACCACCCCCGCCAAGTCCCTGTAAAGATCGCCCAATAAGCATATGAGTGAAATTATTAGCGACACCGGCAACAATCGCCCCGATCATAAACCATGCGATCGTGACAAGCACCAACGGCTTCCGACCGAATAAGTCCGATAATGATGAGAATACAGGCTGAAAGACTAGATTCGCGTGAGTCTTGTATGTCCTTGTTTCAGGTGACTTTCGTTAGCTCACCGGCAGAGCAGAGTGTGAAGGAGGTTCCGGTCCAGAATGCTTCGATTGCAGTTCCTCCAAGTTCATGAGACATGATCTGTTGATGGCAATGTCAGAGGTAAAAGCGCTTTATGACAGAAAGGGCAGGATGGAATACTGGCAAAGCAACCGAGATAGACGTCCCATCCAGCGCTGCCATCAAGCTCAGGATGGCCATCGCCGAAAGCGTCAAAATATCTTGTTTTGTGATACAAAAATTGTCACCATTTTGGACAATCTTTGAATTGAGTATTCCTTTTTTGTTGTCATCCTTCTGAAAACCTTCAGGGCATGGAATTTCCATTTTGTTGACTTCATAAGGGAAAACAAAACGGTGGGAGCGTCAACAAGTATTCGCGGACATTTTTTTGATCATTATCTTCCTAAGAAATCTGATGCATAGTTTTCTCGGTTGTCAATTAGACCCATATTTGTTTCGCTGGTCAGGGGTCAATTATGACTGGCCTGCATACGCCCTTGCTTGGGCTGGATGCGCTAGTAGGAGCAAACTGCTTTGGTACTCTAGGTAGACGTGTAAGGAGTGTCTTGCAGGTTCTCGTTTCCACAAAGCTGGTTTTATCAAAAATAAGCAACGATAGCATGCCGTGGGATTGGTACAGTATGTAGCCTGCAAACTTCGGAATATGGCTGCGGCTGTTCTCTGACTTCAGGAGGGGTTTAAAAGATCTCGGCCAATTGAAAAGCAACGTCGATATTTTGGCGCCACAAGATGTAAAAAAAAAAAAAAAAAAAAAAAGGGGGGGTTCAATAATTATATCTTACTATAGCCCGCTCATTTAGTCGTAGTAACTCGGCCACCTTGCTTTGGGCGGAATCGCACGTATTAGCTCAGGAAGACGGGCTCTGCCAAGTTTTCAACTTGTCACATTTTCAAATTAGCTGCAAAAGACCGGCTTGTTCTAATTATGTGCCCTAACTTTTGTATTTCCTTTTTTTTTTTTTTTTGGAGGTTTCCTCGAAATTAGTATGATTCGAGAAGTTTGACTATCCAAATACATCATGTCTCCCTGCTGGCTATCTACACTTTCATCTTATAAGCCTCCTCTAGCTTAAGTCCCATAACATCACCATTGCCTGCACGCAAACATGGTCACTTCCAACCATTCTTCAAGTCCGATCAAGATTCTATGGGATATTAGAGCTCTGAGCTCTCGAATTGACTGGCTCCGCTTATGGATAACCGCCGGAGCACCCCTCATTGCAATAATAATCGGCACCCTCTGGGTACCATTCCAATATCGCACCGGAATTTTTTTCTTCACTTATGCGACAGCATCTGGAATCAGCGTTACTGCAGGTGAATAATACAACCCATCCTGCTACTCGGACTTATTTTGACGGAGAACATAGGATATCATCGCCTTTGGGCACACCGGGCATATTGCGCTGGAAATTTTCTGAAGGTTATACTCGCAATTGTCAGCACCAGCGCAGGACAAGGCTCGATTAGAACATGGTGCAGAGACCATAGAGCCCACCACCGCTATACAGACACTGATAGGGATCCATACTCTGCCCACAAAGGACTTTTCTATTCTCACTACGGATGGGTCGTGATCAAACGCAAGCGAGAACAAACAGGCCAGGTGGACGTTCAGGATCTCTCGAACGACCCAATCATCCTTTGGCAGCGCAAGCACTACATTCCCTTATTCTTTCTGACCGCATTTATATTTCCAACAGCATACTGCGGACTTATGTACGGTGATTTTGCTGGAGGATTCATATGGGCCAGCTGGGTTCGATTATTCATGATCCAACAGGCAACCTTCTGTGTCAATTCTCTCGCTCATTGGGCTGGGGATCAACCTTATGCCAGCCGCCTTTCGCCAAGAAACTCATTTTTTGTCGCTCTTATCACTTGGGGAGAAGGGTATCACAATTTTCATCACGAGTTTCCAGTGGACTACCGCAATGGGATCAGATGGTTTCACTGGGATCCGACGAAGTGGTTTATCTGGCTCTGCGAGAAAGTCAATCTGGCCTCAGACTTGAAGCGGTTTCCCGAAAACGAGATTCAGAAGGGTAAATACCAGCAAATTCAACGCCAGCTTGAACTCCGGTGCCAAGAGATATCCTGGGGGACACCAATAGACGAACTTCCCGTCTGGAGTTTTGAAAAATACACCCAGACAGTTAACAACGGTCATCGTTTGCTTCTTGTTGATGGTGTTGTGCATGATGCTGCACAGTTTGTGGACCAACATCCCGGCGGAAAAAAGTTCTTGCTAGAGTATGTTGGCAAGGACGCTACGAGACTGTTCCATGGCAGCGCAATCCATGCTCACTCCAATGCGGCCGAAAACTTGCTCTCAACCATGCGATTGGCGAGGATCTCTCAGACTGCCAAAATTTAAGCTAGATTATTCAGTCGAGCTATGCGGATAAAAGATTGGCAAGTTCAATCGGATTCAATGGGCCTTCGTATGAGAACCTTATCTGGACAACGCACGAGTGAAGTGTTATTTTAGTATCGCAGTTCAATCACTTCAGAAAGTTAGAAACTAACGACCATTTCAATTGAAAACCAAAAATGATGCCAGCCCCGGCAAGACATCTGAGAAGGTTTTGAGATCTTCCGTCTAAATATAGGCCAAAGTTGTTAATATGTTTCTTGTAGTCCTCTACGGAAAATCTCATTTTCGACTCGTTTGTGAGATCAGGTCTCAAACTTACGACTTCAATTATAAACGATACGTCACACGTGAAATTAATAGCAAACAAAATGGTCAATAAGGGTACAGACAAGGTGACTACGTATATGTACTAGTCTTCGGCAACTATCCCCTGCCTAAGCCCTGGCTTGCATGATGTACGTACCTTGCTTCTGTTGCTTTATCAAATTAAGGAGCGTATCATGCCAACACTACCAACATCAATGGTGTGCCAATAGATCAAACTCAAATGACGCCGCCTGCTTAAGATGTGTCAAATCGTTGCTCATTCCCCTATCCATGCGGTCTTCAAATTTTAAGCCCTTCTCTCAGATCTAATTACATAAACTCTCTGGCTCGTCCAGCGAGAATTGAAGAACAACAATCAATGACTGCCCCTTCGTTCGAATCCAAAAGCCCCTGAGAGGAATTCCCCTGAGACTTTGACGTGGTTTTCGTTTTCTTGTTGAAATGTCTGTTCCGAATCTCTTAGTGCATTTCCGGCTTCCTCCTCGTCAGGTCTTTGATTGGCCTCCTGATGATGCCTCTCAAGCAGCTTTTCCGTATACACAGACCAAAGCAACATGGATGCACCCGATTGAGATCCCCTCCTATGTGTTTGGCTATCTTGCAGACGTCAAGGCACCTATAACAATAGCCTCGGTCTATATAATGACTGTGGTTCTACTCAACAACTTGAATAAGACCCGAGGAAATCGACCTTGGACATTTGCCACGACAGCGCCTTTCAAGTTATTAGTGATACTTCACAATATATTCCTTGCTACATTCTCAGCATGGACGCTCGCTGGCCTCTGCTTCGTGCTTTGGAGTTGCTGGCCATCCATGTCAGATCCGAACTTTGTCGCTCGTGTTGCGAATACAATGTGTCAAATCACTCCAACTGGTGAATTCGGTTATTCTGAAAACCCTGAATTGCTGGGTAGCATACCAATGACCTTTATGGACCATTCAAATCAACTATGGAGTGCCGGTGCTGGCTATTTTTCATGGTTCTTTTATATATCCAAGTTTTATGAAGCGGTTGACACTTTTATAATCCTCGCAAAAGGAAAACAAAGCTCATTTCTTCAGACATACCACCATGCTGGCGTCATGCTCTGCATGTGGGCAGGCGTCCGATATGCATCACCGCCTGCTCTTGTCGGTATTCTTCTCAATTCCGCAATTCATACTTTGATGGTACGCAATCCTCTCAGTCCAAATGAATATGATAGCTAACGAGACAAATTCAGTATACGTATTTCTCGATGACGGCGTTGGGCCTTCGGGTGCCCGTCTCAGTTAAGAGATCTTTGACGACTTTGCAAATTGGCCAATTTCTTCTCGGTGCAGCCATTGCCGTCTGCTATCTCTTCATTGGATACGACATTGCGACAAGCCAAGTTACAAATCTAGAAGCGGACCGCCTGATGAAATCAAACTATGGCAAAGTTCAGCCAAGCATGAGTAGCCATCCTGATTCCATTTCTTCTGTGCCCGTTGCCGGGCCGGTTTTTGAGGTCCAAGAAACTCCGTGTCTATGGAATAGTGGGCAGACACTTGCACTATTTGTGACTCTGGTCTACCTGGCTCCCTTGGTTTACCTTTTCGTATCCTTTTTCAGTCGTGCATATATCAAGCGTGTCAGGAAACTCGATTAGTAGGCAACAAGTTCTTAGGAGGAGAAGGGTGGGGGTCTTTAGCAATACTACAGGTATGTAGTTCAAAAGAATATGGTCAAGATCAACTATGAGCTTTTGTTTCTCAAAATATTATTGCATTGTATATCTAGCCACAATTTAGTTTTCTGGGCCACACATGACATGCCAAAAGGGGGTATATGGCTTTCTGTCTATATTGAGGGCTTTAAAATCTTACAGGATAACATTTCTTTTGTGGTTCTTATACATAACCTTCAACCAGACGCTACCATTACCTAAGGTAAAACGTTCAAAATGCTATCAAATATTGTTATCAGATAAGATAGGGCTTTATCACCATGCTCAATGGTCGGAACGCATCGCGCCTCGCTAGGAAGATGCATCAGACATGGTGGCATGTAAGTTGACCATAGAGATGGCTAAAGCCCTATCCCACGGGGGTGCCTGCAGTCTGGCAGAGTGCAGGCTAGGGTTTTCACTATGGGAGAAAAGTGGGTCGGACGCCTGACTGCTAAGGTCTAGAGGTAGAGGCCTCTGATCGGTCTAAAATTCTGGTAAGTTATAATAGAGTATCTCAAATACCTCCTACTTTCATCGGAGCATGCGTAGGCGGGTAGTGCTCGAGAAATAGGCGGTTGAAAATCGGAGATATTTTCATGGGTTGCGGGAAAATGGGCCCGTTGGGGTTGCGACCGTGGCCTAAGGTTGTATTCTATGTATTGAAATAGGGATGGCTCGATGGCAGTCTGATATAGCAGACGGGTCGATATCAATGGATAGAAGACAACCAACCACCCCCAGGCCCACTGTAGGCGTGGAGAGTAGTCTTAGGAAGCGACTGAAGTACTGATCTTGAAGCTATATCATGAATGAAGAATCTGGTGGAAAAACTGTAGTCATATTGATGATAGATGGATACTATCCCTAGAAGGAGAAGACTGTATGCAAGCTTCCTAGGGTATTTGCGACACCTTAGGCCAATAATACGCTATAGTCACGGGTTCTACCACTATATACTACCCCCCTGATAAATCAACCGTCCGTTGGTTGATCAGTGGCAGGCATCCTAACCGTCAAAAACACCTCTAAGCATTATGACTCGCCGGCGATAGCACTTACAGCGAAGGTAGATCGGTGGTAAGACCTAGCTCCTTGCGCCGGAAGAAGGAATCCTTGCTAAAAGCCTGTTTCTCCGCTTCTATTATCTTATAGAATAGACAAGCATACGTTTGCTAGGTCTTAACTCTCTAAGATACGATATAGTTAGCGGTAGCCTGCTTATCTTCGCCGAATAAGGTGTCTAACTACGTAGAAACACTAGGTTCTATCTAACGAGCACGGCTAACTAGGTAGTCAGAGATTAAGCCCTCTCCCTAGAAGCGTAGCGCTGTAGGAAATGCGTATAGTAGACGACCGTACTTACTGCTAGTGAACCCTAAAGGTGTCCTAGCTGCCTACACGAGATCTCTAGAGGCCGCTAAGACTTCTTCTTAAGTGCTAGATGTTACGCACGACTAACGGGTCGTCGCTATGTTAGAAGGTTCCTAGGTTATACTTTCCTAATGCTTTTCTGCTTCTAACGTCAACGATCTGTCTCTCAACCGTACCGTTGCCTAACAGGCCTTACACGGGCTAAGTCCTTTTGAGGGTATCGAGGAGCAATGCTAGATAGAGCGCCGAACTAACCTATACCGAGGTACGGGCCTATTCGTAGTGTTGTTAAGTTATAATCAAGTTGTACGAGTCACCAAAGGTTCTGAACAGTAGACACAAGTAACAATGTATGATTGAACACGAAGAACTAAACTAGATATATAAATAAGTGTCCTCATATATCCTAAGTCCTTCTAAAGTAGAATAGTAGAAAGTAGAATAGTAGATCTAGCTTATGACGTAAAAGAGGTGGTTGATGCATCCCGTTACATGCAACAGGGTAACCATATTGGCAAGATCCTGATTCGCATCCCGCAAGATCCTGCTGAATTCCCTGCTGCCTCGAGCAAACACCCTAGCTCTCTGTCTCCCAATGCCTCTTATCTTTTGGTTGGGGGCATGGGTGGTATTGGTCGCTCAGTTGCCACCTGGATGGTGGAAAGAGGGGCTCGATGCTTTGTCTTCCTGTCTCGCTCAGCTGGAAAATCGGAACATGATCAACGGTTTGTTCGTGAACTTGAAGACCAAGGTTGCAATGTGGTCTGCGTACCCGGTAGCGTCGCTGAGTTAGCAGATGTGGAGAAAGCTATCGCGCAATGCTCTTTGCCCTTGAGCGGTGTTCTACAGATGTCTGGAGTTCTACAAGTAAGTCGAATATTCACTTAAGAATTGTCCAGCCAGTTTATGGAATAAAACGTGCTAACCTGTGTGTTCCGTATTTACCAGGACTCCACCTTTGGCGAAATGACGCATACGCAGTGGACATCCTGTCTAGCAAGCAAAGTAAAAGGCACATGGAACTTGCACAAAGCTACCCAGAATGAGAAGCTGGACTTTTTGATACTGTTCATTTCAGTCTCAGCAACCGGGGGAAATCCTGGACAGGCAAACTACGCAGCGGCGAACACGTTCCTTGATTCCTTTCATCAATATCGTCGGGGGCTAGGACTGCCTTGCGGTGTGATTAATCTTGGTCCTGTTGAGGACTTCGGTATGCTCAGCCATGACCAAGCCCTCCTGGAAAAGATGCGCTCTGCGGGAGTTCGTCTGGTCAGCGAAAAGGAGCTCGTGGGAGGCCTGCAGAGAGCAATTCAACAGGCTCAGGAACCCCAGTCTGTGAAATGGAATATCAGCAGCTCGTGTATCGTGGGCTTAGGAACCACGAGACCTCTTTCGGATTCCAGTGTTCGCTGTCCATGGGGCAGGGATACCCGGTTTTCAATCTTCGCCAACATCGATTCTACGGGAACTACGACGGGAGATGAAAGCGCGGATGAACTCAAGATCCTTTTGCGGAAGGTTGAGCGGAATCCTGCCCTTCTTGATGATCCGGAGTCAGAGCGCATCATCTGCCACGAACTGGCAAAAAAGATCACACAACACAAGGCAGCCAAAGAGGACATGGACGAAGAAGAAATGAGAGCCATCGTGATTGATTCCTTAATGGCGATCGAAATTCGAGGCTGGGCTCGTCGTAACATGGGGTTGGAAATCAGCCTTGTGGAGATCGGAAAGGCTGGCACTGTGGGTGGCTTAGCAGCGGCAGCCATTGAATATCTCAAGGTAAAACATGGTGTCACGACAGGTAGGACACAGGAAAAAGCTGGTGGTAGTGAGTGAAGTCTTTCAGCTTTCCGCACAATGAAATGAAATTACTGCGGATTCCATACTTGATTGAGCGTGTGGGTTTTCCCCAATATGTCACGTTTTCAGCCATAGTATAATTAAAGCGGGAGATCTGTCTGCGAACCACATGGCTGAAAAAGGCGTCGGCTGATGCCGAAAATGGCTACAGTTTGATAAATCCATGATCAGTAGTGGTGAACTAACCGCCGACACCAAGAACCGGTTGGAGCGCAGAAATCATTTTGTGAAACGTAACATCAGCAATGAAAGCTCTACTGACCTCAGGAACCTTCACCCAAAACTCAACTTTCTATTGACTATCTTTTAACATATCGTTATGGTGGTTAGCGAACACCCCTTGTTCGCTCAAGATGGTCCCTGGATCACCACTTCCCATACATCATTGTAGTGTTTCTGAAGTCTGCGATATCTACGCCCGAACCATAGTCCGCAGAGTATCTTGCTGCGGTGGCCAGTAAATGCTACGGGGATTTCCCAACACAACCGCGCCATCTGGGCAGCTTATCACAGAGTATGGCTATGGGCCACGACAGGCCTCGACTAGGCTCTAAGTTCGTCACGATACATGTACATACATGGATTTATATAGTTGTGGTAGCCCACATATCGTTTCGACAGTTGGATCCCAGATTACGTGATGTATAGATTAGTTAGTTAGTAGTGGCAGCCTATACCACTCCAGGCAGAGGCAGCTACCATGACTACAAATAGCTGCGCCTACTCGCGTAGTTAGAGAATGAGAGAATGATTAGCACCCTTGTACCTCCATCCAAGGTCTCACCTTCAACGAGGGGTCAGGGTAAATGAACTACACACACACATACTGTACTGCTCCTGTTCATGCAAGTTCATATTTTGTACTATCCAATTTCGGTATTTCTCCTTTTCTCCATTGGAGGAGATTCAGGATCCGTCCGGGGTCACGGCGCGGGGTAGTGACCGTCCGGGGTAAAACTGGCCGAATCATGGCCCGCGGATGAGATGACACCGAGCCGTGTCTGACTCTGGGATTCGTCAGGTTCTTTAAAGATCGATAATATTTATCTTGGATCCTGCACGTGCGCCCAACACCAACCCCCCAAGCCTAAGCATGGTATTTTACAGAGATAGAGAGATCAAGCATCATAAGCATCCGACTTCATGTTCGGAGGCTAGCGTTCGAAGACATTCTGATGGGTCACGTTTGCTGAATATTTGCCCGTGTACTCGATACCCGGAGTCAAAGCACAGCGCCAACTAATCATTAGCGCTTATCCTCTCCCAGCTCCTCGGTTAAATTCCCTCGCCCATTATGATAGGCTCAACAGAAATGAACCACCCGGACAGGGAATCAGGAGGACCGGATCTCAGAGTGCACAAGAAAAAGCTTGGGACGGGACACAGGCATGACTCGCACTAACTGAAGGGGGGAGGATTCTGGACTCTCCCCTACGACCCAAAGCAGGAATTCTCCGGCGAATGGAACGCCACATCGAGACCCACACAGGAGACCCCGCAAATGAACCAGTGCATTTCCTCCCGACTAGCACCTATCAGATGACTCCGCTCGACAAGAGCCAACCATAATCAAGCGACGCTGCTACCGTAGTGCCCGGAAAATGAAAAAAAATGACCTTCATGAGCTGAGATGTTGGGTTGAGGAGGTCAAGGTCCGGAGTAAGCTTCGCTCAATTGAGCTAAGCTCAGGATCACCATCACGAGCGTGTTGTCGCAGGTATAAAGATCTGAAACCCCCAGTCGTGCCTGCCTCTCTTCCATTCACGCGTTTCTCTCAGAAATCGTCAACATGACTAGCGACATCTCAGAGAAGCAGACCTCAGCGTCGGAGGTCGAGGCGCAGCCCACCTCCACGGGCGGACCTGTTTACGATGTTGGCGAGAAGGTCGACTACGACAGAGCCGGCGCCATCGAGGCCGAGCAGATCGAACATAGTATGACTGTGCTCCAGGCTGTCAAGGCCTATCCCGCTGCCAGCTGGTGGGCATTCGTGATGTCATGCACCATTGTAAGCTCTTGCCATGATAGGCAGATCATTTCTCTAACGTTGCGATAGATCATGGAGTCATACTGTGTTTTCTTAATGGGACAGTTCATAGCCACAGCTCGATTCGCCGAGGATTTTGGTGTAAAAAGCGAAACAACAGGCGAGTGGATTATCGAAGCTTCATGGCAGTCAGCATTCCAGTGTAGCGGGCCAATCGGTGCCTTCATCGGTGTATTCATCGCAGGTCCCATTACCAGTTGGATTGGATATCGATGGGCAACCATTGGCGGTCTCATGTTCTTGAACGCCTTCATCTTCATCTTCTATTTCGGCAACAGCCAGGGGATGTTTTTCGCGTCCCAGATCCTGGAAGGCATTCCGTGGGGCATTTTTATCGCCAATGCACCCGCCTACTGTGCCGAAATTGTGCCAATGAGATTGAGAGCTCCAGCGACGCAGATGTTGCAGATGTTCTGGGCGATTGGGGCGATCATAGTCGGCGGTATCACTTACCACTACCAATCCAAGGATGACTCGTCAGCGTACCGGTTCGTCCGCTCCCGTAGATGCCATCGAGGAGCACTGTACTAACAGTCATCCCAGAGTTCCCATTGCACTCCAGTGGATCTTTCCTACTCCCCTCGCTATCCTACTCTTCCTTGCGCCTGAATCGCCCTGGTGGCTCGTACGAAAGGGCCGTCTGGCGGAGGCAGAGAAGGCTGTCAAACGCCTTGGACGCGCGAGTGCAAATGATAATCCCGCTGACGCAGTCGCAATGATGCGTCGCACGATCGAACTCGAGAAGACTGAGAAGAAGCCCAGTCTCATCGAACTGTGGAAAGGTACTGATCGCTACCGCACATTGATTGTGTGCGGTGTGTACGCATCTCAGAATCTGACGGGCAATCTGATTGCTAACCAAGCGGTTTACTTTTTCAAACGTGAGTCCAGCCATTTCCTGCAACCTCATAGCAGACTAACACCAGCTCAGAGGCCGGCATGGCGGACAATACCGCATTTGCACTTGGTCTCATCACTTCTGCCCTCCAGTGGATCATGGTCATGCTCTCTTGGGTCCTCACCACATACCTCGGCCGACGCACCATCTATGTCTATGGTCAATTAATCAACTGTGGATTCTTGATCGCGCTCGGTATTGCGGCTTCATGTGGCGCTAGTATTGCGGCTAGCAATGCGCAAGCATCGCTTGGCTTGATCGTCTCCGTCCTGTTCTGCTTGGGACCCGCCCCTGCCTCATGGGTCATCATCGGCGAGACATCTTCCGTTCGTCTCAGGCCACTGACAACCGGTATTGGACGAGGTGCCTACTACTTGGTCAATATTCCTTGCATCTTCCTTGCCAGCTACATGCTCAACGCTGATAAGTGGAACCTGGGCGGCAAGAGCGGCTACATCTGGGCTGGTACCGCCTTTATCTGCACCGCCATGGCTTGGATCTGGGTTCCAGAGATGAAGCACAGGTCCTTCCGTGAGATCGACATTTTGTTCCGGCGTCATGTCCCGGCTCGCAAATGGAAGCAGACGGTCGTCGATATCCGCGATGATGAGTAGATGGAAATTGTCGTTCGGAGAAGCCTGAGCGGTACTGCTTGTGCAGGAATGGGTGGTAGAGATGTGTTCCTTACTATATACTTACAGGTAATTATTTTCAAGATGAGTTGAAGGGTGAGGATCACGGCGGAATGTACTGGATCCTCTACTCTCGTCGGTAATGGCTGTTACAGTACCAGGCTTGCTTTTGGTATATCTGATTCAAGAGGCTAATACCACGTGATCCTGACAGAGCAGGATAGCTGAGTCTGATTTATTTATACAAGCTTTCTGCCCTCGCTTCGCTCGGGCTGTTGAGATACGGAATGGATCGCATGGTTGCTATTACGTGAGCTAGCTAGCTAATTTAACCCCTGTGTAATTACTTAATACTCGCTTGCCGTAAGTTAGTTGCCTACCTAGCTTGCTTGGCCAGCCCAAGTGGCTGCCTACGGCAAAGGCAGCCAGTATGGCTTGGTGCCCTACTAAGCCCTAGGGATCACATCCCTCCCCACTTGCCGGCATTTCCTACCTAGGAAATAATGAAGCTATTTGGAACTTTCCACCAAGTTATCCGAACATTTCTACTAAGTAAACAATGAAGCTATTTAGAAGCTTCTAGTAGTAGCTCTATTAATAAAGGAGGGAAGTTTACGAGCTTAGACAAGCACTTTAGCTTCGTTAATATAAAAGTAACTATCTTCCCTCTCCTTTTTCCCTTCGTTTTAACCACTTTTCTACCTCGTTATCACTTACTCCTCTCTTATTATTAACCTATTAACTAAAATAGCTTTGTCTAACTCTCTTATAGCTTCTCCACTATCTCAGGAGGAGGACGCGATAATGGCTTCGCTGTAAAGAAGAGGGTTCTAGTGTTTACAGGATAGAGCCTGTCAACTATGTAAGACGAAGATGTCTAGAAGCGAACTGTATATTAGAGGAATATAGAGACTGATTCTTAGAGAACCGCTGGGTTCTCCGGAGTAGGCTATTTAATATAGGGGATTAGCGGTACGGTGAGCCAACGCTAACGTGTCGACACCTATAGAGTGTCGATCCTTCGTGTGTGGGAGAGATCTATATATGGCTTCTAAGGGATCTATTACAATTATCCCCTATCTAGTATAGGTGTCCGTACGGAAGGTGCGGGAGGTGCGATCAGCAGTCGCCAAGCGAGCTGTCCGAGCGAAGATCAAATTGCGCTGTGAGGAATAGTGGGAGAGCGATAGGACCGCTCAGCCCACAAAGCGCCTACTTAAATGGCCCAATAAGAAGGATTTGAGGTCGTACGAATGCGTGTTGAAGCCGTACGCGGCAATCATGGTACAAATGCGGTCTATGCGCATTGGACTTCGACATTTCCTTTATAAGATCAATGCGCTGGATTTCGATAAATATCCGTGGGGAGAGAGCTCTCAAATGCCAAAGCACGTCCTGCTACGATGTGAGACATTCGGTGAGCTCCGAAAAGAGCTGTGGGATAAGCTGAATGTGCCAGCAACCGGCCTGTCGAAGAATGGCAGGCCAAATCCTACTGATTTCGACACTATCGTGTCAAACCCGCTGGTAACCCTCTACGTTGCCAGATTCATGCACCACACCGGTCTCCTTGCTTAATTTCAACAAGTCGAGCCCGCTGAGGATGATACCGACAGCGAACCTGAAGGCCTTGCAGCCATGGGGCAGAGCCCCGAAGACGCTGGGTACTCACCACGGAATTACACAACGACTGAGGAAGGAGAGAGCCTCAGCCAGCTATTTGAATAAACGCTGCCTGACTGGGTGGTAACCGATTACGATAAACATCTAATTGAGGATGAAGCGGGAGCTTCGGCATACGGGACCTGGTCTCGCTGCATGAAGACTGTGGAGGTTGAGAGTGTGGAGATATATATGAAGAGGTGGATGGTACATCCATTCATTCTTTTATATCCATTTTTAATGCATTTACTGCATGGAAATTGGTCTCCTTTGTCCTGCTTTTTGCATGAGATTTATTGTCTTTTGGCATTTGATTTATATGTATTGAGCTGGTGCTTTCACTCTTTGAGGACCAGCCTCTCGCTATTTGTACTAGGGCATGCTCAGGCGTACGGATACGGGTTCTTGCTTCATCTCGTAAGAAGCGCCTGCATAGTCATTACGATACTAGTTAGGCTCCAACAGGTTAATAGAGCTTTGATTGATTGATTGATTGAATCAAGAGTTGGTTGACTCCTGACTTGTGCCGGGTCGAGTCTGTTTGTCTCGTTCGCATATATCACCTCATCATGAGGTTTGGTACTTCATCCAATGATCTGGTGTATCGGCATCCTTGAACTTTTCAATAGCATTCGCAACACCCGTCACCATTCACCTTTCAATCCCCCGATTCCACACGCTCCGCCCAGTTCAATAATACTTTGTGAATGCATGAACTATGTGAGCCCCATGGCAAAATACCAGTAGGTTGATGATCCCGATAGAGCTTATCATACATCCTATCAAGACTCCATTGCTACTTCGTGCGTAGCCATTATGCCCGACCTCAAACGGGAGTAAGAGTCGACTGTCGTTTCCTGGATCATCACTGATAAAGGCATGGACAGCTTCAAGATATAAGCCAGCTGGAATCTCTTTTCGCCCGTCTGAAAGCCACCTAAGACTCCAGGGTGTTGTGTTCTCTCCATCTCCTCGGAAGAGGAGAAGTGGAGGAGTGACATCTCTGTCTCCGTATGATCCTCCAAGATTCTTAAAAGGTTGAGCTGTGAATTCCGTTATATTTTGAATCCGAATCCCCGGGGCGATATAGTGGAAGTTGATATAGCGAATAGGAAGAGCTAAGAGGAATTCTTGGGCAAAAGGATCCTTTCGCGAGAGCCACTTATCCATGATCCAGTGCGGGTATAGAAGGTCTATTCCGTCATTTGATCCTAGGAGAATTTATGTTGATTTCGGAGGGAGTCGAGATTCGATTATATCGAGAAGACGGCTAAAGGCCACGACGGCCTGATGGACATCCTGTTGAGTATGTTGATGAATCTCCCAGGGAAAGGATTCCGAGGGCGATTCAAATTCGATTTTTGGACTTCGATCTATAGTCACTTTTCATCAGTGATCATTTCTAGATAGACATAGAGAATATGCTGCAAAGGCCTCCACGGCCATTTATTTTTCGCATCAAAATCAGCCTCCGACCATTCTGGGAAAAAGGCAGCGAGCTCAGCCTCTTGATCGAATCTATTACTTGTGTTAATGCTGATGTATGTCCCAAATTGATTGAATTCAATCTCGTTAACTCACAAGATACCGACTTCATCTTCGCTTATAGAGCCGGTTGATTGATACAGCCACACGTATCGATCTCCTCGTGAATCAAAGGTCGGGATGTCCTTGAGATCCTCTTTCTGAGAGACGCCACTTAAGTAATAGAAAATGTTCAACCCGGAGATAGGGGGATATGGGGCTTCGATAGCGGATCTGGCCGACCGCAGAAATCGAATCAAGTTGGGATTTAGGCGTGAGGCGAGGTCGAATGGAATTGGGGAAGCCCTCCTTGGTTGGAGTATACCTTATGCGTCTTCTCTCTCCAGGCAGTACGGCTGTATTCGAAATTAGCTTCAATCTCTCTCACAGAGAAACTATTCTCAAGCCCCACCGCCAAGACGATGGGCAACCGACTAGGCCATATTCGGCTAGAATGCAGATCAGCCGTGCTCGTCAGAATGGAAATTAAATTATCTGACAAAACAGATACGCCGGGTGGTTTGTGGTTGGAGATTCCAAGATTACTGTTCGTCTTCGGTTGGGTGGGGAGTTGAGGTATGACGCAGGGATATACATTCAATGCAAATAATTTCTTCTATCAATTACAGAGCCCGTTTTGTCGGGGCAGGCGACGTACAATCATTCTATTGGCACTCAACTATCTAGCTCCAGTACTTCTCTGTATCTCTCACCCATACACGGTATAAGCAATAGCTTTTGGAATCCATCCAGTCGTCCCGGGACTTGTCCCTCCTGCCAACCCCTTGCAAAATCACCATAGAGTACAGTTTTAGATCGCAATTGATCTGATTCCGCAAGCCATGAAGCACTTTCACTGAGATCCCATAGAGTAACATCGGATGTGAAGGGCAGTATACTCATTGCCTTGACATTCGGACAGCACCCGGTTTTCAGTGTCAGATACAAGCCCTCAATCATCATGACGAAAATTATTGTTCTTCGAGTACTCTCTGCCAATATCCATTCTTGCCATGTGAGCGCAGGGGTCAGCTCTTCGGCTCGGATTTGTAATTGAAAGGTCCAAATTCGCAATGTATCCATGTGCTGTTCTGCTAATGAGCGCTGTCGAATATCACCATCGAAGAGCTGAATAATTTGAAACAGCGCCAGTGCATGCACTGCGGCGAGGAGCTGGGACAAGGCACCTGTGTGGTGGTCCTGCTCCACGAGGCTGGTAGTCTTGCTTTCCAGTATACGGAAAATCAGATCCTCTGTTTCTGATGTCTTGGTACTATAAGCTGCCAAAACTGTAAAAGCATCTTGAATAGTATTGGGCAAGTATGCATCGTAGAGGCGGGAATGAATGAATGGTGTTTTTCGAGAGCTAACAAACAACTGCGGGTAGCATTTGATATTCTGTAAGAGTTGATTGGTTGACCATTTATCTAAGATGGTGGTTTCTGGGAAAAATGCAGCTGGAGATAGTGATGGTACGGTGAGCAGAGAGGGCATCGAAGTAAGCCATGGGGTAGTAACACTCGTATCGTCGGATGGAGAGTCATTTAACGGCCAAAATGATAGAGCCTCATTGGAGACGAGGGAGGTTTCTGACCACACTTCCGAAAAGTGTGATGATTCCAACTGTCTCGAGATATTCTGGCGCTTCTGTTGGGACCATGCACTCAGGTAAGTACATTCCAGCCCCTGGGCAAGACACCGTGAGCACTGCGGGGTTTGACGATTACAACGCCGCTTCCCCTCGGCGCAAGCAATACATGACTTCTGCCGTGAGCGCGCATATGGCGATCTATAAGCCATGTTCTGTATTTCTAAGAGAAAATAAGAAAATTGGCAACAGATAGGCAGCCCCGGAGGGAAACAAGCCTGTGATGACATAGGTCCGCAGAACTCCGCAAAGTCCGCAAACTCCCTAAACTCCGCAAGGCTGCACAGCTTGAACTACTATGTGCAAATTCCAAAATCTGCAATTGAGAGTATGGCGGATATGTAACTATAGTTTGGAGTCAAATCCATATAAAGGAGACAAATGAATATTATGGATTTTCTAAACTACCCTCGAAAAACAAAACATATCAGTTCTTGCTTTGCAATGGCCATCACTGAGCTTATTTTTCCAAGCGTCAAAACAGACTCAGCTTCACTCAAGGAGCTTGAAAGAGACTGGCCAAGGTTGAGCAAAGGATTGATCGATCCTAATCCCGGCCTGCTCTGCGCATTCCGTGGATGGATATTGACAGAAGATGGGCTGGATGTAAGGGAGGCCTATAAAGAGTTCCTTCTTTTCGGTAAGTTCACCTGGTGCGTCAAATTTGAGTATATCTGATCTGGCATAGAGTGGGACTCAGCCGACTCTTTCCATGCCTTCATCGGCTCGCAACAATTTGCTGCTTTTGCTAGCTCAATCAGGCATTTGGTGACTGGGCCGCCCACCTTGCAACTGTTTGAAACAAATTTGTCCCCAAGAGATGCAGCTTCGGCGCCTGTAGTTGAAATAATTCGGGTGAGGGTCTCCAATCCAGAGGATTCCGAGGGAAGCCTTTAAGTATGGGAGAACATATCCCGTCACCTAGCCGGTAATGGAGAGGGCACGACATCTGTAACCTATGGCAAGAGCTCGAACCTTGGAAAGGAAGTCATTATGGGTATCATAGGATGGCAAAACTTGAAGGTAAGCTAAAGTATCCGATCTACCATAAATGCCTTGCTAACCATTAACAGGAATACCATGACATGTCCCGAAAGGAGATTTGGTCGGAGACGCTGGATTCTCTCAAGTCGCTGGGGAAAGTGTCACAGATAACTGTTGGCATTGAGGCAATGGACCTGGGTGTGTCGTAAGACGTTGAGAAGTCGCTTTCTGAAGGGGAATTGATAATGTATACTTCTCTCTTTTGACATGCTTTTGAGGCTTCGCTTTTAGCAATTTCTCAATCATCCAGACCAACAAGACATACAAATCGAAAAACTTTGCTCGATACAAAAGGCGATAACTACACAAGTCGTGTGGGGTTGGTGCGATGGACGCTAAACCTGCTGTAGACTGGTAAGGATCTAAATAAACTTAGTAAGCTTGGCGGCATCTCAGTCAAATTTTAATCCAATCCCCTTGTAACCACCACACCGCGGTCAGAAAGTGCTAAGTCGCTGCCAATATACTATTACTGACACTCTATTACTCAAATACAATCTAGTTTCATTACTTTTCATATGAAATGTCGTGAAATCCAAGGGTTAATCAAAGAGAAGACTGAACAGCCGTAAAACACGGTTAAGTTACATGCGGCCGACGACAAATTCATTTTAGGAAGACCCGCTAACCGACATTAGCGTGCATCAACTTACGCTTCAGCCAATCATGACGGCCAAAGGTGGCCCTTGGTCTTGGTCTCTTTCGTAGGCTTACGCCTTAATTATTTCTCTCTCGCTCGTAACATCCTCCTGGATCTCGCTCCTCAGACACGCAGAGCAATCCTTCGTCATGATTTGAGTCACCATAGTAATGGTCCAGTAATGATAAGAAAATTACGCCATGGCGCTCGGGGGACTCGGAAAGTCAGGACGGGATGTTTGACATGCAAGTGAGTGAGCTCCACCCGTACCCAGTTGAATCAGCTTGTAAATCTTGCGGTAGAACCAGGCATAAGAAGTGCGATGAGGCGAGGCCAGCTTGCTCATCCTGTATCAGAGCGGGCTGGAAATGTGACTTCGTCTCGTCGTCTTCCTCTGAAGCACCGCAGTACGCGATGACTCCGCCCATCCGTGGTCTGCGATACCCTTCTGTCAGACCTTTGTTAGATGGCGAACATGAGCACATGGAGTACTTCCAAGTTGTTTGTGCAGGGGAGTTCTCTCTATTTTTTGAGCTCCCCGCATGGAAAAACATCATCCTCCAGGCCACCCTCGCCGAACCAGCATTGCATCATGCGGCCCTAGCAATCGGGGCCTTGACCAGCAGCCGTTACCATCCTGACATATGGCATACACCCCCGGCGATCGCATTCTCAATTCGACATTATAATACAGCCATCCAGGATCTCCGCCGTCGGCTTGATGGATCTTCCCAAAGTCTAGAGCTTGCCGTCTTAACGAGCGTTGTCTTCAGCTATATCGAGTTTCTCCTAGGACTCGATAGCCGGACGGAGATGCATATCCAGGCTGGATGTGCCATACTTGAGAACCTCTACACGAGGCACGATAGGACACTCGCGGTTTCTACTCATGCCGGATCGAACTGCCAGGTTGGCAGTTTATATACTAGATATCATCTACTTGCCAGTGCTATGTTTCAGCTCACTGCTCAAGTCAATTGCTTAGTGGCATTTCGGTCGAACAGCAACAATTGATAAATAGATAAATTTTTTTAAATGAGTGAGATGTTAGTTCATGCCGACTTGTAGATGAAAGGCCTCTTACAATGCGATAAAAACAAACCGAAAATACCCAGCAAATGATCAAGAGTTGTAACACTGTGCACAACCTAATGTGCATAACACAAAAGCATCTATGTGCTTCCAATACAAGAGTTCGTATTAAAGTACAGCAGACGTCGGAAGACTTTACAACAAATCGCAGTCTTCAGAGCGTATCAAAGGTTTTTTTTTTTTTTTTTTTTTTTTTCAATAACACACTGCAGCCTTGTTGGGCTAAAAGTGCATAGAAGCCCATGCTCGTCATGACGTCGGTGTTCTGCAATGTTACGCTGGAGCCAATAACTGTAGGTTGAGAGCCCTTAGTAGTCTTAGCGGCTCTATGCCTAGTATGCCAGTACTGATCTAGAATGACTCTTTATCTACCGGACTAAATGTATATATGAGTCAGTTTCCCCCTCACCTCCGTCAGAAACTCATTGTATGATAATTCACATTCCACCCAATAAGTATAATCAACCATGGCCTACCCTCACTCAACTTACACTACCGCGCGTGCACTTACCTACTCTTACATTCATATCCTACCCCAATTCCCCAACACTCAATACATTCTCTTCCTGCACGGCTTCCCCTCTACCTCGCACGACTGGCGTCATCAGATCTCTTTCTTCGTAGCAAAGGGTTATGGAATCCTAGCTCCGGACTTACTTGGGTTCGGGGAGACGTCGAAGCCGAGTGAGTTAGAGATGTATAAGGCTGAAGGTATGGCTAGGGACATTGTTGAGATCATGGTCTTAGAGGGTGTTAGAGTGGTGGTGGGCGTGGCACATGATTGGTATGTCTTGCGATTCATTCTGTCTTGCTGCCAGCTGTCACATTCATATGGTTTCTAAACGAAAGAAGAGTCAGAAGGTGTGCCGAATTAGCGCGCAATTATGCTAACGCTTCTTCCACCAGGGGATCGTTCCTTTTGTCACGTCTAGCGAACTATCATCCAGAGCGCTTTTCGGCTTATGTCTTCATCGACCACGGATATAGTGCCCCTGGCCGTAGCCTCACTACCGCGATGATACAACATATCAATAGCTCGGTGCAAGCCAAGCTTGGTTTTTCGATCTTCGGGTATTTCCTATTTTTTAACGAAGAGGATGCTCCGAAGCTCTTAAATGAACATGTAAGTTCCCTTTAAACTCTGCAAATTCTGACTTGCTAAATATTGACCATACTGTAGTCTGAATCCCTGGAATCGCTTTTCTTCGCCAACGACAGCGAGATCAACAAGAAATACAAGGGCACCCCAGGCGGTTTGCGCACTTGGTTAGCCGAGGGCAAGATTGTTGATTTGCCGGCCTATCTGACATCAGAAGTAAGATTTCTAGCTGTAATACATGGGGTTTCCAGATAAGCTTACAAGGAACAGGACCATAAACATTATCAACACGCCTTCTCCTTCGAGAAAGGCGGCTATGGCCCTGCAATCAACTGGTATAGGGTTAATCTGCGTAATATCAATGAAGAAGATGAAAAGAGTATGTACCACTTCACTCTATACCTTCCGTCTCCCTTTCTTTCCCATTCAATTTCTTCCCCTGAAACTTGTTCTCTATCACCTACAATTTTCGCATCCTACTAATATGCAATACAGAAATTCCCACACCCGCTCACACCCTAACACACCCAACCTTGCTAGTCGCCTCTACCGGTTACATCATCACTGTCACGGCCAATTTTCCGGAGCAGATGCGGCCACTCGTCCCTGATCTCAAAGTTGAGAATGTGAATGGAGGGCATTGGCTGCAGTTAGAGAAGGCGGATGAAGTCAATAAGATCCTGGAGGAGTTTATGGAAGAGAAGCGACTAGTCTAAGATCTAGAGTGCGCAGAATTGAGAGCTTATAATGCAGAAATATCAGACATATCGAAAGTCTGCTGTAGACCCTTTGTCTAGCGAGTGAAAAGATGTCTACATTTCGAGCCTCCCCTCGTCTCTATAATTTATTTAATCTACTTGGCCGTTTTACTATCATGAGTGCCATTTGCCACGGTACATATCTTTAGCATTATGTGGCTTATTAGTTCCAAGCCTCCCTTTGTACTAAGGTTATGAGGGCTACCAATTTGTAATTTGGCATTGTCCGGAGCGCATGATGCGTAGAGGTGCAATGAGACAAGTGATTTTGTCGTTCAGGATATATTGTTGGCTTCTAATAAGGCCATCGGCCTGTAGAGTTCTCTTTAAGTTATATCGGTTTACACAAGCTGACGAGTCCCCGAGGCCGATCAACTCTATAAATGGACGTATTGCATCCAAGCACTACTATTGTACAATACACTCTTCGAGTGTCCAATATACAAGTTTCCATCCGCCACACGTTTAAACAGGGCATAACCGACCATTCTGATCAGGAAGACCGTCCACACTGTTAACGTCCCAGTTCTCACTGCCCACAGCGGTAGGAGCGTAGAACAGACCAGTAGGATCGTAGAGCTGCTTCAACTTGTAAAGACGAGCGTAGTTAGATCCATAGAACGCTTGCTGGAAGTTTGGCTCCTGGATGTCGGACTCGGACATGTAGGCGCCCGCGTCGGGGCAAGTAGCACGCCACTGACCCATGATAGTGTTGGTAAAGTAATCCATGTTCGCCTTGATGTCGGCGTTGCTGGCGTCAGCGTCCCAGCTGGTGGAGGTGATGGCGTGCATGAGGGTATCGCGGAATGCCGGGTTAGCGGCGTTGTCGGTGTAACCCTCCGGCAGCTCGGCCTTCATGTTGAAGGCAAGAACGGAGTAACCAGCGGAGATGGTGGAGCGGAGAACATTGAAAGTGGCGTTGAACAGGGAGTCGGTCTCCCAGTTGGCGCGGGGGAAGAGGCGGGAGCCGGTCATCATCGTGGAGATGGCGACGGTCTCCAACGGGAAGCCGGCCATCCAGGCATCATAGAAGTTGTCGTAGTAGGTGGAGTTTGGGGCCATGGAGATGCCTAGGGAGGAGAGTTCGTCGTACCAGGGCTGCACAAGGGCATTGTACTCGGCGAGGGTGTGGTTGACGGCGAAGAAGGGGTTCATCAGGAACAGGAATGAGTCGTTGCCGAGGGACAACACCCAGAAGTAAGCGTAGGTGCCAGCATCGGCATGCGCAGGGAAGCGCTCCATGTACGAGCGGACACCGGCCCAGAAAGTATCCACGGAGACACCGGAGCCAGTGGCGAAGCTGAAGGTGGACACAGTCACGCCGACCTTGGGGTGGACGCGGGAGATGACGGAGGTGACAACACCGAAGGTGCCTGGGCATGAAGGGTTAGATAAAACGCGTTGTTGGTCAAGGGGAATCGAGCTTACCACCACCGCCACCACGGATGGCCCAGAAGAGATCGGGGTTGCTCTCCTCGGTCACGGTGACAAAGCGACCGTTGGCCAGGACCACCTCCATGGCGAGGACTTGATCAGCAGCCAGACCGTAGATACTGGACAAGGGCGAGTGACCACCGCCGAGCACGTAACCACCAGCAACACCGACAGTCTAGCAGAGTCAATTAGCAGAGAGACAAACCGAGCTTTGGTGAGGAATCACATACCTTGCCCTCACCACCCACAACGGTGAATCCAAGCTCATTTGCCTTCTCGTAAATCTCGTGGGCCTGCACACCAGCACCCATCTTGACAGCGGGGCCCTGGTAGCTGGAGCTTTGGTAGTTCTCAATGTAGTCAATCTCCTTCAGGTGGTGGGTCCAGATACCCAGAGCGCCCGCACCGGTGGACTTGCCGTTAAAGTCGTGACCAGTATTCTTGACAACGAAACGGAGACCAGCATTACGGGCAAAGTTGACAGCCAGCTGGATTTGAGCCACGGTGGTGGCATTAACAGCGTAGCTGCTGTAGCCACCCACCGTGCAGGATCCAGAGGCGTTGGTCGTGGGCAGACAAGTCCTGCCCTCGAAGAGGGGCCACATCACAGAGGCAGCATCGGCAGCGCTGGAAATAATACAGTCAGGAAACTGCTAATAACGGTAGATGTAGAGTAGAAGTTCTTCGTTCACACTTACTGGAGGTTGGAGTTGGTCCAGTCATCAGTGATGACCGCACACTCATTGGCATCATATTCGGGCCAGGATGAATAGCAGGAGGCAGCCAGAGGGATTGTCTTGATGAGCGCACCCCCGAGGAACTTGTCAAAGAGCGACCACACCCAAGTCGACGGCCACCAGAAGTCGCCAGGGAAGACCTTGCACCCACCCACAGTCCGAGTGGACAAACTGGAGGAATTTTTGAACTGGAACAGAGCGGACTGGTTCGAGTTTACGCTCGCCAGTGCCTGGTCGGTCAATTGAAGGGTCTCACTCGTGAAGAGCGGAGCTCCAGACTGCGAGTCCGACGAAACTTGTTCGACCACCTGAGCCGAGACCGAGGCTGTGAGGGCGAGGGCGCCTAAAAAGACACCAGCAATCACAGAACGAGGCGCCATATTGAAGTACCGAGGAAGTAAAGAAGAGTTTTTCCGATGGAGCTGATAAGACCAAGGATCAACACTCGTGTGGCTCAGTTCCTTTCCCGATCGGCAAGGTACTCTCCAAAAGATCTAGATGAAGTGTGGGGACGAGGTGCTTTAAAGATGTTCGCCAGAATGGAAAGGAGCCATAAACGTTCGGCAATTGGATTTTCCGGCCATGGCCAAGCTCAATTACCACGAGGTGGGCGGCAAGCTTGTCAGCCTTCCTATACCTCATTGGGCAAGACAAAAGACCATGCAAGGGGAACCCATCAAATTGAGAACAAATTACTCGGAATCTCCTTTGCGAAGCCCTGAACAATCCCCACCTTGGCTGCTGATGATTGACCAATCGTGATGAGTCTGACTTCCCACGCCGATGCCCTCGTCCGAGTCACCACGCGGGAATTGCTATTTTGTGCTTCGGTGGCCCTCGCTGTTCTTTCGTAGCGCTGCGCTATACAGACGCCACACGCAGACAATATCAAAGGAACTGCATAGCGTGTAACAAGTGCTCTAGGCCATTGTCAGCGAATCTTTGGCTCTGACTTGTTTGCGCATCGGTGAAGGCACGTTCTGTTTATCTCCCGATCAAGCCCGGCCACGACCATAATATTGGAGACTGACTTAGCCCCTGCTGGACTCCATGCTTATCACGGAATACCCGGCAAAACTGCTCTTGCGTATCTTTGCCCTCGCTTAAAGAGTACGAAGTAGGCAGGACTGCTAGGCTAGTCCTCCGTCGTCGAAGCCTAAAGGAGCGATAGGAATGAACATACAGCCACACTTCGCACTATTGCGCTTCGGACTGACTTTTGGTGAAGGAGTTTGGATTAAACTCTTTGAGGTCTATTATCTACGTGGCCAGGTTTGGATTATACTTCTCGTAAAATTAGTTCGTAGAAAACGTAATACGCTGGCTAAAAAGGGGATAATGCATATACCCGGCTACGAAGCACGAAAAACGTATATGCGATCATAGAAGAGTACACGTGGTCCAGAGCACGAAAGGACTTTTTAAGTAACAATGCCATTTTCCCTCGGGTCTGAAAGGATTGCTCCCTCCCACTCACCGTAACCCTGGTCCTCTGGGAATATTCCGAAGCGGCCAGATTGACAAAGATCGGAGGACGCTTAGACTGGAAGCTTCGGCCGAACAGATAGTCCAATCGGGCGAATTTAGTAATTTGTCTTTTTCCTTCTTCTTGAAATTATCCAAGCGTGCAGCAATAATAATCGAGTCCAAGTGCGCTGCAGTGTACTCCGGATGTCAGAACTTTCCCCACTCAGCGCGGCTGTCGGAACCAGACACCCAGAACCAACGGCACATAATCGTATGCCCCCATATCTGCTACCTTTTTGGCCCACCATTAACAATTACCTTTGTGGGCGACTACTAGATCAATTCTTTGAAAGGCTAAACCAGGTACTGAACGTTTCCAATTGGCTCAATTAGGCAAGCGGAATGTCACTCCGTACTCTCTCGCTAACATGGATGGTTTTGCGTCTTAAAGTGTACACGATGCATCCATGCACATCTCCCTGGGACTGGGGGTATTCCAGCCCTGAGGACCAAAAGCAAGATGACTCTCAGATGTAACCGGCGCCAGTACGGATGCGGTTAGCCTGCTAGGATACAGCCAAGTAGTTAGTCCAGTAGGTACGTGCCGAGGCGATGGCGTAGAAGCCATGAGGAATTTTCCTTTTCTTCTGTTTTGTCCATGTGTGCGCTGAAGAAACATGGGTATCTATTTACAAGGTACGGATTCCAAAGTTTGATCCAACCTTATGCATTTCTTGGGACAAGGAAACCTACTTTTAAGTTCATGATTCCAGAATGCTCTTTGGGCAATTCACCACCTTCTTTCTATGCGATAGAGTTTGGTTGACTCCGTGCACAGACGACAGGAGTATCTCCCGTAGTTCCTCCGTAAAACAGCTCCTGAACACGGAGACGAAGCCCTCTCTCATATCAAACAAACCCTCTGGTGGGGACTTCGTAGCTTCGACGCTATCCACCGCCGGTTATCGGAAATTCCAGGCCCATGGATAGCCAATTGAGGCCTGGACCACATCCGCGGCTTGTGGTTTTAAGCCTTGTGGTGTTTATCGTGTAATTTTTGGAAATCCTGGTTAACAGGGCAGGGAGTCAAAGAGTCCGGCACAAATGTGGTTGTAGGCCTGTAACTGTAAATCTTTGCCTGTGGCGGGCGTTCTACATGGAAGGTTATAACCCCGAGACTCTGGCCGGAATTCATTCCCTCCTCTAATTTTTCCCTCCCAGTTTGGCCCCAAGAGGATGCGCGAGGATGGTTGATACTCATCTACAGAATTCTGCGCTGGGGATTGTGATTGCCTTCCCCATTTTGGCTGGAATCGCTGTCCTCTTGAGGCTCTGGAGTCGCCACTTATCACGATCGGCACTCACCAGTGGTATGAATGGGCCTTTCCCCAGTGATCGGCAGGCTACTAACGAGTCTACTTAGATGATTACTTGATCACGGTGGGATATGTATGGGAGCTTTCTTCCTTTCAAACGTCAAGACTTAGACACTAATGCGCCTCAATAGATTCTCGCCGTTGTCCAATCCGTCACCTCATGGTATTGTGGGTATACCAACGCAAAAACAAAAGAAGGTTCGCAGCATTGACTGACCCGAGCGCCCTCAGATATCGAAACCAACTACATCGGGATACACTACAACGATATTCCAAAAGACCGTGATGTCAAGACGGGGTTCATTGTCAGTATTCTGGCGGCTGTCAAAGATGGATGCTCTAACTGACCCGGAGTCATTGAACAGTGGAACTATGTCAACCAGCTGGTCTACAATCCCGCCTTGACCGTCGTGAAGCTGTCCATCTTGTTATTCCTGCGCAGGCTGGAATCTCGGTCGCGCGTGGTCAACGGCCTGATCTGGGGCGCCATGGCTTTCGTCGTCGGGCTCTTCATCGCGACACTATTCGTTGATATCTTCCAATGTCGTCCAGTCGCCTACGTCTACGATATGTCGATTCCAGGCGGCACATGCATTAACCAAGGCGGCTTTTACGTGTCGACTGCGGCGCTTAATTTGCTCACGGACTTGGTGGTGCTGTCAATTCCCATAATTATCACTTGGAGCCTGCAGATGCCCCTGCGACGGAAGATTGCCGTCTGCGTCATCCTATGCCTGGGTGGAGTGTAAGTTCCCTGTGTCTCGAACAGACGACACGATCCGCTTCCACCCAATCGCAATTGCAATTCTAATTTTAACCCCCTTCCTACAGCGCAACCGCCATCGGCGTCTGGCGCATCGTCATCCTAGCCCAGGTCTTCCTCACCCACGAAGTCAACCTCGACCCAACCTACAACATCGGCTTCTGCAGCTCCGCCATCGAAGTCAACGTCGCCGTGATCACCGCCTGCGGCCCCTCCATGAAAGCCATCGCCAGTCGGTACCTCCCTCGTCTCCTTGGCACATCCCGCCGCGAAACCTCCGGCTACGCCGCCGGCACCAGCGGCTCGCGCGGGCGATTCCCTGGCTCGAAGCGATTTACGAGCAACAATCTGCACTCTACTGAGGACGACAGATACGAGATGGCGGACCCAAATGCTAGGAATACTGTGAGTATTGGCCGAACCGGTAGCGGCCGCTTCGATATGCGCAAGTATCGCCGGGGCGGGGATAGTCCGAGTATTAGCAGTGGTAGTGAGAATGGGGTTGCGGGGATTGTTAAGACGACGGATGTGTCGGTTAAGTATACTGTTGGTGAAGTGACGCCGGATAATCGGTCGCGGGATGGGAAGCATGCCAGTGTGGATAGTTTTGTGTAGTCATGTCCACTGGGCGTGTATATGTGGTGGTTGGATGTTCGGCTTGGGATTTGGAAACGGGGATTGGACTTTGTATATGTACTTGCGAGAAACTCAGACGGAAGAAAGATTGTACTAGTCGTGGACCCTTGCATGATATCGATGGCTAACTACAGCATTGCCCGACGTTACTTTTTTGAGGTTATCACTTATTTCGTATCACCCTCCTCGGTATTGCTTCCAAATCGAACTCGCTTGAGCTTATTGCTCCCAGGAATCAATGACAAGTAAGTAAATTATAATTTCAATTGATACTCCAGGTCAATGTGTTACAGTAGGCATTTACATCTAAAATCAGGGACTGCGGTAAGAAAAAGAACACATGGAACACTAATATTGTTTTGTCTCATCTGGCGATAGAAAATGTCAACAATGGCACGTCAATTTAATTTCGGTTGAGCCTGTATTTGCTTCAGACTTTCCAATGCCATGTAGGAAGGTGAAGCAAAACCTAGTATTATGTATGGTAAAAGCCGTTTTGGACCAGTTGAAGTGGGGTGACACCATTGAGCTTAGTAAGCTTATCGACTAATGATCAATTTATCTTACGTTGGCGTTGACACGACACCTGACCAGTTTCACATGCAGGAGGTAGCACCTCGCAGTCCGTCCCTGCATTTGTCTCATCTCATCCGATCCTTCACCTCTACTCACGTCTGCGGACACACCCGCGGAACAATTGCAATCTCTTGAGCTGCCCCCTGAAGTGATCACCTCTTTTTGACGTTTTGTACGGAAAACAAATCGACAATGGCGGCGCCACATAATATTGATGAACAGGGAGAAATCGCCGTCGTATGTCTTCCTCTAGTTGCGTTGACTTATCTTTCTAAATTTTCAATATGTAAAAGGACCCCAATCTCCATGTCACCACTGTTTACGGCGATGACTGGCAATCGTAAATATTCCCCTGACTCGCAAGTCGCAACTCTCACAATCCCAGGGAAACCACGTCGATCGGGTCCTCGATTTATCGCGGTCTGGAAGAGAATGGTCGACGGTAGGCGTTCTTCATTATCAGTCGCCTCCATAGCTCATCCTATCTTAGATATCAAACATTGAGCCAAAAAGAATACCTGTATGCACAATTTTTCTCAATCGAGGGGCCGCCACTTACATTTGATCAGCATTCCGTCGGACGAGAGGCAGTTCGAGACTTACGAAGCTGGGTATGCGCATTCGTCTTATGTTCGTCCCAGACATTGACAATTAGCAGGCATCTGGTTGCCCTTGTCATGGATTCGGACAGAGAAAACCCGCTCTTCCATTCGCCTATTGGAGACAACCCAAGGCATATCCTCGATCTTGGAACAGGTCAGGGTAACTGGGCCATGTACGAAACATATCTTAAGAGTTGCTTTTTAGCCATCACAAACAACAACACTAATCTTTCTGCAGAGATGTTGCCGATATGTTTCCCATGAGTAAGTCCGATTGAACCGAATCTAAATGCATCAACCAAATGACCAGCTCTCAGCCACGGTCCGCGGAGTCGACCTCTTCCCACCTCCAGTGACATGGATGCCACCGAACTGCATCTTAGAGGTCGATGATATCGCCGAAGACTGGACCTGGAACGAACAGCAAGACCTAATCCACATGCGCATCATGATCGGCTCGTTCAACCCAACGGAATGGGACCGCGTCTACAAGCAATGCTACGAGTGAGCCCCCAACTTATCATGAGCCTCAAATATCTAAAGAGTCCATAGCAACCTCCGCCCGGGCGGCTGGATCGAGCAACTTGAAGCAAGCCCCTACGTCGAATGTGACGACAATAGCTTACCAGCTGACAACATCCTACGTACCTGGGGTCCCACCCTATCGGCATGCGGCAAGCGCGCAGGCCGACCCCTTGAAACAATCGATATGATGCAAGACGCATTCCGTAACGCGGGTTTCGTTGAGGTTCATGAAAAAGAGTACAAGTGGCCCATTGGCCCGTGGGCTCGTGATCAGAAGTATAAGGAGGCTGGTACCGTCAATTATCAGCATTGGATGTCTGGTATGGAGGGCTGGGCTATGTGGTTGCTTACGAAGTTTGGTGCTCCACACCCTTGGTCTCATGAGGAAGTTATTGTTTATGTTGCTAAGCTGAGGGCCGAGCTGAAGAATCCTCGCTATCATATATATGAGCGCGCGTGAGTTCTTTTCTTATTTCTGTTGTGATGTCGCTGATTGGTCTTAGCCGTCGTGTTTGGGCGCGGAAGCCGTACCCTGGTGAAATTTCGCAGGTTGTTGTCAAGACTGAGAGGGAGTGAGAATGGGAGCTGGAAGTCCCGGTTGAAGATGTGTTCCCGTCGGCAACATTCTCTTGATTGCTTTCGCCTTTTTTACATATCACAACCACAGTATGAAGACATACTGTGAAAGCTATGCTTCAATTTGCGTTCAACTTGGCTTTTTGTCACAACGCTTCAGGGCGACCGAACTGGGCCGTCTATCGCTATTTCTACCTCGGGATCGTCGCAAGGATTTGTTCATCGATGAGCGAATGAGCCTCCTTGCTTATCATCGTACTGCAATACCTCCGTTCCCTAAGTTTTTAACGCATCGTGAGCCGATTGTATTATCAGGCTGAGTAGACAATATAATTGGCGATCCTGTTCCTTAGGACGTTCGTCTTGCATGTTACTAGGTGTACATCAGGCTTGGGACTGCAAACATTCTAAAATCGCTGTGCGAAAATCACCTCATGCTGGTCGCTTTTTAGGTGCCGATATATGTTTAATTATATGCTTTCCATCCTCAACGAAGACATGAATCGATCGCTTTCCTCCCTCGGCCTGTTGTATCGAACCAATGCTCGCATGGGGCTATAAATATGGACCACGTGTTAGGACTTTTGCAATCAGTTTACACGTGAGATAGGAGGGTACGGCTGTGAAGTACTCCGTATAGTTATGATGCTTCTAGTCGTGGCTGTGTGTAGATACTAAGATACCGGGCGTTTTAGGGCAGCGGGCATAACCCAATGACATTCTGTTGTTATTCAGCCAAGGGGGTCAGTGTAGTGGTCGCGCGACTTAGGTGATCCTCACCCTGATTCTCACCCCGTCTATAGCATACTCACCCTTTATCACCCCCGGTCGCGCGACCATGAAGCGGCTCTCACCCTAAACTCACCCAGGTGACACCCACCGAACTATTGGCCGCACATAAGCCACACGCCGGTAAGTTAGTGAGTGTGGGTGGGGGATATAGGTGAGAATTCTGGAGGCAGTAAGATCGCTGATTCGCGATTGAATTAAGACATTGGAGCCGCGCATGCCCAATTTTTCTCATTTGCTAGACTTCTTGGAGGACATCCATGACCATTATCATTCTAGTCAGTTCCATGACGAACTTAGGCAGAAATATGGACAATCAAGATCACTTCCAGCGTTCCATTGGTTAGGTACTGCTACAATGAAAATGTATTACCACCTCACTTATCTTGCTGTGCCCATGCTTTTCAAAAATGATTGTACATTTTTATTTAGCGGGTGCGGACAGCGCATAGTCGTCGACTTTCTACTCATTTAATCAAGTTTATTGGGACCGGGCAAACTCTCGCCGAGACACTAGAATGTTTCTGTTATTTTTCGAAGGGAGAGGCTGACAAAGTGGTTAGAATACGGGGAGAGTTTGGTTAGGGTCGGCTCGGGCGGGTAGCCAGATGATGTCTCTTGAGTCAATCGAGACATTTAGATCTCTGGCAGCCTTCGGATATGGACCTCTGAAGTCAGTCTAGCACGGTGTTAGTAAGAACTTAGCTTATTCAAACATATATCTTCAAACCAAATGCAAAGGCTCTCTTCCTTTGATGGCGTTGATATACCGAAACATTGTTTGCTTTTCCCAAGGACACCATTTTGAGAAGGATGTTACGTATAAGATATAAAGGAGGAATATTCAGAGCTGCCGGAGAAACAAGATTGGAAATGAATTCGTGTTCGTCATTTCCATGTCTTCTTGGCCAATAAATACGTTTTTCTTATATCAGCCTTGTTCCCCACTGTCTCCATCGAAGGAAGGCAAGAAAGATCGCATGAGTTCTTCGCTGAGGGAATCGTAAGGGAAATATGAATCATCCGTTTCGGATGGGAGTTGCAGCGAGGTCGTCAAATCTGGGGTCGGGAAATTGAGGTATGTGGTGTAGAAGCCCGTTTCCGGTACTGGACGAAAGGTATCCATCAATCCTTCCGGCCTTGGGTCATGATAGTCGCTGGGGGCGAACGAAGCAACTTGGTCAGACTCAGTATGAGACTCAGACGTTGCCTCAGTTTTTGCATTCTCTGGGTAAGACAGTGGAGAAGGTATATCGTCGGTGTTGTAGTTCATTTTGTTTGCCAAGCTCCGGAAGCTGGAATCGCAGAGTTGCCATGCCCGACGCGAGCCAACACTGCGTTCGGACATGGCAAAGAGCCAACGAATGGACTTTTTGGATAGCCTTACAAGCTTCTCTTCTTCCTTCGGCACATGAACGCAGCCAAACGAAAGCTCGAGAAGGATGATGGTCGCTGCCTGCATGAGATAGCGCAGTACACCCCACCACGGGCATAGGTGATAAAGCTGGAAGACGTTTGGGTCATCCGGAATCAAGTCAAGCATGCGGGTAGCCGACTCCAACGTGAAAACTGCCATCGTATAACTGTAAGTCCAGAGGGAATTCCTCTGGCGCGGATCCCTCCGGCAGAAGCAGGGACGTCCTAGGATCATGCGCGCGCTGTAGTAGTGAAAGGCCAGCACCAATCTACATCGATGCTGCTCAGGACTGTCATCAGTCGGTTCTTTCTCAAAGTCGAGCGCCGTTGGCAGACTCGATTTCCAGATGTCGATTCGAGACCTGAGTTCATCGAGCCGATTTTCAATCTCCGACCACACAAGCGTCACCGCATTTGTGGAATAGACCTTGTTCACAATTTCCTGCGTGACAACTGCCAAATCACAGTAGTAGAGATAGCATAGCCCCGTATTGACCGGCAATCCTTTCAGCCATGTTTGATCCCGCGGCCTGGAATTTTGGGTGTCCTCTGTGCTGCTGATCCATGAACTCGCCATAACCTCGCTAATTCGCTCGTCCCTCAATGCAGAATCGTTGAGTACCTCGATGGCCTTTGGATCGTCTTGTAGTTGGTGCTCTTCAAAAGGGAGTGGTAAAGGAGTAGAGTAACCGCCGTCGAAAGTATAGATCGCCCGGCCAGTCATGACGCCTAACAAATGCTCGAAGGTGTACAGGGACCACCAAACTCTATAACGTGTTTCTTTGGAAATGTTGGAATTTTTCGGGTTTTCGGCCTTCAGATTGATGCCGAGTGTGATGGCCGAACGCAGTGCCAAGGCTTGGATTCTCCACGCACTATACAATAGGCTTTAGTCAATTCTGGTCTGAGGAAATGACACTGTGATACTAACCGATTGATCTGATCAGATGCAGCTAGATAGAATGCAATCAAGCCTTCCACTTGAACTTGCTGCAGATCAGGGTGGCTGAACAAAATTTCGCCGTTCATACTCAACCGTCGACCCCGGGTCAAGTACACCAAGTGATCATGTTCATCGCCACGCCATGGTGCTTTGATAAGATGTGCGTGTCTGGCTGATATTGCGAATATGATATTCAGGATAGCAAGCCACTTGTCACTCGGCCGGGTCGAGTTATCGAATAACCCTTCGTATTGGACGCGAAACATTGATTTGCTGATGATAGGAAAGAATGGGTGAACGGTTTGTAGATAGTCATCGACGAGCTGGTCGGCTAGCGATCGTGATGGCAGGATATAGAGTTGTATCGGCTCCGGCACAGATATATTGAGGTCGTCGAGGCGATAGTTCAGGGTATGGAGAGAGACTCTATCTTTTGTGTCTTCTTTTTTGTCTTCGCCGGGACCCGAGGCATTCTTTTTGCCCCGAGTAAGTTTGTTTATTTCCTTCTGGAGCCTTTTCATCCAGGATATTTCCGAAGTTTTTCCAATGAAGCCGGTTGCGCGGGTGCGGTTTGTGCGGTTCAGGTCCTCATCCACTCGATCGATAGCTTCCAGTGACCCGATGGACAATGGTGAAGATGGTTTGACGGATTCGGCCGTGTTCTGTGATGTTGACAAAAGAGATTGGGGGTATTCGAAGGAGGTACTCGTGTTCTGGCCATGCTTTATAGAATTATCAGCGACAGCATAAAAGGGGTCCGTGGATCGCCCACCTTGTCCAGCAATGCCTTAACCCAGCCACTTGTGCGAGACTCCGTCGCATTCCGCAAATCGTGAAGCAAGCTTTCATATTCTTGCACTGCTGCTGAGAGTCTTTGAACCTCCCTGTTGATTTCCCATAGATCAAACAGTAAGACGAGTGTTTCCACTTAGCTTATTCCAGGCTCACCTTGTCATTTTTTCTCTCCATCCCACCGGATAGTAACAAGTGAGTCCCAACTCTCGGCATTGCCGACAGAGAGGTGTGTCACCGCTGCATTTCGATTTTCGGCGTCGGCAAGCCTCACATGCTCGTGGAACCCTTCGACTGTATCGCGGAGTTGTGTCTGGAACCTGCCTGGGGATTGCAATTTTTGCATTAGCAAGTTGGGGATCTCCGACCGGCGTTGATTGAGCTCTATTTGTCCCCCACGCGGAAGCTAAATCCGTGCTCGAGGGTCCACTTAAAATTGCAGGGGCACTTTGTGGCTCTGGTGGCTCTGTTTCTTGCCCATTCCCTTTCTTCATGCTGGGAAAGACAAAATATTAACATGAGAACTGATCTTTCTTGTCAGTTATGAGAATAGCTAGCTTAATTCACCAGAAAATAAGCGGCCAATAGGTTGCCAGTGCGACACTATTTGCTTCGGTCTGAGATACCGCCAATCAGAAGCGCGCATTTCCAGAAGCGGAAACATGTGGAACTCAAGCCCTAATGTTGACTGAGATACATATGCCCTTCCCCCTTGATTTGATATATCCCTTCAATCACATACCCCGGCAGGTGTTCAGTTCAACAAGCCAGCTGCTAGGTGAGCTGCCTCAATGCGCATATTTAGGACACTGCCTTGTATTCCAACAATTATTTTCCACAAGCGTTGGGCTTTTACTTCAGCTCTTCCATGCATCCTCTTATCCGTATTAAACCTTCATGTGAGGTCCTAACCGTAGACGCGGTATCATAGGGGTTGAGTTAGATGGTTAGCGAGCTTACATAGCACCGAGATGTTTTCATAGTTATGCAGCATAATAATGTCAGCCTAGAAAGATGTGATTAGAAGGACAACTTTACGAGGCAATTAAATCATCGCGGGCCAATGTGGAATCTGCGAGGGTTCAAGACATTGGACTCTTTCAGCTGACGGCACGCCGATATTGCCGCCAGCAAAATGGACCCTGGGCTCATTGAGTGGTTGCTCCCGGTGCCATCGCTTGCGGAAACTGTCACTAAAATGGCTGTGGTACCTGCTGTTCATTTGCAGATGGCCAAGAAGTACCCGCACGTCAGCCACGACGCCGTGCCCGTTAACAGCGGGTTACTAGGCTCCGTTCTGAGATGGTGATGCTCAATGGACACATCCGTCGCATCTGGGACAGCATAACGACAATGATCGAGATATGTCACCGGCTGTTGGCTAGCGAAGCTATCGAAGTCCAGTAGGTCGGCCAGCTTCTAGCAGAAGTCATGGAACACATGCGCCGTCTCAATGAAGCACGAAACGCCAACCAGGATCTTCTCAGTGCCTTGTTCGCCTTGATTGAGGCCCCTTAAGAGCAGGTTTCGAACTTTCGCTAGTATTGACGTGAGCTGCATGCACATATCGGATATTTCGTCGTTGTCCCTTTTTTTCCTTTCGTGTGCAGAAAATAGCACACTTCATCCAGGCAGTCTTCTTTAATTCAGTCTTCAGTAATGGTAATAAACTAGCGGACTTTGTCAAATCTTCATATTCTTCAGGTAGTCAGTAGCAGGAGTTGAGATTTCACAAAAAAACCTTATAATTTCAGCCTCATCTTCCCTGCGGGTTGGTGTTCCGCCAATTATGTGCCTCTAAACCCAACCGCCAATGAAAGGCTCGGATTGGTATAACCATATCTATGATCCCTCCCTCCAATTTACGTCGTTTTCAACTGCATCTTTTGGGTTCATTCGGCCTACGCTCGGTGTCCCTCATAGGAACTGGCCGAACTGATCACGCAATTTTGACCCAAACGGCCTTTGCTAGGCTGATACCTTTACCGACTTTTTCGCTCATACAATATTGAGGCGTTCACTCCCAAGGTTCTGAATCTGTCAATGCCGATAGGTATGTGAACTGACATTTCCCTTATATACTCTCCTAGGAGGCTCGTACTATCGAGATTTCACCGTTTTTGAAGTCGTTGTTTTAAGTCGTTGTTTAAGCCGTTGTTTGTGCCATTTTTCAATAAGTATAGTTTAAACGTATATTAAGCTCGTCTTCTTATATATTATACAATTTCTCATATCAAAACACTATGCTATGACATCTGCCTCCGTTTCTCAAGCAGAAGGCTGTTTTGCATGCTAAGCTTGAACAATGATTGTGGTTCTTGGGGCTTCTCTCTTCGATTGAAACCACCTTTGGAGCAAGGAGGTGAAACGCTCGTCTGGCGTGGTTGTCGCAGTTGTGCTGGCGTAGATATACCCTGATTTGCGCGATTGAATGATCCGAGAGGAGGACCTGCAGGCGTAGCTCTACCTCCGGCAGCGATCCTTTCTTGTCTTTTTCTTTCTTCTTCATGTTGATGTACACCAAATGCAACATCGAAGATTTCGCGAACGTTCATTGTATCGGGAGTGCGGAAACCGACTTCATTGCCAGCAGCCAAACGGGGGGTAGCAAGACGGTCGTTCTTCACTGCATGATGATTCGAAGTTGAGTCTTTCTCAGAAGTGGCGGTCTGAGAATCCGGACTTGGGGTTGCATAGGCAGATTTGGTTTCACCTAGTCCCTGTTTGATCCAGGGATGGGCCATAAACTCTTGAATCGTGAACCTTTTCCCGGGATCGACAGTGAGAAGGTTGGAAACAAGGTCTTTTGCATCTTGGGAGATGCTGTCCCACCACGGAGACTGGAAAGTATATTCTCCACGGGTAACTTGTCTCTTCAAAATTCCGATGTTTGGGTCGTAGAATGGAGGGAACCCAACGAGGAGTGTGAACAGCACACATCCAAGAGCCCACATATCAACTCCCATTGAGTACCCTTGATCTGAAATAAGCTCAGGTGCAGCATACCCCATGGTCCCGCAAGGTGTCATGGTTTGATTGCCATATCCGTAAATCAATTTGGATAAACCAAAGTCTCCGAGTTTGATCTTTCCTATGCCACCGCATCCAACTCCAGGGATAAACTCGCCTTCGTCGGCTTTCTCTTCGTCCAAACCAGTATTAATTTTGTTGTTCTGTGTCCATGGTATGGAATAAAAGAAGATGTTTTCGGGTTTTATATCACTAGGATAAAATTTAGTTCTGCTCTTAGTTGGTGAATGAATATAGAACCTACCGGTGAACAACACCTAGAGTGCCATGCAAATATTCCACAGCTTTGGCAACTTGAAGAATGACATGTCTGCTGAGATCTTCACTGAGGTATGTTAATTTAATGACCTGGTTAAAGAGCTCTCCGCCAGTGCAGAGCTCCATGATGATATAACAGTATTGGCGTGTCTCAAAAGAGTCGATGAATTGCACGATATGAGGGTGCTTTGCTTCTTCTAGGATGTGAATCTCCTTGTTCATATTGTCTATCTGTTGCATTGTTAACGGATGCAAGAGCTACCAAGGCGGATCAGATGTGTCATACCTGCTGTTTATTCATTTCATATTTTCTCATCACCTTGATGGCAACCTCTCCGTATTCCGAGGTTGAGTCTTCGGCACGGTAGACATTACTAAATCCGCCCTTGCCTATTGTTTCGAGGAGGGTCCAACGACCTAGTCCGGGATACGAAGGCATTTTTGACTCAGCCATGCTGGTGGCGATTGGTTGCTTGGTGTCTGTATTTTGGATCTTGGTAGATTTCACTGTGGAGGAGCGGAGGTCATCTGTAGATATAGGCGCCATGATATCGAAAAATGGATCAAAACGCCGCTTGGCACACAAATTTAGTTTATAAGTACCCAAGACGAATCATGGCAGTTAGATATGCAAGGTGAGTTCAAAAGTGATATAACCATACGAAGGTACGTCATTGCTGAGAATCAAGTTAGGTTCATTGATGTAAGGCAAGAGAGTTATCAAGGATGGATATCAGTTTACCCAAGGCAATAATGTGGGTTCCCCATATTCACTCACCCCTGTAGCAAAGTCCAATTGGACGCGGATCTAACTCAGATCCGCTAGAGCCTATAAGGAGGTTGAGCACTGGCCCTTCGCATCATTACATGAACAGTCGCCCGCTAATATTTCGAGACGCTTGACTCGTTGAGCTGTTCGCCCCATGTCAATCCGGAAGATGTTCAGCCAATAAGAGGCATGCAAACTGCCAATCATCGAAGGGTAAATTGACCCAATTGGTAGTGATCGGCGAGGGGCAAATAAGTGTTGATGCCTCAGGCTACCAGTGCAGATGACCCATTGTCACGTGATCGTCTGTTGGTCACGCCACGAAGGTGGCATGTGACGTGTGGCGCGCGTACTCAAGAGTGGCACAACCCCATGAGTCAAACCTCGGAGTTAGGCGCAGATTGCCTGATTCAGCTGCTGATTGATAGACATCTATAGTCGCCTCCCAAGAAATTAAGTTTTGGTAGATTCGAGAACCATCGAGTAGTGCGTTGTCATCACCGAGGATTTGGCTATATGGGGGAACTGACACTCGGCCCCGAGGACGATGGCGAATAAGATTAGAGATGATGTGGTCTAGGCAGGCTTGGGTACGTACGCCTCTATATGAGTACGGGGAACTTGGCTGCCTAGGTGAACGAGTAGCTGTGTATAAAAAGACCGGTTTGTTGGTGCCGTTGACTGGCCTTTCGAAATCAGATTAAGTGTTATTCACTTTTCTTCTCTTTCTTGTTTTCTTTGATATCTTCCAGTATAACATCTTTCAACATCAAGATAAGATCAGGCTTGTCTATATCATCGATCGATAACTTCAAGATGGCTTCAATCTACCAACTCAACCAACCCCCTAATCCCTTCTGGGATTTCCTCAACGGAAACCTAGAGGATCATCCCTTCTTTGCTCCTCGAGGCCACCATGGAAGACGTGGACACCACAGCCGCCGTCATGGATGGGAAAACTCCCAACAGAGCGAGACAGTTCCACAGGGCACTGAAGCACCCAACGCAGAGTCGAACGGAGAGATGAAGAACGACAGGTCAGCGTCCGACTCCGACTCCCCAGATAACCAGCACCGCCGTTGTGACCACTGTGGTAAGGGCAATGGCAAAGGCCGTGGAGGTCCCGGCTATGGGCCTGGTCCGTTCCGTGGAATGGGTGGCAGGGGAAAGCATGAACATTGTCCTCACGCTGGACCTCATAATCAAGGACACCATTGCAACGCTAGTCCCTTTGATTTCTCGAACGAAACCGCCCCAAAAGATCCCGAAGCACCTCAGTCACAGGCTGAAGAGAAAGGCCCTAACACTGAGACCAACGAGATCTCAGTATCCGACTCCGACTCTCCAGGCAACCGCGGCCCCGGCAGAAAATGCAAGAACAAGGGCCACGGAGGCCCGGGTCCCTTCCGTGGAAAGGGCGGCAAATGCAAGCACGGGCGTGGCCCTCACGCCGGACCATGGGGCCACCACAACCACCCCTACGATCACGCAGGAATGTTCGGCGGCCGCGGACGAGGCCCTCACCACACAGGCGGCCACGGCAAACACCACGGCGGACCCCCATTCGGTGGCCAGGGCTTCCCCTTCAACTTCCTCCGCAACCTTGGAATTCCAATGAATGAATCCGCCCCCGAGGGCGTAGATTTCACTCCTGCCATCGACGTCTTCGACACGCCGGCCAAGTACATGGTGCACGTCTCACTACCCGGGGCGAAGAAGAGCGATCTGAGCATCGACTACGACGCCGACGAATCGGTTTTGCGGTTGGCGGGTGTTGTGCACCGTCCTGGTGTTGATGAGAATATGTATCAGGGGCTCGCTATGGAAGAGCGTGGACGGGAGGTTGGAGTGTTTGAGCGTGAGGTCCGGTTTGGGACTAGGGCTGCGCCGGCTTTTGTTGCTGTTGAGGGGATTTCGGCGAAGTTGGAGGATGGTGTTCTTAATGTTGTGTTGCCTAAGGTTGTTCCTGAGCCTGAGGTTGGGAAGAAGAAGGTTGTTGTTAAGGTTGATGATCTTGAGTGTGAGAAGGGTGATATGGTGGATGAGAAGGTTCGTGGGGATTTCACTCCTGATGAGTCGGAGGTTAGTGATGTCGAGGATGGTGAGGCGAGGGAGTATGTGAAGGTTCCGGTGCTGTGAAATTGGCTATTAAGTTTTGATATTTGATGGTTGGCGTTTGGGGTCTGATTCTTTGCCCTTATTAATTTGATATTGTTTGCGATTAAGAATGGACAAACACCCGATATTGGGTGGAATACATACCAGTTTGATTACACCGTAGAAATTTGTAGATTCTCGTAGGTCGTTTCTTTTGGTAAGATGGCAAGCGTAGTTCCTCGCCGGACGCATCAAGTCTCGTCTTTTTCACGCCGAGCAAGATCTGTTCCCATAGACCCATCTCCTAGGCCAAACCAACCACTCCTGGAACCCCGGGTGGATCTTACTCTCAATATCCTCCAACAACTGACGGGAAGCACCATTGATAAACCAGCAATGGTCAATGAGATGTAACAGCACACACCAATGAGCCAAAAGAACCAGAGCAGCAGGCCTGTACGCTTCCAAATCTTCTTGGAAGCGTTTGGAAAGTGAGTATGCCCACATGATGATCATACCAGTCTCGATATGTGGGCCGGCAAGCTCTAGTTGGCGGGTTGAGTGTTCGAAGAACTTCATGGCATTTTTGTAAGCTTCTCGGTGGTCAGCCGTCGATGGTGATCCCGCAGAAGTATTTTGGTCTGGGTGGGTCTGTGATTGAGGGAATGGGTAATTATCAATGAACTGGTGAAGTTGAGATATCCGGTCCCGAATATCGGGAGGGAGTAATGATTGTTGCATGACCGAGGGACTTGAGAGGATTAGTTTGTCTGAATATGATGCAGTATAGTGGGGGAACGACATACCTAGAAATGAGCATGTCATCATCAAGCCAAATGCAGTTCACCAATGGCGCAAGCTGTGTCTTCCGAAGAGAATGTAGCCATGGCTCCATTATCGTTTGCAGCCCGTTGACAACAGAGAATAGTTCAACTATATTTGAGATCGGGGTCGGCCAACGATCCGCACCTAACCGAATCGGCGAGGCGCAGACATAGACCATAATCATGGAAGCAAAACAAAACACGGGTTGCCAGTTGCTAGGGTCAATTGGAGAAGCGATGAGTTCCCGAAACTTTTTTAATCCAGCTGCCTGGTGGTAGGCAGATGCTTTGATATACTTTTCTTTCTGGGCAGGGTAGAGACACGCGCGGTGCAGGGCAGCCAGTGCCAAAATTCCGTGCATTAAGTATGAATTCGAATAGCCCTCCATAGGCAGAACAATGCGCCAGACATGTCGAGCATCTTCACGAATTGTGAGGCTGTTGCATGTCACAGTGCAGTAATGGTGCATGAGTTCAAGGTCGCATGCCCAGTCGTCCGTATTGGAAGGGGGGCCATATGGAGAGCTTGAAAAGATGTGTAATAGATCAAGTCTACTCTCGGGTCTGGGGGCCTCTACAGCCAGAGGTGTAGATGCAGCGGGAGTGTGATACGACTCCGGGTAAAAAGGCGATGGGGCATGCAGGACCACAGACTCTGACCGCGTGGCCGGGGTCTCGGTCGGGGTTGATATTTTACTGCCTGTTCCATGCAGATAATTCGGTCCCATGTAGCTACACTGGATGCCGTGTTTGGTGCAGTTTGTGCATGGATATCGTTCGTCGCACTGCGTCACGTTAGAGAGGTCGCGGGAAGTCACGAGTACGCACCTTCAATCTTCGCGTCTTGCATTCCGGACAGCCGTTACGTGACTTACGATGCGATCTCCTCGGACCCATTATCAGCAAAAATTACTCGCAGTATGAGGAGTGTTGTGAGATAAATCTATTCGAGTGCGGATACGGACGCGGATGCGAATACGGATGCGAACTCGGATTCGGACGTGAGGCTCCACTTACCCACATCGACATCGGCTAAATGGACAGCCATGTCCCCAGATAATAATACATGTAACTCGAATCACAGTCAAATGAATGACAGCCTAAAATTATAGTGGATATTAGATCTAATTCTGTTTCATAACCACGGGGGTTGAGTGGCTGTGGAATTTGGCCCTTCCTATAAAGGCGATGTATGGACCCTAGTATAGAATCAACTTATCTAAATTTTCACTTTTCAGCTGAAGATGTCTGAACATAATATCTACGGGTATAATCCCTCGCTTCCAGCAGCCATCATCTTCATCATACTCTTTGGAGCCTCAACTGCCTACCATGGCTACCAACTCGTCAAGTCACGATGCATGTACTTCATCCCATTCTTAATTGGCGGCGTGTGTAAGTTTATCAGAAGTCTTACAATATATGGGTATTCCTGACATCCTATAGTCCAGATCATCGGTTATATCTGTCGCGCAGCCTCACATGATAATTTCTCCGGAATTCCCCTATACGCGATTCAGACACTCATGATTCTGCTCGCTCCGCCACTATATGCCGCATCAATCTACATGGTCTTAGGCCGAACAGTGACATACCTCCACGCAGAGAATCTAAGTTTGGTGCCAGTGAAATGGATGACAAAGATCTTCGTAACCGGCGATGTCTTCTCCTTTCTCCTACAGTGTGCTGGTAAGTATATGAAGTCCAATTGAACCAAATCAGAGCTTCCATCATGCAACCCGAGCTATAAGCTAACCAAATCCACTCTTACAGGTGGTGGTCTCATGTCTGCAGGATCATCCATGCACGAAACAGGGTCGAACGTAACAATCGGCGGCCTAGTCATCCAACTCCTCTTCTTCGGTTTTTTCGTGGTCGTCACGACGGTCTTCCACTTCCGCATCTCACGCCATCCAACCTCCAAATCACAAACAGACCTTGGCATCACCCGAAGCCTGGGCTGGAAACAGCGCAACTGGTTCACCATTCTCGTCGGCCTGTATATTGTCAGTGTTCTGATTCTCGTGCGGTCTGTTTTCCGTCTAGTCGAGTATAGGGAGGGATATAGTGGGTATATCATGACACATGAGGTTTTCATGTATATCTTTGATGGATTGTTGATGTGGATTGCTATGATTGTGATGAATATCTACCATCCAGCAGAGATCCTGGGGAATGGGAAGGGTGGACAGGGTGAATATTCTGAGACGATGCAATTGTAGATCCTGTGTTGGTTTAGATAGCAGTAATTCTGTCGATTTGTTTGTTTTAGCGCTATATAGACGGGTATATTCAACTTTTGCATGATGAAATAAGAAAGGGCCAAAGCCAAAACCAAACAAGCGAACAAAGAAAACATCATTAGAAGCCATCATTAGAAGCCATCATATCATCGTGATCTGTAGTCATTACTCGGCCGGGCATCATAACTTTTCCTCACCCCATTGCCCACCCCATTAGCATATAAACCAGGCCGTCTAGACACCGCAGAGCCGCGCGTAGAAACAGGCAACAAATTTCCCCCATATTCAACATCCACACTCCGACGCATGCGCGACAAGCTAATAATCTTCTCCATCTCCAGCGCCTGCAACGGTCCCTCGCCCCGTTCAGCCGGCGCAGTAGCCTTCTTCCGCCCGGACAGCCAGCGTCGACTACCAACACGGAAGTAACCACCGATATCGTCAACCATAAGGGCAACCCAGACAAGCGGGATGGAGATCGCAAAGCCAATACCGAAGGTATATTTGGCCACATAGTCAAGACTCAAATTATTGAATTCCTTCATGTTGATCGTGAAAATGGAAGTGATAAACGAAAGAGGTAAGAAGACGATGGTGACAATAGTGAAAACCATAATCGTCTTGCTCTGGCGTGTAGTACCAGCAGCCTGATCACGCGCAAAGCGTGCCTCGAACGCATTGGCATGTTTCTGTTTTAGATCCAGCAAATCTGTGATAGAGTGATATATGCGCTCTGCCTGTTTATCCATTCGATCGATATCCTTGAGATGCATATCGATCACACGCTGCTGGTCCTTGAACCGTTTCTTGACTTCAACCTGTGAGCGATGCTGGCCTTGGTATGTCTCGCAAATGACATCTTGGAAATCGATCAGGACATATTTCTGGTGTTCCAGCACCGTGCGAATCATGTTCAGTTCATCGCGAATGTCTTTTGTTTCGGCTAAGAGATCGGTTTCCTGACCGATATCTAGGAGCCGGTCGACGAAGAGCGGCTGGCCGTCTTCATCGCAGTAATCGCTTGTCAGACCATCCTCATCTACCGACTTTGAGAATGAGCCGTTCAGCTTGCGGTGGCTTTTTAGCCAGTCGGATGCTTGCACGGAGGCGTGGTTGAATTGATTGAATAGAAGTGTTTCCTTGTCGGTTGCTATACCAATGGATGACTCGAACATATCCAGAAATTGGTACTCCTCATCGCCTAGACGGTGGCGATCGAAGACCCCCGAGCATCGGTTCGTGATGATGATTGCCAGGTCATATACCGACTTGACAGGGTCGCGAGTTTTGGAGTTGATATCTTCGATAATACCATCAAGCACGTTGAGCGGGTCGTTCTTGGGCTGGTCCCATCTTTGTGGGAAACCTGTGACGATGAGGTTCGTGCCGAGAATCCACATCCACAGTTGATCGACCATGAAGATTTTGGGATCGGAGCCCATTCCAGGGCTTTTGGTCTGGTATCGGTATACCACTTGGTCCTGGTCGCGGCTCTGGGTATCGATGTTAGGGTAGAAGAATTGGTCTAGTGTTCTGCGGACGTGCAGGGAGGTTGTTGAGGATGAGAGATGTGCATCGATGAGCATTTCGTCTCTTGTGCGCATTCTCTTCATTGCTCCCGGAAGGAATTCCAGTGTCTCGGCGCGTTGAATTGCATCTTGCATCTTTTGTCTTCGCTCGGTTGTCTCGAAGTGGAGGTACGGCATGAAGACGCAAATGTTACAGGCCGAAACAAGCGGATGAGAGTCTTTGCACATCGACGACGACAGAGGCGATGATCGAGCCTGTTTCTCACTCGGTCCCCATGGCGACTTTCCTTTTGTCTCTGATTTCGGAGTCCCTGGTGCACTGCCTGACTTGCCACGCTTCTGACTCTGGTTCTGATTGCCTTTGCCTTTCTTCACCGGTTCATCATGAGAGTGTGAATCAACTCGCTCCATCTTGCCGCCTTTCTGTTTGCGGGATGTATACTCTGCTTTGGCTTGTCCTTCTGATAACTCCTCCTCCTTCTCTTCCTCCTTCTTTTCCTCTCGTCGTCGCATCATCGTCCGCGGTGTATTCTGACATAACGGCCGCATGAAATGCGAATGGGTCCGTTGACCCCGATGTTGATAGTTGAACGACTTCTCCAGTCCCTTGAACCCATCAACATCATGAGCCCCCTCCTCAATAAAAGACTTGGTCAGCAAGGCTTCCACCCAAGCCATATTATTAGCAGGGAGATGAATCCACCGGAAATCAGTCGCGCGACTATCGGCCGGTACAGCCGTCACAGCCTGCTTGCGAGGATTCTCCCGATCCCTGCCATACAGCAGATCGAAAACAGACATGCGCTTGACACGATTCTCATTGTGAAAGTTGCCAAAATCCACAACCGTCGCATCAAACGCAGCACAAGCATCCTTAACATCATCGGACAACGACTCAACATTGTTAAACGGCGCCAACAACAACACAATATCCTTGCGCTTAAACTGCGCAGCCCTGAGAAACGGCGTACTCCCAAAGTTATCCCTAACCCTCCTCTTCAAATCATCCCTCTCAAGCAAACACTCCACAACCTCCCGATGTCCACCCTGCGCAGCAAGATGCAAAGGCGTAACCCCATTCAACAACTGAGCATTCACTTGCGCACCGGCCTTCAACAATATCCTCACAATGCCCTCACAGCCCTTATCACAAGCATTATGCAACGGCGTCCAACCACCATCACTAGTAGCATTAACCGCCGCCCCATGCTCAAGCAACAACAACACAATATCAACCCGGTCATGCGCAGTAGCAACATGCAAAGCAGTCTTCCCTCTCAACTCAACAGCATCAATCTCAACCCCAGCCCTCCTCCCATTCCCATCCTCATTCTGCGCAAGCAACAACTCAACAAATCTCCAATTCCCACTCGCACAAGCCCAATGCAATGGCGTCCTCCCCAATTCATCAACACCCCCCTCCCCCCAACAGCACACTCAGTCTTCAACAACAACCTAACAACCTCCTCCCCCCATCCAAACCGACAAGCCTTATCAGCCGCAAGATTATGCAGAGCATTCCTCCTCCTCAAATCTTTCTTATTAACATCTGCCCCACGCATAATCAACAGCTGCAAAATATCGACATGATTCCTCCAAGCAGCCATCATAAGCGCCGTGCGACCCTCCTTATCAGCCGAATCAGGCGAAGCACCATGGTCAAGGAGCAAGCGGACGATGGCGGGAAGGTTGCGCTCGACAGCGCGGTGGAGTGGTGATATCCGGTTCGACGCGACGTCTGTTTTGGCGCCTATTGAGAGGAGGTATTCGGTTGCGGCGTGGTTGGCGCGTTCGGCGCTGCGCATTAATCCTATACGCAGGAAGTTGTCGGTTAGTTGGTTGTGCTCGCGCGCTAGGGTTATTATGTTTGCTAAGGCCTCTGGGTCATTGGTTTCGGCTGCACGAAGGAGGCGTGGTTCTAGTCTTTCGTGGCCTTCGCTTGTTATGCTTGAGCGGGAGGGTGGCATTTTGATTAATGGTGGTGGTGTAGATGGTGGTGTTGGTGATGGTGGTGATATAGGTGTAGGTGGTGCGGTAGTGTAGGTATTATATATAAGGAATGATGTTGACGCTGGTTGAATTGTTGTTAGTGCATGACGTGAAGGTGAATAAGATGAAGTCTTCAAGTTTTGAACATTTTTTGGCAGATGCGCTAGAAGCTAAGAATCGAACCAAGCTCAAGAGGGAATGGGCCCACTACACTGGCCAAGATCTGCAGTGAAAAAAGTACAGTATTTGGCCCCTTAATCCTAGTCGGTATCGAGGCTGTGGCCCTCGTATTGAGTGTGGGGTAGCGGGCTGTAGGCCAAAACAAACGTGGGCTTTAGTGGGTCGTTGGATGGTTGTAAACAATTCCAGTATACTCGTCGACTTTTCGATTCGTGCCTGTGGGGGAAGAAGAAAGTAAGATGCAGAGAGAATTGGTAATTTGAAGCGATGACACCGTACTGTACTGACATGTGACTAAATTCGGAGTATACACCTAGGCACTGCAAGGTAAAAGACATAAAGAGAGTAGATCTTGAATCTATATCAAATTACAGGGGAATCGAGGAGATGCAGATGCTGATATGCTGGTAATTAGGACTCTTCATGCTCCGAAATTAAAATGTTCTTGCTTTTTTCGCTTTCCCTGTGCACGCCAAGTGACAAAATGCGCCTATCAACAGACAAAGGGAAACAAGATATGGTAGAAATCAAAATCAGACGACTGTGGGGGATATTTAGTTCTTCTTCCCCTTCTTGGGCACCTCCTTCAGGATATCGTCGAAGCTCATATTCGGGTTGAATCGACTGATGGGACGAGCGGGTGGTTCGATGGGAGCAATGCCCGCGGGAAGAGGCAGGGCTTCCAGTCCGGGGTAGATCGAATGGCGATGCTCCGACCGGGCGCCAGCACCAGGAGAACGTTGGCGCGGGATGGCAGGAGGAGGCGGAGTGAGGCCGCCGCCGGGGACCATCAAGGGGTAGGGTTCTGAGGAAGATCCGGCGGAGGAATGGTGACCCTGGTAGGGGGATGAGATGGAAGATTCGGCGTCCTCGTAGGTGGCATCTTCAATCATCGGAGGGTCAATCATAGCGCCTGTCTCGGCCCATTGCTGAGCTACCTGCCAACAGTGACTACGGCGGTAGACACCTTCGACACCGTTGATAACGACATCAGTCGGTAGGCTGACGACCCCAGCGCCGCCAGCAACTCCAAACCAGCTGCGAGCAGTCTTGGTGTCATTGTGGATCCAAGGAGCACCACCGCGGGGAGCAATGCAGAGGAAGTACTCGACGCCTTCGCTGAATTGGACATCGGGGACATCCACAACCAGCATGGGCAGGGCCTGGATGACGCAGTATAAGAAGATCCACTGACCACAGCGGAGATCGATGATATCATTAATGTTCCTGCCCTGGGCGCAGCGACGTTCGAATTGCATGAAGCTCTCGATGAACGGAGTAGGCCGCATGCTCTCACGAGTGTAGGAGCCCATCAACACAGCGTTGACGTCTGAGTTCTTGAGCTTCTTGGTACTCTGCTTGGCTTCCTTCTTGGCGTCCATGGGTTTCCGATGCAATGGCTGCAGCGAGGGGAACTGCGGAATGTCGAATGGAATGGGAGGCAGTACGGGCGGCGTACTGCGGTCATACTCGCTGAGAATATGACGCAGGGCGCGAACAGCCATCTCCTTGGGTTCAGAAGTAGCAGAAGCTTCACCTGTCCCTGAAACATCGATTGAGCGTGTTGTCAGTGATGTGCGATCAACCAGCAGGTCGTATAAGTCGGTGAAATCGTGATATAGATCGAGCAGGAGAAGACGGTTAAGACCATTCTCCTCAAACTCGTTCTTCTTCGAGCGGGCCTTTGGTGGCCACGAGCCGTACTTCTGTCTGTAGTATTGGATAGTGAAGCGACGGAATTCGTGGAAGCCGGCTTTCCAGTTCTTGAAGCGCACCACCTTACTTTCCTCGGAAGTGTTCGAGTTGGCGGAGCCAGAGAAGACGGAGGGGAAGTCGAAGTCCGCGAGTTTACCGTAGAGACCACGAAGACGGTTGTCGAGATCAATGAACGCTCGCTCCAGCCGCTTTTGTGTGATGGGGTGGATGAATGTGTACTTCGGGCTTCTGAGTTGCTTCAGCTCGTCCAATTTTCCGACACCGTGCACGAACCCTTCAATGTAGAGCGGATAGTAGCGTAGGCGCTCACCCAAAACGATGGCCTCGATAGTCTTCTCCCGGCTTCGGCGGACATCTGCCAAACGCAGTTCCTCACAGTAGTTGCTGAAGCTAGAGGTAGCGGTTTCACCAAAGTTGGAACCGTCCAAGTTTGAGAATTCGAAGCGGGCCAAGAGTACCGCCACATCCATGAAGATCGAGAACAGTGTTGCGGACTTGGGCGAGGCAATCAAAGACTGTCCGAGGAGGAATGCGAACAAGTTGCGGAACAAGAGGAGGGTCTCGGTATCATCTTGCTGCAGGCGCGCCTGGGGGTTAGAAACATCGCAGTTTAAGGGGATAGGCAGATAGAGATGAAGCTCCTGAACTTCCTCCGGGGTATCATCGACAAAAGCCATTCGCTGGCTTCCTGAACTGTCGTTGTCGTCGTCCTGGTCCTGCGGCGTCAACGAGGGCGACATCGGGTTGAGCGATAATGTGCGTGTGGGTTGCTCGAGATCATTCTTGGCATCGCTTCCGCGGGCGAGGTATGTGAGGGAGGGAGATTCAGCGAAGATGGTGGAATCGACCTTGAATGACGGGGCACGGCCGGTGTTCTGCGGAAACAGGTACACGTAGGTGTCGCCCTGTTCGTTCCAGAGTTCGGGGATCTGGAAAAGTCAATTCACCATTAGCTTCGGTTGAGCACTGGATTCGACGCTTCGTACCTGTTCTCCCCTAGACAACGGCGAAAGATCGTACACGACCTTCTGGTCGAGTCCAGCAATCCAGGCAGCCGGTAATTGAGGAGCGAGCGGCCTCTTGTCGATTGAGCTCGCGCGCGACCGACCCGGCATCCAACTCCTGCGCTTCGAGGGCGTGCTGGGTCTGGAGTCCGGGTTTGATCCCGGGATAGCCAGTCCTACCGAGCTAGAAGGTCGGCTCATATCCCGGCCCCTGCTCCGTGGGCGAGCATCGGATGGTGAGCTTGGGGCACTGCTCGCCAGATCATGGTTTACTGCTAGGAGGGAGGGAGGCGGCGGAAGACTTTCTAGGTCGAGAGGGTCCGGCATCGTACGGGGTTCTGAAGAAAACACCGCATTTGGGGTCGATACATGGCGGGTGGGCTTGGAACTGCTTCTCCGTCTGTTGGCGGTGTCTTGAAATCCTGGTGAAACAGGAGAGTTTTGTGAATCTCGATCTTTGGATCCCAGCGAGAAGAGGGAAGATATGCGCTTCGCCGACTTAACGGGAGCCGACAACATCTTGCCGGGTGTGTGAGAGAGAGGGAAGCTGGCGACTCAGGCGCAAGAAGGTGAGGCGCATGGAATGGGAGAGATGTACTTGGCAGGTCGAGGGGGGGGGAAAGGGGATAGGAATGGATCGGCAGGAGTGGGAAGAATGAGACAGGGAATGGGGAGAGACAGCAGGTAATGTAATGATAACTTATTATCTTATAATATTTTATGGCAAAAAAATTCGATCGGGTTCCTTTTTTGCCAATAATAGATGGAGTTGGCTGTGCATGTCTTGGATGTGGGCCTAATAAATTACAGAGGTTATATAGCAGCCTTATGTGTATGTGTACAGTAGTTACTTGTTACTTAAATAGTCACTTCATTACTCTACTTGCCAGTTGCCGTGGTATGTGAGACCTGACTGAACGCAAATATATATTCCCATGCAGTGACAATATAACCGTTGCAGTCACTAGTATTTGCTAGTCGATCTGATGCATATAATGCCGAGATCCGGGATTAATGGATATATGCAACTAGTATATAGTGACACATCTACTGTAACTTACTCGAGATACCTGAACTTGTAGTGTCTAACTTAACTTATAGTACTTGGGGGCTGTTTCTGCCCCTGGAATATTGTCCCACATCCCGATCTCGGATCCGATTACCTCACCAATATCCCGTACCGTTCGGAGTAACCAACTATTGGAGCTCATCTATATGGTCCACTGTTTACTTCGATCCTCCATTCATTCCCTATACTCACCATGACGGAACCAATCGACCTCCTATGCGGTTGGCATCCCTCAATCGCAAACCCAGCCTTGCTTTATGGCCCCGATGAAGGGTATGAACCACTTCGCATCCACATAGCCTCGTGGCTGAACACGTTCTATCAGCCTTGTGAGCCGATCTCGTTCCAGCGCATTTGCATCACCGGTGGGGCAAGCCAGAACCTTGCGTGCTTGCTACAAGTCTTTACAGACCCCGTCTACACACGCAATGTGTGGATGGTCGCACCGACCTATTACCTGGCAGCCCGGATCATGGATGATGCCGGGTTCGCCGGGCGCTTACGCGGGGTCCCCGAAGACGACGAGGGAATCGACCTAGACTTCCTGGAGCGGGAGCTACGCGCCGCGGAAGAGAATGCCCTGCAGTCTGGAAATACAGAGCCGGTATGACAAGTTACACTCTGTGCACCTGGGCTGAGGATCCCGTGCTATGCCACTGTGCCATCCGTTGTTGGATTCTGGACTGACGTGCTTCTCCCTTCCCTGCAGAAGCTGAAACCACCGAGGCCCTGGCGAAAGATCTACAAGCATGTCATCTATGCCGTACCGACTTTTGCGAATCCATCGGGGATGATCATGTCGTTGCGCAGACGGGAGGCGCTCGTTCGGCTGGCCCGTCGGTATGATGCGCTGATTGTCACGGACGACGTTTACGATTTCCTGCAGTGGTCAATTGTCCCGGCCGATGCTAATTTATTTGAGTGGGCAACGAAGCCTGAGGCGCATTTGTCTGACCGCGCATACATCCCAAGGCTGGTCGACGTGGACCGTTACCTGGACGGCGGTCCGGTCGATGAATGGGGACATGCAATAAGCAACGGCAGCTTCAGTAAGCTGATCGGCCCTGGGGCCCGCACTGGCTGGGCTGAGGCGTCTGAAAAGGTTGCCTATGGATTATCACAAACGTATGGAGCTGCGTGTCCTTCGCTGATCCCTTCATGATTACAAGCTAACCCAATATAACAGCGGCTCATCTCGATCGGGGGGCGCACCTTCACATCTCTGCGCCGCAATGATAGACCAAATGTTCCCCACTGAGATCCTTCAGAAGCATATCTGCGACGTTCTTCAGCCGCAATATGCGTTGCGGTATGACCGACTACTGTCGGCAATCAAGGAGCACCTCGTCCCACTAGGTGTGACAATCCCCGCACCAACCGCCGCAGCTGGAGGATACTTCATCTGGATCACTCTCCCAGCGCCGGTGCGCGCATCCGATGTGGTTGAGCGAGCGCAAACCGAGGAACAATTACGCATAGCCGCGGGTGATCTGTTCCAGATCCCTGGTGACGCTAAGGCCGGCAGTTTTTCGGACCATCTGCGCCTCTGCTTTGCGTGGGAAGAGTTGCGCCACTTGGAAGAAGGTGTGCGTAGGCTAGCACGCGTCTTGGAGCGTATTGTTTCGTAGGCTGTATTGGCTCCACGTCTAGCCACTTTAGACGTCCGGTCCGTACCGGTTCCCACTAGACGCGTGGCTCATGCACATATTGAACCATCTCAGTTATATAAGTAGGAGGTCTACTACGCGAGATGGAAGCATATAGCATGAACATCAATGCATACGTTAGTACCTGTGTACCTGTACATATTTCCCAGGTACCCGGTGTCGGATATATCTATTTTTGGCCAAACGATCTGATTAGTCAGGGAAGCGCTCAGCCCAACCTTGGAACCCTTCAAACCTTGGATTGTTGACCAAACAACTCACTTTCTGTTCTGTCTACAGTACTCCGTACTCCTGCTAATTACAATATGGCCTGTCCAATGTGGTCACAATGTGGGCAAAAGCCTCTGTCGGTCCATGTCCAGCACTAAGCCAGAAAAGAGCGGGCCCCTCATGTCTCAGGGGACCAAAAGCTTGGCTATCAGGATCACACGTTCCCTCATGCAGTCCTCTGCTTCGTTGTACAAGGACACGGTCTCAAATCCAAGACCTCCAAGAGTCGTGCCCGCATTAGTCGAATTCCAGTCACGGATCCTGCTTTCTCTCGCTGCCTTGTGAGCCCTCCATCACTAGGAATCTCCCGGAAGGCGGTACCGGAATGCCACCACATAACAACGGACCCCCTGACAACCCAGTTTGCCCAGTTGCGCGGGGCAGTGGATGTCGCCTGGCACTGTCAACACAGTGGTGCGCGTATCTAGGATCGGTATCTTCGACGCGCGTGCATTGCAGAGCGGACACGGTCCGCCTGTGTTGATGCACGATCATATTGACAATAGATGCGACTACGAGCGTCAAAGGTAACCAATTGACAAGAAACCACAATTGACAGACCGGATCTTTCTGATCAATCGGCAAATATCAGGCGAGATTATCGTGTGTGAAGGGGCTCCACCAAGGCATACAACAATGCTCGCCCTTGGCCATGAAGGGTCGGGAAAAGAGATCCCCCTTCTCCCATGCGACGGCAAATATCGAAGGAATGGATAATCATACCCTTTAGTTATATAGCACGTAGAAGCCCCAATCGCGGGCCTTTGATTTTGAGATCTCTGCTTTTTACTCCTATTTGCTTTATCCCTAATTTTGGGGTCAAATAATCAGTGGAGCCGATTCAGAACGAGTTACAAGTGTGGCTTGCCTTGAAACCCGATCGCTTCACATCAGCGCTACTTTTCTCACGCGATTCCTATATTGGTTAATCTGCAACACTCGGCTCAGTGATCACCATCCTTCAGCGTTTCACCCCGAAATATCGCGTTTCAAGCTTCGTCTCCGCCATACCCACACGAGCCTCCGATTGGCGGGGGACCTGAGGGCGCGTGTGATAGGGTGAAAAGGGGAAGTCTGAAGTCTTTTTTATAGAGTCAGTCACCCTTATTGTTTTTGTTCTTTGTTTCTTTCTATTCATTCGGGGAGAATCCTATTGTGTGGCGTTCCCTATACATTCATTTGGAAGGAGCTGTCTCCTTATACTTCCCTCGTTACCTCTTTTGTTTTTCCTGCATTTACGCTGCATATCGCTGCTGGTCTGCGACTCGACAGTTTACTCAGTACTGGTTACTGAACCTTCAATTTATTAGGTATTCATCTGATACTCATTTTACCCGCTGCTGGTGCGGCGATATCCTTGGAAAATGGCCGTTCTCCAAACATCCATTGCGATCTTTGTTGCCCATATCTTCCTCCTACTCGGTCTTCCTTCAGCTTTGGTTGGCGCTGTCCCGGTGACAGTCCCAGTTACGCCTGTCAAGAATGTACTCCAAGTTGCGACGAATGGGAAAACACCTGCTGCGTCCTCTTACTGGGTTGCCAACGTGAAGCGCCAGGGTACCGTGCCCTTTGTCAAGAGTGCCGACTATAAAGTGTTCCGAAATGTGATGGACTTTGGTGCCACTGGTAAGTCATCTATACTTTGAATTTGAAAGTGATACTTATGTCATGACAGGTGATGGATCTACCGATGACACTGCCGCTATCAACAAGGCCATCTCCTCCGGTGGTCGCTGTGGAAAGGGCTGCGACTCGTCTACCACTACTCCCGCCATCGTTTACTTCCCGCCCGGTACTTACGTTGTCTCCAAGCCGATCGTGCAGTACTACTACACCCAGATCGTCGGTGATGCTGTTGACCTGCCCGTCATCAAGGCCTCGCCCAAGTTCGCCGGTATGGCCGTGATTGACGCCGATCCATACGAGGACGATGGCTCCAACTGGTTCACCAACCAGAACAACTTCTTCCGTGCCATTCGCAACCTGGTCATTGATTTGACTAGCGTCCCCCAGGGCTCTGGTGCCGGTATCCACTGGCAAGTCGGCCAGGCCACCAGCTTGCAGAACATCCGCTTCGAGATGGTCAAGGGTGGTGGTGACGCCAACAAGCAGCAGGGTATTTTCATGGACAACGGATCCGGTGGCTTCATGTCCGATTTAACCTTCAACGGCGGTAACTACGGCATGTTCCTTGGTAACCAGCAGTTCACTACCCGTAATTTGACTTTCAACGGCTGCCATACTGGTATCTTCATGAACTGGAACTGGGCGTGGACCTTCAAGTCTGTTCAGATTAACAACTGTGGGGTTGGATTGAACATGTCTACTTCGCCTTCCAATCAGACTGTCGGCTCTGTGATGCTGCTCGACAGCAAGTTGACCAACACTCCCACTGGTATTGTCACTGCCTGGACCAAGAACAGCATCCCTGTCGGTGGTGGTGACCTCATTCTTGACAACGTGGACTTCTCCGGCTCCAAGGTTGCCGTTGCTGGCGTTGATGGTAAAAGCATCTTGGCTGGTGGCTCTGTCGTCGACAACTGGGTCCAGGGTAACACTTACACTCCCTCCAAGACTGTCAAGCGTGCCACCGAGGCTGAGTCTGAGGTGGTCACCGTCGTTCAGACTGTCATGCACACCGTCTTCGCCTGCCCCGCCTCTCACGGATTGGCCAGTGCTAGTGAGAGCGCTCCTGCTCCTGCTAAGACCGCTTCCATGGGCACTGCTGCCGCTCCTTCGCCGGTTCCAGCTGTCAGCAGCAATGTTGCCGAGCTCCCTCTTACCACTGGTGAACCTGGAAGGTCTGTCGTCGACTCGTCTAACACCGGTCTGCCTATTCTGGACACTTTGAACTCTCTGCTCGGTGGTGCCTCGGACACTCCCGAGACTTCTGAGGCTGTTCCTGCTGCCCCTGCTACCAGCCAGACTCCTGTTGCCTCTCAGGTCCCCGTCGTGTCTCAGGCTCCCGCTGTCTCTTCTGCTACCGGTTCTATCGTTCAGCAACCCGCCGGCACCGCTATCAACACTGCCCCCGTTGCCACTGCCACTGGTACCACCCAGAGCACCAACGGCGGCTCTGGATCTACCTCTGAGTCTGGCAGTGATAGCAGTGGCGGTACTGGCACTTGCGGTGCCCAACACGCCGTTTCTTCTGCTCGTACCCAAAGCACTATGAAGGTTGCCTCCAAGCCCGCAGGTCTTCTCAAGAACGGTGCCGTTTTCGAACGCTCCAAGCCTCTCTACGAGGAAATTGAGGCCTCCAACTTTGTCAGCGTCAAATCTGCTGGTGCCAAGGGTGATGGAACCACCGATGACACCGAGGCTATCCAGAAGATTTTCAACAGCTACAAGGACGGTCAGGTTATCTACTTCGACCACGGTGCCTATGTCATCACTTCCACCATCAAGATCCCCAAGAACATCAAGATCACTGGTGAAATCTGGCCTATGCTCATGGCACACGGCAAGAAGTTCGCCGATCAGGAGAACCCCGTTCCCCTCTTCCAGGTCGGCCAGAAGGGCGAGACCGGCTCTGTGGAGATGAGTGACCTCATCATCACTACTAAGGGTGCCGCCCCTGGTGCTATCCTCATGGAGTGGAACCTTGCCGGCGCTTCCCAGGGTTCCGCCGGTATGTGGGATGTCCACTTCCGTATTGGTGGTGCTGCTGGCACTGAGCTCCAGAGCGACACTTGCCCCAAGACCCCCAAGGAGAAGACCACCCCCAAGAAGGAGTGCATGGCCGCCTTCATGCTCCTGCACGTCACCTCCAAGGCCAGCGCCTACATCGAGAACTGCTGGTTCTGGACCGCCGACCACGAACTCGACCTCGAGGACCACAACCAGATCAATGTCTACACCGGCCGTGGTGTCCTCATCGAGTCCCAGAGCCCCGTCTGGCTGTGGGGTACCTCCTCCGAGCACCACCAGCTGTACAACTACCAGGTGTCCAACGCCAAGCATGTCTTCATGGGTCTCATTCAATCCGAGACCCCCTACTACCAGTCCAACCCTACCTCCCTGACCCCCTTCACTCCCCAGGACTCCTGGAAGGACCCCGACTTCTCCAACTGCACGACCAACTCTTGCCGCAAGGCCTGGGGTCTGCGTGTTCTGGAGTCGTCTGACGTCTTCGTCTACGGCGCCGGTCTCTACAGCTTCTTCGAGAACTACGCCCAGTCCTGCCTCAACGCCGAGGACTGCCAGGAGAATATGGTTGAAATCGACTGCTCGGATATCCACCTCTACGGTCTCAGCACCAAGGCTGCCGTCAACATGGTCACCTCTTCCCAGGGCAAGAGCATGGTTCCCCAGAAGCCAAACAAGAGCAACTACTGCTCGACCATCGCTCTCTTCCAGCAGACTGCCTAGAGTATCTCTATCCCGGTCTAGCCCCCTACTTTCCCATTCATTCCTCCGCCCACCTCCAACATCTTCCATTTCATTTCTCTTCTATTCCCTTTTTACAGATCCACACAATAGTGTGCGAATACCACCTCCTTCCCTCCCACATTCATTTTCTTAAATTGCTCTTCGGTTCAGCTTACTAAACGGGTTATAAATCTTGGCGGTTTCCTGTTTGATACCAACCCGGCATCGGTTTCACGAGATCATTAATAGATTCCTCTTCCTTTCTTCGCTTTTTCCTTTGCGATGATATACAATGCTATGAAAACTATTTTATGATCTTTCTTCTTTCAGGTGTGTAACTCGTTCGTATATCCGTGTATATAGCTTCAACTACGTAGTGAAATGGGATGGCATGATCGCAGTCTGGCATAGCAGACGGGTCGATATCAATGGAGACAGGACGCAACCAACCACTCCAACGCTCAGCTCAGGCGTAGAGAGCTGTCTCTGTAGGTGGCTATCGTACTGGACTTGAAGCTATATCATGAATGAACTGCCCATGTGTCACAAACACTCGAAGATACGCGCACGTTTGCGGAGAGGTCGCTTGCGTTTTGGGGGCCTTCTATGCCGTGTTACAGCGAAGTAGCTGTGAGAACCCTGCCAGGTTCAAGGAGTATAATGAATCCGGCCACGGATTCTATCCAGGAATGGTGACTTGGTGTAATAAAACTAATCGCTGCTTCAGAAGGCATTTAATACATGGTGTGATTATCTAAGCAGGCAAGCGAGGTGTTATGGATCATGCATGTCAGCCTTACTTAGACCTCGTACTGGAAGTTCTCAGGTTGTCCTGACAGTAGCTTGGTCTGTGCGGTTTTTGTGTTCATCAAGGTCTTGCAACGAAACAAAGGTTAATAAAGACAAGCCAAAGTATTACTCAAAGCTCCTTTTTCAAGAAATGCTCAGGCTTATGGGTAGTCTCATAGTCAACGTGAACATAAGCACGCTCGACGTCGGGAAGGGACTCAAGCTTGATCTGGAGTTCCTCGGCGACATCGTGGGTGGCGCGCAGGGTCTCGTTGGCTTCCATGACGACGTCGACTTCGACGAGAAGACGGGGACCGGAGGTGTATGCGCGCACAGTGTCGATGGCGGTGATAAAGGGGGAGTGGGTCATTGCTGTGGAGACAAGTCAGCATACGGATTTTTTTTTGAAAATACTCGGGAGCGAGATTGACATACAGATATAAGTAATAAGCTGCTGCATCTTGGTGTCGGCGGTGACACCAACCAGCAGCTGAAACTCGCCGTAGGCAGAGTGCAGCCACAGAACACTAACCAATGTGGACAGAATGATAGCGCCCATTGGGTCGACCCACCAGCGCAGCTTACTGCCACCAACGGAGGTCAAGATACCGAAGCCGTTGATGAACAGATCGTTGCGGTGGTCCTCCCACAGAATGCGAATCTGCGAGACTTGATTTCGCAAGGCCCAGCAGTACAGGAACAAGGCAAGTTTTGTTGCAAAGGCAACGGCAACAGCGATGATGGAGGGAAGATAAAAAGACTGGGTATCGTTCTCGGAGCCAACAGCCAGTTCACGGATCGAGAATGCAATCAGAATAAATGAGACGGCAGTCATGAGGAAGCAGAAACAGATATTTCCGGCTGTTTCGATACGGGCTTTTCCAGCGGGGAACTTGCGCGGATCGACACGGTTGACAGCCTTGTTGCAGAGGAGGAGGGTGAGGTTGGACATGGGATCGAAGATGGCATCGGCCATGGTTGTGAATAGAGACAGCGATCCGGAGGAAACGGCACCGTAGACCTGAACAACAGAGAGAATCACATTGGCAGCGAAACTGCCGTACACGGCAATGCGGTATTTGAGACGGTTATCGACGTTCAACTCGCGAGCGGCACGGCGGTGCTCCTCGACGGGCTTCAGCATGCGCTCGATATTCTCATTCTGAGACTCGTAGAAGCCCTGCAGCTTCTTGGTAATGAATGCCTGTTTTCCGAGACGACCGGTGTCCTTCACCAGGGCGGCAACCTTCCGGCCTTTAGTGGCATTGGCAGAATCACGCTTCCTAGAGGTATTGGCTCGGATCTGTCGGATCTCCTCCTCGGTCTTAAGCTTCGAGGCTAGCTGGAAAGGATCGTTTTCGGGGGTGTAGCGCGGTGGAGGTTGGCCTTCTTCGTCGCTCGCACTGCCGCTGCGGTGGTGTTGCAGCACAGTGAGTTCGTGTTCTAGTGCGGTGGAGGTTGCTTCGTTGGAGTGAGCCATCCTGTCGCGCTGCGACGGCGAGCTGCTCGTGTGGTGCAAGCTCTGGAAGGCATGCGGGTGATTGGAAAGACTCTGGCGAATATGTTCCTCCATGATGGGCGGATCGAACAATGAAAGAATGAGACAATGTAAGGGATGAAAGAAATGTTATTGAGAAAGCGGCAGTGCTTATCTCTTATCGCGCCGATCATAAACTGTTGAACGTTAACGTTAACTTACCTACAATGTATGTATGACTTACATTGCATAGTATTGGAATTGGAAGACGCTTTGCATAATTATACTTTAGCATATTTCACAGCTGCAGTGCCTTTCTGACAGGTACCTTGATGTGGGGTATTCCAAACTAGCTAGATATGGAGAACATAGCTAGGTACAATCCTAAAACGGGACCAAAGGACTTTAAGAAATAGTCGATACTACAGCTGCTTAATTCCTTTGAGAAAAATAATTCCAAAGAAATGTTTCGCGTTTACACTAGTTCGGTAGAAAGTTATGGTTCTAGTCCTAGTCCTATTATACTGAGATATGTATGTATGTGCAGGCTAACCAGGCTACCATCCTGTTCCAGACCAATTCACCCGTAGCCATTCGTGGGTGGCTCATCCACATTGAAGTTAAGGAACTAGTGGTTTATAAAGACGTCACCCGAAAGCGTATAGCATAGAGTCTTCTACAAGTACGGAGCACTTCTCCGTGCAAAGACGTGCGTTGCATCCTAGCTCGGTCATCCATTATTTTTGTTTATACTTGTCAAGGATCGTATCTACAGATATTGCTCAAAAGTATTTACCCACTACCCCACTTCAATTTTGGCCCGGCAACCAACCCACCATTTTATTTTTCTTCCTACACCACCCCTACGCATCCGATTCCAATGGAAACTGGCCCAAAACGTAGGAAAAAGGGTGAATTAACCCCTGAGCAAAGGTCAGCTATTATCTATGCTTATAAGAATGGTATTTCGTAGTCAAAACTAGCTGATAATTTTAGCTACACCCGTAAGACTATTTACAATACGCTTAAGCGCTTCGAGGAGCATAAATCGATCTAGTCCCTTTCTCGAACCGGCCGTCCTTCGAAGCTAGACTCTCGAGCTTGCACATCTCTCTATTTATAAGCGCGCCGGCACCCGTTTTGGACCTATAAATAGCTTAGTGCTGCGACACCCGGTTATCCGTCTCGGTCTACTATACAGCGAGTTTTGAAGCAATTCGGATTGTCAAAACGGCGCTCGAAGCAGAAGATACCAATTAAGCCCTCTCTCGTAAGAAGGCGGCTATTTTTTGCGAGAAAATGGCGGCGGGAAAGCTTTTAATCGTGGATCTTTTCGGACGAGTGTTCGGTGTAACGAACCTCGAACTTTAGACCACAATAGTGCTTCCGTACGACCTTGGAGGGCCTTCGAAAGGATCTCGTGAATGCTAAGGTTCACGTAAAAGATATTTCATAAATGGTTTAGGCCGGAATCTAGCTAGGTGGTCGGGCTAAATTGATTATCATAGAACGGGACGAAGAATCGCGGTTAGGGAGGGGTTATACTTCAAAATCGTATATTTCAACGCTCGAAAAAGGTCTAATACCAATCTACACCCCTAATTTAGTATTTCAGTAAGATAACGCGACGATTTATCTAGCGAAGGAGACGAAAGAGTGGTTTGGAACTCACGGAGTATACGTCGAGAATTAGCCCGCGCACTCACCCGATTTGAACCTAATTAAACCAGTATGGCGCTGGTTAAAATCGAAACTTTTTGCAATGTTTCTAGAGCTTATTGGCTAAGGAAGGTCGGAGGCAGACTAGCATTATTTTAAAAAAAAATGTCTGGTAGAAGTATAGATACGTATTAGATCAGTCGAAGATAGATGCGCTAATATTGAGCATGGGCAGACGTTTGAAGGCAGTGAGGAAGGCTAAGGGGTATTACACAAAGTATTAAGTGATTTTTCGAAAGTGCTATTATTAAGCAACCCTAAAATTTAAATATGTTATTATAGACTATAAAACGGTGGTGCTATATACTGTGTAAGTGATATATATATTTTGAGAGGGGACCCGAAAAAAGTGGAGTGGGTAAATACTTTTGAACGGGTATGTAGTCGCACCAGGCGATGATCGTGCCATGTAATCAAATCTGCTCATTGGTGGCCGATTAGGCGAATTGTCCCTGATTCGTATATGCATACAACGATAACATAGACTAACCGCAATCGATGAACTTCTCCTCGCAAAATAAAGTTTCAGCTCCCGAGGGTTTCGCCGTATAAATGGAGTCTTCATTGCTAGTCCCCTAACGGGCGGGGAAGGCGGGGCCCGGCCCCGGGCCGTAATTCACCAAATACTTCACTGGCATAATTCTATTTAAGTAGACGTCACAGCCTGCAGTTACTTCTTGACGGGTGCCTTGATACGAGGTATTCCAGCCTAGCTTAATAAGGCGTATACATTTAGCTTCAATCTCAAAGTGGGCGTATGACCTGGAACTGGAGTTTATTGCGCCACTGCGGAGAATGAGATCTCGCTTACTTCGTTAGGGCTTTTATGTCTTGTGCTCGCGGTTTTGCAATGCGCTTCTTTAGAGCTCAAGGGCCCAAAAGGAAAGGCTGTCTCTAACAGTATGCGTTGAGACCAAGACTCATGCTCCCAAATCCAAAGCGTGAAGTCCTCGATCATTGCAATGTAAATGAACAAGAACGGGAAGGGGCAACATCGTCGGGGTCTTGGCAAGGCCTCATCAAATAATTTTACCTTAGTCTGGTTTTCTTCCAGGCCTGCACACCGTCTGTGGTGGGGGTGGGTTCGAAGAGGTTTCAGAGTTTTGTTAGAAGTTACATCTTTCTTTGTGCTTTCGGAGCTGATATCACATTCTACTTCCGCTGACTCATATAATGGGAGAGGATCTTCTGAAGATTGTCATTATATCTCCCTGTTTAGTCATTAAAGGCATTCTGATTGGAACCGCAGAGGTCTTAGCACGAATAAGCGGACGCCCAGGCAGGGAAAGAGCGTGGATAATAGCATCTAACATGGCTGTTTTTATGCAAAGGCATAACTCCGAGACATTTTACTTCCGCTGACTCATATAATAGAAGAGGATCTTCTGAGGATCGTCATTATATCTCCCTGTTTAGTCATTAAATGCATTCTGATTGGAACCGCAGAGGTCTTAGCACGAATAAGCGGACGCCTAGGCAGGGAAAGAGCGTGGATGATGGCATCCAACATGCCTGTTTTATGCAAATGCCAACTCCGAGGGCCGAAACTGCAAGGGCAACATATATATCACATTCTTCTTCCCGATAATTGTTCCACCACACTTGACTGGATCTATTCAACAATACAGTATTTTGGTTGCCATTTCGAGCTATGTTGTCATCGATCTCTCTTTCGACGCTTATCCCTATAGCGCTTGCAGCCCTTATAATCCGGCTCATTATTTCTACAATCAGATTTCCAGCTCGTCTCTATCTCCCAGGTCCAGCTCTCAGCCGTTTCACAAATCTCTGGTACTTATGGCAAATGAAACGGGGTGATTTTCACCAGACAAACATCAGGCTGCATCAACAACATGGCCAGTATCATTCCTGCCAACCCTCACTCCCCTTGCTCATACCATTACTACAGGCCCGATTGTCCGTATAGCACCAAATTGGTACAGCATCTCTGATCCCTCGGCTACAAGGGTAATCTACGGTCATGGCTCTAAGTACCTAAAGTCGGAATGGTACGACGCCTGGAACTTTAGCAGCGACCTAAGTTTGACAAACCTGTTCTCCGAGAGGTCCTCTAAAAAGCATGCAGAGGATCGCAAAAAAGTCGCCTCGTTATATTCAATGACCTCATTGGTGGCATATGAGCCATTCGTGGACAATTGCATCGATATTTTCAAGCAGCGACTGGATGATTTTGCAATGAGGGACCAGTTCATTGATATGGGTCATTGGTTGCAGTGTTATGCTTTTGATGTTATCGGAAAAATTACTGTGCGTGTTATGGCTATCCTGCGCTTTACTACTCAATGAGCTTGTATTAACCAAAACAGTTCGGTGATCGGTTCGGGTTCCTCGATGCGGGCAAAGACGTAGGAAATATGATTGAGTTCCTCGATGGCGCCCTCACGGCAAGCTCCTATTTCGGCTTGTATGTCTGGCTATATCCAATGTTCATGAAGGTTGGCAAGTACCTAGGCATGGATCAAAGCTACGTGAATAACTTCAGCTTCCGACACATCCAAGAGGCAAAAGTAACCATAAAGAACTATCACGCCGATCTTCCGGCTCATATGACTATGAAAGTTGTTCTAGCCCAAGCACAGAATCCGGAGAAACTTTCCGACTACGATATACTTGTCACCGCTGGCTCGAATGTTGGAGCGGGAAGTGATACCACTGCTATCAGCTTAAGCTCGATTCTGTACCATTTGCTTCATGCCCCTGCATGTATGGAGAGACTGCGAGCGGAGATGAACTCGTCTGGGATCACTGGCAACCCGACATTCAAAGAGACACAGGAAATGCCATATCTTCAGGCTGTTATGAAAGAGGCCTTGCGTGTTCACCCCGCTACAGGATATCCATTGTTCCGCGTTGTTCCCCAGGGTGGGGAGGTACTTGCTGGTCAATTCTTCCCAGAAGGAGTAAGGGCCCCCTTCCCATGAAACTTAGTGAGTGCAGCTAACATGACTACAATGTGATAGACAAATGTTGGGGTAAACAGTTGGGTCTCACACTACGACACAAATATCTATGGACTGGATGCAGCTACCTTCAGACCTGAACGATGGCTCGAAGCGGATGAACAGCAGTCAAAATTGATGGAGCAAAACTTCATGCCGTTTGGTATGGGATCAAGAACCTGCATTGGGAAGAACATTTCATTACTGGAAATGAGTAAATTAATCCCAGTGTTGGTGCGAGACTTTGATTTCGAGTTGAGCCAGGACAACAGGGTTGATGGGTGGAGGACAAGGGCCAGATGGTTCGTCAAACCGAGAGATTTCAAGGTGCTACCTACGAGGAGGACATAGATATGACCTGTGATTGTTCCCAGGACCTTGTATATCTTCCAATTGCCTGATGTATCCTCTATCGCATTAACTTATCACTATTATACACTTCAGCCCAACCCCCCGCAAGCATGTATAGGAACCGACTTGTCCTGCTGCACTTTTTCCCTAGAGTAGGCATGTTCACCCTGATTACTCCTGAGCTATTCGGCTACCCGGAACACATTGCCTAAAACGGGCCCCGGTGGAGACTTTTGACGGGCCAAGAAACTTTTGACGGGCCAAGAGATTGATGGTTCCCAAGCGAACAGTCTTGAATGTTTCCCTCTGGAATGAAGGCGATACAGGGTGGAATAAGTTATTCTCTAGAAATCCCTGTGGCTATAACAGAAATAAGGAGTGTAACAGTCTAATGTGGTAAAACCTCGCGTGTGAGAGATTTTACGAGTGGACCCGGATGAAACCGGTTTCAACTTAAATGACCGTTAATAAGCGCGTATTAGACGTTGGTTTATGCTTTTATGAAAGTCAAGCCCGATCGCCACGTTTTCCGCGTTTTCTCAGTTTTTCCCTTTTTCATCAACGCCCGAACGCCACCCATCGACGCCATAACGTTAGACAACGCCCTCTTCTCCGCCACGTTAGACAACGCCCAACTGCTCCTAGTTGATACTATACTCCCATGCGCTAGTATATGCTCAGTATATGCTCTCCCCCCTTGATACTCCCAAGCGCCACTATCTCAGTACTTTGATTCTCCCAAGCGACAACCCCCAGCGACATCATGGAAGTCTCAAAACCCGACGCGCCAACAGCAGATTCTACCCTCGAAGCCCTTGGTTATACAGCAGAATTGTCCCGCAACCGGTCAACATGGCAGGTCGTGTTCATGTGCTTCATCCTTGCCTCCGTGCCATATGGCTTGTCCACCACCATGTCATACGCCTTGATAGGTGGAGGCTCGGCCAATATGATCTGGGGCTGGATTGTCGTTTCTCTGATCATGATGTGTGTAGGCGCTTCTCTAGCTGAAATCACCTCGGTATATCCCACTGCTGGTGGTGTCTATTACCAGACTTTTGCCCTCTCGCCAGCCTGGTGTCGTCGCGCCACGGCTTGGGTGTGTGGTTGGTCTTTTGTCGCTGGTAATATCACTATTACGCTGGCTGTTAACTTTGCGACCGCGCTATTCTTTGTCGAATGTTTGAATGTTTTTGAGGATTCCACTGGTACTGGTATTGCCGCCAATATGGAGACTTATCAGACTTATCTTATTTTCGTCGCCATCACTGTTCTCTGTCATGCTATTCCCACTTTCGGGAATAGATGGCTCACCCATATCGAGGTATGTTGTCGGTTTGATGTCGGTACTCGCTTGCTAATCTTGAACAGACCTTTGCCATCTTCTGGACCATTGTTGGAGTGACAGCTATCCTGATTACCATCCTGGTTGTCGCGCATAGCGGACGCCGATCTGCTGAATTTGTCTTCACCTCGTTCGAGCCCCAATCTGGCTGGCCAGATGGTTGGTCATTCTGTATTGGTTTGCTCCAGGCTGCATATGGTCTTTCGGCTACTGGAATGGTCACATCGTGAGTATCTCGCATCCAATCTAATGTCCTCGATTTTGACTTGAATAGCATGTGCGAGGAGGTCCGTCAACCAGCCATCCAGGTTCCCCGGGCTATCGTCGGTGGTGTTGCTCTCAATGCCCTGGCCGGTTTCGCATTCCTCATTCCTATCGCATTTGTGCTTCCGGATGTTGCCATGCTCGCAGCTCTCCCGTCGGCTCAGCCTGTTCCGACTATTGTGAAGTCTGCCACTGGCAACTCCGCGGGTGCATTCTGTCTCCTGATTCCATTGATTGTCCTCGGACTGATCTGTGGGATTGGCTGTGTCACTGCTACGTCTCGGATCACTTGGGCGTTTGCTCGTGATGGCGCCATTCCCGGCTCCGGCTGGTGGAAAACTGTAAATGGACGTCTGCAGATTCCATTGAACTCATTACTGCTGGGAATGGTCATTGAGCTGCTTCTCGGATTGATCTACTTCGGTTCAAGTGCTGCTTTCAGTGCGTTCTCCGGTGTCGGTGTCATTTTCCTGACAATGAGTTATGCATGCCCTGTCGCGGTGTCCTTGATTCTTCGCCGCCGTAAGGACCTTGAGCGTGGTTCTTACAATCTTGGATTACTTGGCACCTTCTGCAACGTCGTTTGCATTGGTAAGTGGATGATGGTCCTCCTTCATTTTATCTACTCTCTAACAATGCTGTTTCCTTTTAGCTTGGTGCTTACTTGCTATCCCACTCTTCTCCATGCCGACGAGTATTCCCGTCACAAAAGACACAATGAACTATGCCTGTGTTGTGTTTGTCGGGTTCGTGGTTATTTCTGGAGTGTGGTATGGAGTATGGGGTAAGAAGAACTATATCGGTCCCGCACTCGAAGAGATCGATGGTCAACCCGGTTCACAAGCTGGTGACCACTCAGACATCGATATCGCCCCGAACAAGTGATTTGACTATGGGCGAGCAATTGCAATGGTTCGAGGGACCAACGTACCGTGCTGTTTGATAGCGACTACGCTTCGCTGAAGACAGCGCAACTCGAAACACTGCAGGTACACCTTTACACCCAGAGCTAGTTTCACGACTACGACTACCAAAGTGGTGTAATTCTGGGCGACCTGGCAGCTGGTTCTTGCTCAGGTCAATGCAAGCATAGCCCCATTCCGACCACTTCCGCCTATTTCTGTCAACGAAAAGAGGCGGACAACAGAAATCTTCGTTATCTGGCTTGTGGTATTCGAAGATCGACAAAGGTGTAGTATATATGTACATAACTCATTACCGCAGAAGTATATAGGACTAGGACTAGGATCTTAAAATTATACCCAAACAGTTCAAAGGAACCAAGCAGTTGTAGTCATTCATTAATTATTGAAGTCCTTTGGTGTGGTATCTCTATATACCATCCCTACCAAATGTTCTTACCCACTCCACTTTTTTCAGGTCCCCATGCAAAATATAAGTTATATATCACTTTCATACTATATAGCACCACCATTTTATGGTCTATAATGCTATAATTAAATTCCAGGGTTGCTTAGTAATAACACAATAAAATTTTCGCTTAATATTTGTATAATACCTACCCCTTAGCCTTCCGTACTACCTTCCAACGTCTACCTATGCTTAATACCAGCGCATCTGTCTTTGCCTAATCTAATGCCTTCTCAGCTTCCACTAGGCATTTTTTAAAATAATGCTAGTCTACCTCCGACCTTCCGATGTCAATAAGCTCCGGAAATAATGCAAAAAGCCTCACATTTAACTAACGCTATACCGGTTTAATTAGGTTTAAATCGGGTGAGTGCGCAGGCTAATCCTCGACGTATACTCCGTGAGTTTTAAACCACTCTTTCGTGTCCTTCGCTAGATAAATCCTCGCGTTATCTTACTTAAATACTAAATTAGGGTGTGGATTAGTATTATATCAGACTAGGTTTTATGTACCGTGAATACTCATATACATCATATGGGTCCCGTAAATCATGTCTCCATTCATCCTATATGCTACATGTATAACTCTAACAACAACTAATAGCGTGCCTAGGTCCTCTAAAGTATTGCAGCCGTTGCAGGGCCAGCTCATTTGCACGGTAGCTCATAAGATCCATGGCTATGAAGCGCCTTGTTTTCTAGGGACAAATTTATGACCTACAGTGAGAGTCCAGCAAGACTAGAGAATCCAGCAAGACTAGGGAGCCCAGCAAGACCAGGGAGTCCAGGAAGACGAGGAAGCCAGGACTCTCCAATCAAATGCCGCAAACTTGACTGAAACGGACCAGTGTGTACTATATCCACTGGTCCGGTTCTGCGCATTATACTTGCTGGCCCTTTCGACCGGGAGTGTCAATCTGCATGGCATGGCCTGGCCAAATACGAGAAGAGGGAAAAAGGATTAAGTGTTACAGTAGTTTTCGAAATCAGTTATACCCCCCTTACTCTTACTACTTCATTCCCAGAAAGTAAACCCGGAATACGCTAACCAATTATAGCTCACCGCTCATATAAGTTCGGCAAAACTGTGACGGTAATGGATGTGGCTGTAAAAATGAGTTATCGTAACGATACTGTAATTTTCTACAGTATTACCCTACAGAGTTTCGAGGGTCGAGACTTGCCTCGACTGTATCATGTCTGTTTACATAACAAGTTTAGTATACAGTATCTAGTTTTAGTACAGTAGTGATGTGATACAAGGCCAGTCACTAACCCATTCTCAAATGGCGGAGGAAGTAGAATGCAGCGAACAGACGGCCAAAAATATCAGCAGAAACGTACAACATTCCAAAACTTGTAGCAGTCCGGACCTTAAAAATATATGGTTGCTCCGTTCAATAAGATTTGGGTCCGAAACATTTTCGGTGAGGTTCGAAGGGCCCCAGTAAACTGATAAAAGTAGACTTAAAAGCAAACTTTCTCAGAGGTTAGACCTTCCTTATATCCAGGCGCTAAACAAGATTAAAGTGGGACCTCCTAACCTCTGAAAGTTCCACTTTAATCTGATAACAAGGTGGCGCTCCCGTCCGCTCAGACAAGGCTTACATACGAGACCGACCTACCCTACAATTTCTCGTCTGCATAGAGCCTAGTTCCCGTCGAATCTACGTTTTCATCCTAGTTCACCTTGCCTATCACAGCAGAATTTACAGATCGAAATAGTTTATAGACAAGAATATAGATCTTAGTATGTTCCACTCCCGCCAACGCGTTTTGGCGCGGCTTAATTAGCCATGTTTTTCATTGGGCACTATCAACTACGCTGAAGAACGGGTGATTGCTGCTCTAGTGCTAGGCAAGGGTGAGCAGGTCACCGTGAGTCCGCGAAAAGTGAAAAAAGGGGGTTAACAATAGCCTCGTGACCCTAGTATGACTCAGAGAAATCGGGTGCAACCGTCTACGTTACTTGGCGCTGTACTTGCCCTTTGTCATTAGAGTTTCACCGAAGTACCGCGGTTCATATTTGCAGGGTATAAGTGTCAAAAGTAAGCCGCATATTATATTGTAATCCATGCTTTTGTTCGATACCAGAACCACCTATAATGCCACCCTCAACCCCCTCTGTCAACATTAATGTGTTGAAGCAAGCATTCAACCACTTAAATGCACGAAACATCGATGGATGCCTCCGCCTGATGAGGCCGGATTTCATTATCAACATCGCGGATATGCCTTACCAAAAGCGTGGGCATAATGCCTGGAGAAATCATGCTCAGATACTCTTCGCTGCCCTTCCCGACGTCAAAGTCCACGTCGAGGACGTCGTCGCTGCAGAGGACAAAGTTGCAGTACGGGTGCGAATCAAAGGCACGCATCGCGGCGAATTTCTCGGAAACCGTCCCACAGGCAAGACGATCGAATACATCAGTCATGAATTCTATCGGTTCGAGAACGGTGAACTGGCTGAAGAGTGGATTTGTTCCGACACCATGACGATAATGAGGCAGGTTGGTGCCCTGTCCACAAACCGGCTCGTATCAATGTGGTTATCAGGGTATCGATTCTGGTTTGGGTTGGCTGTTGGAGCTGTATTCGCCGGAGTTGTACCGCATATGGTTTAATTGAATTGGTGTCTAGGATTGGGGAAGCTTAGGGAAACTTGGGAAGCGATTAGGACCGAGGGCGAGAGAACGAGGATTGAGATGTATCTCTACGGAAAAGTAGCATCACGATACGTTTTGGTCACTTGTTATCCATCGCTAGAGGTGGCTAATCGACCGAGGAATGGAAGTGCCAGGCTGAATATTGAATCAGCGGGAGATTCTAGTGACGTGGTCAACAGGTGACTTGCGGAGGACTTGTCCGTTTTATTATTTCTTGTATCTATAGTTTCCTTCTCTCTCTCCGTGCCCATCAGTCAGATCAGTTTATCATCAATTACATCTCCACTCATCAATTTTTCATCGAAGTATAAGTCCCAAAAGCATCCTAGGAAAGATACTCGAAGTTTTAGAGAATCAGATCGTGGAAGTACCACGCGGGTGGAAGACTGCATCGAAAGCGGACGTGATTGGTGAGATCGAGGAGCTACCTGTACGGCACCCGACAGCCAGATTCCTCCCGTCAGGAAGGCACGGAGGGTAGTATGTACTGTATGGCTGTTTCGTAAATTACAGTATCTGACGTTTCGGGCTAGTATTGTAAATTATGTGAACCATTCGAGGAAGCGGTCTGAAAGGCGGAGTTGGCATCATCTTCCCATATAGCGCATTTCTGATTCTTGGTTGAGAATTAAGATTGAGTGTGTAGGTATAACTGTAAGCTGGATATTTCTTCGACGACTGGAGAGTCCGTTACCCCAAGATGGAGAAAGGAGTAACAGCTGGCCAATGACATGATGATATTGTAACAGGAATATATTGGCTTTTAGTTACTCCTTTCTCCGCCCTAAAGTAACAAAGCCCTTATTGGTTTGCTTCCAGTTGTACATAATCGAAAACGGCCTATACAGTTGCAAGTGATAGCCAATGCTCTAGAAGCTTCTATGAGTTGATTTCGTCCCTTAGGATGCGAGTAGACAGGTCCCTACACTAAGCACGAGCTTATGATGAAGTCACAAGGAGAAGTGAAACGTTAGCTATGCTACTCTAAGGTAGAGAAAAGAATACTAGAGTACCTAGTCTCTAATTATATATTAGTTCCTCTGATCTATTAGCTCTACGCGGGAGCTTTATACTATACCCCTCGAAGTGATTGTATTCATTTGTTAGATTCACGTTTATATATCGTTAGCTATAGTATCACGTTCTATAGGAGAAAGGATCCGTGGGCCCTAGCTTGTTATCTCCTAACTATCTAGAAAAGCGAGGCTAGATACCTGTCAGGACCTTTTACCTGACTGAGGATGTTTAGTCGGCCTGAGGCATCATGATGCCTCAGGGCTCAGAAGTTATTGAAATGATGCCCCAGGCGATGGTCTCACCGCCCTCGACTGGGCCAGTCTGTATATAAGCATTTCTCGCTGGGCTGTGGAACGGGCCAGCGCTCAGTTTCTTCATACAATACACCCCTATTGTACTACACGCGTAACTGGGCCATCTACCTCGCTTACCCACCTAAACCTAGAGACTGCGTGGTCTCACATCAATAGCTGATCTTTATATGGCAGTAAGCTGCGCCGTTTTGCTATTTTTTGCATCAATTTTTCATTACAATCGGAGCAATAGGGGAGGTGTAGGAAGAAAAATAGAAAGGTGAGGTGGTTGCCGGGTCAAATTGTAGTGGGGTAGTGGGTAAGAACATTTGACTAGTATCTGTATGACAAGTATCTGTAAATAGCGCATCAGTTCTCTTAAAGCGCCGCTGACAATGGGACCAATCATCATTCCAGAGCTAACACTATCGAGAATACGTGGGACAACTTTTAACTATGCTATAGATCGCTGACAGAGAAGAATCATTTCCAGCACACCTGCGATCAGGTCTTCGGAAACAGCTAGCTACATGGATCTTTGCAAGCTCCTGTTCTGGCAGGGTTTTTGACGAATCATGGGTGCTTGGATTGTTAATAAGCAGATGCCCGAACTCTGACAGGGTTCCTGTTGCTCCTGGTATCAAGATTGCGTTCCTAGATCTGTCCAACCCCTGAGATGGACTTCCACACCACTAGTACGACCCAAGTACGACCACTGTAACAGCCAGTTACTTGAGGGGTTATGCAGGCAACAATGGGCCATCAAGCACCAGGGCGACCACCGAAATCAAGATAGTGCTCTCTTTCTCTTTTACCCCTTGCGCATTTGGTCAGGGAAGAATCGTTGGCCCTTTCCTCGTGTGGCGCTCCAAAGGCTACGTCTTAGGCGGTTGTACCCGTTACCACTGTTGGGAAGGGAATCTACCTTTATTGGCAATATGTCGCGAATCATTCATTTCAGAATACGAGCGTTCATAAGATTAATCACACAAATGCCCGCCAAGAAAAAGGGATTGGAGGCTCTGTACGAGGATCTTGGGTGCTAAGTGGGGCTGGAAGGGCTTTCTCGAGCCGCTGAGATTTTGATCGACAGGGAAAATTAACGAACACCACAAATCGGCCTATGGTTTTACTGAGAAGGAGAGTTAGGGCTCGCAAGTCTATTTGTGGAGTGATGATCTTTCGCGGCTCAGCATCCACGCATTCCCGTGTTGAATCGTAGACCCCTTCGCTAAGGTCTCTTCAGCCTCGTATAGCTTGCCCCATCTCGTGTTTTGACTGGATTACAGCTTCCGACAAGTAATCATCGCCCTTGGCACTTCCTCTTAGAGTAACCGTGAAAGGCGCAGACATCGTATAGAGCTTTCGCTCAAGCGAAGAGAATGGGAACCTCGGAAGTGAAGCGAAACCAGCCGTATATAAACCAACTCTGAACCGCAGCCATACCAAGTTCCGTATCAGCTTTCTTGCACCGTCCTCCCTCACTTGGAATCCCAATAATCGCAGCCTCCAGAGCTCCCGCCCTGCTACCCCGGTCAATACAAATTCCCCCTGAAACAGCATCATGCGATTCCTCTCCCTCGCTCTCTTGAGTATCGCCTCCATCGCCATTGCCGAGGGTACCTGGAAGGACACCGTGGGCGACGTGCCACAATGCATGAAGACATGCCTTAACAACTTCTACAAAGACGCCGGTCTCGAAGACAAGTGCGGAAGCTCCGACAGCGCCACCACGGACTGTCTCTGCGGTGTCAAAGATTCCGCGTCGGAGGTCCAGGATGCGGCCAGTAGCCTAAGCTCATGTATTCAAAACGGTTGCGACTCCAGCGACCTGGCGGACGCTGCCACCCAGCTATCGGATTTCCAGGACCGATTCACCGAGCTCACAAACCAGTGCACCTCATCGGGTAAGTTTCTCTCATGACTCTTCCTTCCCTTCATATGTGAGAGTTGTAGGCTGATTGTCAACTCTGCAGAGTCTTCTAAAGGTGCTGCCAGCTCCACTGTCCCTGGCTTCAACGCACTGCTCGCCTCCGGAGCTCTGCTTCTCGTCGGTGCGGCGATGTGAATCAATCCAGCCTCGATGATTTGAACCTTAAACTTGGTACTGTACATAATACAAGATATCAACCATTTAGCTTAATTAATTTTGATACTTTTCATCCAACATAGTATCCCAGCGGTATATATAAACCATTGCCTTACTCTAATGGCTGCCATTTATGGCTTTTCTGACCCACTTCACTGTGGAATTCTCCTCGTTGTGTGAGAGTCCGTCTCTTTCCTAGACCCCTCCACCATTTGCCTAAAACAACCCCACTGGGCCCGTGTGGAAATCAGCATTGCCGCCATGCCACTTACCCTTTTTGAAAAGTGACAGCAACCTAAGCGGCATCGTAATCTCGCTACGAAAGGAGAACGGAAAGCAAACAGAAGGGAAGTGGTTTGAGCCCTGCTGAAATGTTGGGATATTGTTTTCTACGTTGTTTCGTGCACAACGGCAAATAAGAATTTTGCGAAATCGACCGCCGTCTTCGTATTCCACACATTCAATCGTCTATACTCGGCAATAAAGGTCTCGATTGACTGGGTGGGAATTAATAAGGGATGTTTTATGTCTTAATATCCGGCGAAGGGGCTGTCAATTTGGCCAAAGTGAGAGGAGCCTTATTTATTGTTAATTAGTCCAGCATATATGTAATAGGGGGTATAGTAAACCAGCGAAAACGAGCAAAAACGAGCAAACGATCTAGAGAGATGATACTAGGACCAATGCTGTATTAGTAGGAGGATTAAATATCAGCTTTCGGGCTACGAGGCGGCCAAGAAGCCATCCTTGACCCCCCGTCTCCCATCTCCTACAGTGTCTTGAAAGCCACTCACCCCGCAACTCCACCCGAACGAGCTACCCCCCACATCGCAACTTCCAGGAAGAATTCTTCATTTCGACCACCTACTAAAACATCGCCGCCAGAGCCCTTAGGATACTGTAAATCCTCACTAGGTCACTCCGTTATATTAATAAAACCAAGACACTGCTTCGACCGTTCAGCTGCAAACACCCAATGACTGCAGACGCTAATGCAACGACAGGGATCGTTACATAAGGTCACATAGTTGTTCGCTTTCACTGGACCAGCCGCCCGTTCGTCCCTCGATCCTTTTATTTATCGTGCATTGCTCGCCTAAACCACTAGACAAGTCCTAGAATATGGGTCTTGTAGGAAGTAAGATTCTCCTTTAAAAGCTACAAAATATATCTGCTACGAGGCAGAAACGCAAGGCTCCACTTAGATAGACGTAATCTTGCGGGATATAGGTGAGTACATATGTCAGCTGGGTGACTATCCGGGAAATTGGCTAAGGGACCTTAGACAATTCAACTACTTAAGTCTTCGTAGACACACGTTCCCGAAGATGCTCGAAGAATTTGTCAGGACCCCGACCTGCCAGGTGCCTGATGGGTGTCTGAATGTATACAGCGAGCCTAGGCCCTCGCAATGCGAGGGTAACTGATCGCACGCATGGACCATGACGGCCGTGCATGTCACTAAATACATTAGCTAAGCGCACCATGTATTTATTGTGCTCGCTGTCCTCGCATGGAGGACCAGCAATTAGTCTCTTAATACACCTGCATGTACATTTGCCGATAGACTCTACTTCCCGAACTCGTACTGCTACCCTAGGACCTCGCAGGGTCCTAACAGAATCATCGTTAGGAACCGTGTAAATTTCTCCCAGGCAGTTCTCAAATCTGATTTTGTTTATATCTTTTTTACAGCATAACTCTAATGCGACAAAAGGGAGAGACCTGCCACGCAAAGAGAGTTATTTAAGCAGTGCCTACATTTAAATATCCCGAGAAACAAGGTTCTATGGATGATCATCCCACGGAAGCCCTCTACGAGGGAAATTGCCATTGCAGGGCTGTGCGCTTCTCTGCAATCTGCAAAACTGCCGTCTCTGCTGTCACAATTGACAGTAGTCTCTTGCAACTAACTGTATGTACACGCATGCATAACACTCCCCCCACCACCCAACCCAAGATTAAAGCCAGGTGACCTTGACTCGAGTCTCCCATGATAAACACGAAAGTCGAGACATAGTATTATTTAGCTGGGAAAAGGATTTACACATATGTACCGGAAAAACTATTAGAAACATCCTCCATAATTTCCTCTTGATGAAGAGCACCTGTAGTTGTGCAGCTAGCCAACGCAAAATTCGGCCCTGCCAGCCAGTCTGCCCATTGGGGCCCTAATCGCTGGTTGATAGACTGTATCATAAACTGGCCAGCGTCGCTGAACATCCATGTATCTCGACGAGAATGCAGTAAAATTGCATAATGTGAAAGAATTACGAGGGCTTCTGGCTTGCGATCTGCCAAAAGATCAATGAATTCCAAGGGCACGACCACTGGCCAAGTGAATATACCCAGGGACGTGACCCCTTTTGGGAAGGGGCTTTTGCCAGTCGCAATGATTCAATGGTCTCTTCGTAAGTATGGGAGGTGGAAGGCTCGAGGCCGGACGTTCGTATGAGTTCGAACAGCCGGCTGCACTCCAGATCCAAGCTAGTTTGCTGGTTCAGTCGGGATGTTTGGTCTTTCAAGATAGGCCATAGTGGTGTTCCAGCCAACAAACCCCAGTGAGCACCTATTACTGTGCGGGCTCCGCGATGTACACGAAGATAGTGAACGAAATTGTCGAGAAACTCATCGAAATCATCACCTCGGTTGATAAGAGTGTCACAGAGCATGTGTAATCCAAGAAACGATGTGAAGAGAAAAAGCGGGACAACGGTTTCCGAATTGACTTCCGAATTCATTTCGTGAAAGATTCTCAGAGCATGGGTCTGCAACTGAATGGCATGATGCCGATAAGAGTCACGACGCCGAGCACAACTTGTGCTAAGGTGTAAAGCAGCTATAGCAAGCAGCTCATTAATCAAGTAAGGTGCTGTTAAGCTATGCTTCATCATCTCTGAAAAGGAGATATCCATGTCGCTCGCACTCTCATGTAGTGATTTCAGGGTTTCGGTGGCTAATTGATGAAGCAACTCAATATGAAGCATGTTCACAGATGGATCCTGAAGTTTGTCGGGATCGCAACACGGACTGGCCTGAGAAGACAAGGAAGTCACTGGGGAAGCCGTTCCTCGCCTCCTTGTGGTAGCAGAAGGTATGAATGTGATATCCCCTTTCGGGTATTCACATTCACGTGCAGAGTTAGTACACTGTGTACATGTCGGCCGAGTCTCGTCACACTGACTGGCCCATCAGCAATGGCTTCAGCTGGTTTCTTTTGAAAAGCGATATGTACCTTGATTCGGCGCCGCTTGCAGACAGCGCAGCCTTGCCGTGATTTATTGTGCGGTCGGCGTGGAGGCATATTCTCACCGAAAATGGACGGCAGGTCTTGAGCTCTAAACCAAGGGAAGAATAGGTGGAAGATTTCACTATTGTCGGATAGATTTTCGATGGGTGGCAAACCGCGATGGAGCCTAGAAACACACTTCTCACGGCGAGGCGAACCTTAAAGCTCACTGGGTTCAATCTGCGATGACTAATCTTTTTAAGTTTGATTCATCGATATGCCAAAAAAAAGTAAAAAAAAAAAGAGAAACTAAGTTGGAATCAATTCGGCTTGACACGGACATACACACAGTTTCTCTCTCTCTCTCTCTCTCTCTCTCTCTCTGTGTGTGTGTGTGTGTGTGTGTGTGTGTGTGTGTGTGTGTGTGTGTGTGGATTATAATTATAATTATAAATTGTAGATATATCCATTATGCAAGCGTCGGCCTTTGACAAACGATTGTGATTCCAGGAAATGCGTTCTACAATTTCGAGGATGAAGGCCCATCGTCAAACAACCGTGATAAAAAGAGAGGGAAATCGAGAGAAAAGAAGAAAAGCAATAGTCATTGGGAGACAGCTTCGGAATCAAACCAGCTGGATGACATTGAACTGTTCACCTTGACTGAATTAGTTGCACCGGGGAATTTCTGAGGATGTTAGAGAGCAACATCATACCCAGGATCGGCGCTGAAACACGTAAGGATCTGTGGCCTTGCGAGGCCCCCGATGGTCCTTGCGTGGTAACAACTATTCGGTATAAGCATCGAATCAGAATCAAGTCACTGGTTGAGCAACAAGAAATCACTTTCACGTGGGATCAAGACCCAAAGAGGCTGTTGTCGGACATATGCCGGTTTTTTGTAGCACATGAGAGCCACAACAGCGGCAAATCTGAACAAGAGTGCTTGAACAAAATGCCAAGCAGTCATCATAATTTCATTAGGTGATATCTGGTTGTCAAACTTGGATTTTGATGTTATACCGCCATCTTGGACTTAATATGTTGACGCGGAACTTGAGTCGCAATTAAATATATAGGACGTATCGTCGCTGTAATAGAGAATGCAAATGGCCTTGAATTTGCTTCCTAGATAGGTCGCGAGTCAAATTCGAGCAAATAAGGCGACTCAGGGTGATGTAGATGGACGCGGCAAAATAACCATAACATACTTCGCAAGGTGCATGGCACTGCTGGTCAGGGGTGATAGGTGCTCACTGCTTGAGTAAGTAATCGATAATTTCAACTATGTTCTCACTATATTGTCAGTAACTACTTTTCTGGTAGGAAAACGCCAGAGAAGAAAAAGATAACGATGGATTGGACGAGAGCAAAATTCAGAGCGATTTACAGTAACCGCCGACAACATATGCACTTAAGAGATGTGATATGTTCCGAATGAGTAGCCATAGGTGGCAGATGGTACATGCAAAGAGAATAAATGGGTGCTTGATATTGGGGACGGCATAGTTGAATCCCAGTAGCTTTTCCGAGCGCGTTCGGAAGGCCGGGTTGAGAATGTCAAGCATTTTTGCTATTGAATTGGGAATCTCTGCGCAAGAAAAGGAGAATAAGGGTATGGAGTTTATCCAATTCTGCATGGAAGTTTAAAATATGGATCAAAAGATTGAATATGCGAATATCAGGGTTAATCAGCCGGAACAGGAAAGCGAATACGTAGTGGGGCTCTGACCGCTAATATAAAGGCCCGCATCAGATCAATTTCAGTAGTACGGTTTCACCCGTTGATCTCGCCCCATTCAAGCCCAATCAAACTCCTCTAAAAGTGCCGGCTGCATTTAATTCGTTCAAGTCTAGCCCACTAGAGAGAACACGAGGCTGGCTATGAACCGATATTTCTGTCTTTTTATGCCAGGATCAGCTTAACTATGTAATACATCGCAACCATTTATGGATACAGTTTGCATATCCAAAATACCGAATCTTTTGCAACTTGTAATATACTCCTCGTTTTTCCTTTATGCACTTTTTGCGGTGATCCACATGGCCTTCTACAGTCGATTTGGCGATATAAATATGATACTGAAATGCACTGTATAAAGCCCAATTTCTAGTGTTCACACTTTTTGTGGCCTAGCCGTCACTTTGCTTGACACCTTTCGGATACCTGACAAAGGGTATGGACTGGTTGGTGATACTTCTGGCATCTCGAGTCAGCAGATAAAACGTTTCCTTTCTCGGCCGACGACGATTAAAAAATCCTGCTCGACCTGACTACATCCACTTGTTTGGTCGGAATGATATCACTTTCAACGTAAACCTGATCGAAATGCGGCGTAAGATGGCTGCTATGTCCGTCTAAAATTAGAAGGCGATATCTTTACTTTCTTCGGTTAGAAGCCGATAGAATAAAGACCTTTTGAAGCCATTGAAGTCCGATAGTATTATTGGTCCACCCGTTATCACTAACAGCGAAAAGCCAGTCCTTTGGTAGGTCTAGATCGGCTAACCATGCCTTCATAAAAGCCTTGCCTTTGAAAATAACGTATGGCGGCAAGGCCCGTCCTAAAGCATTTATCGTCTCAATTGTAGTCACCCATTCTCTATTTCCTGGCTGTAGAATGGACCTCCGGCCGTATGAAGCTCGAGTCACTACTTTGGCAGTAGCAATAAGGCCGAGAGCGAAACCAGTTTCATCGAAATTGTAGATATCGTTATCAAGGGTGTCATATTTTGCGACCGTAGATTTCACGAAATTAAACCATGAAGATAGCTTTTTTATGTTTTCACATTGAGCTCGCCGGTAATCGTACGCCCTCGAGAAACGAATTGATAGGTTTGGATGCCGTTTTACGAATTTTGCGACCTATTTTTCACCGAAGGCTCGGTCGGTCTAGTACCGCGAGCTTCGAGTAATAAATTGGCCGCCTCACGTATAGTATTCGGCCAGGGTGCTGCTCCGCGCTCATCTAATGAGATGATTCATTTTCCAAGGCTTTCTTCTTCTTGGATTGTCAATTTATGGCCGTTGGCGCGTGTTTCTTCGCGACTTTTGATACCGGAGATGCGTCGGGTAAGTGTTGTAACTGGTACTTCGAATTCGCGTGCTAATTGACGTAGAGAGCATGGATTTCATTCTGAAAAAATTGAATAGCTAATAAAATCCTACTCTCTTGCTCTGTACATTTTTGAGAGCTTTGAGAGCGAATTGGTGGCATGGTAGGTGGTTGAAGAAGAGAGGTTCTAAATGAAAAACGCGAAAATTGGGTGGGTGAACCACTCGGTGTCCTGCCCCGCTCGGTGTCCGGTTAAGTTATAACTTATAAGTTAGTATAACTAACTTAGAACATAGGTTCATGTAATCACTTGGCAGTTTGACAAATTGCGGGCTACATACTATCTGCTCTCAGGAGACTGCGCTCGGTTGTCAAAATAAGGCACTCTCCTGATTGAGACTGCCAGTATATTCGAATGACCACAGCCTCTAAATAATCAATGCACCACCCGAAACCCCAGACAGGCAACCTATTCGTGATAAATTAAATGTTTCTCCTTCTTTCGGATGGCTGAAGAAGAGGAACCCCTTTCTTGGGTCTATTTGGAGTTTGAATCTGCGATTATGAATGTTTGACGAATCAAGTGCAGATAATAACGCGTGCGAAAAATCTATACAAGTCTGCATAGGCCGCAAATAAGCTATTCCTGTCTCTGCTAGGGGTCAACCTGAAATGCCCCACTACGTATTCGCTTTTGCTTTCCCCTTCTCTCAACCAATTCATCCTCCGCGTACTCGGTTACTTTTTCCGGTTAGATCCTTATTGTTCCCATCGAACCTATTTCGACTCGAATACGACTAAACTGGTTTAGGTCTGCGCGCATGTAGAGGGAACATTGCTCCTTAGCAATCATTCGGTTGTCTGCCTTATTGTATAAAAATTAGAAATATTGTGAGCTACCGTTGTCTATATACTTAAATAGAAGGGACCGAACTGTCAGTTGACAAAAAGCAGTCATCATTTTCCCTTTCTCTACTTAGATTGTTATACTGCGCCCACCCTTTTAGCCCCTCTGTTGGATATTGTGATTCACTTCGTCTTCTTCCATTCAAAATGGGATACAATCTCTACGCTTACTCTCCCTCGGTTGCATGTGCTGCTATTGCAACTGTTCTTTTCTTTGTGCTTACAATCAGCCATTTGTGGCTGTTAGTCCGAAACGGAACATATTTTTTCAGTGCGTTTGTCGTTGGCGGTTTCTGTAAGTCTTTCTTATTTTTTGCCATTGATCGGCGTTGTTGTCTCTATCTTCCCTTTCATGCTACCCCAGATATGAAGCAGCTTACTCACGAGATGCCGAGAAAATTTAGTTGAAGTTGTCGGTTATATCGCTCGAGCCGTGAGTGCCCATCAAGATCCAGATTATACGGTCATGCCGTATGCATTGCAAAGTCTGTTCATCTTGCTGGCCCCGTCACTATTTGCTGCCTCTATCTACATGATTCTTGGCCGCATTATTCGCTTAACAGAGGGCGACTCGCGGTCAATCATTCGAGCCAAATTCATGACCAAAATCTTTGTCCTAGGGGACGTCCTTTCGTTCCTCATCCAAAGCGGAGGTAAGTCGTATGTTCATCTTCACGTGGAGATAACATGAATTGATCAACTTTAAGGTGGTGGTATTATGTCGACATCTAAATCTCAAAGTCAGATGAAACTTGGTGAAAATATGATCATTGTTGGTCTTGTTGTTCAGGTTCTATTTTTGGATTCTTTGCCGTTGTGGCCATCATTTTTCACAAGAGAATCAGCGCACATCCGACAACCAACTCTCTGGGACTTTCCGTCCCGTGGAAAAAATTTCTCTTTGTACTATATGCGGCCAGTGGCCTCATCCTAATCCGGTGCTTGTATCGAATCATTGAATACGCGCAGGGATCTTCGGGAACCTTGCAAAGCCGTGAAGCATATGCCTATATTTTTGATGGAATGCTGATGCTAGGCATGATGCTTCTTTTCATTATATTCCATCCTCACCAGATACTTGGTGGCGCACAAGGCTCCTTGAAGATGGAGTATTCGATGTCATCACGCTTGGTTTGATGACGACACAATTTCTACTCAAATTTCTTGTTGGGCTCTTTTTTCAGTTTTACCTGTAACAACGGGCATTTTGATCGTTCAATTGTTTAAAATTTCTAGGAGCACACATACCTTCGTCAGAATAATTTTGAAATCATTCAGCTGCCTTTGTATATGACATGGTTTTTCTAGGAGCACACATACCTTCGTCAGAACAATTTTGAAATCATTCAGCTGCCTTTGTATATGACATGGTTTCGTGAGCTACAGATATACGTTGAGATCTATGCATGAATAGACGGTTTATACCAGATGTATGAGGCATGAATCAGTCAGCGTAGATCCTTCCATGCAGAGTATAGATCAGAGGAACTTTCTCTCATCTATATAGGGTCCCTCTCTGAATGAAAGAGAGATCAGACCTGAAAAACCTCAGTTTCTTGACGTGTATGCTTTCGTGATGCCCCTATACAAAGAATTATGTCTCACGAGATAGCGAACAGCAGTAGGCGCCTTTTTATTGACAAACATTCAGAGATGACCGCAGAGATGGATCGGGGTGATCGTCAGGGCTGAGGATGTTTCACCAGCTGCATTTTATGCCTTGAATTCGGATTTCCATGGTCGGAAAGAAAAAACCGAAATGGGCGTGTATGGAGCGTGGACGGTGACTCAATTATACTGCCAGGCGCTTTAGAAATACCATTCTACAATTACGTAGCCGTTATTACTTTTGCCAGGGTAGCTGGCTGAGTTGATGACCCACAGAGCGTTTGATGATTACATTTCCTTGTCACTATGAAGAAGCAGTTGAGCTTTTAGGCAGTGACAATGCTAGGGGTCGGTGGAGTATCGTGTGTACCTTTGTGTGCAAGCAATGGCCAGGGTGTGAGCGGAGGAATGAAGGTTTCGCTTTATCGATGGGAGCTCGCAGATCGCGATTTGCATTTAGCAACCCGAATATCACTTGGATACCTACTTTGTACGTGATAGCGCACTTCGTCTACGAGTACGGGTACGAGTACGGGTACGACGCATACATATTTTGGCGATCTACTGCATATCCAAACCTCTTTTGCTACAGATTATAGTGTCTCAGCGGTGCTTATACTTTTTGAGGTTGCTTTCTTTGAATATAGCTGTAGGTATATAAGTAGGTGCCCCTTGACCTAAAATCCCCCAGACGACCGTTACGGCATCAATCGATGTCCCAGCTTCAGCATGCGCTTTTTTGAAGTTTCTAGCCTTATATCTTTTGCCACTGCACTGCAGTATGCCCAAGCTGCGGATGTGAACCCAAAGCCCCCTCTTAGTAGGTACCTAGAGACTCTTCATTATCACATATTAGGCTAACCGCATTCGCGTAGCCTGGGCTGAGGCATCGGAGAAGGCTGGCAACTTTGTGTCTCAGCTTAGCACTCCTGAAAAGGTCGGTCTTGTCACTGGATCTTACGGGTCCGGATTGCTACCTTGTGTAGGCACGATCGCGGCAATTGAACGACTTGGTTTCGATGGCCTATGTCTTAGTGACGGACCAGCTGGAGTAGCTCGCTCCGATGGTGTCAGCGTCTTCGCCTCTGGGATCACTGTAGCAGCGACGTGGGACAGACGTCTCATGTATGAACGCGGATTGGCTCTTGGTCAAGAGTTCAGGGCCAAAGGCTCGCACGTACATCTTGGGTGTGTCTCCTTTCAATGATCTGTTTTGCTGTCTCCTACTAACATAAAATTGACCTTCAACGGGACCTATGGGTCGCCATGCTCGAGGTGGGCGAAACTGGGAGGGCTTTGGGCCAGATCCGTATCTGGCTGGCGTCGCCATGAACGAGTCTGTTTCCGGTATTCAAGCAGCCGGTGTCCAGACAGCCTCCAAACATTACATCGGCAACGAGCAAGAGACGCAACGCGTCCCTAGTACTCGTGAGGATGGAACTGTTATCGAAGCCATTTCCGCAAACATTGACGACCGAACACTTCACGAGCTTTATGTTTGGCCATTCGCTAATGCCGTGCATGCAGGGACATCGTCTGTCATGTGCGGCTACAATCGCGTCAATGGTAGCTACTCATGTGGAAACCCGGAAATACTGCGCACTATTCTCAAAGATGAATTGGCTTTTCCTGGATATATTGTATCGGACTGGGATGCTACGCATTCAACAGAAGACACTGCCAATGCAGGGTTGGACATGGAGATGCCAGGAAATCAGACCGTGAGCGGCATGTATTACTTCGGCGATTCGCTCATTGAGGCTATTGAAGCGGGTCGTGTGTCAGCGGACCGCCTTGACGACATGGCAAGCAGAGTTATGATATCATATTTTCGGCTTGGTCAAGATGTGGATTTTCCCACCCCGGACCCTTCCAGCGGAGCTTCGTTCCTCACCTATATGTACGGCCGTGGCTCGCCTTTGTCTAGCCTTTACCCTGAAGTCCCGGCACGCGACGTTCGTGGCAATCATGCGCGAGGTATTCGTGAATTGGGCGCTGCAGGCACAGTGTTGCTCAAGAATTTGAACGGAGCACTGCCTTTTACCAACGAGACGGGTTTTGCAGTCTTCGGAAATGATGTGCCGGATCCAACACTCGGCTCAGTATATCTCGTTTATGACGACAATGCTGTGGGTAACGAAATGGGCACTCTTGACATAGGCGGCGGATCTGGCACAGTTCGACATACCAACCTCGTGAGCCCGCTCGAGGCCTTACGGGAAAAGGTGGACTCCATTGGTGGCCGGATACAATGGCTCTTTGACAACAATGAGGTTGCGGACGGACGCTTCCGGTCAATTTATCCACTACCCCAAGTCTGCTTACTATTCCTCAAGGCTTTCGCAACAGAAGGAACTGATAGAGCAAATCTTGACTTCCAATGGAACGCTACCATGGCAGTAGAAAGCACGGCAGCGTTATGCCCGAACACCATTGTCGTAACACATGGCCCCGGAGTGGCTCTCATGCCTTGGGCTGACAATGAGAACGTGACAGCGATTTTGGCAGCACATTACCCTGGGGAGCAGACTGGAAACTCCATTACCGATGTTCTTTGGGGCATTGTCGAACCCTCCGGCCGGCTCCCCTACACCATTCCGAAAGACGCTTCAGACTGTGGGCCACCACTCGTCGAGTTCCCAGGAAATGTTACAGATCCGAATGCATGGCAAGCCGATTTTGCCGAGGGTCAAATGATTGATTATCGACATTTCGACGCGAACAATGGTACAGAGCCACTATACGAGTTTGGTTTCGGACTTTCGTACACCAACTTCAAGATGGGACAAAGGCTAGATGTCGACCTTATTGATGGGCCATTAAGCCGGGTTGCTGACCAGTCCAAAGGTATTGCACCAGGTGGACTGGTAGACCTATGGACCACCGTTGCTGTCGTAACGGTGAACGTGACCAACTCAGGCAACCGGGCAGGCTTCGCTGTGCCACAGCTCTACGTGTCGCTTCCTCAGGCCACCACCCCTGCAGGCACACCAGTGAAAGTTTTAAGGGGGTTTGAGAAGGTATTTCTCGAGGTGAACGAAGTGCGGGAGGTGAGATTTGAACTCATGAGGAGAGACTTGAGTTACTGGGACGAAATTACAAAGCAGTGGGTAATTCCGGAAGGGCCTATTTCTTTCGTGTCGGGGTTCAGCTCGAAGGACTTGCACGCAAGGACTGAGGCAATAGCTTTAGAATAGGCTTCTCTTTTTGAATTGAGAAGGCTGAGCAAAGATTGAGAGTACTAGGAAGTTGTACATACCTTGGGTCATTCTTCTATGGAATCGTATCGTGGGGATTACCTGATTTAATATAGGCGCTCGATTAGCCGTCGGCCTTTGTAGAAAGAATCTAGAAAGCAAGGTACTAAGCCGCCCACTGCGGGCGCTACTACTTGCATGAGAGTTTGCTTTCCGTGGATTAGGTGGGTATGGTCTGTGCATACGCGTATTCAGTCCCATGAATTTAATCGTACAGCATAAGTTTTCTGAAGTCGAATTGGGCTCTACAATTCGAACTAGCTAGAGTCGGAGCTAGGTTGGATCTGTAATATGGGGACCTGTGAATTACTGTATCCGGTTAGTTTTGCCTTTTTAGGTTTAGCGCCCTAATACGCTGTTTTGTAACCTCTCCCGGCGTCGCCTCGACATAAAAGAACAGACCTCGCCCTTTCGGCCTCTCTTCTCCTTCTTCCCCTCCCTGGAACTCCTCTATCTTGCACTCATCGCCGCCCCCTTTCTTTCCCTTTCGCCCCCACCGACCATTACGCCTTGGCTTGCAGCCCGACGCGCTGCCCCTTTCATTTTATTGGAGATGCCGCTCGATCCGAACCGCAGCTTGTTCTCGCTCCTCGGGCTGGAATGGTAATTGTACAGAAGCAGCGGCATCGTGTGGCTTCAGTTCGATACTCCTACTCCTTCCCCAAGGGAGTTTCTGTGTACCATGCTACGAAGCTATCTAGGTTTTCCTCTGCCAGTGAGCCTTGTTCGTCTCTGGTACCGCCGGCCTCCTTCACATCTGTAAAGCGCCGGTGTACCCTCGACGCCGCATTCCCCGCTCCGTCCGCTCTATCCGAGGTTACACTGCACAGCCCCGGCGTCACAGAATGGCTCTCGGTTGCCTGGCCACGAATACGACCCAGTTGTCGTCATCGTCGGTTTCTCCGGTTCCCTCTCACCCAGTCGATAAATATCGAAAGCATAGCCCGGCGATATAGGCCAATAGCGAAAATACCGCACACGCCCCTAATCTCGGTCGGTGCTGCATCTTGCGGCCAATGCTAGACAGCGACTGCGAAAACCATACCAAGATCCCACCGTCCCCTATCGAATGACCAACGGGATGATAACCGGCCGATGACTAGTGTGGGTATGCATCGCAAGGGCATCCGCGCAGGTTATCAGGAATTGTTGCCGGTGAATTACAGTCCGTGATTATGGGTTGTGAAGCTGGTGTGGTCTCGCGACGTTAAGATGCAATGGCCTGGATTGCAGAAGCTGGTCGGGATCGTCTGTGCTGGGTAGAACGAGTTCCCCCTCACGGGCGACTGTCATCTATAAAAAAAGACTACAATTCCACTCAAATGGCGAAACTGAAATTCAAACTCCCTTCAAATCCTCCTGTTACCCTTTCCCGGTTTCTTTGGATCGTGCGACTTCGAGCCTGCCCTTATTGCTGGTCACCACCCTCAGGATGTCGATTTGGAAATCCTCCCCAGACCAAAGGAACTAATCTCACCGAGAGAAGAGCACCGAACCCGTAATGAAGCCATACTCAACTAGGCAACGAAATGACCGATGATGCAAACCCCAGCAAGTCATGTTATTAAGTACTGTACTATTTTTGGACTACTATCAATATTTTAGGATTCATCCAACTGTCACGTCACCTGCAGGCATAGAGGAGCCAAGCAAGTTCCCAGAAGCTATGCACCGGTTCAGGTCACCCTACACTTGCCCCCGCCCGTAAAGCTCCTGGGAAGTAATTCTCCGTCACTAAGTTGCGGCCCCTCAACTAGCTGGTGACTGCAGCCTGCTTTCACTAATCCCTGCTATTCTTCTTGGCATTTCTCAGCTAGATAATGCTGTCATTGGTCATAGAATGGTTCCGAGACACTAGTTTTCACAAGCCTCAAAAATGTATGCTTTGTTCTACTTAACATGCGGGCTTGGTGTTACACCGCATAAAGAGCTATACCGAATCTGTTTCTTTTCTTTTCTTTTCTTTTCTTTAGTTCTCTTTTCCTTTTTTCGCTAAGGCAAATTCCGTCAGACTGAGAAATAAGGCGCATTTTCAACACTCATGCAATGGTTAGCTGGAAACCCTGATTACATGGAATGGCAATGTTGTTCCGCTCACATGACGGAAGCGGCCTGTCATCCAATCGGATGACCCCAAGTAAAGTGAATGAAATTTGTAAGATCGAGGACAATCCCTCTCTTATGCACTCTTATAACCTTGTCCTATCTCTGACATATTGTTGACTTCCATGTCCCTTCTTTCTCTTGTTTATTCCGATTGTGTTGTACACCCTCTCACTTTTTGCGTGTGAATGTCATCCAGAGTGCCGCTAGTTCAAAAAAAGCAATATGCCACCTTCCCAGACGTCAGGTCCTGTCTTTCTGCTTCAGCTTGCTGCCATGGTATAGTTGATGTGGAATATTACGTATGAAGGGGGTATTCAAGTGATAGACAGCTCACGCTCAGCAATATCTACCAGTGTTTGTTAGAGACCTACGAACTTTTGTCACCTTTTACAAATATATATTCTGTAAGACAAAACTTGCTTAAGATATGCAGCAAGGATCGGAGCATAATTGCATTATTAGTTATTACTTCCAGATATCGACGAAAAATATGGCGTCCAATAACCAGGAATGATGGACAATGGTGTCTGCCAGAATTTGCGTGAAGTAGAAGGCACTCCAAAGTGGAGCAAGGAGTAGACATAGGCCAATCAAGTTCCTGCAAGACAACAATGCAGTATCCTGGAGTCAAGCTTCGTGAAATATCAATCAAGAGTACACTGGTAGTTATGGATTAATCGTCCATTGGGTCCAAGTTATACAATTCTTAGGTGAGCTCCTGTCCGGCGACGATGAAATCAATGCTGTTGATCCTACGTCCTGCATCCGCTCCAGGATTGAGTGTTCTCTTTAATGTGTTTCCAGATAATACCTACGAAACAATAGAACTTCCAGTATAATCCATCCAAGGTGATATGGGGTTATTTGCGCATAAATCGTGAGTTACCCCTCTTGGCGGCCTCACACCAGAATCATGGAATCAGGTCGAGATCTGCTAGGCAGTGTCACAGGCTCATTTCGCACGTCTTCTTTTTATACCTTTTTGTTTGGTTTTTCCCTCCTGTGAGCCGTATTTGCAGTGCTTGGAGCACTAGAGCCCAGGGCTTGTACGTTCTTCTTGGGGTTGGTAAACCTGAAGAAACCGCCTCTAAAACCGATCGAAGTACCTCTGGGATCGCAGGCGGACTCTACTGCTCCTGGGGCCTTCAAACTGTCCACAGGGGTCTGTGGACCTGGAACCGACATCTGGCAATGCACGTGAACCTTATAGGATAGGAGTAGAAGTGGACCAGCCATCCACATACTTTCTCAAGATGTATTACCCTCAAGTTTCTGAGAGCAGGTGCTTCTCACCATAACACCGTAGCTAAAGGGAACGACGAGGGGTAAATTAGACGTTGCTTAGAACAGACCTAATGTGAACTATGTTTCCTACTTAATGGACAAACGGGACCACATTTACGTTCAACAATATCCATGAACCGGGAAATTCAAAACATGGGCCCTCACCTAATTTTTCAATTAGTGGCATCCACAATGGCAGTGCTCTGTTCCGGGGCTAGCCTTATGTTCTGGCTTCTAAACAGTGAAGTTTTAGGGCAGGAAAAGAGAACGAAAGCAATCATTTACGGTCAAATTATAATAGGTGCTACTATTATCCTTGGCTCAATTGCATCCATTCCTCTTGCAGTCCAAATTCCACTCTCTGAAAACGGTATGTATCCTCCCAGGCCGGTTAACAGTATCGATATGAATCTGACTCACGCCAGGTCTTTTGGGTTCCATATTTCGTATAGAAATTGGCGTTCTACTGCTTTTGCTTGTTATGAACGAGGTAATTGCGACCGCCAAGAAGAAGAACTACACTGACGCTCATTTAGTACCTATCTGTATCAACTTTGCAATCACGATCAACTCATATAATTGTCGTCTTGTTCTTCATCAGCACAATGACCATCTTGTCTTTGACTTTGTATCTGCCGGTAAGTTTAAATCAGTTGCTATATGTGGCCTTTTTTAGAATAATGACTTTCTTCAGCAGGATCGCAATAATCTGCTTGTATTATTCACGTTCATGATTTTGCTCAGTCAGGGTTTCATTCATGTGCAATTCGTTCGCTGTTGGGTTATATGCATGAAGCCCATGTCTACAACAACCAGTGATTTCAGTTCATTTTGGAGAAACCCAGGCCCTAGGGCTCCCAGGCATCAAAAAATTCTCTGGGTGGCATCAATGGGATCCATCGCTTTTTCGCTTTACACATTGGGGACAACGATCTTAGTGTGCATACATCCATATCTATGGGCTCAGATCACGACGGTATGTGCTTCGAACACACCAGGAGTCCCCAGTCATTTACTTGCTTTATAGCTCCAAATGGCCATAATAAGCCTGAGAAAGATATTACTTTCGACTGGCATTTCCTAACTCCCGAGGATGAGAATGCATTATGGATGGCAGGAGCCATATGACGCTCATTCTATGTTGGAAAGAGGCAATCCGATGATTATTGCGCTGCACAAATAGCGCAAATATAGAAAGAACTTCGTGACAATTCCACTCAGGAGATACGGGGGAAACGGCGAGAAGGTTGAAATGTTCAGTCCGTGCTAGGATGACGGGAATTTTTGGACTGCAACTCAGCCACAAGATACTTGCTCGATGCGTTATATGCCCAGCTTCGAAAGTACTGTGTATTCAATCTCACCAGATGTTTCTGGTATTTGACCCTCCTATTCAGCAGCACTCTTATCCAGCAGTCAATATAGAAATAATGTTGTCTGCAGAATAGTCCGCAATTGATACAAGGAGAAAAGATTGATTGTGGTGTCGTTTCAGGACTAGACAACAGTTGAGCTGGACGAGCCATTTCACGCTATCCAAGTCAACGACAGCCAAAAAGATCCACAGATCATCCTTCAACATGTTACGCCACTGTCGCCGTATAATTGGAGAGCGGTAAGAGCTTTGCACGCTCATCATGAAAGAAGCTGTAGTTCTCCTTAAGAGTGCCGGGGTTTGAATAAATTATACACAAGTCGATTAGTCATTCGAGGAATCATCCTCCACGGTCCTTGATACTCCCAACCTAGACTATTCATGCAGATACACACCTTGGATACGCTTGGGCCATACATTACTGACTATCAGGATTGGAAAGAGAAACCAGAATTTCGTCGTGTATGCGAACATAACAGCTAACAATAGTACAGCCCAATGATACTCCGACGTTCACTTTGCAGCCAAGAGGGGGGTCATGTTTTCGCCAGACGCACAACGGTGGGTTGAGAAGATCTTAGTAAGGTATGTGTGAGGAAGCGTTAATCTGACGCGAAGTTAGCGCAGCAGGGAAGAGCCAATCCTCGCCTGCCACACGGTTATTTGTCATCCGTCCCGTACATGCACGGATACGCGCAAACAAACTTCAAAAGTGCGAACATGACTTTTTATCCTAGTCATCATTTCTAGATCCTAAATAGTGCACTTTACATGGGAAAGACCCGCGAGTGCTCTCCAAGATGACGCCAGTGGTATGACTTGAACGATCTCTCGCACTTCAACTCACCCAAGGTCCCGTTACAGCTGGTGACTTCCCACCGCTTACGACCCTCACCAAGCGCCGCCTTCCTCAAGAGTGGGCTGCTTATTGAAGACTTTGTCGAACAGCAGCTCTGTTTGTCCTGGCATTCGTGAGATCCGGAGACATTCAGCTGTCACCCAATCTTGGTGCCCGATGAATATTTGCCATGAAGTGGGGCAAACTGGATCACATGCTGTCCTACTCTTCAACCCCTCTCCCCCCAAAGTTTCTTCGCCTGACAAAGGCAGCATTTTTCTGGTTGAGATATACGATCCCTCAGACATCACTTTAATAGCTATTCTAAAACTGTGCCCTTAATTCATTCCCACCTGATCTATCGGAACCCGGCAACGCTTCTGTCATTTTTTGCACTTGTCCTTATTACGTTCGCGTCCAGCCGGAACTTTGGCAACCATATATCAACTTCCTGAAACCATCGCCTAAGTGGTACTTATGGTGCTATCCCCATTTACTTATTCTCTACTAATATTATATAGCTGCTTGGTAGCTTGTGCGAGGGCGCTCGTACCGCTTGAGCTCGGAAAGGATTGCATCGTGATGCAGAATAATGTATGTTGCTATACGCTAGAAATTCCCCTAAACGCAAGCTAATTTTCAATCAGGTGCCTGTCGGGACACAAGCGGTTGAAGGACAGGAATATGTTATCCGTGGAGCCATATTATTCCAAGAAGCGCCGTATGACAGAGAAGTAACGGGGAACGGCGACTCGATAATGGTCTATGATCCAAACGCCGATATGAGTTCCCCGCCGTATTGGGAAAATGGAGACGACCCTTCGAAAGAGGAAACGAGCTTAGTTCCCGCAAGGCATAAGGTGCGTGTTATCGCAGCGGTCGCCATCGCGGCAGTCGTGAAGTTCAGACGCGTATAGCCTCCAACTCATGGATGAGTCGGAGTCCACTTTCATGGCCCACCAGGAGGGTGATAGATACGTCTTGGTCTCGATTTTTGGGGACAAGTATGTTCAAACAGTCTGAGGTCCCCGTTCCACCTACTGTGCGTTCCCATTGCCATTGATGACTGCTTTGAAGTGCGCTGAAGAGCCTGTCTCCAAGCATTGGCAGCTTGGCGATAGGTGAGGCTGAACATCTGTAGTCAATTTCTTCACCAAGCTATTATTAGCTTCTCTTGTATATATCATAAATATTGATTCAGCTTACGTCTGCCTCCCTGTATTTTTGGCATATCACCGGCAGCATGCTGGCACAATTCGGGATTTGTCGAGTCCCCTCTTCGCATGTCTTTATCGACCAATTCGTATTGCCTTGAGAATTTTGGAATTTCTGTTATGCGTTTTCGCTTCAGGGTCGTCCGTAATACGGCTGATTCTTCTTGACCAACGGCTGACTTCCGAACATCTTCAATGAACTTCTTGAATAAGTCGGAGGTATTCAAAGGTTCCTCTTCTGCTAGCGATTGTAATGTATCTGATATCTTGGGCGGAATTTGCTTCATTCGCTCTTCCTGGAGGTCATCCATGAGGAAGAAAAAAGTCTTGTCTGTCATTCCCCCTGAAGTTCTCCAGGTCGATGGCTGAAGAGCCATTGCCCACATAAGAATAACATGGCTGTGCTGAGACCGAAGCCTCCCGCATCGCGATTCAGTCTGCTTATTCTTCGTCTTCACTTGACTGGAATCCAATTTAGATATTTTCGGTCCCGTAAAGATAAGAACTATGTTCCTCTTAAGTGTCGTTAAAGTCGAGGAGGTGACTAGTCTGGAATCTTTGTCGGACCGAACGCGATCTGCGATAGAAATGTCATTTTCGTCCGGCAGTCCCGTGGTTAACAGTCTTTCAACGCCGGTGTCGTAATCTGCTAATATTGCCTTGAATCTCACATGCAGATTCTGGAACTCATTCAGTTGATCTGTTGTTGGGCGAATTCGTTTGGTGCTAAGCCTTGAGCTGAAAGATTCCATCCGGGCCACCAGGCTGTCAAATTGAGCTAATACGACACACACGGACATGTTGGAGTCAGAGAAACGCCAAAGATCACAAAGGTGAAATTTTTCAGGGTAGATCAATTCTAGAGGGGTCAGCTGCAATTTAACAAAGTGCCAACGGCAGAGCCACGTCAGCCCGTGTCTAGATTTGGTATAGCTCATTTTGTGCCCTGAAGTTGCTTGAAACAACGGTGTAAATATTACATTCTGCAGGGTACTCTCAATAGAATAATCGTAGATTTATTGTATACCGCTCCAAATTGGCTGGACAACATTCACCATGTAGTACGCTGACCATTGGACTAAAGGGCGACATCGTGCGCCATGCAGCATACTCTGCAGCAGGTCAGCAAAAGTTACCCACTCCTCTAGACAGAGGAGGTCTTAGATCGTCTAGAGAGATCACAGAAGATCGGCAGCGGTGTAATATGCAATGAGCCAGGGATTAGAGACCAAGTCATATATAGGAGCAATTCTTCCTTGCTCTGACTATTTCTCATCTACGAATATCATATCTTTCGATTCTCTTATACGCAATGAACGCCGTCGACGGAGGTGGTTCCTATCAAAGCCTTTCCCAAATGTCTCTTTTAGATGTCTTCTTTCCTGGTCTCAGTATGGCCTCTGCCTCCGCACAGCAGCTGCTTGCCGGTAACCTGGACAGCTACACTCGGCTCCTTTGTACCTTAGGACTGTTTGTCCTCTTCACTCGCTATGCAGTCCGCTATGTTGGGGAGCTAGTGAGAAGCTACTTCAGTTCGTAATTTTTCCCTTGTGATGGGATGAGTCTGACGTTCCACAGCTTCGACAATCCATGTCTCATATTACGACGAAGCATACGACATGCTAGTTGATTGGATAGCTCACCAACCCTTTGTCCGCAACGCTCACTCAACGATCGCTCGCGTTAGATCTCCACAGCGAGCAACCATCCAAAACCAAGCAAAGAAAAAGCCTTTGACCTTCTCGCCTTGGGATGGATCTTTCCCTTTCTGGTATAGGGGACACCTGCTCATACTTCACTGCACCGTCAAAGACCATCGAGAAGATATCTACATCTCCTCCATTGGCCTTTATCCAAACATTCTCAAAGAGCTCGTTGAAGAATGCCGAGAGAATTATCTTAATAACATTGACAAAAAGATCACTGTTTTTGAGCACCGCGAAGGGGATTGGAAGAAAACTAGGTTGAGACCAATTCGGCCCGTCTCTACAGTCATCATGGACAAGCAAGTACAGGATGACCTTTTGGGTGATGTGAAGGACTTTCTGGATGAAGATACTCAAAAGTGGTACGCCGACCGCGGAATTCCCTACCAGCGTGGCTACCTTTTATATGGGCCTCCTGGAACCGGAAAATCAAGCTTCAGTCTCTCACTAGCCGGGGAATTTGAACTGGATATTTATACGCTTCAATTGTCCGGTATTTCGGACAGCAAGCTGATGAAGCTATTTGCTGAGCTTCCACCGCACTGTATCGTTCTCCTAGAGGACGTCGACGCCGCTGGGATGGGGCGTAGGGACGATGCGGCCGCAGATCAAGAGAGCAATTCAGGCTCTGGAGTCACCCTATCGGGTCTTCTTAATGTCCTTGATGGTGTTTCATCTCAAGAAGGTCGGGTCCTCATTATGACAACCAACCACATCGAACATCTGGATGAAGCGCTCATTCGGCCCGGGCGCACAGACAAGAAAGTGCATTTTAATCTTGCGGATAGGAAAATTTCGGCTCAGCTTTTTTACACAGTCTTCAAGCAGACGCCCGACCCCAATCAATCTAAGAAACAACTGGGCGACGACACGATTGTGAGGCTTGCTAACGACTTTGCTTCCAAGGTGCCAGATGAGGTTTTCAGTCCAGCAGAAGTTTTGTCGTTCCTACTGGAGCAGAAGAACTCGCCTTTTGGCGCTGTTGCTGGTGTTGAAACCTGGGTAGCAAAGGCAAATGAGGCAGCGAGCCAACTGAAGAGAGATGGTTCTTGGGTACAAGAAGGACGTTAATAACGAGACTGAGGGCGAGCGCAACGGTGAGGCAAAGGTGCATTCTCCCAAGCATAACACCCGACGACATTTGGTTTGTGAACAGGCCTGGCCAAAGCTGCCCGCCAATCGAGTGTTGGCTAAACACTTGAGGCGCTTCACTATTTTTGGGGTTATTTTCCGGCCCTTTATTTACTTTGCTACTCTGTCAGTCTTGCTTTTTGACCCACTGCTCTTATGCCACCGCTGCTTTTGTTTGATATACTCTCACTTCCTTAATTTTGAAGCATTTATCAACCTGCAACCTTTATTAGCTGGTAGGCAATAGATTGGAGATTTCTCTGGCCAATGCTCGCGCTAAGAGAAGCTAGTTATTTGAGGAACTTGATGTTGACCATGGAGACCCAAATGCACTGGACAAGCAGCTCAAGCGCATATTGATGCAGTACTGAAGTTCATGGAGCGTCGTATTGCCTTCCATGGAGGTCATAATCGCCTTGTGACAGTCTTATTGCGAAACATTGAATATTATGAAAGCATTCTATTCTTGACTACAGCCGTGAACCGACTTGTTAAGACGTCTGGATTCTAGCGTAAAATAGTGGCCAGTTTGCATGGTCATTGGCAATGATCAATCAATATAGAAAAGATACTTCCTCTATGGACAATGGAGAGACGGCGGAAGAAGCGGGCATTAAGAATGGGAAGATATGTAGCCCGAAGTTTCTAGTTTATTCGATGCGGATGGATGACATATTGCGTGGTGCTAGAAGCACGAAAGATTCCTTTGGTGAACACACCAAATTCTCTGGGGTGATAGGATGTTCCAGATCATCTCGACCCTAACGATGGAACATATCCCATATTTCCCGACCTTCTTCAGAAGACATTCTAGCAAACCGACTGTATTCCTGGCTAATTTAATTATGTATCGATCACTCGCCCATCGTAAGAGGAAAGACATATTGAAACCGCCCCGCCTTCAAGTATTTTCTTGATACCACCCTTGTCTTTCTGGGCTATTGCTCGTGGCGTGAGACCGTTATGGACCCATCTGCTCCGCCATCAAGTAAAGCTCTGGTTGTTGCCATGTACCCGAGCTCGACTGCATAATGTAGCGGGGTTCGGCCCTGATCATATCAAATTATAGTAGTGTCCTCCCTGACCGACCAGGCAAATACGATGCGCAAACGGTTCCAGCGCGGCCCCACAACGAACACTCAAGTGGCAGCGCCAAATTAGAGGAACAAATTTTCCTCCCACCCCATGCTCTGACGGTGCAGACATCAACCAGTTAACCAACGCGGTGATCCATGGTTCCGTGGACCTTCATGTGCACACAGCAGTCAACCTGGACAGTCAGGCTTTGCCTGTTTTTCCCCATCCCAACGCGATGACCACGCCGCGTGTTGCCGGATATTGGTTCTAGAGTTCGAGGACGCTTCAGCCACCTCACGTCCTCCAAGTCAATGACAACCAAACGGCCACCCAGGTCATCCCATAGCATATTGCGCCCCTCACCGTCGCTGTGGACGACACCGTGCGATCGGAACACGGCCAGAGCTTTGTCGCATTGTTGGTGAAAGAAGCTGGAATTCTCATCGCTGATTACATGCTGAAGCCGCGTTCCAGACCAGCTCAATATCATCATCTGGGCCATTAATTCACCATGGTACCGTACCAACACGCGACTTGTGGCTGAAAGACTCCAAGACAGACGGGGATCTCATGTCCTTGCAAGCTCCTGAGATGACAATAATTGTTCACCTCCGCTTGAAGACGATGCTGCTTCTCCACTGTGGTAGCTTTAATGATCACAGTGTACCCGTGTGATAGAATGGTAGGCTGAAGCCAACATGTTCTTTGTAGAAGGCCAGCGGGTAACTTTAGAGGCGAAAAGGCAAGGCTGGCGGCAGCTTCGAATTGGAAACCACTCATTTAAAGTAAATAAAAGCAGTCCTTCTTGGAGCATAATCAAACCCCCCAGCTATCAAATTTAAGTTGGAACACAACTTGAGATCAAATCACAACCATCAAGCCTTTCATTATGACTGGACAAAGACACCAGGGTCAACATTGTATTAGCTCGCTCTAAAACTCCAGATCACTAAAGACAACCCGCATCATGGCACTCTCCAGCGGCAAGGGATCGAGAATCTTCTCAACATATTCTGGCCAGTCGTCAACCCACTGCAACAGGGGGAAGATATGAGAGTATTCCCAGTACGAAGGATACCATCCAGCCGCTTCCCAGTCCACAAGAGCAGCTACTTCATACTCTTCTTCATTTGTGACGGAATTGACGACTTTTCGGACAAGGACATTCTCTCTGGAGAGATCTCCGTGGGTGAATACAGGTGGATGATTGCGAAGTGCCAATGGGAGGTGGCGAGCAAGATAGTCGGAGAGAAAGCTATGACCATTTGATTCGCTCCACATAGTTTTTGAACGAAGTGCGATGGCTTTTCCGAATTCTTCTTCCGTCTGAAAAGGACCGGTAACAGCAGCGTCCTTTTCACGAGAAAAGAAATACCTATGGGGGACGGGGCCTCGGTTGACGCTGCCATAAAATCCGGGCGATGGCAGCGCTCTCATCTGATCAAAGATGCATCGCAGTTGTCCAACAATCGAATGTTTATTTGCCTCGGTGAGCGAAGGCCACGTCATTCCTAGAGAAATGCTGGGGATGTATTCCATGACGATATACAGGATGTCCCGATCGCGGTACATGGCGTAAAGTCGTGGCGCTGCGATGTTGAGCCGCTTTTCAACGAAAAGTAGAGTATATCCCTCGTTTTCGGTCACGAGCGGGCCATATTTCACAACATATTTCTCTCTGATAACGACTAGGCGCCCACCGTAATCTGATCTCTTCGGGAGGGTTTGTGTTGCCTGTTCAATCTCATTCTGATCAGGAAGAGGCCCTGGTAATTGACCAACATCCCGATAATAAGGAAGGCAGAAATGCATAGTTGGATGGGCGACGTCTCACGGAATGGAACAGTTGATGCCAACTTGAGGATGCAGCCCAGTGCTGCAAAAGTTCCTGTCAGACCTACCCTTATCAAGGAAGGTGTACATCATTTTAGGCTAGTGGTAAGATCATGTGATTTCCGAGTCGATACTTTCCAACTAGCACGTGACCTGGAAGGATATTTCTTTCCACAAACTAGATAGGAGATAGGATTTGGCTAGACAAAGCAACGCAAGCATACACCTCATCTAGATTATCTTTATCACACAGTCTACAGTGTATTATACGTCGGAGCATACAGCCTTTCCCCTTCAGCCTGCGCTTGGTTCGAACCACCGATATCCCTGTAGCGGAGCCGCCATCAATCTCTGACCCCATGAAAACCCGACACCTTACTGTTTGAGGCTTCCTACCCATTATACAAATAACATACATTGAAAAAGATGAGTATAATTATCTGATGGGGCATTTTGGCTGGTTATGGCCTTACCTCATTGCAATTACTACATCGTGGTGGTCTTCGATGGGGTGAGTTGGCTGGTTAGCTTAAAGGAAATCTACTAGCCAGGGTAGATGCCTGTTTATGGGGTGACGATTACGCAACGGAGAAAGGGATAATCAATTTACTGTTGTAACCAGACTAATTATCTTGAATGAGAAGTAGATAAAATATGTGTGCGCTCCATTTAAACCCCTGCTATTGACGCTCGGTACGTTGGTTTCCTAGATAGCTAGTGTGGCCGTACCGGCCACCTCATACAGAATGCGTCCGTCGCTTCCCTCGTATATATATCTATTAGCGGGGTAAGCCAGGTTACGGGCTCTGGATGCATTACGAGGTCGCCACTCCAAATCCTCCAGGAAAAAGCCCAACCTACTATCATGTACAGTAATGGTACCAGTACTTCCAAGTATCTATATCCATGTACATTCCTACGAAGTATAGTCCAAGTCTACCTAATTTGCGCTTATCAGCTCCCAGGACTTGGTATCTTTAAAAAAAGCCGAAACCGGGGAATAGACCATTCATTCATGTTTTACCACTGCTCGAAACAAAGGTAGCAACGGCCAAGGACATTCAAAAACGAGCAGCACATGGTAGCAGAGGATAAACAGCAAGGGAAAGCACTGGTAGGCAGCCAACATGGACAATGAAACCCAGAAAGCAGAACATCGTATTGCCTCATGCTGTCATTGCTTTAAAGAAAAGGCGATGGGTATACCAGCAGCCAGGGCTAAAACAAAACAAAGATCAATAAAAGAATAGTGTCCTTCAGATTGTCACCAGCGGCCAATAATGGGCACCAAGCCACTGTATGGTCTATTGTTGAATAATAAGCCCGTTTGCTCTAAGAGCAGGTAGGGCTCGCTCCAAAGTCCATTCAGTGCACTTGACCAAGGGCCTCCGAGGCTCGCCTGGCTCGTAAAAGGTCAGCGGAGACTGGGTCTTGAATGGCTCGGTTTTCATTGTCTTGATGTTGAACGCCTTCTGCTGGGGCGGCGCCGGGACGCTCCTAAGGACCCTATCCCAGTCGGCAGGATGTTTGGACATGGGCGTAACGCCCAATTTCTCGAGTGAGTGGAAAGACTGCGAGTACTCAGGAGAATGCCTTGGCTGTGGGATATAAACCATCCCATTCGCAGAGGTGATATCACCCGTTACGTGGTGCAGGATGCCGCTCTTGTCTGCCGCGGTTTTGACGAAAATGGTCGTGTGAAATCTGGGACCCGGCATATCAGGGTCTTGTATAGCGAGATTGTATCGCGCAAGGTAGACTTCGTAGTACCCAGACATTCTGGCTTTGGTGAAAGGGTAAGCTATAGGCTGAGGAAAGGTTGGGTGCGGAAGAGCAGGAAGATACATACACAGAGCAATGATAGAACTCTTAAGAGAGATTGCAATGGATTGAGGGTGGACTGAAGGAGCTATGACCGAAAGAAAGCAACCAAGCTCTTATATATGTTGAACCATGTGATAGACATTTGGTTTAGCCCCCTGAGGCAGCGAGGCTGGCGCTTAACTCGTTCGCTCTCAGTCCTCCATCTACATCCTTTGTCCAATGATTTCTAAATTTAGCCCCAGGGTGGTGAGGCTTGGGGTTCGAGCTAAAACCTGGCAGCGCCTTTTGTTGGATAAGAGGTTGCGCGAAAGTGATACTCTCCTGCCTCGGTATGTAGCATCCCCAAGCCAGTGGTTTTCAGCAATCGTCGTTGATAGAATGTACCAGGGCAATGCCTAAGGGACTGTGATGTTCTCGAAGAGAGCCTTAGGAGGGCGCTTATGCAAGCGGTGAGCTATCTGGTCAGAGACCCAGATAACAAATACAGTCCGTGCAGCTCAGCCGCATCTGGACCGGACTGGGCCACATCCTTCTCAGCCAGTTGCTCCAACTTTCTATCAATACTAATATCTATCTGGAGACAAGTTGATGTAGGCCATTGGTTCTGTCTTGATCTTAAGCTGGGGAGTGTGGAAGTGTGGACCGGGCGTATCGCCCTCCGGCGCTTACTGAACCCTTGATGTAGATGTAACAAGGTACCACACGTGGCTTGAAGCTAACGCGTTGTTCTTGTTGGCTTGGTTGGCTCTCGTTGGCCCGAGAGTCTCTCATTCAGCTGACTGTTGCAGGGGTCGTAACATCACCGCTAAGAAATAGATTCGGAAGGCGGCTACGTTGAGGCAAGCTGAGTTCAGCTATTTCTGATTTAATATTCGGCGCTTAGATCAATCAACAGGTGTTCCAGCGTCTTAGTGCTTCAGCACTTACATATAATTAGCAACTAGTGAGCTTCCATTATAACCCTTACGCTTATCTGACTTCAACTGCTTTCTCAAATAAAAACCTGCCATCACAGTCCATTGTCAGTCTCGGTCTACACTTTAGACTTTCTCGCTGGATTGGCCCTAAATATCCTGACCATGAGCAATAAACGCCAGGTCTTCCTTTCGCTGCATCATCGCGATGCTCTCTCTATCGGCGGAAATAGGCAGCGATTCGGCCATGCCGCCTACCACTGGGGAATTCTCATTTCTCCCAAAAGTTCCAAGGGGCCAGATTGCTATGCTTTCGACGTGAGCGATGGAATTCTCCTCGATCCGGTGCGCAGAGTCAATCTTAACCCGGAAGGCAACTGGCTCTTTCGAGAGAAAGCAAACATCAACCCAGAAAAGAGCGGCCACCTTCTTGGAAGGGTCATGATTGGGAAGGTGCCCAATGAGGTTACCTACGCAGAAATCCACAGCCTTCTCGGAGCGATTCCACTTCCCCAAAAGGGTGCTCTGCCGGAGCAAAACTGTGTCACTTGGACGAGAGCGGCCATTCGCAAGCTTCAGGAGAACGGCCTCGTAGAGCAATTCGACCTTGACCGGTTCATGGACAAATCGCTTGCTTTCGCGGATCAACGCCTGCAGAGCAGCGAGTCTACGCCCGCTAGCATCAATTACACTGGTCGGCGTATGTGACTTGCGAAACGCCTCAGATCTCATTGCCTCGATACTGTCACGCAAGGCCGAGGTTCGGAATCAGATGCTCTCTCCCTCGCCAGAGAAGTTGTGGCTCGTCCAGTCGCCTCCAGAGAGTTTGTTCCGCTTTGAGCTCGTCGTCATATTTCTCCATAGCATTTTCCAATCCATCATACCACTCTGGCCGATCTATCTGACCGTAGTGTGCCTTAGTATACTCCCAGTATTCCGGGTACCAGCCGCCAAATTGCCAATCAACGATCGCAGAGACCTTCCCATTGTCCACCATGATATTCCGAGGGGCGATATCTGCGTGGGTGAAGCAGCTTCGATAACGACGGGAGTGGCATTCGGTGACCTCTGGGCCGATTACTTCGTTGCAGTCCTCAATCGGAACATTCGCTCGAAGGTATGAGTGGAACCCTTGATGATTTGTAAACGGCCCGAAAGTATAAGATCCGACTCGGTGATCCAGGGCCTCGTTGAAGCTTGCCGATGCAACTATTCCTTCTCGCGGAGGTTCTAATTTCCGAAGTTGACGGATGTAGCCTGCAACCTCGGTGATGATGTATTTCTTCTGGTCTTGTGACAGATGACCGCGGTACCATGCTGCCTCAAGGCTCATTCCACGGACATACTCCATTTCAATATAGAGACAATCATCGTAATAGTGGGCGTTGAATACTTTAGGCACAGGAATTGATGTGTGCTCAGCGACGTATTTCAAGGCTTCAAGCTCCGGCGTGGCACAAGGCCCTTTGATCATTCTGCTAAGGCTGACTCGTACTCCATGCGGTCCAACTGCGCCAAAGAGTTTCTTGCCGATCCACAGTCGAAGTGGAAGAATACCACAGGTTTTCCGGTTTTTTCTCTTGTTAGCCATGGCTCGCTTGGTTCGGCAGATGAGTTTCGTATTAACAGGTCAATGTATGCTTGATGGAGTGACAAGTGGCGGAGGAAGGTGGAACGAAAAGCGGGTCAGAACCACCACATTCCCGGATATTTGTGTAGCGCTCGAGCTTATGGCTACGGTGCCTCCTAGGCCAAGCTAGATATTTCTTTAGTCCGACCTATTCCACTGTACACAGTGTTAGAATATGTATGGTTTCGGCTAGTCCAATAAGTATCCCATCTCATTACCTAAAACGCTGTATTTTCCGAGAAGCGCGCTATCCAGGGCGCACGATGGCTGGTCTAGAACCTTGGGACGTATAGGGGCGAGTAGGTGACGACGGCAATATTTCAGAGGGGAGCAGTGCCGTCCGACTTGGGGTTATGGAATCGCTTCAGAAACGTGTGGTTCAGCGGCGGCGCAGGTGGGAGGAAAATGCAGGATGAGGAAGGCGACAATGATTGAGCGACGATTGGTAACAGTCGGGACGTTAGGGGCAAGCGGTCAGTTGGTCCTTTTTGGGGTTAGCGCGGTCCGCGAAACCGTGTCAGGGGATATTCAGCATTAACCTCGTTTATTAATAAATACTATGCTCATTCAGTCAGTAAGGACGGAGCATGGCTACGGTTTCCCATGTGATATCGTTGTCACGCCGCGAACCGTAAACAACGTGATGAAATTGATTTTGTGCGCGTCTGTACCGCCAGCCCCCAAGGCGGTAATATTGAACAGATGCTCTGCTAGCGCAATAGGATCGACCAGATCGTCAATAAGTCAAATTCTGATTGGTGTGCCCTTCTAAAGACCCCTGTAAGCCTCTAATCTCCGTTGGATTCATGGAGAGTTAATGATTTTTCTGGCTGGTCGGATAAGTTGTGGATCCAAGCGTTTCGACTTTTCATTTTCCGTTTGTGTACGCAGTGTATGGTGGTGAAAATATTGTGGCCTCAGACCCTGAAAGCTATACAGAATGCAGCTGCATAATAATATGCTGGGTAATCGGTTTTGCAAGGATTCTTTGCCTTCCGCGGCTATTGAGATCACTGGATTGGTACAAATTGTGATCTTTTTTCTGTGTACTGGAGATTCTTAAGGGTAATGGATTGATTTTCGTTGGGCGGCCAACTAGGCAATCATCAACCACTAGGCAAGAAGCGTCATCATACCTGTGGCTTATGATTGGCTTTTTTTATCAAGAGGGCGTTGACCCGTAGATTGTTACATGAATTCCGTGTTTTCCCTCGAACTTTCCGCTAAAGTTTTGAACAACCGTAGCCATCATGCTTTGCACTAAGTCATACTGCTCACCGAGGTTTATACAGTATGCTGGTACCTCACGCTCTTCTTTGACTCTATTTGACAGCGTGCTGATCCATGTAGTCTCAGATAAGCGGGCCACTGCTTACGCCTCCCTGTCCCTTCTTTGCTGATCGTGCTTGATTTGAACCTGCTCCAATTCATGGCGAGCATAGACCACGCCGCGCGACGCGCCGTCCCGAAGCGGCCATCATTCGCACGACCCACTCCTGATCATAATGATTGAGTGTAGCGGATGTTCAAGACAACCCGCATTTCAGGACCAAGACTATGACGCAGGGTTTATGTTAGTCCACCTATTCATGTTGAGTTTGCCAATCATCCCTCATTCAGCTGATCTATTTTCCTGACTATGGCATTGTGTTTGAATCCGCCATCACATGAGAATGTGGCTATGTGCATATGCCAAGATGTCGGGAAGTTTCAGGTGTAAAGAGGATATCCAATGGAAAAGTATTCTGAAGAATGGTGCTAATTCAGAGGCCCACCTTCTACGCACAGCAACAGCTAGCCAACCAACAGGCGCCCCAAACAAAACCCCCGACAGTCCCACAAGCCCCAGGCGCCAAAGTTGGGGTTATGATAAAGAAAATCCACCCGAAGTCCGATCATTGTGAGATAAAGCCAGGAGAATATCCTCCAAGTCCTATATTGATAAACCTGCTCGGCGGTACCTACATTACGATTCAAAGGTCCGATTTACCATACCGAGATGGATCCGATCTCAGTCAGTGCAAGTGCCATCGCAATTGCAACACTTGCCGCTCAAACTTGCACCGCTCTCTCCGACCTACGATCGCTTTGTCAAAGTTTACCAGGACGTCTTCATGCGGTGAACAATGAGGTCGCTGACCTTAACCTCGTCCTTTTTCAAGTCTCCTTGCTCATTGAAGACCGAGCTTCCTTGCCTGAAAGCAAGGTTTCGGCTATACCTCACCTTTTAAAACAAGCAGATAAACAACTGGTTGAAATCAAAGACCTTGTTTGTCAGCTGACCGTTGCATGCCGCATTTCGAGGATTCCCATTTTCAGGGCCCATGCCTGGCAAAAAGAACAAAGCAGACTGCAGTCCCTTCAAGAAGAGATCAGAACTGTCAAAGCCAATCTAAATATTATTTTAGGTGCCTCGAACTCGTACGTATTTGAACATCTATTTTTGAATTGTTGCGGACCTTCGGCTTTTGCTAATGATAAAAACAGTCAGGATATGACGAAGATTCGCTTGGACATCGAGACCATCTCAACGGTCACTCTGGAGTCCTCGCAACAGCAAGTTGCTCTCAAAGATAACTTCCTGAGTGGTCTTGCTGCTGTCGATCAGCGTATAGCTAGGGTTGAGGACATGCTACGAACCCAGTCACACCAGGTTCAAGCAAGCCAATTCACGCAAGTCGGTACATCGTATGATATGTCTACCGCTCGGAGGCAGCGTCCATCACCAATCAAGAAAGAGAGACAGCCGACCGCAACACGGTCGGAAGGCATAGGCATCCGTGTTACACCATTTGCCGTTACCTGCCGGACGGGCTGCCCATGCTCTTGTCATGTGCAACAGAAGACAACAAGTCCAGCGCTCTTAAATCGCGTGTTCGGTCAACTTTTTGTTGGCTATGCTGGACTGCCCATTTTCAGCCCAAAGTGTGATCTCGAGGCATGCAGAAAATCACGAGCAAGTCAAGTCAGCTTGGAATACTGGTTTCCTTTGGGTTTCCTATCATCTACAATCGTGCGATTTCAACTTGGCTACCAGCCCAACATCGGAACACTGCTGCAGCTTGATACACTAAGAAGGGTACCAGACACAGCACAGTGCATCAGCTTTGCCTTGAACGGTGACATTGACGGCCTAAAATATCTTTTCAAAAACGGCTTGGCTTCTCCTCGTGATGTTAGTACTACGCGAGGGTATTCGGTGCTTCGGTGGGCACTTTATGGAAAGCAGTATGAAACATGCGAGTTCCTGATCCATGCTGGAGCAGATGCCGACTACAGACCGATTGCTGGCAGTGACAACAGCCCAAGAAACAAAGCATGTCATTTCCTTTTGGAAGGTGGACTTTCCGGTAATGCTGTTGGTGCTCTCAGATTCATCACCAAAGGCGGTTTTCTGGAAGACTTCATAGACGAAGCAAGGTTCACAAAGATCCATAAAATCATTCTGGATTTGTCAAAGCTAAGTCTCGAAGACGAAATATACCGAAATCCAGAGGATATTAATGCTGTTGACGCAATGGGTCGCACTCCCTTGGCCTGGGCAGCCGCCCGAGGAGATACGCGAGCCATTGTCACGCTTCTCAGTCATGGTGCCGATCCAAACATCATCGATGTTCAATTATCCGGCCCTCTGTCAAATGCTGCTTCTCAGGGCCATACCGTTGCTGTTCGTCTACTTCTTGAGGCTGGAGCACAAACAGACTTATACCATCCTAGTGGCGAGAAAAAGGGCAGCCCACTTAATTGCGCTACCCGCAACGCCACTGATATTTTGCTTCTAAAAAGTCTGCTCGACTTTGGCGCAGATGTAGATGCAAGTGGAAATGATGGGAAAACGGCGCTCACCCATGCAGCAAGGACCGATAATGCTAGTTTCGCCATGTTGCTATTGGAATATGGTGCTGACATTAATGCTATATCAGCTGATGGATCGACTCCTTTGACGACCGCAATCACTTTCAATAGTCACAATGTCCTCCGGTTAATTCTCGATCGATGGCACGAATACTCTGTTTGTCCGCGCCTTAAGGGTCCAAATCTGCTCCAAATAGCGGCACTATACGCCGATCCTGAAACGTTGCGGATTTTGGCTGCAACGGATCATCTCAAAATGAAACACGACAATCAGTATACCCTTGGAGATTTTGGAAATCGCTTGCGACAAAGACCTGATTTTACCGATGACTTAGCCCTGTCGTTCGATGACCTATTGAGAGTTATCAATCAAGTACCTGAACCAAGAAGGGAGAGGTTCCAGAGTCTTGTGGATCGCGGCAGTTTTTCTTGCTGTATATCTCGAGTCAATTCAGAATTGACAGATTCGCAAAAAGATCCTGAAAGCGCTTGTAGCGCTGACGGAAGCTTCCGTGATGCTCTTGAGAGTCTCCCACTGATGACAGATGATTCTGTTACTATGGAATAGTGTTCCTAATCAGAGATTGTCAAGAGTTACGATGCACCATAGGGGACTACATTCAATGCCATGGAGGTTGTTTAGGTCTGTCTCTCATCCAAGTGAGAGATCCTCTGTTTAAGGGGCTTGATCAATGCATTCACACCGAAATTTAAGTGGATCTACTTCATGGAGAGTCCACTGTGTAGACAATATTGGCAGTTTCATTACTGATAGGGAGGTTTGTGCCTGAGAGTTCAAACAATGTAGCCTGAAACTCAACAGAGATCTCCCGCTTATACCCTCCGCGAAGAATATATATGCTCTCACCTTGAAAAAATGCGGCCAGTGCGTAAGATTTGGTTTTGACATAAGTATATATCATGATGCTGAATTTGCAATTTGCTTTTCCTCCCACGGTTACTGGCCAATTAATAACTGCCCACTTTATTTTGCATCTAGACACCGAATTCATGATACATATGTGAATAAGAAACCAGCGGGATATAGCGTAGCGTATAACTAGAAGCAAGTTTGACCCCTCCGACAGAGGAAAGTATACTCTTAAAACACAATTGCGACTTATATGATGCCAGAATGCGGTTATTGTGCCATTCGAATCTCATATCAAGAGTGCCATATTTCGTTGAGATGCATGACGTTGCTCGGACGTTGCTCGAACGTGGATACATCATCAGCTATATGGCAGCACCAGTAAAGCCAGAGCTCCTCCTATGATGCTCAAGGCATGATCGGTTTCCCTTTGTCCATAAAAATGTCCATAAAAACCTGGTCGTTCACTCACAAGGAAGGACAGGCGTAAACCACCCCTCGCATTCAGCGCATGTTTTCATTGAACACCCAGTATTATCCGTCTTTTTGCATTTCAAATATGCCAGTCATATTGCAGTAACAGGATCCTGTCACTCTGTATAAATTCTCCGTTTGACCGAACCTGAGACTTTCATTTTACTGTAAAATCAAAGCGCCACTAGCTAAGTTATTTGCTTCATTTAACTAAGCCGACCGTCCACGCAACATCATAATGCAGATCCCACTCTTTGGTTCAGTAGAGTTTGCCAGCTGATCCAATCGACAAAAGGAATTTAGTTGCGTGCATCGCAGCTGTGCAACCCCTCTATCGGTTACTCATTAGCCCCCACTTTTGACCCCTCTTCAAACTTGTCATTAGTCATGTGTTATTTATTAACTGGGGACACTGAGTGTGGAATCTCGACGCCCAAGTTGGGCGACGATCTTAGTGCCCAACGGCTGGGTTTAATTTCCGTCTATCTTCACGTTCTTCCCATCCATCGTCATCGAATTTTCTCCCCAAATTCACAATGCGCTTTGGACAGAACTTCCACCAGTACTTGGTGCCAGAATGGGCACCGTTCTATGTCCCCTACCCCTTGCTGAAAAAGTTATTCAAGACAGCTGCCGGGAATTCGATCGGTGAAAGTGTGCACCCTGACTTTTCAGGTTTGTTTATCGTTTTTCGCCTTATGAATTGTTTCTCACGAATAATTTAGACGTGTACACATTGCTGACCGAGAGCATCGATTCCTTCAACAACTTTCATAATAAAAACTGCAACCTCCTTACCGAAAGACAGACACATCTTTGCACGAAATACGCATCTGTGCCGAGAGAATACATCTTTTTGGGAAAGAAGGATGGGAAAGGCCGCGAAAAATTGTACCTGCTTCAAGCAGTTGCGGAAATTCGCCACGATTTTGAGAAGCTGCAAGATTATTTTCGAGTGAATGAAGAAGCTATCCACAGAATATACGCCAAGATTGAAAAATCCACCGGTTTCGTTGAGCAATTTCATCAAAGACACAAAGCCAGCTGGGTCAAATCCAAGATTGGCCACCACACATGTTTGAACTTCATGCGAAGATTGGACGACCTAACAACTAGCGTCCTTGGGGGCCCCTCTAATAGAGAAGCCCCTTCAAAGATTATGCAATCTTGCTACGAGAGTATGTGTGATCAAAGAATATCTTCCGCAGTCGAGCGTCATGCTTTACATTGCGCTATCAGGAACGATGAGCCTTCAGCCTTAACCAATCTGCTCAAGACGTTGAAGCGTAATGGTGTGCCACAATTGCACTTCAAAACTCTTCTTTATGCTCTAGCAGAGCTTTCTGTAATCTGTCATTCTCTACTTTCCGTTCGACATTTGCTCTCAGAAGCGTTCCCTGCAAATGACGTTGTGTTGGATAACAACCTTTTGAATCATGTCATTACCATGTGCAGTAGAGAGGATGGCTCAAAAATGAGCGGTGGATTGAGCAAAGAGTCGCAGTGTGTCACTGGTGGACAGGATGAGGAGAGAGGAGTCGACTTGTTCAATTTCGCTGTTTGCCGGCTTGGCATTCATCAAAAGAATGCCTTACTCGCGGAAGACACCTTTGGGCGGCTTTGCCTTCATTATGGCGCGATTTACGGCTTGCCATCCGTATGCCAATCAATCGTCAATTGTGCTAAAACTTGGGGTCAGGGTTACTCTTCAAGATTGATCTTCTCTTTGGACTGTCGAGGTTGCACGCCCTTTCACTATGCAGTGACTGAAAATCATGTGGCTGTTGCAGAGATATTTCTGGAAATATTGGTTTCTGACAATCAGTCTAGTCATGAAGCTCAGTGTCAAAACTTGTGGAACCGACTTAATGGTCTTCTAATTATCGCCATCAGATACCAACATGATGACATGGTGTTCCTTCTTGGAAAGAATCAGATTGAATTTCAAGGCTGCCGCTCTATTCACGGAGAATCTGCCCTTTATGTTGCCGCTCAAATTGGGCGTGAAGACTATGTGAAACTCCTGCTAGAAAACGGCAAGGATCTCTACTTAGACATCCCCGAAACACTACATGGCTGGACACCGTTGTTTATCGCTTGCGTGGAAGGCCATAAGACCGTTGCGCAACTTCTCTTGCAGGCAGGAGCGAACCAAGATATACATGATCATCTCGGCTGGGTGGCCAAAGAGCACGCAGCTTTGAGAGGTTATCTGTCTCTGGCCGAAATGCTGCGGCCATGGGATATGAGTCAACTCACTGGCGGCCCTGCCAGTATAATGTTGAGGCCTGTACCTGCAGCTGACTCCCGCCATCGAATTGAATCTGATCAGGTCATTGTCAACCTTGGTATCCTACGGATTGGAAAAAGGAGAAAGCCGTGGACTTGAAGGGCCTCTTGCCAGAAAAGACAAAGTACACGAGCAAGCTAGCCTCCTTGGATATGTCGATATCGATGGAAGGTAACGACAGCACGCTTCTAAAACTGCCCATACTGAGTGATGTGGTCAACGAACCATTTGTGTTCCCAGTTTTGAGACCTAGTGAAGCCCGCCTGGTATTCAAGTTCTTCCGTGTTGACGACTCCTGTGAAGGACTTCAACTAGTCGGAAGTGCTGCAGCTCTACTGGAAAGTGGCGGAGACTGCTTTGGAGCGAACCGCGAGAGCCTTGTCAGAGCGCGTACTATTCCAATTCTGGAAAAGAAGACGATGGACGTGATGGGTACTGTGACTTTCACCTTCGTCATCGCAAAACCAGTGATGAACTTGAATTTACCTACATCGGCCCATCGTTCTACCACAGAGGGTGCTTTACAACTTGTTGGTCATCGGGGTATCTACACCACGCAACTTCAGATAAATTGCTACTGACACTGAACCAGGACTTGGTCAAAACACTATCAATCACAGCCGTATTCAACTGGGAGAGAACACAATAGAGGTATTATCCACTAAAGCGAAAGTACAACGTACTAACGATTCGATTAGTCATTTCTTTCTGCCGCCAAGCAAGGTGCATCATGTGTTGAGGTAAGGAGTATTGAAAGTCTAGCGAGAATTCTCTAACAGCCTATAGTTCGGTAATGGGCCAGTCAACGAGATATCTCCCTTTTATATGTACTAAGATATCAACAGATGTGCAGCTCACTCGAGACCTTGTGCCCGTCGTTTATCATGACTTTTCGTTAAGTGAGTCAGGAACTGATATTCCTATCCACGATCTGAGTTTCGAGCAGGTCAGTACCTCGCAACATAGGCATATGCTTAATTCTCACTTTTGAAGTTTATGTACGCAAACCAACTTCGGTCACCCAGAGGCATACCAACACAGGAGCTCAAAAATATGAGCGCACAATACATGTCGGATGAATCTGGTAGGGAGAAAATCCGATCACGGTCGCTGACAAGATTCCATGCACAAGAGACTCGTCAACATCAGGACAGAATGAAATACACTGTTGACTTCATGAAGAAAGGATTGAAGCCGAATACAAGGGGGCACTGTGTTCAAGATTCTTTTACCACCCTGGAACAGCTGCTTGTGGAGTTGCCCGAGTCAATTAGTTTCAACATTGAGATAAGTACGATTCTATTTCGCAATGACACATTCTCGTGAAGTTCAAGCCTAACATCACACTGGCAAAGAGTATCCCAGGCTTCATGAAGCAGTCGAAGCCGGCGTTGCACCAATTTCCATTGAGATCAACACCTTCATCAACGAAATACTCGCCCACGTCTGTCGTGTCAAGAGCGGAAGAAGAATTATGCTCTCCTCATTTTCGCCTGAAGTTTGCATTCTTTTGGCTATCAAACAGAATACATACCCGGTGCTGTTTATTACGAATGCAGGAAAGTTACCAATCTCAGACATGGAGATCAGGGCCAGCAGTCTACAAGCAGCAGTTCGTTTTGCAAAACGGTGGGATTTGAACGGTATTGTCTTTTCTTCTGAGACTTTGGTCATGTGCCCAAGGCTCGTGGGATATGTCAAAAATTCAGGATTGATTTGTGGTTCTTATGGCCCTTTGAACAACGTCTCTGAGAACTCGAAAGTAAGTATTTAATAAAGCTTGCAACATATTTTAGCATTTTCGCAAGCCAGACGCGAGAAGGCCGATTTGCTGATCAATACTAGATACAAAAAGAAGCAGGTATTCAGATGCTTATGGTTGACGAAGTTGGATCTATCTCGAAAGCCTTGAATGGAACTGCCAATTGCTCGAGGACAAATTGAATGGAATTACTTTTGAAGACCGACAAATAAGAGGAAGAAGAGAAAATAAGGCTGGTGAGCACAAAAATGCAGTGCTTGACATGGCCTTATGCTCCATACAGGGCAGACGAACAAAGCTCTGCTGATGCTTTGTCCCGTGAAATGCTTCATACTTTCTTCTCCCCCATTAATTATTAACTTTGGGAAGTCCGTGGTGACCCTTGGCGTTGTGTTTGAGACCGCCGTGGTAGATGTATTAACCTTGAGGTGCCAGCTAGTCTAAGTTTCCACTTTCTTCTTTCACCAAGCAACGCTTTTTCTCAAGTCCATCTTCTTTTAGGTCAGGAGTAATTACCACAATAACCAATGAGACGGCAACCATGCGATCATGCAAGTATTAGAAATGTCGACAGTGGATGGATAGATCTTGCCAAGCCAAATCTACTATTCTACTTTCTACTGTTCTACTTGAGAAGGACTCAGGATATATAAGAACACTCATTCATGCATCTAGTTTAGTTCTTCGTGTCCAATAATACATTGTTACTTGTGTCTACTGTTCAGAACCTTTGGTGACTCGTACAACTTGATTATAACTTGACAACACTACGAATAGATCTATACTCCGGTATTGGTTATTTCGGCGCTCTACCTGGCATCGCTCCTCGACACCCTCAAAAGGACTTAGCCCGTATAGCGTCAAAGATACGGATATCCGTCTGGCAGGCATGCTGCGTGCAACGGAATATAACTGCGTTCAATGAAGCCTGGGGCAAACCAGGCTCATAACTGTCACGCTATGAGGACCCGTTGATCTAATGAATTGAAGACTCTGGATTTTCTATCTAACAAGGAACGAAAGTCGGTTTCTTATACTTATGTTCAGTCGTAGGCAGAGACAATCTGTAGGCGACAGCTGTGCTGCCTTGTGCTAGTGTTGATCACGCTATGCGTGAATCCGTTCATGATACCTGATCTTGACAATACTTAAAGAAACCTACACTAGGAGAACAGATTTCAAAGAGACGAGCAAGTAAGATTTGCCTGCGCATAGTCGAAGGCATCCAGATACCCCATCAACTGGACCACAGCGGCGCATACTACCAGGATGTGAAAGATCGAATGGGAGCCCCATAGGTCGAATTTGCCAGGATATTGACTTTCGGGAAACCTGGTCTTCAGAACCACATGTGTTAGGGTCAATTTCTCTTGTGTGCGAAATTGGGAGACTTACTGCATAAAAGGAAGTCCCAGATAGAAGGCAGCCTGCTTTTGCCAGAGTATAGGGAAAAGCTTTTCTCATCATCTGCGACGTGCCGAACACATTGAGTCCATGGATCAAGGGCGCAACACCGGACAAGCCAGTCGCCACGAACATCAATGCTCGGAGGAGGCGATACTTTGGGCCTTGGAAGTTGGGATGCATTGTCATGAAGATGGTCAACGTCCCGAAAACTCCAATCTATCAACCGAGGAAAGAAGAGAGTTAGACTCAAGTACCAGGTCTCAATAACAAAAAACAAAACTGTGCACATAAGATTAACTAACCATAGACCAGTAGATATTGCGTGGCAAAGGTTCACACCAGAAAACCATGTATATTCCCAAGACTAGGTCGCCCAGTATGAAGATCACTATACCCAGCATGTCCAGTCGCAGGCAGAGATGTTCCATGTGTTTGGAGTGGTTCATCAAGGTGTGGTACGTCGCCGACAAGGACAGGCACATGACGGCTGCCAACATGAAGATGGAGAAAGCAATGAAATCGGCGCCAGTGACCCCGGAGTATCTGCTGGTAAGGTACTGCTGGATATACCACTCGCCGAGTAGGAAGAAAACGGCCGGGATGAGGTGGGAATATATGTTGATTGACTCGTTGTGGATATACGACCAACTGCAGAACGAAGCGTGAGCCGAGCCTGAGATAGGCCGATAGCCACGGAGAATCCACTGGTTGGATTCACGTCGGAACCATTCCGGCATCTCATCGAACGAGAGAAGAGCTGGCCGTCCTGCCTTGCCGGCCGTAGATGCGGTGTCGCTGCTGGATTCCATTTCCCGCCCTTTGTGCGCCTCTAGCGGCTGCAGGGGCGGAACTCGAAGACGGGGAGCAGATACCATTTACTATCGTGCCTCATGAAAATGTAATGTGGGGAGGCTTGAGAGTAAGTGGAAATACAAAATGAAGAAAGAGATGTCCTTCTTGCTGCCCTTTTATTCAGTTGTTCTTACTAAGCGCCATCCTTGTTGCTGGCCCCGTTACAGAGGAGAGCAACTGTGACCTGGTCAGTTGGATGTGGGTCCGCCACAGTTGGGCTTTCAGGTCACAGTTGACTGTTAGCCGTAAAATAGCAAGGTATTGTAAGACTTTCTCTCTTGATTCATTAAAACGGCAGAATATCTACGGTCACGACTAAATAAATCAAATCTCACTTTTCTTACCTTTCACTACTTATTTGCCTTGTATTTGCTAGAAAAATATTCAATAAAAAGAGGTAAATCATGATGATTTAGTAATTCTTTTATGATTTCTAAATAAATTTCGAGCTTAACTATAATATTTATAGTGTTATATATACTCTATACTTAATATAACTAAAAAAAGGTTAGTACTTAGATTATACTAAATAGGCTGGAAGCTAAGGGGGGAAGGTAGTAAGAAGGGTAAAGGTTTAGGAGAGAGGTACCCCGGGCTTAGGGGAGTATCGGAACGAAAATTATATTAAATTTCAACAATCAGAGGACGATTTAAATCTAGACATACCATACAAACCTGCTGTGACCTGACCCACATTTAACTAACCAGCTCACCTTCTTTCTGGTTACAGAGCCCTACATGTATATATAGCAATCCGGCATGACACATTCAACGCTACATCGTCCAGGAAGAGGGAGCTAGTAGGATGTAGATAGGAACCAAGAAGCGGTCATATTATCCCGTAACCTAGAAATACATGTAGATGACCTCTGGCAACAGCCTAGACCCGTATCGGTCTTTTCAATTGACTTCGTGACCCTAGTGGTGTCCACGATCCTGGCACATGATTGCACCACTATAACAAGCCTTGCTGATCAATTATTGCCGCACCTTTTTATTGCTTATTGCAGCCCCGACGGCTCGCGTATGTGTGACGGAACAACAGGAACCAACCAAATCGAGTTGTTCAAGCCAGGATAATCAGCCTCAAATTGTGCAATTGGTCCTCGCGACAAAAGCGGGGAATCTGTATGTACCCTAGCAGCTGCCTAGGGGCATCGTCACGGGTACTCGTCCGTGCTCGTGCCGTTCTCTAAATCCTTCTACGGGGAATTAGCCGAGTACGTATAATGCGCCTACTAGTGGCTGTAAGAAAGCTTCCGACACTACAACAGCTTGTATATATAGACCATGATTTTTGAGACTTTGATTGGTACATTCTAGGTTGTCTACGTTTCTAGCCTAAGGGGCATCGAGAAATTGAGGTGTGAGTGGGCTCAAGTAAGTCGCTTACTTGTAGGCTAAAGGAGAACTTCAACAGTCAGTTGATGTGTGGACACTTTCCCCCAGTCATCCTTCCCCTTTTCTTCTTATGCTTCAATTTCCTTTCGGTTTGACCGGCCGTACTCCAGCCAATAGCGAAATTGCCGCACTCCAACTGACATGAGACACTAAGCCCTCCCCGCAGCTGCCTCGGGTTTGAGATGCAGGGGCGACTTTTGCAATGACTTGTGCTGGGCCGCAGAAGTAGCTGATGGGATGTGCACAAGTATTGCCCAATTGGGAATGATAGTGATTTGCTTATCTCTGGGGCCAGCACTCATTAGTTCTGGCCAGGCTCGGCTGCACCGCTGTGACGGCCAGGTTGCAGCGAAGGATCTGTGAGTGTCGGGAAGCACACCGTGTTCCTATTGGCCAACTAACTCCAAAAATACAACTGACTACGTCGGGGCGTTAAACCCGGAGGAGAAGGGAGAATCCTAACAGGATCTCGGAGACCAAGCACACCAAGTCGTCCTGAGGCTCTGGGTGTGAATGTAGCACAGCCTGATTTGATCAATACACAGCACACTTCCGCTGATAGACCAATGTTCTTCCAGCCAAAGAATCTCAGTGAAATCTTCAAACCCATCAGTTTGGATGTGCAACCATGGACGACGCCACTGATTCCCAAAGCCTACTGCAATCCGTGCTTGGGTTATTCGCTCGAAAACGACCGCAAAGGTCGGCAAAGCCGGCGTCACTGAGATCGCGAAAACGCGAGGCCTGGCTACGGACGGATGCATTTCTGCAGCGCGATGATATTGGCGAAGCTGACCCAGAGAGCGTTGCAAGGACTCTGCGCGCATTTGAACATCTTGTTCAAGACGACTCTGATCGAGAGATAGATTTCGTAGGTATTCTTGATATACAGCAAACTCCAGTCTTTCGGTCTGTTGGCCTCTCACATCCTGCCTACTAACGATAGTTCGCGGAGCAGAGCTTCCAACAACCCGGACATGAGCGGTATCCAAAGCTTCGCCGCATGATCGAGAATCAGAATCGCCATCCGCATGCCGACCCAGGCACTGTCATTCGCGCTAGTAAACGGAGACGAGAATGCGACGATGCCATTCAGGAACTTTTGCATTTGGAACAGGAGAGAAAGAAACGCCGGGTTCTGCCTCATGAAGAGCCAATTCATGAGTCCAATCTCGACGACCCCGATGCCGACTTCGCCGTGCTGATGAGGAGACATTTGGTGTCCTTGGACAATGCATTGCGAAGACACTGGGTTTGTGTTTGCCAGAAATGCTCAGGGTTGAGTGTGAGACTGTCGCCGCCACGACACAAAAGGGATCTCGAGGCTGAGGCGAGTTTCGAAGTATTCTTCGGCGTGCGGTCCGTACCTGCAACTGCATTGCAAGAAGCTAAAATCACGGTCAAGTAAGCTCTCGAAGCTTTGTGTGATGACTCCTAATCGCTAACACTGTCGGTGCAGAGACCTACACAACAACACATTGAGGCGCTCATCTGAGCCTATAATTAGCAGCCCACCCGACTTTGCCCACATATGCCAAAGCATCACAGAGTCCCTCGATCAGCGAAATTGCTTGCATTTCGCTCTCCAGGATGGGATATTTCAGAGGCTTCGCCCGCAACCAAAGACATTTGGTAGTGACCGAATGTCTCAGACAGTCTCCTTGTCGGCATTGTTCACTCGCCAGCAAGAATTACTTCGTGGTGAATCGGTACTGCCACTCAAGGGGAAGCGAGTTTTGGCTGTTACACTGGCTTCAGCACTACTTCCCTTCTTGGAGACACCGTGGCTGCAGTTTTCCTTCAATCACTCAAAGATCCAGTTTTTTGAGCCACGGCAGGATGGAGAACTCCCCAACATCACGGAACCTTTCCTGGCTCTGGAGCACGTTCCAATCATGTCAGCCCGCAGTACAGACACTGGAGACAGCTCTGGCGCCTCGAAACACATGGTTCATCCCAACGCTAGTGTGCTAGCGCTAGGCATACTCTTGTGCGAGCTTCACTATTGTACACCTGTAGAGCTGATGGCAAAAATCCCGCATGTCGCCAGGAACGTCAATGATGATTTTTATACCTGTCTCGATAAGCTTCAGACTCTGGAAGACGACGCTGGCGTGGATTACTATCTCGCTACGAAGGCATGCCTTACTGGGGAGTACTATCCCCTTGGACAGCACGCTGACTTCGAGGATGTCAGCGTTCAGCGGCTCTTCTACCAAAACGTCGTCAAACGACTTGAGGCCGTGATATTCAAGGCATGGGGTATTCGATTAGAGAACTTGTGTTCATTCGATTCTCGACAGAATGAATCCTGCTGGGGCTCTATCGGTCGAGAAGTTGTCCGCCTCTATACAGGCAAGGTCGATTCCTCTAATGCAAACAATACAGCAAGGGCAAGTCCGCATCGTTCAATGCCTGACACCGCGCCCGTGAATTACGCATCCCTCCGCTCAGATATCATGCTACGGATATCGGCACAACCTTCTTCGGGATCGCAAGCCCACGGACACCTCGCCCAGCCTTCAGAGAATAGCTTGTACTTTTTTGATGCAAGCCACCAGACGGGTCTTGAACAAGAGTGAGGTGTTTCTCATTGGCTAGAAGACTTCGTTGTACTAACGACTTGCCAGGAATCCACTCTCGGAAAAATGGCTGGACAATCTGCTGTCCTCGATCTATCCCTATGTTGACCCTGATTTCGACCTTGCCGAACCGGTGCGAATAGCGATTTTGGACTCCGGACTCGACCCCGAGAACCCATTCCTGGTCGAGGACCAACAACGGGCCAACCCACGAATCAAGGAAGCACGAAGTTTTGTACATGGAACAGGACCGCACGACATTCGAGACGAGATCGGGCACGGCACTCATGCTCTTGGCCTCCTTCTCAAAGTTGCTTCAGGCGCTGAGATCTATGTCGCCAGAATTGCGCGACGAGAGACTCTGGATCCCAATACCTACGATGACATTGCAAAGGCAAGGCTGTCTCTATACCATAGGAGAACTGTTGGACTGAGTTAATAATCTATGCAGGCCATCGATCACGCAGTTAAACAATGGGAAGTGGACATTATATCGATGTCATTCGGGATTCGTGAATATCACGAGCTCATGAGCACAGCTGTATCTAATGCACTGAACAAGCGGACGTTGTTGTTCGCGGCAGCATCGAATGATGGAGCAAATCTTGGCAGAGCTTTTCCAGCTCAATATCCCAGCGTCTTTTGTATACACTCAACCGATGGAAATGGCAATCCCTCCAATTTCAACCCTACAGCAAGCGAAACGGACGTCAACTTTAGTCTACTTGGGGAGAATGTCTCTTCTCACTGGCCGGCTGGCATGAACGGACACGATCAGACTGTCAATGTTATGTCAGGAACATCGGTCGCAACACCGATCGCCGCTGGCCTGGCCGCGTCGGTCCTATCTTTTGTCCGGCAGCAGGATCAGCACATCGCTATAGAAAGCGAAAGGCTGGGACCGTGGCTGAAAAGGGACAATTCCATGGATGCGGTCTTCAAAAGTATGGTCCGACGGAGGCGGGGGTAGGCTACGACTACATCACGCCTCATGTGCTCTTCGATAGCGGTTCGACAAGGGAGGATGTTTACGGGAGAATCAAGGATATCAAAAGGAACATGTACAAATACTAGTAGAAGCGCAGGAATGGTTTACTCAACTCCAATCACACATGGTTCACTGATGTCTATCTCAGTTGTAGTCCAAGATTCGTTTAGCATGATTAAGCGGGAACGCAATAGACGTTGCCATTCTCGGCCACATCGGGAACAGCCTCAGCAGACCTGATATCAGCTCCATCCACGTCCTCAACCAGAACACATTCGTCGTCATCTTTCTTCCCGCCAACTGTCATAAAGGCGCCCTTATTGTACTCTTCAAGCTTCAGTCTCCGCCCAAACTTGAGCCTCTTCACGCGGAACGCAAACACAAATTCCGACTCGCGATTGGACTCCGTCGCATCATCATTCGTGCTAGTCCAGTGGCCTTTCGGCCCAAAGGTCGTGCCCAGCGCGGTCACATCGATGCCGAGGCCCCCTTGACCGTCGTGCTCTGCGAAGTCGAGTATTTGATCTTGGCGCCCTTGACGAGCTTCATGCCCGTGACGACGAAGAGCTCGCTGACGAGTGCGAACTTCTGTCTGGGTTCTCTCAGCCATGTCTGCACGGCCGGTGCCTTGACGGCCTCTTTCACGTATTCCTGGGTCGGCTCGAACGCCAGCGTCGTCACCGTGTCGAACGCGAACGTATTTGCCGCCTTGTTCAAATGCTCAACGTTCAGCTCGGGACCAATGGGCAGTCCACCGGTAGCCAGCTGCAGGAACTGTGCATAGACACCCAAACCGAGCCCTGTCTCGGTTGAAACAGTCTTCTTCCAGTCGGTCTCCACGACAGGTGGGAATGCATAAGCTACTGCAACAACGCTCGCTCTGTTCAGAGGGTATTGCGGTGCTGACGTGGAGCGGATTATAGACCCAAGACATAGCGGGCCCGTTGGTGGTGGAGATATGAAATCGGATGTCGGACACAGAAAATATGTCTTGGTAAAGGACATGGCTTCAAGATTGAGGTTCAGATACCGGGCTTTCATTAGGACCGAGCGAAATGATCGAAGGGGCAGAAGAAGAGTGTGTTGAGAGAGACTCGGTTTCTATAGGCACTGCCCGGCGTGTAACAATCACTCGAGTGCCCCTGGGTCGAAATCCCCCACAGGCCCTTTCTTCTCATTTCTTCTGTCACATTGCCAGACCGGCCAAGCCCGCAGACCAATCAAGTCGTGTGTGTTGATCTGGCCAGGTACAGCAGCCGAGGCGTTGATTGGGACCGGTCAGCGCGCTTTGTACTTGTACAGTGATGTATCATAAAGTATTTGACCTCCGGTACTTTGACCTAAGACCCACCTTTTTATACTGCCGTGCAGAAACCTCACAAACTTCAGTTTCCGTCTATAGCTAGTAGAGTATCCTTCATAATTAATAACATCAGCCACTGCCCCTTTTCCCGTGTATCAAAGGCATGTTTAAACACAAGAATGCCAGAGCTGTAATAGAACGTGTTGGTGTATAGGACGGATGTTCATGACCTAATTAAGAGGCGGTCAAGGCCCGAAGTACCAGAGCTCAAATACAGTACTTATGATACACCACTGTACCTCATGTACTGCTGCTTATATCCGTATCCGTGCGTTTCTGCCCACCAAAGCGGGAAGCGGTGTGGGTGGCTAAAGGCACGGATAACCCATTGTGAGAAGGCTGAGGCGGGGCATGAATTCGGAATTCGTAACTCGGCACCCCAAGACACATGCTGCTTTCACGTTATCTGACACTTTGAATTTATGCGACAATCCCATAGCCTCAGTCGCGATTTGCTTACCGAGGACCTTTGGAAAGTCCTTTCCATGCAGAGACCAGGATCGGCTTCGTGGATCTCCGTCGCACTCGGAAGGTCTCGCGACGGCCCGCACCGCGCCCTCTTACCATGGAAAGTCTCGAGCGCGGGGGAGACGAGTCTATGGAAGATGTCTTCCTCCAGGATGATCTTAGCCCGACCATCGCAGAGCATGCGACACAATGCCAGTCTCTTTTCCACAAGTACATGGTCATGCCGGAAATCGTGCCGGACCCTACTATCATGGATGACCAGCTGGCACGCTTTTCTCTGTGGGTATCAAACATGGATGTTTACGGGCCACCCAATGTATCGCTGGACTACAGACTCCGATTCAGTCCCACAGCCGCGGATATCATACATCAGCTCCTGAATATTATTTACGATACATTGCTGTCTTGTGAGTACTTTCCGTACCACATTCGGATGGATTGAAGATCAAGGCTAATGGGAGAGTCTCGGTAACAGTGGAGCCAATCGACGACCGACCACCACTAATTTCGAGCAGGAAGAGACAACGCATTTCAGTACATGGCAATTCGGGAGTCACAAGGAGAGCCGACGACGACACAAGCGATTCAGAGAGCGATATCGATCAAGCACAAGAGAACATTTTGAAGATCACCGAGACAATCGGCGGAACATTGACGCGGCTCTTCCGTCTATCCAACGCCGTTCGACAGTCCGCTAAAGCCAACCGGGCTCGCAAGATCGAAAGGTACAGAGACGATGAAGAGGCAAACAAGGCCATAGACGAGTTGCGTCTCTATACCAAATGCTATATTGAATTCCGATTCCCGGAGGCGCCGGAGGCGCTCCGCTCAGCATTGGTCGAAGCCAACGCGCTGCGACTTCGACGGCTGTATTATCAGCGCTCCCATAGAAGGCGCATTGATCTGAGTATTCAAAGCCCGGAAACGACTCCAGCCGTTGTTCAACTCCCCAACATGACGGGGAGTGCGCCGGCTGTACGGTTTGCGCGGAGCGCGCTGCCAAAGCCTGCGAGGACCGACAAAATGCCGGCCCCTTCACCAGCGCCAGCAACGAATGCGACTACTGCTCGACAAACTGCCGTTGCAGCCTTCTATGCTAAATCCACAACTGAGGTTCCCCGGGCTAGATCTGTTCTCGTGAACAACAAGTTGTCGTTCCCTCCCATACCGTCGACGCAGCAGTGTCCATACTGCGGCGTCATTGTTGAGTTCAAAAACACTGCAAGGTCTTTGCTGTGGCAGTAAGCAGATCATTCCTGTCGTTTCATGGGAACATGTGGCTAACATGCACCAGAAATCATGTCATCAGAGACCTGGAGCCTTTTGTTTGTGCTTTTTCACACTGCCTGGAAGGAGCTCACCACGGGCACGGGACCGGTCCGCTCACATTCGAAACGTCGAAAGCCTGGTCCAGCCACATGCAGACTGCTCACGGGCATACATGGGAGTGCAGGGCCCCTTCTCACGATCCAATCGTCTTTGACCAAGAGATCCAGTACCAGGAGCATTCCACCAAGGAGCACGGCGTGCCTGAAGCGCACGCCGGGACCCTCAGCAACGCCGCACGGAGGCCAGTCCTCAATAGGGTCGTGGAGTGTCCATTTGGCGACGATTTTGAAACCTCAGGAAAGGTCGAATCCAGTGCTGTCTTCTCGAGTGAAGCTCTCCAGTCACATGTTGCCGGCCATATGAAGGAAATTGCTCTGCTTACACTGCAAAAACTTCCCAGCGATGATGACGAGAACGCGGAAAACGTCGATAGCGACCAACCGTTAGAAGATGATGGGCCGACCGGGGCTTTTGGAATTACACGTGCATCCATGCACAGCGTACTGGACGACGAGGACCTGGATTTCCGAGATGATGACGCTGAGGCTACAGATGGCAATGTGGGACACCGCGAAGAGGACATAAGTGCACGGGTGACAGTACTCGGCCTAGAGGACAAAGACGACTTGGGGATGACGAAGCTCCACCACGCGGTGCAGGCCAGCGATCTGGGCTTGGTTGAGTCCTTGATCCAGAGCGGCGCAAGTGTAAATTCTAGGGACGAAAATGGCCAAACTCCCCTGCATTACGCTGCGGAAAGGGGCTTCATCGAGTGCATGGAAGCCTTGGTCAAGCACGGCGCGGATTTACATATCATTGACAACTCTGGATTTTCCCCGTTTCTCTGGGCTGTGGTTGCCGGGCAAGAAGGCGTCACTACGGGACTGTTGTTGATGGACGCTGATGCCAATTCATTCAGCGCGGATGGAAAGTCTGCGCTCGCTTGGGCAGCCAGCCTGGGATGGCCTCCGACTGCTAAAATGCTTGTTGAACACCGTGCCAGCATATCTGATACCCGAAATACGCAGCAGACTCTGCCTTTGGAAGAAGCGGCAGCTTCTGGCAACCTTCCCACTGTTCGATTGCTCCTCGAATGTGGTGAGGATCCGAACCATCGTGATCGCGATGGTTGGTCCGCCATACATTGGGCAGCAGAGGAGGGCCATCTGGAGATTGTGCGTTTGTTGCTGAACGCTGGGGCCAACCCCAATGCTGTCAGCTCTTACGGTACGTCACCATTGCACTGCGCTGCAAACGGAGGGCATGTTTCCATTGTGAGCTTGCTCCTCCTACAGCGAGCCGACCCACTCAAGTCAACATGCCACGGCTGGACTGCACTACACCACGCCGCCTTCATGGGACACTACCATGTCGTCCAGTGCCTCTTAGAAGACGACCGTATACGATCCACTGCCTCTCAGCAGGACAACCATGGCTGGTCAGTTCTTCATTTGGCCATCCACAGTCGAGATATCGCCATCGTACGTATCCTGCTCGACAAATCTGTCATTGCGGAGCCTCAGACCCTATTCGACGAAAGCGGCCTCACTGCAGAAGAATGGCTGGATCGCGGGCCGATAAGCCATTCCCAGAAAGCCACCGGCAACTTAGCGTTCAGCAAGTCGCGCTGTTGCCGGGCCGTCACAAGCCTTCGCCAAGCTGTTACCATAGGCAACGTCCCCATGATCAAGCTTCTGCTTAAATTGGGTCACGACATCAATGGCATGAACTCTGGAAGGAGGACTGCGCTCTACTACGCCGCGAAGAAGGGCATGCTTTCCATCATGGATCTGCTTCTTGACCTGGGTGCGGATCCCAACATTCTCCCCGCGGGGTGGAAGAACTGGGAAGAATTCATTTCGCCTGGTGACGCTTTACTGCGGCTCAAACGAGCAGGATACTGGAAGCGAGATACCGATCCTGAGGTGGAGCGCCAAATTCGTCAGGCACTCAGAGTGCAAAGTCAGCCTTCTGTGCCGGATCAACCAGCCTGGTTCGTATCGGACGAGTCGACTTTACCAATGCCGAGTCAATTTGTCTCCCATGGGCCGGACCGACTGTCCTCATCCGTTCCAGCTTCGTCAACGCCACCTTCCCCGGATCATGCAGCTTCAAGTAGACCGACACACTCGCCGCCGCCTACACAGCAAACTAATGACAATAAGCGCAAGGCAAGGTCAGGCCCGAAGAATTGGTGGAAACGGCTCATAGGTTGAAGACAGCGACCTCGGTCCCTAAAGGCGAGCGTGAGGAGCAACAGAATGGCTGTGGGTTGTACCGGCCTTGAACTTTGACAACTAGGTTGGGGATGTAACATGACTCGTGCCCAACTATAGCAGCGGCTTCGATTCAGTAGATTGGAAATTTGCGGATAGAGAGACCTCTGAACAGGAAAAAAAGGAAAACACTTCTGGCGCTCATGTCTGTGGATGAAGGGTCCAAGGTACATCCAGGCGCTTTCCGTGTAAATGAACGTCATTCGACTAGAAGCTTTATTGATATTAATCCCAAAGACAACACGTAAAGCACAATTATGAATACAGGCTCAGCTTTTCCTTGTGACTTAGCTCTGCCACTTCTCAAGCAGGAGTATTGCGCAAAACTTTATGAACCAAGGATGCGGTTCATCATATGTCCGACACCCGGCAAGGACTGCAAATGCTGTTCCACTCTTTGTCTTGGTGCGCCCCTAGGTAATGTCAAACCATACTGCTTCCCAATGATCAGGCACTCCACAAAAGTCTTGCAAGCCCGCTTCTGCAGCAATCCCGGAGGTTCCTTCGCTACCAACGCCCCTATTTCCTTTGGAATGGCCTCACCAATCAGCCACCGGTGAGCGGTGGCATTCTCCTGGCAGAGAATCAAGCATGCTGCCGGGGGTATGTTGAGAAAGCGGTCCTGTCCCTTCTCATGGGCCTGCTGGGCGAAATGGAAAATACTGGTCAGAAAGAGACGTAATCTGGCAGAGTCGCGACTTTCGCTGATGACGACTAGCTCATTAGCGCACGCCTGATTCGCATCGCTGAACAGTTCAACCTCGTAAATGCTGCCGATGTATCCTTCGAAAAACTCCGCGACGACCCGGGAGAAATACTTGATCGGCCCTGGATCCCGTTTGTTGATCATGGCGAAGTGGCCTGTCATGAGTAGGGCCGTCCGAAGTACGTTTTCTTCCCGATTCCCATTCCGAATACAGACATCGAAATCGCTCAAAAACTCACGGATACCGAAGTGGAAGAACTCCAACGCGTCCCTGTCGCAGGCGGTGGCGGCCCAATCGGAAATTGCCGCAGCTGTGATGGCATCTCCATCTCTCCATCCGTGTCGGACCGCCGCGAGTTTCGTTTCCATGCCGGTGAAGACCGTGATGGCCAGCAGTGCCTGAAGATCTCTGGGCGCGACCTTCTGCAATATTTGCGCCGACAGGTCGCCCATGGCCTTCAGCCTCTTCGGATTCCTGGCGACAACCAGCCCCAAGAAGAACCTATGGTACAGTTTCGCCCATTCTCGCAGTTCGTCCATTTTGTTCTCCTGGACGAGCTCCTGCAGTACAGACAGACTGTCCCAGCGGTTCAACGCCACAAACTTGAGATAGAGGGACATCAATTCGAGAACGAGGGGAAAGCGGAGGGAAAGGCCCAGCCCTTTCATGACCAGGTCGACAAATCGCGACGAACGCTTGAAGCGTGCGAGGAAGACCTGCTCCTGGAGCCCAAGTAGCTCTTTCACCCGCTCGTCCATCGGGTCCGTAGGTCCCCTCAGGGAAGCAACTCCCAGAAGAGCTGGTAATTTGTCCACGCGCGCTCCGTGCTCAAGTAATTCCTGCGTCATCTCTCTCGAGTTCGTCAGGATGGCTCGCATCAACGGCGTGTCCGTGTCGCCATGCTCCGCCTTGGCCTCGAGACGGGCGCCGTGTTCGAGCAGCACAGACATGACGTCCCTGTGCTGTCCAGTGACCGCGATATGGAGTGCCGTCAACATGCTTCGATCTTTGAAATTGACACGCGCACCATGGTCAAGCAGCAGTTTCACCATTTCTCGGTGACCTTGGTTGACGGCCCAGGACAGCGGCGTCCGGCCGTAGTTGTCCTTTAGCGAAATGAGGCGGGCATGCTTGTTGATCAACCACTTGGCCCAGGGTATGTTGCCAAAGTATGCCGCGAGATGCAAGAGTGTGAAGGAGGGCGGGCTTCCGCCGTTCTTCTCCTGCTCCCAGTAGACTTTCCACCATTCGTCCCGGATCGGATAGTCGACTCGAAAGAACGGACGTGAGAACTCGGACGGTGTATCGATCACATGAATGGCGTGGTGAAAATGCACCGGCCAGTACTGGGTGGCATAAGATAAGAAGGGATCATGGCCAGACATTTCATGGATCCTTCCGGGATTTCCGTATCCGCGTTCGACGTGTGCTAAACAGGTCTGCATGAGGATCCTGTGGGTATCCTGGCTCATATGGAACATGTTGATCCCTTTGATGTTGACTTGATCGCTCTGAAAGAACTCCTTCGCCGATTCGTGAACCAGGTTGACGACATCTCCTTCGATCTTCACGAGCAACCCGCCAAACCTGAGGCGATTCTTGGTCGCTTGCGTTGCTGGAAGAGTACCAGCCGTCTTTATACCTGCGGCCACGGTCAATTCTTCTAGTGTGAGGGGCCGGGCAGCGAGAACGACCCATTGAAGGATGGGGACCAATGCTTCCTTGTCGCCGATCTGCTGAAGAAGCCGCTGATAAATCCCACCCAGGCCTTTAGGGACATTGCGGAGAACTTCGTCGATTTTGCACCAACTCCTGCCCTGAAGCTCATTGGCAACGAATCCAACCCACAGAAAAGTCCTATCAGCGCCAGCCAGCAAGATCTGCTGAACCCGCGCGACCATCTCTTCGGAAAGATTTTGCTCGGATGCTAGTTCGGCAACTTTAGCGAAGATGTATCTCTCGACATCATGCGAAATTTCCGTGTTGGAGGTATCTAACTGGATCTGCTGGTATTGGCCGAGTTTGCTTTCCAAAACAGTCGGCTGAGGTCGGGAGAGGATAATGAGCTTCAGTTGTGGCCTTGCCTTTTCCCCAGACTTCGACAAGTAATTCCCAACGGCATCAAGAAGCTGCTTGAGTGATTCCTTTTCGCATTCATCCAGGCCGTCCAGAACACAGACTACCTGGGAAGACGTGCTCTGCTGAAGTAGGGTCAGGAAAACCCTCCACAACGAGACAAAACTGGAAAGTGTATATTTGGTTGTTTCTGTCCCCTCGAAGGAGTTCCTAATGTCTTTGGCCAGATGCGGATTGAGGCCGATCCATTGATGCAGGATGCCTCTCATGATTGTCAAAGAGGTGCTCCGATTCTTGTCACGGTTACTGCAGAAGTAGTAGAGGAGAACATTATCGGCGGCGTCAACCAGTGGCTGTAGCACCTCGGTGATATAAATCGCCAGCATGGTCTTCCCTTTTCCAGGACCCCCTGAGATCCACAGGAGTGGGTGATTCGCATCTGCCAGCCACTCTTGATAATGGGGATGCTGTATGAGCCATTCGCAGGTGCCGTCAACCCTGCGCCCTTTCAATGCAATGAGGGACTTCCGATCAACCTCGGGCCTTGTTAGAAGCAAAGCGTCAAGAACAGGCGCGGCCTCGGCATATGAGTTTGTGGCCAGATGTATCGCCTTAGATACCGTGGGTATGAAAGAGAGGACCTTTTTTGCGTATGCTGCGGCAGCCGCTGCGGCGTAGGCGTGCCAGAGCTCGGACCTGTGCGAATCTGTGTAGTCGCAAATTCCTCGGATGACCAAGTACTGGGCGGCATCCCTCAGCCCGGTTGCCTCCGTCTCGAAACAGAGAATGCCATGCTTGTGTGCGAACTTGTCCCGGGTCGCTCCGCGGCGCGTCAAATGATGGCTGGAGGCAATCAGGCCATAATGAACTATGGGGTCCTGTACCTCCCTAGGCTGCCGGGGTCGGATCCTATCCGGGTCGCAATGACTGCATCCGCTTTCTTTGGATTCGATGGTTGCATGGTTATAATTCGGCTCGAAGAGGACGTCTTGCTCTGGGCCAGGGTGGCCAAAGGCGACGGGGTCTTTCTGCACGATCTCGGAGACATACTGGGGCATCTTACTTTCATCAAAAATGGCGGCTGTCTCGGCCTTCCCCATAGCTGTGAGAAGCAATGGTGTCGGCTGATCTAACGCTCTGCCGCGAACAAATTGATCCTCCGTTCGCTCCCCGTTCACGTCATACTGGATGACACCTGGCCAGCCAGCTGTCGACTTGCTGACAACAACATCACCAAGACGAATATCCTCCTTCGTATCTGGCACACCTCCTGCAATGCCGACCGTGAAATTGAATCGGACAGATGTGTAGCTTGCGTGCAACTGTGTGGCCACGTCGGCCACCGATGTTTTACCATACACCCCGGAATTCGGATACGCCACAACGACATTGTGGCCTTGAAGACTCCCTAGGATGTAGTTATTGTTGTCGTCTGAGTTCCGATCCGGAGGTAGATTGTCATGGACGCGATCAAGCGTTGCTTTGGCTGCGGCGACCTCTATAGGCAGTGCGCAAACCCACCCGACTGCGTAGTCGTCACGGGACGCCATATCCGGCCAGGGCGTAGGTCAAGAAATGAGAGAGCCCGGGAGCGTCGATGCCGAGGCGTTGTGTTAGGTATATCGAAGCTGCCTGGACTGTCTGTGCATTTTTTTGGGAGGAGGTCGACTTTCTAGAACATTGCGCGCATTGTTGTGGTGAGCAGAGCAATTAATCAAATAAGGAGTACAGCAACGAACATGCGACGGGATAGACAGGCTCTCGATCAGCGTTCTCCTTTAGCCTACAAGTAAGCGACTTACTTGAGCCCACTCACACCTCAATTTCTCGATGCCCCTTAGGCTAGAAACGTAGACAACCTAGAATGTATCCAATCAAAGTCTCGAAAATCCTGATCTACATATATAAGCTGTTGTAGTGTAGTGTCAGAAGCTTTCTTACAGCCACTAGCAGGCGCACTACACGTACTCGGCTAATTCCCTGTAGAAGGATTTAGAGAACGGCACGAGCACGGACGAGTACCAGGATCTATGTTGCGACCGTACCTAATATAGTCCACCAGTTAGGATCACATAAGTAGGCGATTTCTCCACTATATATCATCCACTTTCAAAAGAAATATAGCCGTCCCGGTTATAAAGACATTTAAAAAATCCGAAACCTAAGGAAATCGCCTAAGATATAGCTAAAATAAGATACACGTTGCTAGATTTCGTAGTCGCTATTAAAAGGATTGGGAAATCAAAGATTCGAGACCTGTTAAGAGGCCTGCAAATCTAGAGCTCGCTCAGCCTGCACCTTATAGGCTTTATATTTGTATCCTCCAGCTAATATTCCGGCTTCCCTAGCTTCCCTCTCCTCCTTTCCCTTACTGTGTTGAATCTTGCTTCTCACTTCTCTTGATCTTAGTTCCTCTATATCTCCGCTTCTCGCACTTCCTTACTTTCTCACCTAACCCCTCCTCACTCTGCCCTTTGACACAACCAATCTCTCGAGAGGTAACTGATGCGAAACTAGAACACCTCATTTGGGTCTATGTTGCACCGTATTAACTCTCTACTTTTCTCTTGCCACCCATCAATTGCTATATTGATGGGTCGTTTTTCCGGCGATCATTTACATCAGCTTGACGATGCTCAACGCATAACGACCCGGGAAATTCGGGATAGCCGTTGATCTGCATAATAGCCTCAAAAAAAAATGATACTATGGTTTTTCTGATCTTGGCTTTGCCCTCTCAATAAATTATAACGACGTGTATTCTCCTGACTCTCCAACTATGATGGTGAAGGTGGTGGTGCACCGCTCAAAAGTGTGCCCTGGTGAAAGTCAATTTATCGTCCCAGAAGGGTAAAGGTTGTCTCCTGCAGCCTTTCCTCACGTGCGTTTCCTATTACTCTGGGTGGCCCCAGGTTGCGAGCCTGAAATTATTTCAACCCGGTGTGGTGCTTAATTTTCTAGGCAAATACAATTGGATCCAGGTCGGGCCGACCAGTGGATCCAAAATGGAGGATGTGTCACAAATATCGTACGAATACTGCATGAAACCGGGTCTATAGATGATCCGACCGGCATAGCTTATGTAACTAGAATGGACCCATAAATAGTGAGAAATAGGGGTAATGGAAATACAGAGTCATTGACATCTCCAATTGGCCGGATACAGGACAAATCGCGACAGGATGACGCTGCCTGGACCCCCTGAACGTTGAGGAAAGCAACCAGAAGCACATGCGGATAATGTTTCAGAGTTCTCACATCTAAAACGCATCAGTACATACTCCTGAGTATTCACAATCAAAGCGAGGGTCATGCCGAGGTCTGGGCCCCTCATATAAAAATCGCCTTGTCTATACGACGGTGAACTACACACGCGATAAACAAACCACATAGGCTCTCTAAACTCTAGTGATCCTCGGACTGATAAGTAGCTGTGACTGACTTTAGAACTACTGCGTATAGAGAGCTCCTGCGTAGTGAGGATCAATCTACTTCAGAACCACAGCTCATCGTGCTTTACGCTCAGTAAGTTGGACTATTTAAAGGGGGAAACCACCACCCCACCCCCCTTCTTAATGGTAGTTTCAAGTCGCTGACCGAGAATAGGGCAAACAATCATTAATTGCAAATGTTCTAGTCTGGTGGAATTGGTTTGTTTAATATTTTCGACCATGCGGTACTCAGATTTCTGACAATCGTTCCCAGCGGACCTACAGGTCCCGGAGTGAAAACATATGCTCCTAGGAACGAGAGGTGGTACCGTGGGAGCTTTGGTTTACTACTTCTGGGAACTATTATGAGGGTTTTATGCTATAGAGGTGAATAGCGTCTCGAGCGAACAATTGATATTAAAGAAAATTTATATAGTTCACTCTAGATACATGATGTAGCGCAAACGTGTGATTGGTCCAATGCTACTCCTTTCTCCACCTTGGAGTAGCTACATCTAAGGGCCATTGCTTTCGTACCCAATACCTTAGGCTCTGATTTCTCGACTCCGGCAGATCTCGATCCTTTCCAGTTGCTAGATGTGCCAAGACCCGCACATTTGTACTCGATCCAGTCCACATTCGATTATACGCCGCGACCGGCAACTAGCCTAGAGGGTTCTACGCTATAATACACCCGAAAATATGAATGGGGTTGGCATGGGACCACCAATGGCAGAGCCAGCGGTGCTCAGCAGCTTGGGAGATGAAGCGGAGGTTGCATTTATCTACCAGACATAGTTTCATAACACTCCCAGGACCTATCCGCATAGTCGGAAAAACTTCGAGGGAAGCAAGCAGACATGCCTGGGCCGAGTTCCCTCTCAGATTTTCTAGTTTTCCTGCCTTGTCGAAGAGCATTAGCGGCGTTGTGGTCCTTCGACCGCCCTTCATTGCGAAGGAAAGACGGCATTGACCAGACACTGCGAAGATGACTGCACGACACTGCAAGCTCTATCTAGCCTTTGTGATCGTAGCCATTCTTCCTCCTATATGACCTACATCGCTTATTTGTAATACTCTGCTCAGGCCTCAGTCCGCTAAGCATTCTCTCGATAGCATGCTAGCAAATTCCGTTTGTTATTTGACTAATTACTGTTTGTAGTTACATAGCTGATCGTTCATTTCCGGATTCAAGCCTAGTATGAAGATCAGTAGTGTCAAACGCTTAGTGATGCCAAACGCTCAGCGAGTCTTAATTTCTCAAACTTCGTCCACCTCCATCAAACTCGCAGCCGGGGAGTTTCCGCTTTTCATCATCGAGGGATCGAGAATTGGATGAGGTGGCATGGCAAATGGCCCAGCTTGGTACTGGTAAGGGAATGGCTGTTGATGCTGCTGAGGGATAACCTGTTGTAAATGCTGCCTGGGAGCGAATTGTTGAAACTGCTCAGGAACAACTTGTTGAAAGTGGCTCGGGTACGGCCGCTGGGTAGGATCCGCATTGAAATCGACATTCGACCCATAGTGTTGCGGGGTAGGTTGGCACCACCACGGCTGAGTTTGCTCACGATATGGAAGAAGCCGAGGCGCGTTGTTAGATGAGTTCTCCTGAGTCCCTGGTGATATCTGAGACTTCAGAGCTTCTTTCAAAGACATGTCGGTATTGCCAACGATGCTCTCAACGACCAGCTTCTCTCCTTCGCGTGTTCCCAATATTTTCGCAAGAGCAGAACGAGAGATACCTTCCTCACACCTCCCACTCTCATTTTGGTGGTAAAAGCCAACAACGATAAAGGGAAGCCTATTACTCGTTATGTCCCACTCCCCAATAGCTACAAATTCCAACCCGTATTCTCCCCCGCAACGAACTCGGGCACGGAGCTTCTGGATTTCCACTGGATCCTGAAGCGTATGTCGGACTCCAGCACTTTTTGCTAGGTCTATAGTGGGCTGACTGCCTGGGACAAGTCGTATTTTCCCTTCGCTATCAGTGACAACAAATCGCGCATTCAGTCCGAGGGGTTGGATGAACAAAATCTTCTCCCCTGACGTTGTGAAGCCCGGCTGTATGGCTCTTTGTACTTTACGTGGCCTGAGGGCTACCACCCGTTTCTGGCCACTCCCTGCTTGAAGTGCTATGTCATTGTACGGCGACCCTGCTTGCGGGATCGTTGTCCCGGAGGTTACTTGCATATTGAATGTTTGTTGCGGGGTTGATCCTCGTGGGACTATAGCTGCAGCGGCATTTGCACCACTGTAAGTTGGATCCAATGCTGGTTTTCGCACTTGAGAATTTGCGTCCTTGTCTTGTGCGGTATCTGCAACATCATTTGAAGTGCTTTGCGATTCTGGCACTTTTCCTCTTTGACCTCTGGATAGATCGCTGGACGGTGGTTGATTAGCCCATGTTAAAGGATAGTGCATTTGCTTGCAATACGCCAATAATGACTCATGCAACATTTTCTTTGTATCATCATCTTCTAACAGAAGGATTGGTCGCCACTTTGCAAGCAAATCGCTATAACGGATGATGCCCAAGTCGGAATCCTGACCGTGTTTTGCATTTTCTTCCCTGAGGACGCTGTTGATTTTATCCAGCGCGGATACGGCATCTCTGACCGCCGATGTTGGGGCTTGGCGAGGTTGAAGCAAAGGGTTGTCCACCAGAGCCTGGAGGAGTACTTGCATATGAGGAGTTGCTCTATGATGGGATTCCTCATGGTACGGGGAGACCTCCCCTTCGACATGAGGCTGTGGGCGATCTGGATCGTTTCCGAAGTTAAAAGCGTTGTTTTTGTCCACTTTGCTGGATTTTGCCCCCACGTTATCTCTGAGAAATCCAAGTTCTTTCCGAGTTAGTTATCAGTACTCTCTTGTGCGAATAATATGCTCACTTTGAAATGCTTTGGTCGCTTTGTCTTTCTCCACAGGGTCCGGGAACCTGTCCGAGTGGATAGCTGCTTGGATTTGCCTGAAATTCAAGGTCACATCTGAAGGCAGAGCATTCTCGATGGACTCCTCTATTTTTTTGGCGTCGTCCGGTGCGCTTAGAATTGCTTCTATTATCTTGAGCTTTTCTGTAGGTGTCATTTTCCTGGAAGACATTTCCTCATTATCCGACTCATCCGACTCAACAGATGGTAGTGGAGGATATAAAGGTTGGTCGCCGGCAGAATGGCCTTCCTGCGCCTGGTTGCTGTTTGATGGTCCTGGCATTTTTCCAATCCTTAAAGAATCCAATTTATTTCTGAAATTAGTTAGAAAATGCTTGGAGGGCTGGGACGTCTACTAGGTTTATATATGGGCCAGCCTTGCTCGGTCCTGGTGGTCCCTGGCAGTATCAGCAGCTTTGAACAGGGTTGATGGCAAAAGAATCAAGAATCCCCGCAGAAATATATCAAAAGTGCCTAGAAGATAATTACACATATCAAAAGAGGCCTTCGTTACCATCACTGAAGCTTCTGTAGATACCCCACGGGTTATATCCGCTGCATTAGATGCCTCATATTTTGATACTCATGCCCTCGTTCTTCAATATCGGCTTCCTCGAGAAAGAGCCTTTATTCCTTATATTGGAATGAAGGGAACGTTTGATACTTCAGAGCTCTACCGCTCAGTTCAGTTCCACTGATGCTCAAAGGGCCACACTCACTACCAAAGGCTCTACTAGATATTGCAGTATTGTTCTTCTAGTCACAAATCACCCCCTTTTTCTTCGTCTAATCAAAGTACATGTACGAAAGCCGTCACTTTCCAAGTATCAAAGGTGATCTAGGGACTGAACGTGAATTGGCATACATATTATAGCTGGCTAGCTCCTATTTAGAAGGATATGGGCTCTCGTTAGGATAAACGAGGGGAGAGTGGGTAGTCTAAATACTACTGTAGTCTTAATCACCAGGTAAATTTGATGCGTAGTGCCTGGCATCGAATTAATTTAGTTTTCGAGAAGGTCTATTAGATAGTAAGTCAGGTATCCAATAGATGGTACATTAAGTATTCATTGTATTTGAAGATCACGTGGACATTTTGGTGCGGCGGAATAATGGGAGGAGATAGCGATGACTGAATAACAAACACCTTGCCTGTTTTGGTCTAGTGGCACTCTAAGCAAGATTAAGAGATACGCTAACCACATTTGACATCACAATTCTCCAGCTCGTACTGCGTCTGCTTTGGGGCTTAACACGAATTCTATAACCGATATCAGGTAGGAGTTTACACTCATTTATAAGGACTTCTGAGACGATGTTTACTAAGAACAATCTGTACTGTTAAAAACTGACCAGGGAAGCAAGCAGACAATCACACGGATAATACGTTCGTCGTATACAATACTAGTGAACCCCAGAGAGGAGGATACAATAGTTCAATTTCTCCGGTCTAGCCCGGGGGCTCGGAATGAAGCGGAGGTGGTCCTTGCGAGCAGGTTGAAATAATTTCTTGTCAGAGGCATGGGGGGTACGAGAGTATTATGAAATGCACGGACCTATGCTTTAGGTGGGGAAGGGGCTCTCAGTTAGCCAATCATTTCAGCCCTGCTGTACTTCCAACCACGTTGCACACCACATTTGCACGCTCTTTATATCGCTGGTCACAATTTCACGCCCGCCATTGCTTTTCCTCACGTTGACCGTTGAGTCGCATAAATGGTAAACGGTCAATTTCGTTTCCCTACGATTTTATGATCTAATTGCGTCAGATCGGTCAATTTTCGTTTCCACTTTGAATCGATAATGCATTTGCCCAAAATCCTACTCCTATACAGATTAAACGGCCGAAAGGGACGGAATTTCTACAGTACACAGAATAGAGACCGTTTGAATGCAGTCTCAGCAAGTTTCTTTTTCCTGTTTTCAAATATTGAACATATTTTTCTGAACTAGGCACCTAGCTAGACACTCACTTTCGTGATTTTTAGGAAGGCGTTTGCGACTGTGTATAGTTTAAATCAGAAAGAAATTCTTTTCCTTACAACGAACCGACCGACTAAGTAGATATTATCTATTCTACCAACGGCGTTTTCTGCGGTTGGTCGTAAATGTAAACGGTCTGTATATCAAAGTGGTGGATTTACTGTAACGTAGACCAACGTGGTCTAAAGACTAAGATTTGTGAATTCTTGATCTGCCTCAGGATAAATATAATACTACGTCTGTGGGGTTCTTTACCATGACCGGATTCGCTAATTTTTTAATTGAGATGAAGCTGGAGGTTGCGCTTCTTTCACCGTGTCCAACAAGAAAATGTATGCATGAATCGGTTTGTTTATTATTTTCGACCATGCGCTACTCAGATTTCTGACAATCGTTCCCAGAGGACCTATAGGTCCCGGAGTGAAAACATATGCTCCGAGGAACGAGAGGTGGTACCATTGGAGCTTTGGTTACTATTTCTGGGAGCTATTATGAAGGTCTTATGCTATAGAGGTGAATAGAGTCTCGGGTGAACAATCCCAAAATAACATGACGTAGTGCAAATGTGTGATTGGTTCAATGCTACTCCTTTCTCCACCTTGGAGTAGCTACATCTAAGGGCAATTGCTTTCGTACTTCACTATTTCGCTAAAATAGATGAAAATTATGCTATGACTAGGCTATTGTATGGCTAGCAGTTCATGGATTTCCCCGCTGCCAAAGATTGAAAATCATCCTCCATTGCTATGTTGGGCGGTGGAAGTCGGGAAGGAACAGAAGTCGGGAAGGAACAGTCGTGGGGTGCCGACGCTATTTTTGTTGCGTACATTGCGCTAAGCCAGGACGGGTAGGACGAAGCCTAGAACCTGCCTCCCAAATTTGAAGGGTGAATGCAAGCACCTGACCGATGGCGGTCCGGTGGAGGCGCAATTCATCGTCCGCCTGCACGTCTTGGATTCGGGATACACAAGAAGTACTGAACAACTGTAGGATCATCCTTTGGGATACGGAGGGGGAAAAAAGCCTCCCCCGTGCAGATGTAGCCGTATTGAACTCCACTGTCGATCATGTATGAGAATATCTGAGTGACGACGGCGGCGGCGAGGCAGGTAGCATAAAATTCAAATGTGTCGCCTTCTGGTCAATGACATCGCCAGCCAGATCCATCTGGTGTAGAACCCGCCACCAATTCGAGGATTGCCAACTTGTGTGGCGCTCTGAACTCGACTGCATCAGCTAAGTGGTAAACCTAAGGATATCTGAATTAGATCAATCCCAGAAGTATTCCACTCAATCCCTGGATGTAGAAAACTGATTATAGTAGCACGATAACTCCCAGGCCCAGCTCATGTGTCCCCAGACAAACAGCCTGATCCTAGAGCGATGTAAATCTTATTGATGCAAGAGGGGAATTAATGATTATCGAACAAATGCGCAAACAATCTCGCTAGAGGTTTTACTACCAAGGCTCTATGAGAAATGACAACATGTTTTTGGTCACCGATTACACCACATTACTTGTTCATTTACAACTACTGTACGTTTCTTTCGTACATCTTATCAAAACATATCAAGGTGCGAAAGCAGATCACTTATTCAATTATCAAATTTGATGTGCGCTCGATCTAAGTGCAAAATTAACTACGCATACATTATAGCTGGGTTTTCTTTGCTTGTTGTTCCGGCGTCACCCGTTCCCTTAATACAACCCAGTGTTCGATTAAATATAGCAACAAGGATGGTTCAATGTATTGTTAGTCAGCTTCGCAAAGTTCGAGAAACCCCCTCTTTGCGTTCTCAGAGGATAAATGCAGCACGAACTGCTCCTGCTGAGCAGCCACGCGAACGAAAGGGTCGAACGGCATTATGGGCTTAGTAGCTTTCACAGAAACTCTCCATGAGGTGCAACTACCGGTCCCAATATCATCATGGATTACTTCCCACTGGAGGCGGACGTTTGCGGGACCACCAGGTTCTGAGACCAGCATTTGGTTCAGCGTACCAGTGACTTGTGAGTAGTCTAGCCACAGACTGTCGATAGGACCGCGAATACCGTGGGTTGTACTCCAGTTTTCCGAAAACCGAATCTTACCAGCAAATATGCCTAGAAAGTCCCCCTCACGCACAGGGACAATGGAACAGGCGAACAAGGAGCTACCATCTTTCGGCAGGAGAGAGGTGAATGTAGACTTGTCTGCCCCAGAGTCTGATACTAATTGGTAGTCGTAGGGTGCGCATAAAACTTCAGGAGAGAAAGCCTGCAAACCCTTTTCATTGAAGCTTTCTTCTTCCCTGGTGAAGGCCCATTCGTTTTTGGCATTATTCCAAGAGGACTCGTGAACTTTCAGCCTCTCTACAACTTGGGGGTGCTCAAGATCAGACAGGCGCATGAGGTCGCCTTTCGCGAGTCTGAGAGCCCGTGTTTCCAGTTGTTCGATGTGAGGTCTATGATGGGTCTCCCACTTCATTATTGCATCCACAAGGGAGATTTCTGACGTCTTCGGATATCCCTTGCAGTAGCTGTCGAATTGCTTGGTGCGGTAATAGAGGACTTTGTCAATACCAGCTTCACGCATTTCAAATAGGTTTTTCCAGAAAATACGGCATTGCCGTTGGTTTTCTGCACCCAACCCGTATCCGGCATCTTCCATGAACTTCTTGGTTGCAGCTTTTTCCGCCATTGTGAACCCGTCTGCAGGCCCTTTCGCGGATGGCAGCTTTGTATGATCGATCAACGCAGCACCCTTGAGAATGATTTTCCAGAAAATTGTTTCGTTGTACCGATTTTGCAGACCCTTTCCTGTGGCTAAAGCATTGTCTCTGCGGATGACGTCAATTGCCTTCTCATAATCATATTCCGAAATCTCATCGACATATTTCAGGATGTTGTCAGGCTTGGTTGTTGTTGGGGCACCGCTCGTTCGATGTCCGTATAGAGCAATAGCTAAATTGACCCTCGCGCATTCGAACAATATTGATGACATTGCTTTCACTGCATACGCGGAGTCTGCTTGATACGACGAGGAAATGTCGACGGGGATATCCAAATGGCGTCTACCTTCCACGTGGTCGTAGTCAGGCTAGATCAAACGACGTTAGCCTCGGAACAAGTACGTGAAACAATTTTGTCAGTTGGCAAAAGTGGCATACCTGTTGACTTATATTCTGACAACCTACCTCGATAGGTTCATCGGCAATTCTGTCGGAGGGAGATTTATCACCACATGTTTCCGAAGGCTTCGAAATGGGCCGCTTTCTTCTCTTTTTGGGTTCTGGGCCTGCAAGTTTTGCATAATTCCT